ACGTTGGAACGCACCTATATCAGGCACCTGACTCCATAGGCAGTCAACTGTAGGCCCGGATCTCACTTCAAAACTCAACATTAGTCATTGCGGATAACAAATATTAGAAATACTGAAGATGTGAGAAATGCGGAAGCGAAAGCGAGCACCTGAAGCTCGAGGCACACATTCCACATTCCATGTGGCCGATATGACACATACCTCCATCTGCGATGTGGAATGCCAATGTAAGCCCTAATTTGACCTGTCAAAAGAACCAGCAGGTCTGCATGGAAAATCGGTTTGGCTGCAGAAATTTCCCCGGAACACAAGTCCACACCGTTGGACCCTTGGTACCTTTGATTTGATAAAACAAACCCCCAATCGCAAGTCTGATAGCAACTCGCCATGATGGTCCCTGCACGAATAGAACCAATTTCCCAGATTCAAATCTCTCAAGACCACAGACGACCCCTGGGAGCCCCTGAATAACCTCAAAAAGGGTATTGCCAAGCCTCGACCTAAATGCTACACCGTCCAGACGCTCCGAAAACCCAGATCCGCTGTTATTCTTGGTATTATTTGGCCAAGACTGTCTCAGCGGTCTGGAGCGTTGACTTGTCTTTGAGTTGGGCAGTTTCTGTATTACGGCCGTTATCTAACACGGATCGAAAGGAAGATCAATGGGCGTTCATTGTTCGGACTAGGCCTCCGTACACAATTTTATCACCCAAATTCATTTAACCTTCACAATTAGTACTTCAATCCCTGGCTGATCGGTCTCAAACAAACACTAGCGAGTGGAAAACGGGCGCAATGCACTTTTAATTCAGGAGCTAGCGGTCGTAATCCATAAATACATGGCAATCTCCACACGACAACCCTCGGCTGGGCCCCAACATCCGTGATCTACCCCAAGAGTTATGATCGCCCGTGGAAGAGATCCAGACTCTCGTCCTCATTGTGATCAGCACTCAGTATATGGAATGATAGAGATTAGTTTGCTATTCACTTGCTGCTTCCATTGTCAGTATACTTGAAAACACAGCACTCCCTGTGTGGGTACCGTATCGGGTAGTAGGCTGCAGTGTTTTTTTTTGACACGGCCACATTATGTAGGTAAATGCCGATACAGTGCAAAGGGCTTTCCTATTTGGCGGGACTGATTGAACATTTCAAGCTTCCTGCCCCATCGCATAAGTATTTTTGCTTGATTTAGCCCGGATGATCGGCTCGTGTATCGGTAACTCGAAGATCGTCAGGGGGAAAACCACGCATGCATACTTAAGGTGTCCGACTTTCCATAGGGCATATCTTGATATAAATGAACTGGGTTGAAAATGAACACATGGGGATTTGATGCGATCTGCTTGGCGTGGTGATCCGAGACCAAAGGAACAGGACTCGTATGGAACACCTTGTATGTATATCGGTAATTCATAAGATTGGGGTGATACACGTACTGTGATTGACTAATAAAGATCGGCATGGCGGAAATTAGAGGCTGCATCGTGACCAATTAGATAGGAGAACATACCCCAATCCAGCTGCCACCTTCCCATTTCGGGACTGGCCGAGGACGCTAGGATATCCCGCCCCACATGGCGCAGAAAGATAATTTCCCGTTTTGTTTTTGTTTTTTTGTTTTGACTTTTGGGCTTTGGACCGGGGATTTGTCTTGATGAGACATGAGAAGCCATTCGACTCCACCAATGAGTTTGGATCTTTTGGATCTTTTTGGAGATGTCTCTGGGATGGAGGACGAAAAAAGGTTGCTCTGTTGCCACCGGGTAAGCCACAGAGGGGCAATGTGCCTTACATGGTCTGACAGGACATATGAAACCTTGGCCTCGTTTAGATATGTGGCTTTCCAAGTCAGGAGCTGGGGACCCTCACAGCGGTAAGGAGACTATTCTGGGTGTGAGACACTATTTCCGCTGGAAAGAGGAAAAGGCAGTTGACGATCCGTGCATTGATAATAATAGTACGGAGTACTCCGTACGGTGTACCCGATACAGTGTCCGAATTATGTACACAGTAGGGAGTCCGGAGGACAGCAGATGAGAATAGTAACGTTATAGCTGAAATGACCGTTGGGCAAGAAGATAATTTGGTATACTCCGTACCCGGTACTCTGTACCTGCATACATATTGGATGTGTATAGATGTATACCAAATATACCATTCCCCACTACCCGAGCCGTGCGGGCCAACCACAGAGAGCCAACACTCGGGTGTCGAATCCCACAACCAATCAGAGGGCGAATGTCCCTGAAAACGCCATCTAGACTCGTCCAGGGGTAATTTTAGGGCCAATTGATGGTGGAAAGTGGAAATTCACGATCGGTGGACCTGTATGGATGGCCCTGTTTTATGGTTTTTCTCCTTTTTCTTCTCTTTTTCCCCCTAACTCCCTCCCCAGTAACCATTTCTCCAACAAAAGGCCTTGCTTGCCCCCCCCATTACTCTCCTTTGACCTTCTCAACCCACGTTCCTTCGATTCTATCACTGACTACCGCTTCACTCGTTCAGCGGGCATTCACTCTTTTGCGTTGATATTATCTTTTCAAAATGAAGGGAGCTATTTTCGCCGCCGCCTTGGTTGGCTCTGCCATGGCTGACGGTGTTCACCGTCGTCATGACGCTTTCCACCAGCGTCGTGAGGCTGCTGCCAGCAGCTGGGCCTCCGCCGTCACTTCGACTATTCCTCTGAACCCCGAGGAGACCTGCGGCTGTGCCACCAAGGTCATCACCTACTACGGCGAGGCTACCCTGGTCCCTGAGGAGACTACTGCTCCCGCTCCTCCCTCTTCTTCCTCGACTCCTACTCCCACCCCCGAGTCCACCAGCACTCTCACCAGCACTGTGCACTCTACCAGCACCAGCACTTTGACGGTGACTGTCTCGGCCTCTTCCTCCTCGGCCCCGGCTCCTTCTTCCTCGGCCCCGGCCACCTCCAGCACCCCTGCCGTGGAGCTGCCCACTCCTGGTGTTAGCACTTTCTCCACCACCGGTGTCTACACCATCCCGGCCACCACCATCACCGTTCACGACACCACCACTGTCTGCGGTGCTACCTCCACTGAGGTCCCCAGCGGTACCCACACCTACGGTGGTGTTACCACCATTGTCGAGACTGCCACCACTGTCACCTGCCCCTACGCCACTGTCAAGCCCTCCGGCAGCACCGTGACCAGCGTCATTGAGACCACCACTTACGTCTGCCCCTCGGCTGGTACCTACACCGTTGTGCCTCCCACCACCACCTCTGTGCCTACCAGCACCGTCCTGGTCTACCCCACTCCCCAGACCATCGTCCCCGGTACCTACACTCAGGATGAGTCCGTCGTGACTGTGACCCGCACCGACTACACCTACATCTGCCCCGCTCCCACCGATGCTCTGGCTTCCACCACCGCTCCCGCTCCCGTCCACACCACTGTTGCTGCCACCACCACCGCCGCTCCCGTTGTCACCAGCACCAGCAAGCCCTCCAAGACCTCCGCCGTCAGCAAGCCCACCGGTGTCCCCACCGAGCTCGGTGAGGGCCAGTACGGTATGACTTACTCCCCCTACACCGCTGGTGGTGAGTGCAAGACCAAGCAGGAGGTCCTCAAGGATCTCACCGTCATCAAGGGCAAGGGCTTCAACCTGGTCCGTGTCTACTCCACCGACTGCAGCGGTCTCGAGTTCATCGGTGACGCCTGCAAGGAGCTCAGCATCAACATCATTATGGGAGTCTTCATCGACGGCTCCGGTACCGCCGGTGCCCAGGAGCAGGTCGACGAGATCTCCAAGTGGGCTGAGTGGGACATGGTTGAGCTGATCGTCGTCGGTAACGAGGCTATTCAGTCTGGTGCTGCCGATGCCTCCACCCTGGCCTCTTTCATCAAGTCTGCCTCCGAGAGCTTCAAGTCCGCTGGTTACACCGGTCTGATCACCACCACTGAGCCCATCAACGTCTGGCAGCAACACGGTGCCGGCGCTCTCTGCGACGCCGTTGACATTGTCGGTGCCAACATTCACCCCTTCTTCAACGCCGATGTCACCGCCGAGCAGGCCGGTGAGTTCACCAAGGGCGAGTTCGAGGAGCTCGAGAAGATCTGTGGTGGAAAGGACGTCATCAACCTCGAGACCGGCTGGCCCAACGCCGGTTCCGCTAACGGTGCCGCCATCCCCGGTACCGCCCAGCAGGCCACTGCCATCAAGTCCATCGCCAAGCACGTTGGCTCCAAGTCCATCTTCTTCTCTTTCTCCGATGACACCTGGAAGAACCCCGGTGAGTTCAACGTCGAGCAGCACTGGGGATGCTCCGGTGTCTTCTAAACGCCATGTCCCTTGATGGATTTTTGAATTTTTTCGTTTAGTTCTGCAAATGCAAAACTTGTACAGGAGGACTAGGAGTTTTACCTTTCTCTGGCCTGGTGTGTCTACGGATGACAATCGGCCCTTTCTTCCCTTCGTGGATTCTTTTTTTAAATTTGACTCCTTGGTAGATACACCTTTTATTTGACGTTGTCTACTGACCTGTTGCATCCAACTTTTGATCTCCTTGTCCATGTTTTTAGTCGTGTATATTTGCTCATTCATGCCTTCTTACGATCTTTGATACCGGTAATCTTCCACTGTAAGATGTAGTTACTCGCCATCTATCTGTATTTGAATTGGTACTACATCCCATCGCTTGACTGTATTTTGCCACCTGCATAACCTGTTCCTGTTCCCTCAATGGCCCTCGGGATGTCCACGACTGACATCATGCAATGTGCATCCGAAAAATCGGGGCAGTGCAGCCCAAACACCGAGGCTTAGCACAGGACATGAGACCAAACTAGTTTTTTCATTTCACATCCCTCAAGATAAGAACTTTTACCAACGGCGAAAACCGCGCTAAAGAACCAGCACTGCTCTTTGCTGTTCGGACGGACCAACCCCAAAAGACCAACAATCTGGACCAGATCCGAAACCGAAACCGAAACCGATTCCAGACCCAAACCACATCAACTCCCTCATCCCCCACCATGCCCTTCCCATTCGAGTACGAGCCGTTCTACATGCGTCCCCTCCTGATAGTAGAATCTATACTACGGGCCTTCTACACAAGCATGGTCTACTTCATCATTCCAATAGCCGTGGCAATAGCGATCATTTTCGTCATCGTCTTCTTCTCTTTCGGTATACTTGCAGCTGCATTTGGGTGGAACACAGGTTCGGAAGAGATGAAAGCGAGGAGAGAAAAAGCGAAGAAGGAGCGCGAGCACAAACAGAAAGAGGAAAGGTCAGGCGTAGAACTATCTACTTCTCCTTTGCCGGTGTCTTCGAAGGAATTAGGTGATATGGGGGATCTGGAGAAACGTCTTGAGATTGAGATTGAGCTTCTTGGCGAGATGGTAGTTTCCAGGAAGGAGAGATTGGCGGCGTTGAAGAAAAGGGAGTCGGGGGGTTATGCTTCTGATTTGGTGGTTTTGGAGAAATAGGAACTATGTATATACTTGAATAGACATTTTGAGTAGCGGAGGTTATACTTCCAAAATAGGAAATGGGCTCGTCTGGCTTTCCTGAGACCATGGTTCTTCTTACCTTGAACGGAGTATAAAAACCCAAGGGCGATGGGACTTCTTGCTACGAACACCATCTTCTTTTCTCCATCGCCATCTATATCCCAGTTACCAACATCACTTTTGCCACAGGTACCATATAGCTTTTTTAATTTTTTCTTTTTAAAACCGCGTCTGATACCAATATACTTCTATCGCTGATCATCAAATCGAATCAACGAAATCCTATTCCAAGCCCTCTCTTACACTCCTGAAGATGGAGGAACTCCCAAGCGACATTTTCGGAGCCACGTTCAATGAATGGCTAATACTTCTACGTCCACTACTTGGAACTGCACACTTGGTCATGAATAGTACCATGCTCTTCTTCTTCATTGGATTGTTTATTCTGGTCATCTTCGCCATCGTGATGACACCTTTATTCATATCCTATTTGTCGATCATCGAATTTGTGGACAAACACTTACCGAAGAACGATGAGGATGGGATATGAGAGGAAGATGTAATGACAAAGTGACCCAAAGAACTTTCCAGAGACTGGCGAGGCTGGTTTAGTGAGGTATTTGTCGATGTTGAAGGAGATACCTGATGATTTCATGGATTGCTGCTGGAAGATATGGATATGAAACGATAAGGGACGGGTGTCTTTGCTCTTTTTGTTGACTGGCATTCGTCTATAAGATGTTTGTCCAGACTGTCTGTTTATTTCAATATGTTCTTGTGTTACCGGGTCGTCTTCTCGAGTGATGAATTATCCAAGGCTAAGCTGAGCTACGCAAGAAGGGGAAGGTCATGCTAGGGGACTTTTTCTTTGTAATAGCTGCGTCATGCCGAAGCTACTATTTGCTATTTTATCTTTTAGGTAGGGTGATAAATACGGCAGGAAATCATGGGGAGTGTTAGCCCATTCAAATCGATTTATATCTGCGATTTACCCTCCCGCAACTAACAAGTTAAAGCTCTAGCTTCCACTGCAGAAGCACATGGATCTCCTTTCCGGTCTAGCAATTCTAGGTCGTATCGCCAGGACACCTTAGCCATGGTCAGATTGGCCCCCATTATTCCAAAAGTAAATAGCTAGGTGAGCTACTAGTTTATCAAATGGACCAGGGTAATGAAATCTCAATATAGGCATCCACGGGCCTAAGTGCAAATAGCTACGTGCCCTCTTTCGCGTCGGTTGAGCCCTGATCCATCCACCATTTAGGCTTGAACTTCATTGGCTCCAAAAAGTGTTATCTGATGTGGATGGCCGCCCACACGCTAGTATATCTTCGGGTGTTTAATACGTCCCACATGCGACGATGCATGTTATAAGGGTGCATACACCGGGAGGGACGCAGTGATTTATTATGGACATGTTGATTGAGACATGAGGAAAACTCTGTAATCCAATATGACAATGGGAAGATATCTCTCAGCAACGAATTAATATAGAAGCTTTCGTGCCTCAGTAGTATCGATGCCTTTGGCGACGATACAAATACGGTCTTTCAATATCTCATGACAGGCTTGCAACTAGATCGTATGATCATTGCGATGAGGCAGGCAGCAGTTGTTTTGCCTCTAAACTAGTCAAATTACTTGAATACCACTAGCTTGGAGTGTCGGATCAAGGGAAGTGATGCTCGAATGTACACTGTAGCAGCCCTCACAGTCATACTTGGCCCAGCTTTGCTTTATATAGCCAGGTATTTCTCTTTTTTCTTTTTTTTAATGACTCCATCTTCTATTCCAGCTTTCTATATCTTTACTTCACAATAAATTCCAGTCTCAATTACCTCCATTCGTGGAAATCATGTCGTCCAATGCCCAGAATGTGGGCATCAAGGCCATGGAGATTTACTTCCCTAGTCGGGTACGCACAACTTATTGTCTAATTTGCAATTAAAGCCATTGGAAAGCTAACAACATTCATTCCATACAGTATGTGCCACAAAGCGAGCTCGAGACCTACCTGGGGGCCAGTGCTGGGAAATTCACAATTGGTCTGGGTCAGCAGAAGATGAGCTTCTGTGATGACCGTGAAGGTATGCAGACAAACTTAAATACCCATGCTTCATTATCCATGCTAACATAACGTGATCATGTCCATAGATCTCTATTCCATGGCGCTCACAACAGTCTCGTCTCTGCTGGAAAAGTACCAGATTGACCCAAAGACCATCGGCCGCTTGGAAGTGGGCACGGAAACATTGCTCGACAAATCCAAGTCTTGCAAGTCGGTCCTCATGCAACTTTTCGCAGAAAACTCAGACATCGAGGGAATCGACACTTACAACGCCTGCTATGGCGGTACCAGTGCCTTGATAAATGCAATTAACTGGATCGAGTCGTCCACGTGGGATGGTCGCGACGCCATTGTCGTGGCGGGCGACATCGCTCTGTATGACACGCCCGCCGCGCGACCAACCGGCGGTGCCGGCTGCGTAGCTATGCTGATTGGCGCCGATGCACCCCTGGTAATGGAGCCCGTCCGTGGATCGCACATGAAACACGTATACGACTTCTACAAGGGAAACTTCAAATCGGAGTATCCCATGGTCGATGGACACTTTTCCAATAAATGCTATCTTGAGGCATTGGATAATTGCTACGAACGATATCGTACTAAATCTTTGGCTAAGAATGGCGGGTTGATGAACGGAGATGCGAAGACCCAGGGTAGTCTCTTGGATACCTTTGAGTATTTCGTCTTCCACGCGCCTCACTGCAAGCTCGTCTCGAAGGCCTATGGTCGTTTGTTGTTCAATGATCTCCGGACGGAGCCCGACCGCTTTGATGATATCCCAGCAGCGGTCCGGGATGCTGAGCAGACTGCGTCTTTGACAGACAAAGAAGTTGAGAAGACTTGCATTGGGTTGACCAAGGATAAGTTCTCCGAGCGTGTCAAACCATCCATTACTGCACCCTCGCAATGTGGGAATATGTATAACGGCAGTCTCTATTCTGGGCTAGTGAGCTTACTGAGCAATGTTTCCAGTGAGGAACTGCAGAACAAGCGCATCGGCATGTTTAGCTATGGCGGTGGTCTGGCTAGCACTCTATTTAGCCTTCGTGTCATGGGTGATACTTCTGGGATCGCACGTCAGGTCCGGTTGAATGAGCGACTGGAAGCCCGCATGGCGGTCTCGCCCGAGTTTTATGATGAGGTAAGTTTTTCGTTTGCTGGCTGCTCAAGGAGCATATCGTCTAGGCAATCAGACTCTGACTATCGTAGATGTGCAAACTTCGGGAGAAAGCCTACCAGCAGGAGAACTATACCCCTGTGGGAAGCATTGATAGCCTAGCTCCTGGTACTTACTACCTTGTCCACGTTGATGAGATGTTTCGACGAAGTTATGAGAAAAAGCCCGTTGTATGAGCAACTTAATACAAAGCGTGCGGTGACTTCAAAGGAGGATGAGCACTTGACGTGCGACGAAATTTGGGTATTAGATGACTGTAGAAACCATGTATCTATGCAATTTATGCTTGCGGATTACTAGTTTTCCATTTATCTACCTTTGAATGATTCTTTTTAAGAGGATGAAATAAGTAGATATTATATACCATTTACAAAACAGATAGATACAAGTGAAAGCACTGAGAATAGGACTAGGGAATTGATACCCCTGTCTATGTTGCACTCTCATGCCAACCCCAAAGGGCATCATGCTTGATCAGGAGGCCGATGCCATCGTGAATCATATTATAACTCCAAGGAAAAATAATCTTATAGTGGCGTGCAAGTCTATCGTCCTCATTAGCATCTTGAATCAAGAAACCCACACCTGGCAGACATCGGGTCGGGGTCGCTAGGTACTTACACCATTAGATCCACAAGTAAGTCCCTCACAGCAGCATCCTTCGATAGCACAGTTAGCAGCTGTGCAAGCCATGGTGTCCTAGTAGCACTGTTAGAATCGCCTCTCCACATTTTGCAATATTGCAGCCATCGAGCAGACTCACAGATTGGCATGCGATCACGGCCTTGGGGTATGCTTCGGGAAGTGCAACAGTGAGAGTAGCGAGGAAGCCGAGAATGATAACTGAGGCGCGCATTTTGAAATGGTGAGAGCTAACAAGATTTGAAAACGGGGTATCTAGAACTGCAACAAAGACACAATCAGCGACCGAGTCGAGTATAATAGAAGATACGGTGAAAGCAGAATGCAGGTTTAGACAGGATGCAAGGGCAAGAAAACGGTGAAAGCCAACATACCTTGAGAAATAGTAAAAAAAAAGTGAAGATCGAACAATGGGATATTTCAATATAACCAGAAAATCAAAGACAAACGCGTATCGGCTCCATCAAAGTCTTATAGCTTGCGCGTGGAGCACTGCAATGACATAAGCCACGCAGCATCGCGAAGATCTATCTCTGTCGTGTCTAAAACAGGACCATTGGAGGATCTACAGGGGTAATTGTGGGATTGATCGGCGCTGATTGGATGATGGCTGGGGGGCGTCTTGTCGTTCTTGCGGGCGGGTGCGCTATAGCGGGGGTTACTCGCTTCGATGGATGCAACCTTTGAGGATATTACATCGTTCATACTACGTCGCCTGTCTTGTTTGATTAATGATTTAATTTGGGAGGGGGCTGTTTTCGCCTCCTGGTATATTGGGAAATGGCGTCTAGAACAAAGCGTTGACACGGCTACCCACTGACTTTGGAAGTAAAACATATGAAGTCATTGATAGTGGCGGATTGAGGAAGCTTGTGCGGCTTGAGCTTTGTTGATGGTATATGGCTGTCGCTGTGTTCATGGTTCGAAGGAGACAAGCATTCGAGACTCCAGTTGTATCTTCAGGAGGGCTAGTACTAACGCGGCTGGAGATGTCACCAACCTCTTGGTGTCATATTTGTACTCCATCAGGGGTCCACGGTGGTGCAGCTGCTGAGGTTGTTCTTGCAGGCTTGGCGGTGACACACAAGGCTTGCGTGGGCTCCCTAGAGGGGAAGGGATATACATACCCCTGGTGGGTCATGGTAGCTAAGGGGCTGGGGCCATGGCACTGATATTACTGAAGGCTTTCGTGAGATATCATCGATGAATTAGAGGATGGACATGTATTTGGAATCTACAGGACAAGAAAAGCAATCGGAAATTGATGTGTTAAACATGATACATCATCTGGGCATGAGATATAGACATAGACACCTGGGCACTCAGGCACTATGAGACACTCCATGAGTTGCCCTAGAGCTCCATGTAAGTACGGAGTAGTCAGGACTTCTTTTACTAAATTGCAGCCAAAGTTGTCATAAATCACGATAAGTCCTCACCAAGCAGATGGCTTGTCAAAAAACACACAATTCCATTGAATAAGCGGACAACCTAGCGTGCCTCCTCCATAAACTCTGCATCATTACGGTATGTATTGAGTACATCCATAATCGGTGACCTATACGAACTAGCTGTGTTGCTGGCGTTTTCAACTGGCTTGAAAACAGGATGGTAGGCATGCGAGTAGCGATTACCGGCATAGCTAGCACCGAATAGATCAAGTGGTAGACAGTCGATGAGACTCTGAGAAAAGTGACCCAGCCGTCTCTCATTTAGTGTAGGTGTTGGAGCTCGACGATGGATATATTTTCTAGCCCTTCCTCGGATGAGATCGTTGAAACGCTCGCGGTGAAGCGAGTTGGCGTGTTGCATTGACGAATGTCTGGATTGTGGTCATGCTTAGATAGAGGTCAATTAGGCTCGATTTTGTATAATGGGCTTGCTCAAAGATTCGGAGGATACTTTCTTTGAACGTGTTATCTATTTCAGAAGTGCTTGTGCTGGATATACTGGAAAGCCTTCCTAGAAGCACTGGTGCTTGAACATCATCTCTTATTGAATTATTTCTTTGCAGAGTACATAATTCCAAGAGCCCATTAGAATAGTGGGAGTAGGGCCTAGGTTATTTGTGTTGCAGAGACATCAGAGCCTATTGAACGACTGACCTATGTTGACTGTACTATGCAAAGTCCTGAATCATGCTCGATACATCAAGCACCAATATCCCATTTGTAACTGGCTTGAGTATGCAGTCTGCCAATGAAACCTACACAAAATCTGTCGACTGCTATGGTTCAATTTTGCCCTGGGATACCTTAGGTAAATCTTGAATCCAGATTGTCGTATCTAATTCCCTCTGTATTATATAGATCTAAACATCCAGGGTCCTTGCACTATCCTTTCTGCTATACGTTGTCCTCAGATATTGCCACTCATCAATATGTCCACATAGCTTCACATGCATTTATCTTGGTCTAAAGGCAGATGAGGTTTCCACTTTGGCTGATTTGCAATCATTCCACCAGGTCCGTTGACTTTGATCCACCATCCTTCGTTGAATTGTTATCAGCTGATTCCTTGGCTCGTGAAGCTCATTTTTCGCTTATTATAACAGCACTTTAAATTTTGGCATCTTGCTTCTGCTTCGAGTGGTGATATCCGTCGGTTGGTAGGTCTTTTTGTACTCAGCTGGACATGTATGGTCCCATTTCGGTAGTTGCTGCTTGATGCTGATGGGACCTGGTCAAAGGAGGCCCACGACTGGTTTGGAGAGGGAAATAATGAACGAAAACCTGGCAATCGTTTGCTTTTCAGTCATTACGGCTTTTCTCTGTTCTGTCGCGGAACTCTCCAACAACAGAACCAGGTGTGGTACTTGTATATCAATAGGCTGAGGTAGATATATGTAGATAGCATTTCCATATAAAATGAAAAATTTATAACGAAAGGTTGCTCGATGCACGGAAGCTCTGCTTGTTCATGATGAGTTGTCAATGATGAAGAGTTTTAAGATTGCCATAGGGCCACCTATATAGCTTTTCCCAAACAAAGAAACAAAGACCTGAAATCCGAATTGTTCAAAAGAGGAAAGGAGGAGTTTGACAAGCTGTCCAAGCAGGGAACTTCAGCGTAGTAATTGCTAGAGATTCAACCAGACAACCAACAATTTTAACTGTAGGAGATCACCCGGATGGAGCTTACTAAAGAGTCATTTCTCTTGGAGATAATTCATTATTCTTACCGACTCGATTGTCACAATTCACAAGGGAGAACACTTTTCATTCGGTTTTCCTACCAGAATCTACCGAGGCTATTCACACTTCCTGAATAGGCAACTCTAGCCATTGGCAGGATGTGTGGATATTACTAGTGGGGTCGTGCGTATTCGCCTAGGTTGTCCAGCGCTTGAAACGATTCTTATGCATTGGGTCACACAGGTCGGGGGAATGTATGGATTTGGTACTATAGGGTAGTCATATGCCTACTGAGGGATCTTAACAACCGTAAAAGCTCATTTTCCTTTATTTGACAAATTATTGGCGTACTTTCCAAGCATCTACTTGGGAGTGTGAGGTCAGGCCTCCAGACAATGGTCTCAAAGAACCAAGGTCAATGGTGAAGCAATATGATTTAGAATTTGTAAAAATAAAGGATATCTTGCCTCTAAGAACCGAGATGGCACATTCCTGAGTATGAATATGTGTGCATGTACTCCGTATAGGGTGTTCTGGTGAATTGATGTATGGAGTACTCCGTACGGATGTCCATTTCAAAAATTCATGCACGTGCCTGTATTTGCTTTTTATAAAAAACTAGCGCGTAATGGAGGTGTATCTGGTACCCCTCTCCAAAACCCCTTTTCTATGCCCCATTTCACTACGGAGTACTTACAACACATTCTTTTCCTACTCACCACCTACCACCATGGGTCATGATATTGCCAAGCGAGCAATTGTAGTGGCTTGCAAAGCTAATGGTATTAGCACTACTACGATTTCGGAGCAACTTGGCCTTCCAAAGCGTACAATCGACGGCATATATCAAAGAGCCCTGGAAAACGGCTTTGATCCACACTCCCATCCTTGGAATATCTCTGACGCTATACTAGCCGATGCTCCTCGCTCTGGGAGGCCGACAAAGCAATCAGTAGATATGCAAAACCTGGTGCTTTCAAAAGTGCGTCTTGATCAAGAGAAAACCTGCGCTGATATTGCCGGAGAATTGAGGCTCGAAGGGTTTGATGTCTCTTCGACTACAGTCTGGCGGGTCCTGAAAAATACTGGTTTACAGAAGACACGGCCTACCCGGAAGCCTGGTTCAACGCAAGCTACACAAAATCTAGCTTCTATTGGCACTAGCCAAGATGAACAGTTAGCAGACTTGTCAAAAGCATCTGATTCAGGTTCATCTTGAGTAGATGATGCCAGGCCGTTACAGGCTTTTGGGGGGATCGGCTGCTAGGAGCTTTCGATAAGCCCTTGGGCCAGGCAGCTCGATATCTTCGACATCGAGACTGGAAGATGATTGGAACATGTGATATGGATCAATCAGAGTTCTTTTATATTACCTCACCTGAGCGAAGGATAAAATTGGCCTTTGCACAATACAAGGATCAACAGATTTCTGCAGTTTGTAATTCGTTGAGCTGATAGATGACCAGTCAGATCTGGGCTGTGCATGTATGCGTTGTATGCGTATCAATCACCCTAGCGCGTGATCAAGAGGCCCTACTCTCTCCAGCCACATACCCCGCCGCTTCTTATGCACCAACTGCTTCAATCTTCCAACGTTGACTTTTTGACTTAGAGGACCGGTTGGCATCAGATGAAATATTATGGACCAACCAATACCAGGTGGCATCAGTTTCAACAATGAAGATCGCGGCCCGCAGAACGCCAATACTGGCAGTGGAGCTCAAAACAATAACAACTCCCATGGGACACAGTTCAACTACTGCTCAGGTAATGAGAGCGCATGCAGGTCAAAAGATCACGCCCGTCCTAACTAAATTTGTGTAGTGACGCTAGCTAGCGCAAGTCTGAGCCATGAGGCCCAACAAAAAAAAGGTCAGGATGCGGGTTCAAAGCTGCCTGATACGCAGAACCTCCTTGACTATTTGATCTATGGCGCTTACACAGTCAGACCAGAACAGAATCGATGATGGTTCGCACCGCCCGAATACCTATTAGGGAGGCTATAACTGATTTTGTTCGCAGACGTCCTTGAATCACTGGCCTTCCCTGAGATGCTAGATCGGCGAGACAACATCGAACAACGTCATAGAACGACATGCGAGTGGATCTTGGAGCTGGAAGAATATAAGTCCTGGAAGAGCAACTCTCACGGTCTGCTGTGGATTAAGGGCAAGCCTGGCGCAGGTAAATCGACACTGATGGCTTACCTGCATGACGAGGTATGGGAGTCACAGGACAGTGGCAATGGAAACGGCATCCAGCTTGACTTTTTCTTCACTGCTCGAGGAACGGACTTGCAGCGCAGACCATTAGGTATGCTCAGATCGCTGTTGAACCAAATTTTCCGCAGCGATGAAGCCGTGCGACCTCCCTTGCGCGAGTTCTACTTGGATCGAAGCAAGAAGGTTGGTAACGCGCATAACTGGAAATGGCCCCAGATCCGGCTCGAAAGATTATTAGTAGAAGCAATCTTGGGATCGGCCAGCCGTCAGCCCGTAACCGTTTTCGTTGATGCCCTGGATGAGGCTGGTGGCGAGGCTGCTCAGCAGCTAGCAGACTATTTCTACCGCCTCAATGATGCGGCAGGGTCCAAATCCGCCGTCAAGATTTGCATCTCATCCCGACATTATCCAATCGTCAATAGTCCCGGGGCCAGGGAGATAATTGTTGAGGAGCATAATCACGAGGACATTTCCACCTACATCAATGACAAAATCTCTGAGACCTCAATCATCTCCCACGCTCCTGATCAAGAAGCTTGGAGGAGTCTACGGAAGTTGTTGATCCAGCGCACAGAGGCAGTGTTTCAATGGGCCCATACCATCATTCCTCTTGTCCAGCGAAAACTTTCCGATGGACATTCTCCTAAGGATATCTGTCGCTGGTTACCCGACGTCCCAGCTGACTTGGGGAACATGTACAAATACATACTGGAGTGGGTTATAGATCCTTCAGAGCGGCCCCAGGTGTTCCTATTTTTTCAGTGGGTATCACTAGCTGAGCGGCCATTGAGCGTGACGGAGATACGTTATGCCTTGGCAATGAAGGATGCCAAGATGACACAACACCGAATACAATGGGAGAAGATTGAGGATTTTGTCGAATCCAACGAGAGTATGAAGTGTAGGATCAAGGCGCTTTCCGCCGGACTTGCCGAAGTAACGTCGGGCCAGGAAGGTGGCGAGACTATACAGGTCGTCCATCAATCAGTCGGTGACTTCTTACGCACAGAAGGGCTTGCCATCTTAAGTGGACTTGCCGCTGCTCATACGTCACCTCTGAACGGCGAAGATATCATCCTTCAGAGCCAAGCAACGCTCTATCACTCTTGTTTAGTGTACTTTGCTAGAGAGGGGTTACCAAACAGTGAGCGCAATCGTTCACATGGCGATGTGTCTGATTTGTTCACAGAGCGACCATTGCTTGACTATGCGACCTGTTATATTTTTGTCCATGCAGAAAAGGCTGGCAAGTGTCGTGCGAAAAAGATACATACTGAGGTACAACAACTGGAGCAGTTGATTGATCGATGGGTCCATCTCTACTTCATACTGAACCGACACGAGACAGAGTTCCCGCTACCAGGAACCACTCTCATTCATCTCGCTGCAACGGCTAACCTAGTTGATGTCATAGACTATCTGTCGTCAAAAAAAATATATTGGCACAAACGGATCAAGAGGGAAACACGGCCTTACATTTAGCAGCAAGGCGAGGTCATATCCAAGTAGCCCAAATACTCTTGAAAAGGGGAACAGACATTGAGATAAAGAACAAATTTCAGCGTACACCTCTGTTATGGGCAGCACGTCTTGGCCGGTTGGAATTCGTCAAGTGGCTTTTGCAAAGCGGGGCAAATGTGAATACGCGAACGAGTGCTGGATGTGCCCTGCAGGTAGCTTCAGAGGCAGGACACGAGGACATGGTGCAACTGCTACTAGAAGCTGGAGCAGACGTCAATATCCGGAGTGGCCCCAACCTCAACGCCCTAATAGACGCCGCATCTGTTGGAAACGCCGAGATAGTGCAAATCCTCCTCGCCGCTAACGCCGATGTCAATGCTCAGAGTAGTTATTATGGTAGCGCTCTGCAAGCTAGTTTGATAGCAGGTAGTTTGGAGACTACCAAAATACTACTTGCTGCCGGTGCCGACGTCAATGCTGAAGGGGGATTTCATGGCAATCCTCTGCAAGCTGCTTCAGATAGAGGGAGCACCGAGATGGTTGAAATACTACTTGCTGCTGGTGCCAACATCCATTTCCAGGGCGGGAGATATGGCAGTGCTTTACAAGCTGCTTCACGCTCGTGGAACGCCGAGAAAGCACAGATACTACTTGCTGCTGGTGCCGACGTCAATTCCCAGGGTGGAATTTATGGTAATGCTCTACAAGCTGCTTCGTCGGCGGGAAAACCAGAGACAGTCCGAATCCTACTTGCTGCCGGTGCCGAGGTCAATTCCCAGGGTGGAAAACATAGCAATGCTCTGCAGGCTGCTATACATATAGGGAGCACCGAAACAATACAAATGCTACTTGCTGCCGGTGCCGACGTCAATTACCAGGGCGGAGAATATGGCAATGCTTTACAGGCTGCTTCATGTATGAGGAGCGCCGAGAAAGTAAAAATACTACTTGCTGCCGGTGTCAACGTCAATTCCCAGGGCGGGATATATGGCAGTGCTTTACAGGGTGCTTCATATATGAGGAGCGCCGAGAAAGTAGAAATACTACTTGCTGCCGGTGCCGACGTCAATTCCCAGGGTGGAGAATATGGCAATGCTCTACAGGCTGCTTCATCGGCGGGGGAATCCAAGATAGTCCGAACTCTACTTACTGCCGGCGCCGACGTCAATTCCCAGGGTGGAAAATATGGCAATGCTCTGCAAGCTGCTTCATCGGTGGGGAAACCCGAGATAGTCCGAATGCTCCTCAATGCCGGCGCCAATGTCAATGCCAAAGGGGGCTACTATGGTAGCGCTCTAGAGGCCGCTTCATCATGCAGCAATGCTGAAATTGTACAAGTGCTCCTCGATGCTGGCGCCAATGTTATTACCAAGGAAGCCGCTCCATTTGGTCAAAGTTCCAAAGATAGGTCTACAGCGGCTTCGAAATGTTTGGTCTGTTGATTAGACTGCCGAGGAAGTAAAGTTGCTAGACTGAATGACTTACATTTGACGGAGTGCTACTGGATGCCAATACTGATGGCGATGTTTAGGGAAGTCGATCACTTTTGTGGTTGTCTAGTAATCCACGAGAAAGTAGATCAGAAAATTAAGTTTTTCTGTGGGGTTCTAAAGGAAAGAGTGGCTAGATGGAAAAGTACCATTTATCAAACCCATCTCACCATGTATCCTAATAGAGGCCCTCCGGCTTGATTAGTCCATAAATAGTGCATATCTCATTTAACAACACTTTCTTGCTGAATTAATAGTTCCAGTTTGAGAGGAAATTTCAATTATAGATATTCCTGCTGTCTTTGCTGTAGAAACCCGAGGACAATCTCCTCTAACATGGCATATAGGCACATAGAGTAAGGTCATTTAAGTACCGTTATTTTAGATTGATAGCCTTCACAGTGGTAGTCAAAAGGTCATATGATGCCATTGTTTCAAAGGATTTCAAATTTTCAAGCTCGCAGTTCCAAGGTGCAGGAACATCTTACTTGCCTCTAAGCCTAGGACTAAAGAACTCGGTGCTAATCACTCGCACTTAGCAGTAGACTTTCATGTACGCAGCCTTTCAGAAGCATGTTGATTCAATGACGATCAAACTTGGCCATCGTCAATTACGGCCCAATGCCCTCGTCCAGCCTCTGAAGAGTGACTTGGGAGGGGTTTTCAGACAGCTTGTTGTCGATGGCCTATATGTAGGAGGGCATTGGCTGGCCGTTCCCAGAGTTGAATCGTAAATGCGGTACCCTCAAGGCAGGTCATAAGTTCAAGAAGGCGATTTTATGTCAAATAGAAACAAGAGAGAGGCCTTGGGAGCGATGCAATCTCGTTGAGGATCTCGGGAATTGGTCGAGTCTATCTAGATGTGGAGAGCGCTAGCCCTAAATGGGCCCAGTGCCCGCTGGGCATTTTGACCCACTTTTACCTTCCAGTCACTTTCATGAAACCACTTTATGACTTAAGATCAATAGGTCTCTTTTGATTGCGGGGGTGATAAGTCATATTTGTAGGCTAATATAAGCTGCAAGCACTGCAGAGACAACCTTGGCTAGAGTATTTCAAGAATTAGGTAGGCACAAAAAATCTACATAGTCTTGCTGGCGGACCTCCCTGTTTGGGAAGGTACCCGCTCCGTTACTGATTGGGAAACTTTCTCCACTGGCGCTCCATTCATGAAAAGCCCGATGATATTCACGAGCAGTTCTTTCGTGGTCTATTTAGATGAATCTTATAAAATCAAGTTCATCTACTTCTCCGTTGTTTCCCTCGTTCATTTTTCGGGTTCTTGAGTTATCCAATTGATTAAGCAGCAACGTCATGGCTAATGAAGTGCAAGATAGTCCAAACACCACGATCTATGAAAGTCAAACTCTCCAAAATGAAAATAAGCCTTCTTTGTCGTCTGAGTCGTCCTGTCAAATCACACACGAAAAATGGAATTACCCACGATCCAACATAGCAAAGACACTAGCAACATTCTGGAGCTTCCTGATAATGGGAGCAAACGACTCCGCATACGGTGTAAGATCCAACAAGATCTATGTCCATGACAGATAAGATCATTTACTAACGTCACCCAGCCACTCCTCCCATACGTACATCAAACCCCAAGCCTCAAATTTTCGTCTCTCTCTAACACAATCCCAGCTCGAAACCTACTACAACCTCTCCTACACAATCGTATCTCTCGTTTTCCTCTCTCCGCTAGTCGGCTATGCCACCGCTGCCATAGTGAACGAGAGAGCACATTGTGCCATAGGTCGACGAGGCGTAGCCTTCGTCTCATCTTTGTGTCACCTGATAGCCTATATCTTGAACTGTGTGCATCCACCATACCCTGTTCTCGTGGTGTCATTCATATTCGCAGGTCTGGGAAATGGCCTGGCGGACTCAGCATGGAATGCCTGGATTGGAAACCTTGATAATGCAAATCAATTACTAGGGCTTCTTCATGGGGCTTATGGTGTAGGTGCTGTTATTAGTCCTCTCATTGCATCGCTACTTGTTGCGGACGCTGGTATGCCGTGGTATTATTTCTATTACATTATGGTATGTGTTTGTTTGTTTTCCTAGATAGTTGGATATGAGTCTGGGATCTGGGACTGATTTTCCTAGGTTGGAGGCGCTGTAATCGAGGTCATCGTCTGCGTTGCCTGTTTCTGGGACTCAACAGGAGCTTCATTCCAACTCGCCAAACAACAACAACCTGGCGATTCATCCGAGAAAGCAGGTTTATGGAGTGTTCTTTCCAAAATGCCCTCTGCGCGAATCACTTGGATCTGTGCAATCTTCCTTCTTGGATACGTTGGGGTCGAAGTCGCGCTAGGAGGGTGGGTCGTGACATTCATGAAAGAAGTGCGGCACGCCGCACCTTTTTCCAGCAGTATGACATCTACAGGATTTTGGCTCGGGATCACTTTTGGACGGGTTGTCCTTGGGTTCGTGACTCCATTGATTGGCGAGAAGCTCGCCATTTCGGTAAGCTGTCCTGGCATATTTGAGCATTCAAGTCATATCACAAGCTCACCCTTGATTAGATCTATATTTCTCTTGAGATAGCATTTTGCCTCGTTTTATACCTGGTTCCAAACTTCTACGCTGGCGCAGTCGCGGTATCGCTGCAGGGTTTCTTTCTAGGTCCCTTGTTCCCGGCAGTTGTGGTTGTCACCACGAAACTGTTGCCAAAGCACTTACATGTGAGCGCGATTGGATTTGCAGCAGCTTTTGGTGGTGGCGGAGCGGCTGTTCTTCCTTTTATTGTCGGTGTACTTGCGCAGGCTAAGGGGGTTGAGGTTTTGATGCCGTTTATCATAGCGCTTTCGGGGGCGATGCTGCTTCTTTGGAATTTTCTTCCCAGGATTCCTAGAGATAACAGTGCATCGGGTAATGATGACCATGAACATGCTAGGCATGATATGGCATGTTGAATGTTCAGGCGCAGGAGGATAGGCACTGAGGGAACGAAAGAATCAGATGTGATTGAGCGATGCTTGTGGATGATTGGGTAGAGCCCATCATAGGCTATAAATAAATAGACATCAGCAGGAAAAAGGAATGTAAAGCAATATGACCCCAGGATATTTACAGATAAAGCTCACAAGAATTGTCATCTGCTTATGCGAGCTTTTCATGCCCGTTTATAAGCCTTTGTTGATTCTCTTCTCGACCATCTGATTATATGCCGTTTCTTTATGTTATTTCTGTCATTGGTGTTATGGCTAGAGTGACCGCTATCGTGAAAGACAAGCCCACAGCCAGAGCTGTCTTGGGACTCCCTCTGGTAAGCAGAGTCCTTTCCATTGCATCAAACCGACATGAGCCCAATCCACTCAATCCCAGTCCCAATTGTTATTCTGCAGGTAAATTGGCATAGCGCGAGCCCGTGATCATGCGTTGTCGTCTCCTGCTTTACCTAGGACATTATGTGTGTTAAAAACATGGCGTTGGCTGTTTAGCCGAGTGGCTGTGATATGAGAAGGTAAGGAGGGATCTAGTCCGGTCTCATTCGAAAATTTGCTATTGTTCTTCACGAGGTGGAAAGTTGAGAGATCCGTCGCGGACCGAATATTTGCTTTATTGGTGTGGCTTCATACTGACTAACCCTCATCTAGTATAACTTCGTCAACAGATCAAACAGAATAGACGACTTCCTACGGCTCTGGAATCTGGTGATGAGTATTTGAGGGCGTGTGTCTTAATGCGCTGGTCGCAATGCGCTCTCCATCACTGCTTTATCGGGAAGCTTCCTGACGATGAATAATAGCGCCGCCGGGACAGCTGTAATCTCGTTCGTGTTCATCTCTTGGAAATTTTATATTCTGTTGTTGGTCGCGCTGCTTGTTGTTTTGGCCGTTGTTTGGAAGACTTATCCTGAAACGAGGGGGCGTCACTTGAAACATTTACGTATATTTTTTCGAACTGCGAGGATAAAGCGATGGTGCAGAAAAAAATACTGGAAAAACTGAACATCGAGAGCTGTGAAGCTGTGATATGAAATATAGAGTCATGACGATCTGGAAGTTGTAGAACCTCCTTGATATTCAAACTGGACATCATGAATGTTGGACGTGACACGCAGAAAAGTTAAGATACATGCGCAATGAGGCCGTAAAACACATCAATCGTAACATAAGAGGTGGTGATAACTACCTTTGTTGAAAGAGACTACTTTGGGTTATACTTGTCTTTCCAGATCCTATAGTATGCATTAGATTCAAACTCCAAATCTTCAGCCAGTTGAACATACCATGAATTCCCGAGAGTAGGACACCCATTCTTCTCGGCAAGTCTGTAATACTTGGCTGCTTTAAACTAAAGCGATACCGAGTTAGAAGCGATACAAAATATACACCTCAATAAAAACAACACGTACCTTGTCTTTCTTACCCCCGAATCCCTCGAGATAACACCAGCCCACTTCATTCATGGCATCAGTATCACCCAAGTTCGCAGCAGTCTCGTAATACTGTCTCGCAGCGGGAGGATCCTTTGCAATACCCCACCCATTGCGGAAGCAATTTGCCAATTCGAACATGGCCAAAACGAGCTCGCCTTTTGCAGATCCCCCTTGCTGACCCCAGCACGGAGGGCCTCTGCCTCAACCGCGGCCGAGTTGGATGCTGCGGCGGAGAGATAGGTCACAGCGCGTGGGGTATCCACAGGACATCCCCATCCGTGTCTGTGCATTCATTAGCACCTGGAAAATTGAGAAATAGCTAGGTGTGCTATTACCGTAATGCGAGCCCATAAAGAACTTGACTCAAAGGATTATTGGCGCCATTTGGATCGGCAAGTTGTCCAAACATCTGAGTTGATCGCTCGAGATCTATATTCATTGTTAATCAACGTAACCCCAGCTAGACAAAAAAGCAAAACTCACCACCAGCTTCATGCAGTCGAATTGCCTCTTGAATATTAATCTATAATCCGTTAGTCCCACCGTCCAATCATAACCACAACCACGATACAAATATGTACGCAGCAAAGACCTACGTCTTCGTTTGGATCTATCCCAACCCGACTCTGACTCGAACTCCTCGATCTAGGCTGCTCTAGCCCCAATCCCAGCCCTAGCGACGCCTCCCCCTCACCTTGCCGCGGTAGGGATGAACCGGATTGCGCAAACTGGGGATTCCGCTGCACAAGCACAGTAGCCCTCTTTTCCCACAAGGCCTCGCGCTCCTGGTTACTCGCGCTATGATCATCATCAATCTGCGGAAGGTCCGCGGGGAGGTTAGCGGAGGAGTCACGCGAGTTACTGCGACTGCGGGAGTCGAGGTGGAGGAGGTTTGAAAGACGGCGCTCGCGACGGGGAGGGGATTGCGAGGTGGCTGAGGCAGGTTTGGGGGAGCGGTGGAAGAGTTGGAAGCTCCGGCGCGGAGAGGAGGGCTCTTCTTGGGTAGGTGATGATAGGTAATGGGGTTCGTCATCTGGGTGGGATGGGAGGTTGATTATCTCCTGAGTGTTTGTGTCTGAGCGGATGAGCTTGAACTCGGGTGCTATGGGTGTTGCTTGTGCATTTTGAGGTGTTTGGGTGGTGCTGAGGTCATCGCGTTTGTGTAGGATATTGCGTAGTGAGGGCATATTGCGCATCTACTTATCCGGATGGCGGCGGGGAGTGGATATAGAACTTTTTGATAGTCGACTATGGTATTAAGATAAGAGAGGGGTGTCAGGAATAGGGAATGCTTGTAGGGCTGAGGGTTTTAAAAAGAACAATAAACAGTGGCTGTGTAGCGGCTGTTCACGGGCTGATGACCCGTGGACTGGGGTCCGGAGAGTCTTGGCCAGCGGCTAATAGCCCGTGTGCACACAAATGGAATATTAGATTGGAATGAAATTCATATCTGAGGGACATATACAATGACATGGAATCCCCCCCAGAGAAAACATTAGTATATAGATCGCTTATCGCATTCTCCACGGGCCTCGGGGTGGCTTGCTGCATTGGACCCTGCATATCATAACAGTGGGTGCATGGACTCAACCTTTACCTGAGAGAAGACAATAGTGTTTACTTATTACCGCATAGCTCTAGAGTAATACCAGTCACATACATTCAAAGGGGCACTCTTCAGTATCTCTTTGTATCTGATTCTGGTCAAAGTGTTCTACGATGGAACTGGCCCAAACAGATTCATATGTCAGACATCAGCTGGGCAACTCCAGGCCCAAATTCGCTTGATAACATGTCTTGAAACCATGTGTGTCCGAATATAGAGTAAGAATCAAAATGGTATTGCAAGGTCTAACTCGGCAGATGCAAATAGCCCTTATAGTTTTGTACACAATGCCGAATGCAGTGAGCTACCAAGCCCATTTACAGGGCCTTGGACGCCATGATGCCTGGTAATAGTTAGCACAATTCTATACAAGAGTCAGTCGGTAGAGAACTCACGCTCAACATCAGCAACGCTCTGCTGAAGGATCTGCTGGAGAACCTTGGGGCTCTCAAGCTCCTTCTGGATCTTGGCAATGACGGTCTCGGCAAGCTCACGCTGCTGGCGCTGCTTGACCTGGTTCTCGTAACGAACCCAAGAGTCGAGGACCTGCTTGGCCTCGGCAGCGAGGGCAGTGCGCTGCTGGAGCTCGTAGGCCTGGGACTCGAGCTGGGCGGTTTCCTGAAATGGACTGTCAACGAACCGACTAAAATATCAAGGTGTACGGCCGAGTATTCCTACCTTGGAAACAGCGAAGAGCTGCTTGGTAACCTCAACAACACCGGACATCTGAGAGACGTTGTTGATACGCTGCTGGACAGCGTTGGTGTGGTCGGCACGGGCAGCGTTCAGGATGTCCTTGTGCTTCTGGACCTGACCCTCAGCCCACTCGCGGTAGGCGGGGCCACCGTACTTGCCAACGGCGGTGAAGACAGACAGCAGACAGAAAGCGGCGACAGTCTCCTCGTTCATGACGTACAGCTCGTTGCTGATGGCGGCGATGGACAGACCGGCGGCGGCAGACAGGGTAGCGGTCTTGGTGACCAGGGAGTTGCCGGGGATGGCGTTCAGGATAGACTGCGCCTTCTTGGCGGGCTCCTCGGCGGGGACGTTGGAGGCCTGACGAGAGGAGGTCAGGTTCGCAGTGACGGCAGGGACACCACGGGCGGGAAGAGCCGGCCGAAGTCGGGATGCGCCTAGGGTGAGTTAGTAACTAAAGGCATCGAGTCGATCAGACGGTTGCGGATCGTAAAAAGCGTACCAATGGCGCTCTTAGCGAGACGTGAAGCCATTGTTGCAGATGAAAGATTCTTGGTCAATGGAGTGGGTGAACGGAATTGAGGAGACTTGAGGTTCGGGATGGCTAGGAGGTGAAGACGCTAGCCGTTTCGGGCGTTGGTTCCGTGCCTCGGAAAAACCAGCTTCCGAGATGGTCTAAACGATAAAAAAAAGTTGCAGATAACCCGGTCACAGTAAACTTCAAGACGTCTGCCCGAAATGCCTGCGCTCGTTACAGATTCAAGCTCTAAAAAGCGCAAGAGCGGCAAAAATGCCAGCGGCCCATCCTCCAAGCGCCGCGCTGTCGCCGATGACGATTTCGCCGAGAGACTGTCTACAATTCAAGAGCTAGAGAATCAAATTGCGGAGTCGCGAAAGGGCTACAACAATATTGCGACCCTGCTCTCCATGCTCAATGTCGACAAGTCGGCCGAGAAACCCGACATGGCTGTGGCCGTGTCTCTCTGCCGTGTGTTTAGCCGATTGATCGCGGGAGGAAATTTGACTGAGTCGAGCCGCGCCGCTGAGAACGAGAAAATCGTTGTAGCATGGTTGAAAGAGCGTTGCCTTGATTACCAAAATGCCCTTGTGGCTATCATGCGCGAGGCAGATGCTTCCTCTCAGGTATGTGTGGACTTGGTTAGCCGGGGGTTACTATCACTGACAGTCTCCAGATTGCTGCTCTGACGCTGAGCATGCGTATCGTCAAGGAACGTCTCGCCCATATCCCTAGTGCGGAGAATAATGTTTGGTCGACCGGTTTCTTCAAGGATATCTTTGCGGCCATCATCGAAGCCCACAACGGGCAGGATCTGCAGTCCGAAGCCGTTGCCAAGTTTGTGAAGGAGTTTGAGGATGTGAGATACTACACTTTCACTCAGATGGCGTACGTATATCTCTTTCTCGGTGTCGAGTCTTGTGGCTAACATATGCCAGTGATTATGCCTCTACGAAACGATCCCCTGAAGTGCTTGAAACCCTGATTAAGATTCTTGAGACCTGCGACGAGGTACCTGGACCGGAACACAAATTCGAAAAATTCTACGCGAAACGAGACACCAAGAATAAGCGCTTAGTCTCGGCAAACTCCCACAGAAAGCAAGCACAGGAGGCGTGGTTGGCCATTCTACGAAACAATCTCTCACAGTCGCAGCGGAAAAGCCTGTTGCGCATGATGGTGCACAACATCGAACCGTGGTTCAACCGACCAGAACTACTGATGGATTTCTTGACGGATTCATACAATGTCGGTGGCGCGACATCTCTCCTCGCGCTGTCTGGTCTCTTCTATCTGATTCAGGAAAAGAACTTGGACTATCCTCAATTCTACACCAAGCTGTACTCTCTACTGGATTCGGAGCTGCTGCACTCGAAGCATCGATCACGATTCTTCCGATTGTTGAACACCTTTTTGTCGTCAACCCATCTTCCGTCCACCTTGGTGGCCAGCTTCATCAAGCGTCTCGCTCGTCTTGCACTGAACGCCCCACCCTCCGCCATTGTGGTGATCGTTCCGTTCATGTACAACTTTTTCAAGAACCACCCCACAACCACATTCATGATGCACCGATCTATTCGGGATAAGGATCTCCTCGCAGAAGTGGAGAAAGAAGGCATGGACGATCCGTTCGATCCAAATGAGTCCGACCCCAATATGACCAACGCCATCGAGAGCAGTCTTTGGGAGATCGAGACTCTTCAGTCTCACTTCCACCCTAACGTTGCCGCTATTGCACGGATCATCTCCGAGCAGTTCACAAAGCAAGCATACAGTTTGGAAGATTTCCTTGATCATACGTATTCAGGCATGGTAACTGCAGACCTTGGGGTGGAAGAGAGAAATCTCAAGAAGATTCCTGTTGTTGAGTACCAGATTCCCAAGCGTATCTTCACAGATCGCTTGCTAGCGGAAGACGGTGGCGTGGATTCTGGTCCAGGGTGTTTCATGCGGGATTTGTGGGAGTTCTGAAGGTTCATATATCAGCGTATACCAATTCAATTTGTTCGACAATAAGATTTCTCAGGCGTTTCAGACATTGCGGGGTATAGCCAAAATTCCGTGCCTTGAAGAGACATGATCGTCTATCAACAGATCCCTTGCAGCAGCTCCAGTCCTGGAGGTCCCCGTGCCTTGGATATGGCCTCGCAGCAATGATCATACCACAATCCGACTGGCAGATCAAGGAAAGCCAAGCCAATTCAGGATCTTTGGCCTCACTCTTATTCACAGCCGCCATAGGTGAAGCTGGAGTGGCACTATGTCCAACATGTAGCCCCTACGTGCATTAAGCAATGTCAGAGATATATATTCCTTCGTCATGTAAATACTCGGCCATGTACATTCTTTGAACTTGATCCAAATCATTATTGACACTATTGCTAGTATTCTTCCTATCCATTGTTTTTGGATATGACACTATCAGTGTGCCAAGATCGTTAATTCATAAGGCTGTGAAGATATTCGGTAATCCTTGTGCTCCGGGGTTGGCGATCCAGCTACCTAACCTCCAGACTACACCATTGAACCATATGGCGCCCCTTGGTATGAGATCGATGGTACGGAGTACATAGAAGAAGGCCCTAAAAATGCTTGATGGGGTGCAAGAAATGATCATGATGTTCACCATAGCCTTTACATAGACTGATTGCCACCAAAACAAATCGGAAAGGGATGACATTCCAATATGTCCCAGCGATTAATGTTTCTAGGCCACTACACTTCGCATGTCATCAATGAGTACTCCGTATGAGCCCTGTGTTATGCCGGCTGAACACTTGTCGTGGGCCTCCAGCCCCCATCAGAACACAAAGCGATGCCATAGCCAGCCGGTCAGTATGGCCAAAGATACTGCATGACAGTATAACCTCGCACGCCTTTGCCATGAGAACCGAAACAGTTCTCTTAGAAAACTCTCGAGGTAGACCTCTGTCGGGAATTCTCAATACTTGCTAGCAGGCATTCCCAGCCAAGGTAGACGACTTTTCTCCATCCGGTAACATGTTGATGATTCACTACTGGGGTCATCGGAATGCAACATTCTCCCAGAACGCCCTTCGGTCTCAGCGTTCGAATACCAAGTGGCTTCCAAGCTCTCTTCTGCGAGGCTGGTAGAGATCTAGGCACTTCTTGCCGTCAGTTAAGAGCGCGATGCGCCACCAGTCCTCAAATCTGATGTTCAGTTCTCCATCACTAGATCCTCAAGTTAGCAGATTATACACGATTCGGTTGCTGTAACCTCACTTAGCTTGAGATCTCGCCGTCTATTAACTCTCTCCTATCACAATGTATTTCTCGAAGAGTGTTATTGCCGCCATGGCTTCGCTCGTGGCCCTTGGCCTCGCCGCCGACCCTCTGTCTTTCACTTCCTGGCCCAAGGAGCCCCTTCAGGCTGGCAAGCCTGTTACCCTCACATGGATTGGTGCTGATGCTGATAAGGTAACGCGACAATTTCTAGCCTCAAGTGATAAGAAACTGAACATTTTTAGCCTGTGACCATCCTCCTCCGCCAAGGGTCCTCGGGCGATCTGCAGGACGTGAAGCCGATCACTACTGACGGCAAGGGCGGCACCTTTACTTGGACACCTGACGACGATATCAAAAGCGGAAATACCTACGCCTTCCAGATCAGACAGAAAGACGAGACTAACTATACCGCTCTACTGAAGTCGGTCGCAAAGCCTGTCGCCGATGTTCACGAAGCCAAGGAACTCAAGGACACCACCTCCGAATCTGGCACTGCGGCTGCTTCTTCTGCTGCAACCAATGGTTCACCCACCGGCGCTACCGACACTGCTGCTGTTCACACCAAACCCATAGGTGATGCTACCCAGACGACGCAAGGAACCCATACCACAATGACCAGCACTGCCAGCAAAGCCCTCATCAGCTCTTCCACCCACTTATCTGCCAGTCCCTCAAGCTCTGCCGCTGCTAGCTCCACCGAGAAACTGATGGCTACTGGCACTGAGGTTGTCGAGGGCAAGGAACCATCCTCCACTGGAAGCATGCAAACTGGCGCTGCTTCTCTCCCAGAGTACTCCGTACAATTGGTAATTGGTATCGCCGGTCTCTTGGCCTATTTTATCTAGTTCCATCATCTTTTTTTTGGCATTTTCAGTCTGATTTTTGGACTCGGTGTTTTGGTTGGAGTTGCGCAAGATTGATCTAGCATCCTGTATATAGAATACCCCTGAAAATCATTGAGATACAGGTGACCTGAGGCGTTGGGAAAGTTGTCAATTAAACATAGCATCAATAACAAACATCAGACAAACAAAAACACAAAGAACAAAGGAAAAGCAAAGAAAAAGCAAAGAAAAAGCAAAAGAAAACAAGACCTGTCAGTCCGTATCTGCCGCTAGCGGCGTGGCGTTTCCGATGGACGCGGAGTTGAAACACAAAGAACGATGATCGACTGATCTTCAACTTTCACCTTTCTTACCGCTTGTTTTGGACTCTTCTGCAGCTTGGTGCTAAGTTGTCTAATCTGTGATCTTTGTCGCATGAGACAGGTGCCTTTATTGATCAGAGGTCTCCCTTGCGATGTCTAGATGAATAAGCGAAATCCTAAGACAACGACCTCACGTCTAACTCAATTGGCTTTTAATATTGGTATGAGCCTTTCCCTTCACAGTTCAAAGGTCCACTGGTTTTTTCCCTCCCATCTTGTTCTCCCAGCCGGCTCCTCATGACAGGCGCAGGCGGTCACCATGGGGGGCTTCAAACGGGTCATGAAGCGTCTCAGCCCTAGCAAAAATCCTATACCGATTGCTGCTGACCCCCCTATCCGTGCAGAAGCGCCACAAGTTAATCTTCCACATGTGGACACGCAATTGAACATGCACCAGAATAACGGATTTCTCGACGAATCAGCCGAAGGCCAGAATGGTTGGTGATTCCGATTCCACTCCCTCAATCCCCCCCCCAAGCTCACACCCCACATTCCAGGCACCTACAATCAACCATACTCGTCTCCTTCGAACCCTCTCAACCCTTCTGCGACCCCCGCCGACCCGAGTAATGGCGATGCTCCCACATCTGAATGGTCAGCAGTTGGCCATGCAGCAGCGACAGGGAAATCAGGACGCGTTATCCACAATCTCCAGGAGGAAATTGCTCGTTTAACGCGTGAATGCACACTCTACAAGTCCCGCGCGGAGGAGTACCAAAGAACCAACGAGGCCTACAAGATCCAGCAACAAAACATGAACGAGCGCCTACGGAACCTTGAACAAGTCAATGAGACCAACCTCAACTCAATTGCACGGAAAGACCGGAAGCTGGAGGAATTGAGACTAGACCTCCAGCACGAGCGCAGCAAGCGACAGGATGCGGAAAAGGATGCAAACCAGACCAACCAGATGATGCGCGAGGAACGCGAGAACCAAAACCGCGAACAAGCCCGGTTACTAGAGGTTGCCAAGTACCACGAGACACAATACGAGGTACTATCCAGCGCGACGAAACGGGAGAAGGCGGAGTTTGCAAAACGCATCAATGGCATCTGGGCCGAGTTCACGACTATTGCAAACGCCCAGAAAACTCATATACACTCCACCGAACGGTTAGAGGTTCTCGCAGATCAAAAGAACCGGGAATTTGACTCCCTCAAAGAATCTTATGAGAAGCTTCTTGCAAACCATTCCGCCTATAAGGAACTGAAAGATAATGAGTTCCGCGACACAATTGACTCAGCTAAATCCAATAACGATAATATTGCTGGCGTTCTTGCTCAGCTCAAGGAGACCGAAATCGAAATGAAGTGGGCGATCCGGCTCAATGCAAGTCGACAAGACAGTGATTAATTTGCGCTTTGTCTTTGTTTACCGTCAGCTCTTGTTTGAGTCAACCTCCAGCCTGGACCATACCAATTGTCTATTACCACCCCCTTTTTTTCTCGCTACTCTCTGCTCGAATCCCTCAAACCCTCCTGCCAAACGCCAGACCGCCCTCCAAATACATCATTCCCTCCCGATTCAGCCTTTTCACTTCATCCCATGTCTTGACAACCCACGCCCTACCATTCCTGTTCATTTCTCAAAGACCATTCTTGGCCGGTGCATGGCGTTTCGTTTCCATTTGCAGCAGATACCCGTCGTGGCAGAGTTCAATTTGGTTGTGTACCCTTCGGTTTTTGTCATTTCTGTTTCTATTCTTACTTTCACCTACATTTGCATTTTCATTCGGTACACTCTGGGCATCACCTTTTCTTGTTCCCCTGTTTTACTGTTCCCCCTTGTTAGATATGACGTTTGATGACTTGCATATTTTTACCCAGATATGATTACACCGTGATGAGCATGATAGTAAGGCTTGTTTCTTACTTGTGTTCGAAAGACCATTCAAGAGTGGCTACATATTTTTTTTCTGCCTAAATATCATAGGCCTGTTATTATGCTCCACTCAGAAATTTATACTCTTCACCTTTGCCTGATTTGTCCTCTATGTACTTTGTATCTTCTATCAATTGCTATGATTCAATCTCGTCTTGATGTGAGATAGCACCCCCGCGGGCTCATAGACCCGTCACTTGCCAATGACTTCCAAAGTTGATGGACGCGCGTATCCGATTGTTCCTTCCATTCGCAAAGGTCTGAACATCGTCCTCGACGCTACAGCAATATCACTTCACCTGTTCCCTACTCCTTCGTCTCTCTCCCTCTTCCCCTCCTCGCCGTTGCCCCCCATCGTTATCTTCACCTCATGCATGTATGCGCCGCTGACCACGGTGTGCTCCATCAAATCGATTTCCCTTCGCCTGCTACTTACTTAATCGGTTGTCTCTTCCAAGGTTTCTTGGGCCAATCAACCTCCCTCTAGCTAATTTGCTCTTTTCATTTCACATTTCAAACCAATTCACGTTTTGAAATCGATTGCAGGCCCAAGACATTCCGTCTCCGATTGAATCGGGTCTAATTGACGTGCGACTTCAATCGATTTGTGTCCGCTCCACTTCGATCCATTCAGGTCCGCATCGATTCACGCCTGTCCATAACTCTCAAAGCACCATTCAAGATGGCTAATAGCCGGACACTTTATTTGACTTCAATGTGGTCCTTAGAGGACCGAGGGGTAAGTCTATATAGCTTAGCCTCCTGCATAGATCGGGACTAATCGGACTCGATATAGATCCCAGAACTCCGAGACAAGCTCAAGTATGGAATATCACTAGGTATACTTGTGTTGATCAAAATTGACAACTTAATAGTGCATTGAATCCCGGTGCCTCGATGAAGGTTGAATATCTACGTGATAAACATGTAGGTGTTTGTATACTATCTACAATGGCGGCTCTGCTAACACCACCCAGATTTTGGTTGTCACTGGCCAGTTCGATGAAGAATATGATCTCGAAATCACCTCGCTGCTTGCAGAATATATCGAAGAGCATCGCAATGATGATCTACTCGATGTATGTCTAGATGCCTCCTAGCACCCAGATTATATTGTACTAATGTTCCCCAAGATGCCGAGAGTTCGTCAACTTCCAACCTCAGCCTACTTCGATCCCATTCCCCTTCCCGGTTCTGGAAGTGATGCACAGCCAGATGTGGAGACCCTAGTGGAGGATATTATGCCAACACAAACCACTCGCGATGGACGCATTGTCAAATTCTGGTATCCCTCGCAGGCGGGATTAGGCCCCATCTCTCGTGACTCGGGCCCTCTATTATCTCGCATTTCGCAAATGACGGAAACGCGAATTACAGTGCAGGGAACTCGAGGACTCCGTATTTCTGCACAAAGCATGGACAAAATCAATTATGCAGTTAATACACTCGACTCCGTTGAGGAATGCTTGGTATAGTCATGGATGTTCTTTTTCCAAGTTCTCTACGCTAATAGTTTCTAGGACCTCATTGAGAACCCAAACCGAGGACTGATCATCTTCACTCCAAAACGAGATAATGCTACCTTTCGCATCATGCCATATGAACAGATCAGTGTCACTGCCTTGTGGCGGATTTTAATTGACCGAAATGCTCCTCTTCGCCTCCCAAATATAATGACTCTGGTGGTCTGTGAATTCGACGAGCTTGCTAATGAATTCCGTCCACTTCGTAAGCTTCGACAGCCGCCGCAAGTGTCTCTGAAGGAAGCGAGCATAACACGAGACTGGGAAGGCCATCATGTTCCAGAAATCGGTCAGAGAAACGATCCACTCGGAAAAGTTGATCAGCATCTCGCGCCCAAAAGTGAAACCCCTCACGATAAGATCGATGCTCAGCACCCGTATCTCTCTACTGGGAAGGCCAAAGATGTCAGCAAATGGATTTCTCAAGATTTTACTAAAGGGGCTTTGGCAACCGAGGGTCATACGAAAATACCACAGGAAGATGACCCTTCCTCTCCTGACTTTCCTGCGTCCGGTCTTGCACCTGAGCCCGGCGTTTCCCTCTCATGGCGCCAGAGACAGTCTAGTCAATTCAAGCCCAAACCTCCAGGTGTCAAAGGACGCGTGATTATGTTGCCAGATGGAACTATAGCACTCCCAAGCCAGTCTCCACAAGAAAAGCCACTGGACGCACCTTATGGCCCAAACATCTCCGTGTTTAGCAGACTCAGCTACAGGGAGAGGGTCAGGCACCAACAGTTAGCCGGTTCGTCCGTCTCAGCCTCTCAAGAAAAGAGACCCGCTGGTACCCTCCGCGGCGCGACTGACTCCACTGCTCCAAGTGCAGCTTCCAAACAATCGGGCAAAATGCCCGAGGCAACCGGTCTTGCAGCTTCTTATCTCACGTCTACTCAGGAATCAGAGTCAAATGACACCCTTGGTCTCCCACTATTATCCACTCCTTCGGGTGCAATCCCCAAACAGCTGGGAGAGACGTCAGACCTCGCTGATCCTGATCTGAATATCTCTCCCACTAACCAACAAGAAAAGCCTTCTAGCACTCTGCATTCACAAACACGCTCTAGTTCTCCAATATTCAACAGGGTCCAGCCTCTCGGTATACCCGAGGTAGCGGAATCACAGGTGAATACAAAGCTGCAAGGTCGCAGTGTCGATGCAGTGATGGGAGAGATAAGGCTAATGCTTGAAAAGGCCAATATTACGAGGGAAACTGGCGGAGAGGAAGCACCCAGCAAGCCAAAGATAACAAATCAAAAACAGCCAAGGACCATATCTACTCAGCTGGATCTCAGCACGGAGAAAACAGACAGCCTCGGCCCCCTCATTGATCTTGATTGCGAAGTGAGAACCCTTAATAGTGGTATTCAGCACATTGCTGCATTTGGCCCGCTGGCCACAGCTCTATCGATTGTTCCTGGGCAGTCTACGGGCCCTGAGCATGACCATTTCCCTCATGGTGACGCTCCCACTTTTGCTGAGACTGGTGATATTTTTGATATGCCCAATATCGACGATACAACTAAGCAACCTGAGATAACTCGTGGTATCTCCCCTTGTCCTGAGAGAACCAGGGATTCGATTATTCCCCGTGAGGCGACATCAAACCCTGCTCCTAGAGAGCCTACTCAACCAGGGTACACTGCAGATATGTCATTGGCCGGTTCAGGGGCTGCTGGCTCTTCTCAAGAGAGTGATGCATCGGAAGACGAACAGATTCATGAGCATGCTTCTGAGCCTCGCAGCAAGGCCGATGAGGTAGCGATGGAATATCTGCTCCAGCAGATCAAGGACAATCCTAGCCCAGAGGTTCTCAGTATTGAGGAGATTGCGGTACCTCTTGATGCTACCCTTAGTGATCCTGCGCCTCGGGGGCTGTCTCCTGACTCGCGTGACTGCACTCTGCACTATGATGTTCAGCAACGTCATAGTCCTAGTCAAGGGAGTGAGAAGGTGCCATTTCTTCATCCAGACCTCATTGATATCTCACCTCAGATGCTTTCTCCTCGTTCAGGGGCGTCTAGTGGTGACTGTTTGCAGAAGTCCAGCTCCAAGAATGATGAGCACGATGCGGAACCAGTAGTTGATGAAAAGCTAGCTGTCTCGGACGAAGCTCAGACGAGAGGATTCCATGAGACAATGTTCCATCAGCGGCCTTCTGACAAGGCTTTCCAATGGGTGGATGAATTAACCAAAGCAGTGAAAAGGCCAAATATAGAAATTCACACTAATCCTTTGGAGCGAGGGGAAGACACTGAAATCAACAAAGAGAACAAAACAAAGGTCAAAGCTCCCATTGTTAAACTCTGGCAGCGAAGAACAGGATTCAAATCAATAGAAGCACAGCCAAGAAAAGAAACTGTTTTACCCATAAATGCGGCTGTGGAATTATCAAAAGAAAAAAAGCTCATTTATGAATCGACACAGAGTCTGTTTCGCTTCCTAGAACCAATTCTTGATGCAGTTCGCAGTTTTCCTGGAGCTTTAAGCTTTCAAATCCAGTTCGGTCTTATGTTCATGCCCAGTTTGCCAGCTTCAACGAAAGAGAGGGAGATGAGCTACAGGGAGGTCCACCAGCTGTTCTTCTCTGAGCATAACTTGACACCCCCTCCAGTCTCATTCTTCCAGCGCTTGACTTCATCTCCTGCGGATATTGACTACCTCATTGATTTGGAGGTCAACCAATCTCGCCTGTTTGATCAAAAGTACAGCCATCGAGGCGTGAAATACGAGTTCTGGTGCCGCGTTGGTCCGAACAGGACCATTATTATTTCTGTCAATGAACTTGGAGATGCTATGGTCCGCTACCCCGAATTCTCCCTAGGTAGCGTGCATTTGAGTTTCCCCTCCCAAGTGTGGGATGCAGCTGCTAGAGTACAAGGCTTTATTGAATACATTACGGGGGCTGACCCGGAGCTGGACGAAGCTGCACGGATGATGGCGAAAAGCATCCGGGTAGAGCCAAACAACCAAAATCTTCGTATGCTCGTCCGTGTTCCCACCGAGTCAAAGATCAGAATTGATCAGGTGTTTATGGAACGGTGGAGCCGTCACCCTTACTGCTCGGAAAGGAGCAAGGACTTGTTTCTCCAAATCAGCGAAACCCAAGAACTCTTTGGCACGCCCTCCGTCCTGGATCCGGAAATCAAGGTTTTTCAGAACGCTCCGCTTGAGCAAATGGTCAAGGATGGAAAACAGTGGTGGCAGGCCTCGATTGTTAGCAGCAAAGTGGACGAAATTTTAAAATCAAATTCCTTCCTTGAACCTGGTGAACACAACGAGTCCTGGTGTCCGACAGATCTCCTTGGTGCAGAAATCATGAATTTCAACCCCTCTACTGCTAACGAGGGGCTGAGCACCCTCGGAGCCGAAGTTGGTCACTCGGGAATCGCAGCAATGTTCCAACTTGCCAGAACCGTCGTGCAGAACATCGATGCTGTGGGGTACTGGAACAGAGGTCCTGCCAGTATTGATAAGCGTACGAATACGTCAAATGAGCGCAGCCGCTCTGGTACAGGTACGGTCAAGGAGTCGTCCAGTCACTTGGGAAAGGAGTTAGTTACCTGGGTTCGGCCATCCAAGCACAGGTGGTGATGAGATGGGCAGGATGAAGATGGATCTTGAGGGCTTGAAGTGGAGATTGAACAGATTTATTCTTTGTCGTTTGGCTCTTAGGATCCTCATGGGTCTGTGAACCCGGACAATATGACATTGAATTTAAGACTTAGGAGAGCAAAAGAAAACCGAGGTTTGCTATCTTGCGAAACGCACTGTGGCAAGCTACTGTATCTGCCAATATATCTTAGCGCCAAAGTAGATGTGCATGTCTATCTTCAACTCAATCCTTGTTGACTGTTCCAGTTCGTCTTATAGAGGATTAATTAGACTTTGATCGAAGATAGACTCCAGCACTATACAGATTGAAGTTTATATCACGGAACAGCCAGGGCTCTTATGTAAATGCATACATGGTCAATTCGCACAAGTTATGTAGTCGGCTACCTTTGAAGATGATAAAGATCAAGTAACCCTAAGTATGCAGCACACCTAGTGTTGTATATCAGAATCACACATAATATCAAGCTGCCTTCCAATTCAACACTCATTTTCGCGTAGGCCCTTCATCTTTGACACCCATTCTCTGCAATTTTCCATCTTAGTATTCGACTAGCTAGTCATAGTACTGATATACTCGCCAATTAGGCGGCAGACTTTTGGGTCTATCGCGCTGACCTGTGTATGACCCTTTTTGAATATGATATTATTTATAAATTCAATATTGTATGCCCTACTACACCCCCGTATGCCGAGACCTCAACTCAAATGGCCACGACGCGCTTGGCGAGTCTACTAGTACTATGCTCTCGGAGCATTATATCAAGCGAAAAAGGGAAGTTGTATTTTACAAACAAAATATCATCAATGCAACAGATTATCCCTGGGTCCCCCCCCTCCCGGGCTATCCCAATCTCACCACCATACCAAAACAGCCTCCTGCTGCCGATCTGGTCATCCTATCTACTGGAGATCTTACCATTCGGTCTTGCTGCTAGCAATACATGCACCAACTTAGTTTGATTCGCTTTTCGCGCTGCGTCGAGAGCTATTTGATGAAAAGCTTCAGCATCAGCAAGTGCTGTCGCTGATCGCATTGTCTGTGCCGCTTTCGAAACAGCAGGACGTGTGTAGGCGTCTGCTTTTGCTACTAGAAGTGCTTGCACCACCTCAATGTGACCCCACTTTGCTGCATTTTCCAGGGCTAGCCGACCAGCTTCGCTTTCAATTTCCGCTCCTGCTGCTAGAAGTGCCTTTACGACCTCAAGGTGCCCTCCTCCTGTTGCTCCTTGAAGGGCCGTGTGACCAAATTCAGATGGAGACGCATTGACATGTGCTCGTGCTTCTAGGAGTACCTTTACCACCTCAAGGTGCCCTCTTCCTGTTGCTCCTTGAAGGGCCGTGTAACCATATCCAGATGGAGACGCATTGACGTATGCTCGTGCTTCTAGAAGTACCTTTACCACCTCAAGGTGCCCTTCTGCTGCTGCTCCTTGAAGGGCCGTGTAACCAAATTCAGATGGAAGCGCATTGGCGTCTGCTCCTGCTGCTAGAAGTACCTTTACCACCTCAAGATACCCTTCTCTTGCTGCTCCTTGGAGGGCCGTGTGGCCACCCTCGGATGGAAGCGCATTGACATCTGCTCCAGTTGCTAGAAGTACCTTTACCACCTCAAGATACCCTTCTCTTGCTGCTCCTTGAAGGGCCGTGTGACCTAATTCAGATGGAAGCGCATTGACGTCTGCTCCTGCTGCCAAAAGTGTCTCCACCGTCTCAGGGTAGCCCCTTTCTGCTGCTGCCTGGAGGGCTGTTTTGTCATCCACTTGAGCATCAATTTCAGACCCTGCTTCGAGCAGCATTGCTAGAGAGCGACTGCATCTACACCGAACGGCATGTGATAATCCAATATTTAACAGTTTGCTGGTATTTGTGAGGCGGACGATCACCTCAGTGTATCGATAACAATTGTGAGCGTCGACTCTGCGGAAAATTTCACCCTTCACCGCGTCAGTCAAAACGTGAGGCTGATGTCTCGCATAGTACAGGAGTAATGCGTAATTTCCATGGGCCAACAACCATTGTATAGCCTCTGGTATATCATCTCTCCCGTTGGAGATCTGCGGCTCCAAATCCCACGGTCTGCATTCAAGGACATCATCGCCTTCTACGCACCGGCAAAGCAATCCCCACATATCACTGTTCATATCCGGAGTGAAATCAGTCAGATGGTTGAGCCAGTAAGCCCTGGCATAATTGAGAAAATGGAACTCTTCCCTCGCCTCGGGAAATCTCCTAGCTCCAAGTATTTCTTGTGCCATCTTCTCTATATCTCGAGTGCTGAAATGCTGTAGCTGGCGACTATGGGAGAGTATTCTTCGGGCCATTTGACTGGCAACTCTGTTGGAAGATTGGCCGGGCAAATTACTGGTACCGAGCTGAAGGGGGTTGATAGGAGTCCCAGAACCCTTCTTAATTTTCGTTAACTGACGCTTGAAGTTGGTGAAATCCAGATATGTCATAGAAAGGAACCCAAGTTGCTGTTCAACGCTCGCCGTGTCAAATTGTGCTGTGTGTGGACCGTTCGTGGTAAAAAGACGTTCTTTCACACTAGGATGAACATAATGTATAGTCTCTTCCTCTTCATCAACAAATATTAATCCACAGCAACCATTGATGATCCTATCCATATTGTTGGGGAGTTTTCCCCGGTCAAAGAATTTTTGCTTGAGGGAAAGACTCAGGACTTCTCGATACTCCATGACTGTCAATGGCCGCTTCAATACGCCACAGTATTGTAGTATTTTCATTGCTTGTCCGGCCGTTCTTCCCTCTTGAACACGGCGAAGCTTTTGATTATAGAACTCAGCCAAGCCTTGGGGAAGATGTTTCAGTGCTTTCAGGATGTCGTGATCACAATTCTGTGCACAAAGCTCTTCGACACAAAGTCTTGCCCAAAGGAACCTATGTTTTCGTTTCACTTGTTAGCAATGCACCTCTGAATGCGTAGTTACTGGGTCTGATCATGATCTGTTCTTGGCCAGGCAGCGTGGGAACTTACATTCCATCAGCTTTGTTCCTTATGATATTACGTATGTCTGTGATGATTTCCGCGTGCCCAAGTATCAAAAGTTCTTCGTCCAAGCACTTGTCCAGAGTCGTGTCAATATAGCAATCCATGTCCGACCTGACCTTCTCTTCATTCACCGAAATCCGATACTGCGGTTTGTTCAATTCGAAGTGTTTTTCAAGACCAGGCCGGCCGGCACAGAGGATTTTGAAACAAAAGTAGCTGCTACAGAGCTCAACAATAGCCTGTGCCAGAGCTTGAGCCTGGCTATCATCACAATCGTCCACTCCGTCCAAGACAACATAGAAATACTTGTTCGCCTTGCTGGCCTCCAGGCGAGACAACAAGAAATCAACGACGCTGGTCGTGTTAAGGTCTCGGGTGGTCTCTTCCATGGAGAGTAAAGTTTCATATTCGCTTTGCTCTATCCAAAAATCGAGCATTTGACGGGCAAGGCTTCCAAGAATATTCCGAGCAGATAAAGATGTCTCATTGTCGGCACGACAGAAATAGTAGCACACGATCTCATCGCTCTTGTGGGCCGCATCTAACAGTAACTGATCCACTACATTAGACATAAGCACTGTCTTGCCCGTGCCTATGGTACCTAAACACCAGAGTATTGCGGTTCGTGGAGCGTCTTTCCACTCTTCAAAGACTGACTCTTTCTGGAGCCACTCAGCTGTCGTTAAAAGCCGTTGCCTGCTGGTCTGCCGCAAAGAAAACTCATGGTTAATGGGAGAAAGATTTTTTCGGATGAGTGTCTTTAATTCCATCATTTCCCTCTTTCTCAATTTCATTCGCCACTTGGCGGCCTCGGCTTGTTGTTCCAGTGATGTTTTGTAGAAATCTCGGGCCAAAGGTCGGAATCTTGAATTCTCTCGACTGTCGTATTCTTGCAACTTTTTCGCTTCTTTGTCTGCTTGTTTTGATGCGAGCGATACTTCCAGTTTGATATCATGCGTAGCTTCATTGAGCAGATCGAGGAATGGCTTGAACTCGGATTCAAAGGGGGTTATCATCGACGAAATGGTTTGCTGGAAGGCAGTTCGGCGGGAGACCTCGATGATCTTAACACACAGATTGATGATGATGGCATAGAAATCACAAAGGGCACGTTGGAGACCAATGCAGTCAGGGTAGAGTCCTCCAAACTGTTGGTAAGTCGGAGCTGACTTTCCGATGCGCATTATCATGGTCGTGACTTTGTCAAAGTAAGAGGCCACATTGCTGGCTAGCAATATAGCAGTCTTAATACCACCCCAGACGAGGGCTGCGATTACCGGATTGGAGCTAACAAAAGTGTCCACAACACCGGTGAACTGTTGCATTGCCTCAAAAAAAGGACATAGCCGTGGACCAACGGGCGTTCTCCTACTGCTATTTCTTGCATCGATGTCTGCGACAAATACAGTGAAGCTCGTAATGTCTACTTTCGTGGTGCTTCCTCGAAATTCTCGTTTTTGCTCCTCTGTCAAGGTGTTCTGAAAATTCTCCAATGCTGTTTTAAGAGCTTGTGTGGGGTCTGTTCCCCGAGTTCTTCTTCGGGAGAGTTGCAAGGCCATCGGGGAGACTGCTTCTAATGCACAAGATGATTGGGGCCTCTAAAAGCTCCTGTATAAAAGCTTACAGGATGTGAATTTTTTGCAGATTCAGAGTCTCTACGAAGGATGGTAGGCAGGGTTGAGAGTAGGCTGAGCCTTCTCTACGGCAGTCTATTACTGCCAGTGCGCCAGTTCTAAGCCTCCCTCTCACCTGCATGTACATATAGACCAATTAGGGTTGGCCACGGTGAACACATCACGTGATAGCAGGTACACTTACCTTCTATATCGATGCTGGAGTTGTCCACCTTCTGGAGATACCATGAACAGGGAGTGCATGGACAATTGAAACATCCCTTTGATTGCTATTACATCACAGAACGATGAAACCTGGAAACCCCGATTTCTGCCAACAATAGTAAATGCTCAATGTATGATAGTAAATAAACCTCTAAACTTAATGCAAGTGTAATCTTCTTTAATCCAAGAACATTCAATCTTCCTCTTCTGGCGCATCATCTACACCACGCAGCCAAGCAGCTCTGGCATCAACCGCTGCTTTCCGCACATCGCGCTTGGGGTCATCAAGAACCGCCCGCAAGGATCTCAGAACCTGGCTCTTGACAGGCAAGAGAGGCGAGATGCCTGGCGGCGCGCGCGCGTTAGCTGCAGCACCGGGCACCTGATGCGTAGCGAGGAGATTGAGACATTTCAAAGCGTCCGCACGGAGACGGGGGCTATTAACCGCGCCAGGGCCGGTATTTGTAGCCGTTGTTTTGAGGAGTCTGGTGACAAGACTCTGGACGTGGCCGCACTGGTCGATGACGGCGACACCGTTATCACGGATAATGACGGCGAGGGTATCGAGCGTTGCTGTGCGGACAGCGACAGAGTCGGCGGTCTGGAGGTCGAGAGATTGCAGGAGGAGGGGGAGTAGGGTGGGGAGTTCTGGCATGACCAAGGCCGTGGGGATTGTGGAAAGAATACCCGCGAGGGCGGTTAGATAGGCTGGTTTGATGTGGTTGGGCGCTTTGGGGGTGGCGGCAGAGTCGTCTGTACCAGCTATGTTCACTTCGCGGATGCGAGATGAGATCAGGGGGATGACTGTTGTGAAGAGGCGCTGTCTGCAGAGGAGGCGGATTGTGGCGCCGTTAGTTGCAGAGAGGATGTCATCTTCGCCAAGGATTATGGAGAAGCATTGTGCTGCTGTTGCGCTGGTTTGTTGGTCTGGGGATGAGAGAAGGGCGAGGAGGGAGGTTATGATGTGAGTGGTTGTGGGGGCTATGCGAAGGATCAAGGCTTTGGATAGCCAGAATATGGTGCGAATGGTTGCAGAATTGAGACTTTGTGATTCTGTGTCCTGGCCTTGGAGGAGAGAATCAAAGAGTTTCTCGGCAATTGTCACATCCTGCTTCGATAGGAACTTGTTGACAAGCAAGGCCAAGTGACGCAGATAGGCTTGGTGTGTTGCTGGTTCGGCGCTCGAGACTGAGCGGTGGACCAGGTCCAACAACAAAGCCGACATGTCTGGATTTGTATGCGGAATGTTATCGCTGCAGTCCTTGGATATTCCCGCGAGTAGGTATGTCGAGATAATGATCGTACGTTCTTGATCCGCAGTTGTGGTCTGAGTGAACGGAATAGGCACAAAATCTTCAGCTGCAGAGAAGAGGCTGTAGACATTTTCGGCAACCTGTTCCTGCTTCTGAGTAGAAACAGACCGCACAAGGAGATTGCAAAGTCGACCCAAAGTGTCAAGCACAGTAGGATCATTGAGAATCCGGTTCTTTGCCTTACCAGAGGCTGCTGCTGAGACATCACGACAAAGCCCAACTACAACCTTGTCAAAGTACAGATCCACACTCTGATCTTGCTCCATGTTTCTCTGTTGCATGACATAAAGCAAAGTGATGAGGATGGCGCGTGGGTAGGCAACTGACCCGGGTTGCTCCTTTTGCAGCAGAATCGACAGTTTGCTAAACAGGCGACGGAAAAGTGTCTCGAAAATGTCTCTCTCGACACTGATCTGAGCAAGCGTCTCCAGTGTCGGCAAATACGGGGCAACCGAACCATCATCTTCCTCTGGCAGAGTTGCCACAAACGCAGGAAAAGTAATGTCCACAATCAGGCGGGGCTTGTGCTTGGAAATCTCAGCAAGAGCAGCGATTGCTTCTTTCTTTAGATCATCCCGACCCACGGATTCCTCCTTGAGAAGGATTTCATCAAGATATTGCACGAAAAGCCCAATCTCATTTTCTTGGAAGAAATTGCGCAAAGTCGAGAGGCGCAAGAAGCCCTTCAAGGCAGTCACTCGGAAGGAAACCTCTTCCTTGGCTGCACCCATCAATGCCTGGCCAAAGAGATCCGAGAATTGGTCCTTGAATTCGAGTAAGGGATTTTCAATAGCGGCCTCACCACCTCGGGTGGTCCACTGTCCGAACACTGCTGTAGCAGCTTCGAACAAGACATTCAAAGTTTCGAGAAGTGCCCTTTGTTTGATGATTCCGTCCGCTTCTTGGTAAAGTGTGAAGATGGGGGCTACAATGGTTTGTACAACAACAATGAAGGAAACAGGCGAAGCAGCAGCCACACAGCTGAGAATCGACTGAGCCGGCTTGGCCTTCTTGTTTTGAGGCTCCTGAAGCTGCTCATTGCACTCCTTAGTGATTGGCTGAAGGAACTTTGCAAGAGGCAATTCTTGTGACACTTCGGTAACTCCTTCAGATAGCCGTTGGGCGATTGCCTGCAGAGCCTCCAGGGAGCTTTCAGATAAAAACTCCTCTTGGGCATTGAGAATCTCAAACTTGAGGACTTCCCATATGGTAATGGAATACTTGGACACTGTGTCTGGGTCGTATGAATGGATACACGCGATCAGTGTATTAAGTGCATCTTTCTATAAATATATTAGATGGTTCCAAGATCACAAGGTGTTGGGCGGTCTTACCTTTACATTGGGAGAAGTAGAATCAAGCTTGTCCAATAAAGCGGGGATAGCATGGGGCGCAAATTGCCTTGTCGAAGAGATGCATTCTTGAAGACGACTCTTCAGGTCCTGTGCGGTGATTCCATAAGGGTCGTTGGGCGGGGGTCGAAATGTGATGGGGAAGTAGTTGTATACTGAGTCGAAAAGAGTCTACCTAGTGTTAGAGGAATCCACGAGCTTCGAGAAAATCTACATACTTCAACGTGGTTCGAGATGTCCCATTCCACCATAATCACTTTCAAGATCGAGAAAACAATCATCAAGTTTCTCGGGTCTTTCTCCCCCGTCATGATATCAACAACACCCAGGAGCGAGATATCTCCCATGTCACGCATAGCTCCGCGATGATTCGACATTAAATCATTTAGCAATTGATAGACGTGGAATCGCTGTGTTTGAGACCGAGATTGGAGATCTTGGAAGTTTGAAAAGAGACTATATCAATGAATCAGCGCTAGGTTCATTGATTTGAGCTTTACCCCAGCGAACACAGGGATGTCACATGTAACCGCAAAGTATGGCACGTACGCTTGCGCTACTTGAGTAGCCAAAAATTTGTTGAATCGATCCAGACCCTGGAGGGTACGCAGCCCATCAACGGCACCCCCATCCTCAATTCTATCACAGAAGAATGTAGTCAGGACTTGGATCTGTTGTCTCGAGAGGTATTTCGGTGAGAGGGCTTGGATGATGGCTGTAAGATAGGAAATCGCTTTTCCGCGTAGAATCGGATCTTCATCATTAATATATTCGCCGAGAGATTGGACGGTATCAATTAAAGTCGCTTTCCTGGTCTCAACATCTATAAGCATCACCGTTAGTAATGCAACGGTTTGAAGCAGTCTCGAGTGCGGGGCCAATTGGGCGCACCTTGCGCAATTCCCTCAGCAATGCGTTTGGCCTCTTCTTTGTCGTGGTCTACGACCAGCATAAAGCTCTGCAGCGCTGACATGATACCGATCAATCAATTAGGAGCGCCAGGCGTGTAGATTGCGGGGGCAAGATCAAGCTCGCATCGGCCAATTTCTTGTGGCTGAATGCCCTTATCGATAAGGATCAGGTGACTCTGTTATCTCTAAGTATCACGTGGCAAGGCCTGTTGCGTCATGGCTGTAGCGAGACCTGCTTCTCTGTCCGGCGTCATTGGCAACAAAATGGCTCCAATCCGCAGCATGGGATCGAACCGACTAACAACATCCATTCTATTTACAATTCTTCTTGCTAGTTCAGTATCTGCACTGTGGGGCCTATCATCTCCTTTCCCTTCACGTCAACAGCCACTAGCTCTCGAGCACAAAGAGCATCAATCAATAATGGATAAGATACTCCCTGGTATTGTCCAGCCACAGAAGACGGCTCCAGACGAGGATGTGAACTCAAAAGACAGTGATAGTCCTATCATCTCAGATGTTCTACCCAAGACCAAAGGCATCAATATCTTTGCGCGTTTGACCCGTGACTTCGAGCCAATCGCCAACCGCCTTAACGATGCATCCAAGAACATAACAGTTCTAGCACCGCGTAACAGTGCAATCCAGGCCCTTCCACGGAAGCCCTGGGAAAATCCAGAGGACTACAAGAAGTTTGGAGAGGTAAATGCATATGAGGGCCAAGATGGTCAAGACCGGGCAAAGCGAAATCTACAGCGATTCGTGGAAGCCCATCTCATCCCTGTCAGCCCCTGGAGAGTTGGGGAAGAGGTTGAGACGCTTGGAGGGGAGAAGTTGAAATGGACAAAAGAGGGTGATAAGATATTCGTAGGTTTTGTCCTCTGTGAGTCGTTGGTATGGTAACTGACTGTGCATAGATTCAACCTGGCAATATTGAAGTTGATTCAGTTGCGGAGAAGGTCCATAATGGGGAGGTCTGGATATTGAATGATGTTATTAATTACCGTCAAGACTGATTGGATATGAGTGATGAAATACGAGTCACAGAAATTGTGCAACATGCGTCATCCAAGCACACTCGAGCATATAATGTAGATCCACAAGATTGTGGCTTGTTCGAATGACATGGCACACTCTATTCTTTATGCTGTCCAGAGCCAGCGATGACCTCAAAACACGTATATACACCAACACAAGACATCACATGCAACGTCAAAGGAAGATTAGATCCCCGCAGGAGCAAAGTTTTCCAAGATTCTCTCTTCCACTCCATCGAGAATGCAGAAGTGCTCCATCACTTCCAAGTTCTCTGCTTCATTCAGATACAACTTGTCGGGGTCTTGACCGGGCTGGAGCGGGTTGACCATTGCAGCAGGGTTAGCCATACCCATCTGCTGGGCCATCTGGTTGGCAGCTATAAATTATTAGTCACAGTTCTTATGGGCAAGGATCAGATAATATGCATACAGTTATCACTGCCGAGGATGAATCCGAAAACGGACTGAAGTCCCATCAAGTTGAGGAAGTACCACGAAAGACTGGAGACCCATTGCACATCAAGGTCGCGAGTCATGACACCAGACTGCAGCATTGACTTGAACCGAATGGTAAGCGGGAAGGGCAATTTCACTGCGAAACTTGTAAGCTCGTTGCTCGTGTCCATTCGTATCAAAATGCGACATACAGATGACAAAGCCAGAGAAGAAGGCATTGATCCAGCTCATGATCAAGGTTTGCGGGATCATCATCATCATGTTTCCCTTAAGCATCCCCATCATAGCTTCCATACCGGCAGGATCAGTCATGGGGTTCGCGGGCGGTTGGCCACGATTGTTAGGGTCCTTCAGAAATGAGCCGTTGCGGAATCCAGTAACCATGTAGTTCTTGCGGATCTCGAAAGACTCGCGGTCGAGCACGGAGCAGGCATTATTGCGGAGGTTCACACCGCGGATAAGAGCAAGGCGCTCGCGAGACTCGGCAAGAGTAGATGGAGATTTGGGGGTCGAGTTCATCAGGACCGTGGCATAATGGCGAAGGATTCCGGTCAGGATCTATGCAAGAAGAGGAGTTAGTTTCACTGTCAGAGGCATCGCGAGTATTCAAGATTCAAGCGCCGGATGCAGACCATACCATAACAATTGAAATGGGAAAGAGAATCCAATAGCTATAAGCAAACTGTCAGTTTCACTTCCGCTCGATCGAATCATGCTCTCTCACAATAGTGCCGGATCCCTAAGGATGGTCTGCTCAGCCCCCTGGATTGCCATATTGAGGCAGAATAAGAATCAAAGAAGTGACTCCTTTGAACCAAACAATAAATCAGTGGTCGCTGCAGGTGGGGGATGGAAAGTTGAAGGGGCCGCGAAGGAGAGGTTGCCAGGCGGAGAGGGATGTCATTGGCCCGTGTTAGCTCCAGCTTTCTCCAAAGGGCCACGCCGCATCTTTGTCCTGCGATAAACAACAGTCCTGTCTTGACCACTGAATGCTGAAACACACCCGGTCTTTTGGATTTTAGAAAGCTCTCTGTTCACATATACTCTCAAATTTGTCATGGCTTCCAACAAGGTGCCGGTCTACTCGACCAATGGTCCGTAAGCCGAATCTACTCTATACAGCCACAACACTAACAATGTGAGCAACAGATCTCAAGTCTACGAGCGACGATGCTCTCCTTCCTTACCTTACCAACCTTCCTGCGCCATATGCTTTCACACCGGACTACTCGAAGTCAAACATTCGCTTCCTGCTTGGATATAGCGCTGTCGCAATCGCAGGGTTTACTTTCTATGCAGACCGCACACTTGGCTGGGAAGCAACTACCTCGCCTTGGATTATCACAGCAGTAGGGACATATTTTGTCTTGAACAGCATTCTGACATACTGGATTTGGGCCGTCGAGGCTGGCGAGGTATACTCCGGGAAGAGAAAGACAGGGGAAACGGTATGTTGATCGATCTTTGACTCTTTCGAGATGATATTTCTTGGAAGGCTACTAATGGATTTATCTATAGATATCTGTCTCATCATCAGCCAAAAAGTTCTCCAAGCTCTACAAGTTGCATGTCATCTATAAGTCTGCCTCAGGCAAAGTTCTCCAGGACAAGTGGTGTGAGGCGCCTTTCACAACTTGGTTCTCGGCAGACGGTGTATTCCACCCCGAACCTTTCCGTCGCTGGGTAGCCAGCGAGATTGATGTGTTGAGGTTGGCGGCGAAACAGATTGAAAAGAAGTCTGGCTAAAATGGAAGGCTACCTATCAATTACAAACAGAGGTTATGTCTTCGGGACTATTGCAAAGCACAAAGCTACATAGTCCATTCTCTGAAAGGGATAAAGAACAGTGCATTTTCATAAAATGTTCAAATGAGCAAGGAAGAGATCGGTTTTCTGTGTTTTGCTTTTCATTGAGCATAGTAAATCAGACACGTCCTAACAGTACATGTGCCTTTTTTTGGTATTAATCGGCCGTGGAATCAATCTAGTATGTGAGTAGAGCTGCTCATAAGGTGCGCGTCTGAGCTTGATTCGTTGATACATGGTGTCCTACCTAGGGCTATTGAGTTCACGTGAATCAACACTTCCTAGAAGGAGCCTGGGTCAACTGCACTTTCCAAGCTTGAAGAGGTTCGGAGTTGACTTGGACCTTCCAAGAGTCTCAAAGCTCAGCAAGTTCGAACTTAGGACAACTTTGCCTATGATATGCTTCCATCACACATCACCTTACCGCTCAACTGCTCTTGGACTAAATAATTCCACTCTCAGTCAAGTTTGAATCATCAAGATCCCTTCACGTCTACTTTTCACAATCTTCAAGACCTCCAATATGGGCTCTATGGTATTTATCCTCCGTCGACCTCGTGCTAAGCTCGCATCTCACGGAAAACATTGTATGAGTGAGTAGTTAGACTAAGAGCCAACTATCTCGCAGTTTTCCCAGAGATGATAGTAGCGCTTGTCTACATCTCTCATGAGGATGTCGAACCCCTGGTCAATGCCACCGAAACACTTGAAATCAAACAATGGTAATCGGACTTGACATGAATCATAACACCCACCGCTGCTGAAACCACCAAGTCGTCTATAGATGAGACCGGAAAAGAGCCAGCTGAACCTGTTGCTGAACAAATTGCACAAAGTCGATTCCTTAACATTCATAGCAGGTGGAACAGAATACTTACCGAGCGCGATCGGAACCATAATCTTTCATTATACGACTGTTTGTAAGCTTGTTACGCCTGTGCTTCCTCCAAGGCGTCTCTGGCAAATCATCACCAGAGACAACAGCACAATGTCGGCGGCTCAGACACTGGGACGGATGTTGGCTGGGATTGATCAGCTTGCTAGTTGGGAAAGTAGCTGACGGGACCTCTTTCTTTGGTGTCTGTATTTACTGAGACCATATTGGTGTTGGATTGTGTTGGCTCTTGTGTTTACCCCCTTCTTCATCTCATGGATTGCCTTTTTTGAATCCTTTGTTTTCCTAGTCGTTGTCTTGCCTCGGTAGACTTGTCCTTTCGGGCCATTGGAGGTCAGCTTGGCTCTTTCGTTGTGGTATCTTTTCACATGCTTTTCCCGGAGCGCTGGAAGCTTCGAGGTGCGGAAATATCTGATGTAGCTGTCTGAAACCGCCAGGATGGTACGTTGTTTTGTCTATACGGAGTGACTGTTCTCCATCCCAATTGTCTTTAGAACAATTTGTTACTCCTTATTAATATGGTTCTGCGAGTCCTGGGCTGGGAGATTTTCTATTAAAGTATTATTCAAGTTCGGAGTATGTAATTAACAACCTTTCATGGTAACGGGAGCCAGTCTTTGTTCATGGAAGAATAGACAAGTCAATTGAGACAAGCTCCATAAGTTCCAAACATAGGATGCGAATGGGAGATATCTAAGCGCAGAAAACAAAAGAAGAAACGTGAAAGTTTCAGAGTATAAATGGCTAATAACAAACAGAATATCTATAATTTTTTACGATATGACCAGCTCAGGGCATGGCCATCAAGATTGAAATGACAATGGGCGGTACGCAACCTACGATGAGGCCTCAAGGGTGCCAGGACGTTCTGTAGCCTCGGCAGGCTTGACATCATCCATTCGCTTGTTCTGGATGAGTCTCTGTAATTTGTCATGTTAGATGGTGTTGCAAAGGACCACTGAGCATGTGAATGAAGTAGAAAGATGAAACATACCAGCAGGTTCCGCAAGAGGACAACAATGGTGACCTTTCCAATAGAGGGAACGAAGAGCGAGGCCTTGTCTCGGACCTCGTAGGGGAAGTTCTAAATCAGAACAGTCAGCAACAAGCTCTTAATCAACTCAAAAGCTCTAATAAAACATACTTTCTCGCTAGAGAAATTGACACAAACAGCACCCTCACGCAGAAGGCTGGTGTCGAACTTGTACTTGTCACTGGGAACACCAGTGATAACCACATCACAAAGCGGCACGACATCCTTCAAGGTCTTGCCGTCAAGATCAACAACTTCGTGCGTATTCTTCCGCAATCCCTCACCACGAGTGAACTTCTGCACACCGGTAATATCAACGGAGTAAACACAAGCACCATCGTTAGCCAGCAGAGCAGCAAGCGGGCGACCCACGACCTCAGAGCGGTTCACAACGCAGATTGTGTGTCCAAAGAGGCGATTTCCGTAAGGCAAGATAGTGTTGTAGATGTTCAGGTACTCGAGGATCTTAATGTTGGCCAACGGGGTGCAGGGCAGGATGGACTTCTGGCGCTTAGCGTCGTCCAGGAAGCGAATGTTCTGGTACATGTTGAAGATGTAGCGGTGGCTTAGGCCTTCGACGTCCTTGTTGATATCGACAATCTGCTGCAGGTACTGGTCCTGGCGGGTGCCGAAGATAGGGTAATAGACGATGATGCCGTCCACGTTGTTGTCGGTGTTTGCGTTGAGGATGGCTTGTTCGATGTCATCGCGGGACACTTCACGCATGGTGTACTTGAAGCCACTGGGACCGAAATTGCGTTAGTAAATTGTTTCAATTGAGTTGTTTGGTGTGCTTTTAGACTTGTTTGGTTGTTTGGTTGTTTTTTTTTTCTGGCCGAGGGGTATGTATGAATCATACTTCTGACCCCCACCATTCAACCCACCAAAGAAGCGATTGGAGCCATTGAAGCCGGATAATATCAAGATGGCGTAGAACTCACTTCTCCTCGCAGGTCTTCTGTGTCATCTGCGCATACATCAGCGCGGCGGGGTCATTGTTGGCTAGCAGGCCGACCAAATGAGGCGGCTTCTCGAGAGTCTTGAGGCCTTCGTGGACTTCGCTGAGGAGGCGGTTGGCAACATTCTTGCTCAACATCACCTTGCAGGAGGAGGCAGGCTTATCGGTAGGGGCAGACATGACGAGAATAGGGCGAAAATCACAATATAATCAGTAACAGCGAAGAGTGAAGTTCCTCGCACGCGGGGGACTTGACCATCTCCGGGAAAACTTTGATCGCTTATCGATAACAGCGGATGCTGGTTTCGGCCGCAATTGCCGGGTGTCTTTTGTGTAGATGTCGAGGGTATAGAATATCAAGCCTGAGATTCTAGATGGACCTACAACTTATGACCATTGCCTTCAGATGGTTGGGGTGTATATCAATTTGAATGGTTTTCAGTTTGGGGCTAACTTTGAGATGTCTTCATCGGGTCGATGCGAAAACTTATAGTAGCAAAAAAAAAAGAAAAAAAGCCTACAGTCTACAATTACAGTATGAACGATTGAACAAATGAAAATAATTGCGGTCCAACATGGAGAGCCTCAGGAGATCAGACGGAATTAGAGCGGTCGTCCACCCATCTCGCGCCCTCGATGCGCGGATAAAATCTAAACGTACAGGATATAATCACATTTTGGCAGACCAAAGTCATTTGAGTTCTTTCTCGAACAGCACTACGGGAAATCCCTGGTCCGCCTCCCAGGATCATGCAGATAATTACATCGCTACATCCAGAGGCAGACTTAGGATCTCCTACCAAGCACCGGCACCAAGAAGAACAGAAAAACAATGGGCTCAAAATTGTACAGGCTATCTTGTCTATACACATAGAGTCAAGAAAACAAAGCCGACCACGAAGGATCATCCGACTTATTTCTTCACTTATGCGTTGAAGGTGGAGTTGAAGGTGGAGATGACCTTCTTGAGGGTAGCCTCAGTCTCCTTGGAGACCTGGCCCTCCTTCTCGATGGTGGCCTGGATCTCGGGGTGGGAGCTCTTGAGGTGAGCAAGGAGGTCGGACTCCCAGGTGAGGATCTTGTCAACGGGGATGGTGTCGATGAGACCGTTCACACCAGCGAAGATCAGAGGAACCATGTCGGCAACGGCCATGGGGGAGTACTGCTTCTGCTTGAGGAGCTCAGTCAGACGCTCACCACGGGCAAGGGTCTGCTTGGTGGAGGCATCAAGATCGGAACCGAACTGGGCGAAGGCAGCGACCTCACGGTACTGAGCCAAGAACAGCTTGAGGGAACCGGCGACCTGCTTCATGGCCTTGACCTGGGCGGCGGAACCGACACGGGACACGGACAGACCGACGTTAATGGCGGGACGGATACCCTTGTAGAACAGCTCGGACTCCAAGAAGATCTGACCATCAGTGATGGAAATGACGTTGGTGGGAATGTAAGCGGACACATCACCACCCTGGGTCTCAATGACGGGAAGGGCAGTCAAGGAACCAGCACCGTGGGTCTTGTTCATCTTGGCAGCACGCTCGAGGAGACGAGAGTGAAGGTAGAAGACATCACCGGGGTAAGCCTCACGTCCGGGGGGACGACGGAGAAGCAGAGACATCTGACGGTAAGCAACGGCCTGCTTGGACAGATCATCGTAGATGATCACGGCGTGGCGGGCGTTGTCACGGAACCACTCACCCATGGCGCAGCCAGTGAAGGGAGCAATGTACTGCAGGGGAGCGGCCTCAGAGGCGGTGGCAGCGACGATGACAGAGTACTTCATGGCATCCTGCTCCTCAAGGGTCTTGACGAGCTGGGCAACAGTGGAACGCTTCTGACCGACGGCGACGTAGATACAGTAGAGCTTCTCCTCCTCGGTGGCGTTCTTGCTGTTGTTCCAACGCTTCTGGTTGAGCATGGTGTCGAGAGCGACAGCGGTCTTACCAGTCTGACGATCACCAATGATCAACTCACGCTGACCACGGCCGATGGGGACCATGGAGTCGACACACTTCATACCAGTCTGCACGGGCTGGTTGACGGACTGACGGGGCAGAATACCGGGGGCCTTGAGCTGGGCACGGCGCTTCTCCTTGGTGTTAAGGGGACCCTTGCCATCAATGGGGTTACCGAGAGCATCGACGACACGGCCGAGCAGCTCGGGGCCGACGGGGACCTCGACCTAGATGTGGTATTAGAGACGTTGCGAAGGGGGTGATGGATTCAGGGTCCAATATCAAAATGAACCCAGGGGTTGGGTTGAGATGCTTACAATCTCGCCGGTACGCTTGACGGTCTCACCCTCCTTGACGAGACGGTCGGAACCGAAAAGCACGACACCGACCTGGCCAGCCTCGAGGTTCATGCACATACCCTTAACGCCAGAGGCGAACCTGAAGACAAGTTAGTTTTCCGGACTGGGTGATGCCAAGACTTTGGGGGTTCACATACTCGACCAGCTCCTCAGCCTGGACGTTGGTCATACCGTGGACACGGGCGATACCATCACTATTTAAAGCTCAATCAGTTTCTATGTCGATGTTGTGTCGAATGTTGATAAAGAATGGCGGATTCGATGGGATTGTAGCCGGGGACCGAATTTTTTTTTCGCGCCCCCAGCCGCCCTGGGAGAATTGACGTACCCGACCGACAGAACACGACCGGTCTCAGCGAGACCAGCCTCCTCAGAGACACCACGGATGCGCTGCTCAAGGATGGAAGAGACCTCGGTAGGGCTAGCCTTGGCCTCGGAAGCGTAGGAGCGAACGCTGTTGAGAGGACCGGCAGCAGCCGCGCGGACCTGTAATGGACGAAAAACCTGTTAATGACCGTCTCATAGTAGGACGATGTGTCCGAGCCATCGTTGAAGTATCGTAGTCGAGGTGTGATGAGGTATGAGCATCGATCAAGCTCAAGATTGAGATGAAGGATGTTGAACTGGCGATGGACGAAGGCGGCTAGGATGGGATGGACTCACCGAGGCGATGCGGCCAGTGGCCGAAACAGCCGCAACGGAGCGGCTGGACGACCGCAGAGCGTTTCTGAACATTGTGAAAGGGGGTTCAGAGGATGGGAGGATGAATTCTCTGAGGGAGAGATGTAATTGGGGAGAGAGAACGGGAGAGGAGAGAGGATTGTGGACGGGAGGGAGAGCTTTGTCGTCGGGGGGGGAGGATTGGATTCTCAGGACTTGCGCTAAACCCTTTCGGACGCTGGGCTCTCCGAGGTGGCCCTAGTGTGAGGCCACGGTGTATCTCGTCCGCTTTTCCTTACTATATTTTTACATTTGAATCATTATTCTCTTCTATATTTTAATTCTATAAATTCTCCAAATTTTTCAAAATATTCTACGAGGCCATAATGAGTTACTTTTCGATTTGCATTGCCGACCGGAAAAGTGTGCCACGGGCCACTCTCCTTCCGTTTTTTTCTCTTCTCGGATCGGCGGAATCCCAAGTCAGGTGAATCGCTTATGTCATGGTTTTCGTCACGGCAACCGAAGACGGGTCCCGTACACTATGTGTACTATAGTTGGGAGGCTTTGATCGTGTCCTTCTTCCCTATTTTCTATCTCCAAGTCTATACAGAAGAACATTGGACTTTTCATACAATACAGTCTTGGTCAAAACAGCAACGCTCACTCCATGGGAAAGGCATAAGTATAGACCAAGTTGGTCAACGACAATGCAATATAACACTTGAAAAAGGGATTGGAAAAAAAGAAACGACACAATTCGCTCTGTCAATAACATACATATGAACATGAAGCAACGCACCCATGAATTCACTAAAACGTTCACCATCACCCAATACAACCCGAGACCATACAGTCCCGGTCTTGGCGAGCAATATATCCCCTTACTGCATGCTGCATGCACCAGCATCTACTGCTCGGTCTTGCCCTTGCCCTTGCCATTATCGTTCTTTTGTTTCCGGAACTTCAGAATCTCCACCTCAACACCCTTCTCAAAACGCTCCTTGAGCTCCGGGCGATATCCGAAGAAGAACAGAACCTCCATCCAGACAAATAGCGGCGCAAGCAGGAAAGCCTGAACAAGATTATCCAGCAAGGCGGGAGCACGCTTCTCAAATACTCCGTGTCCGATAAACTGTGCCAGCCATGACACAACTTGGATACCTCCGGCCCAGTAGTTCACGGTGGTGCCGTATGCGCTGAGGAAGTAGTTTCCGTAGTATGCAGCTGCGATCAAGGGGGCCGCGAGTAGGCCGCCGGCCATGGGCTCTAGGAGGATGTAGAAGGTGGCGTAGATAATGGCGCCGATTGTGCCGGCGTTTACCGGCAGGTAATCAATGTGGAGGGCGTCCGGGAGGGTGACGAGGGGCGGGCAGTTGCAAGCCTTGAGAGTCACGGTTAGTACTTTTGTACACTAAAGATAACTTCTTTTGTTCAGAAATGCCGAGGTGCGCGTACGAGGACGATGCCGGTAAACAGTATGGCTGGAACGCAGGTGATATGAATTGCAACATTGATCTGTGCTGTCAGTAAACGTTGTTCGTCATTGGCAATGGGAGTAGGGCCGCTGTACGGGATTGTGATGGTAGGCTCCGTACTAGGTCACAGTCAGCTATAGTCGTTCTGGGAGTTGGACGTGACCACTTACGAAGAGCAACTGTTTCTCAAGATTAAGCGCCATGTTGCCGGGTTGGGAGCAAAAGATGGAGAATTCTGGGGGAAGAAAGTTTTGCGGGGCGATGGGATCAGACAAGCATCATCTTTATCGGAAAGCGTTGAGTGGTGCAATTGATATTGAAGGTCCTGGCGTCATGTGGCTCAGGCCGAGGGAGACGTTGGGTCTTGGCGTAATACTATACATGAGCTCCCAGGCATGACAATCCCCGATGCACAGGCCTATCAGACCATTCACATTATAGTTTCACTAGGATATCCTGCATTGCACTTTAGGGGTTTATGTAGCTCTGATTGGACTTCTCCTCCGTGTCGCATTAGAAATGGTCAACTGTATAATACTGTAATGTCTAGTACGGAATGTTTCGGTGCGGCTTTACATAGACTGCTATACATATTTTCCTACAAGTGCGGGTGTTTTTCTATTGACAGCTTTTTGCTTGTATGATATAGAACTAGATGGGGTATCCAGATTGTCAATTAAAAAGGTGGTTGCAAAATGATGATTTAAATTCAAGGTACCAGGGGGCGGATATATATATACCTTCACACTCTACATCCAAACGAATTTTGAAACACAAGAACCAGTCAACTACGACCAGTCAAGGCTATATATAGACAACGACAGGATGCAAGTTGAATTGGAGTCGCGAAAGCAGGAAAAATTTGTTGTCTACTTCTGTACATGTTGTCAAACATGTATGGTCTGCTATAGATCATCGAATCATTCTTCATATAAGAAGCAGTCCTCCACTCGATCATGGCCAAGTCATTCTGAAGCACCCTATTGACTACCTGCTTTAGTAAGTAATATACTGAATGAAGAAGGGAGATTCAATGATTCTAGACGTGCAAAGATCAAGTCACCAAGTCCACTTCCCACCATTCAAGAATCGTACCACGTGACTCCACCACCCAAACTTGGCCCACCAGACCGGAGATGCTCTTACGAAGGGAAAGCTTGCGCCTGCAGCAACTGTATCTGCCTCCTCGTTCAAGATCCAAGGCAGATACAATTTCTGCCACTCCCACTGGTACTCGGATATCATCTCGCTCATTTCTGGCAGCCACATTTTGTTTGTGCTTTATCCGTTGCAGGTCATGAGCTCGTGGTCGAAAACGCCGTCCCTCGACCTCGATTGACAGCATCACTGTCCCGAACGCGACTTGAATAGTTCTACTCCGCACGGCATTAGCGCATTTTCATCCAACCATAACCGCGAATATGTTCTTCCTAAAAGAAGAGACCAAGGTGATCTCCATGCACCCGTCCTATTTCGGACCTAACATGCGAGAGTACCTCATCGGTCGACTCAACGAGGAGGAAGAGGGACGGTGCACAGGTGATCACTTTGTGATCTGTGTCATGGACATGGTTGATATTGGCGAGGGACGGGTGATGCCTGGAATTGGAATGGCGGAATACACCATTAGATATCGTGCGATCATCTGGAAGCCATTCCGTGGTGAGACGGTATGCACTTGGGATCCGAGGCTGTCCATCTCCTTTGAATTCTTGCTGACTGAGCTTAGGTCGATGCCATTGTTACTTCTGTTAAGCCTACGGGCATCTTCACCCTGGCGGGCCCATTGTCTGTCTTTATTGCGCGAAAGGTATGTTTTTCGTTTCCTCTGACCATGGACCTTCTGAGTTTCACTACTGACAGGCCATCAGAACATCCCCTCCGATATCAAATGGGAGCCCAACACTGTGCCGCCGCAATACACTGATCATGCCGATCAAGTGATCGAGAAAGGAACCAGTTTGCGGTTGAAGATTCTTGGTGTCAAGCCCGACGTGGCTGCCATCAATGCTATTGGCACCATCAAGGAGGATTATCTTGGGTAAGTTGCTTTGGACTCGGACCACCGCATATGATATCTCTAACGCGCTTATTCCTTAACAGACCCTTGTAATGAGACACGATTGCAACACATACCCACCTTTTTCACCCATACGATAATCTACCATGCTATCTATCGTTCCTCGAAGATACGGCAAATGCTTGGAAGGGCTTTACTGCCCCACAGAGAAATAAAAAACAACCGGCGGGTCAGGAGCTGGAGTTTGACAAATCCCTGCTCGATACACATGGCATACTTTTGATTTGAATGGCCATCAATGAAGCACTGGTCTTGTCTCTTACCCGTGAACGTCTGATTTGAGCGGCATTGCAGACAGCTGAAACAGCTTCCGACTCGCCTAAAGATCCTGTCAATCGCTGAGGGCCTTCTCGGTTCAGTACTCTGAAATCTCCAATGTACATTATGTTACATCCATGGATGTCCAACCCTGTGCAATCCATCCCCCCTGTAGAGGCTGAGGCCAAAGTGTATCCAGTTGCCGGAGGGACGCGGACCCCAAGCCAAGCCCCCAAGCCTAGGCCCGTTAGGGTGAAACACTGGCGTGTTTTCAAGTGTTTTTTGAGAGAATTTTAGGGATTTTGGCGCGTTTTCTATTTGCATTTACAATTATTTTCTTATTGAATGTTTGCATATATGCAAGGTACCGAGCACTAACTGGCTCTAGCGTGCCCCTGTATATTATTTTGTCGGAGTACAACATACATACTTGGCCTCGTATACGGCTTCCTCTCATTCTCTCTCTTAGAAATAGTTTTCTTGTAACTTCGCATCTAGCCTCCTTCTAGATAATCCCAGAGCTATCCTATCTGGACTATCTCCCTCTCAATCCCCCGTCCCTATACGGTTGACAATGTCCTACTTCAAGACCGAATACCAGCGGTTCCTGGATAACCCCAGGACTGCTAAATTGGCCGACGATGTCTCCTTGATCTACGTTCCTACCACGACGAAGTTCGAGCAGGCCGACAATGTGATCACTCATGTGTTGAAGAACGCGAACATTGTCAAGACAAAGTCAAACCAGGTCATCAGCGCTATCGAGGGATCAGACTCGCTATGTCTAGACATGGAAACAACCCTCGAATTCACTGAGGGTGGTGGGGTTTATCTCCCCTCGCTCGATGATAATTTCCTGGCCGACCGTGTTGCGACTTTCCCCACGGTAAATTCCCCGACGCGCGTCGCGTTATCGAAAGCTAATGCATAGTCCTGCAGGTTCACATCGTCCACTTCGATGCCAATCAATTGATCAAGCAGATCAGAATCTACTGGGACCAGGCCTCATTGTTGAAGCAGGTCGAGGTTATCGGAGCGCGCGGACGTCAATGGCCCATTCGTGATGGAAAAGATCAAGTTCGTCTCCTCAAGAACGCCGAGACAGCGCGTGTGGCTCCCTCGCAGCCTTCTTCTCAGAATGTGGAGACCAAGCTCCCCGATCGCTCCTCATCTCCGGGCAAGCGCCGCTTCAAAGATCCCTACTCAGCCAACTCCCTGACTGAGCTCCTCTCGCCGAACAAGGAGGTCACCGAAGACGAAAGCCGCGCGATTACACCCAAAAACGCTGCCGCCAAGAGATATACCCAAGACCCCTACGGAGCCGGTTCCTTGACTGAGCTCCTCTCCCCCTCAAAAAGGCTCCCGCCCCTGTGGCTCCCTTTGCGCCTTCGGCTTCGCGACCTCCCGTGCGCAACTTCAGCGACATCTTCGTGAAGAATGACGGTCCGCCCGACTTGTCCAAGAACGGGCCCGTTGACGAAGATCGTCATTTCTACAAATCCGCCCCTGGAAAATACAACCACTTCGAGATCGGTGGTGACAACACGGAGCGCGAGACCAAAGCGGAAGTCAAACAAGCCAAGACCCCACAGTTAACCCACTGGGAATTCGACGACTTTGAGACCCCCGTGAAGAACTCACGCACCGCCCGAGGAGAAGAAGTGCGCCACTTCGGCTTCGGCGATAACGAAGAAGGCAATGGATCCCCCAATCCAAGCTAAACGTGATCAAGCCCCGTCGTGACGCAGATCGTCACTTCGAGATGACCGACGAAGAAACCGAAGACGACGGACGGATCATCAGCTCATTCGGCGGCCGTGGCAAACGCCTCTATGAGAACCGCCTCTTTGATGACGATGGCGAAGCCGAGCTCTCTGAGCGCAGGCAGAAGAACGAGCCTCTGGCCGCAGGCGCCAACACCGCCAACCGCAACAAGACCTTCGCTTCGCAATTTGAGCTGGGGGATGAATCGCCCGACGCCAAGGAGAACAAGCCTACCCAAAAGCACGATGCACACAATAAGATGATGGAATCCCACTGGGATAACTACGACGAGCCGTCCCCCCAGGTCCCTACCCAAAAGCACGATGCACACAATAAGATGATGGAATCCCACTGGGATAACTACGACGAGCCGTCCCCCCAGGTCCCTACCCAAAAGCACGATGCACACAATAAGATGATGAAGTCTCACTGGGATAACTATGAGGACCCTTCCCCGGAGCCTATTAGGAGAAATGCCACCGCGCAGCGCAATCCTCTCGGCCACAATCAGCCCAGCTGGAACCATGGAGACGACAACTAAGTGAGCTAGTGCCGGTCTGTGGCTTAGCTTGATACGCATGATACCACGTATGTATCCCTTGTCAGTGGCGAAGTCGTCTCAGCTCCGTCTTCTTGTTGACAAGTACGGCCGAATCTTTCCGATCATGAGCGATATGTATCGATACCCGCATGAATTTTGGACATTTGTCCTTGAAATTGCAAACTAACTAAAAAAAGAGGCTGAAGGCTTTCCCATTCGCGCTGGGAACTTTGCAGTTGCAGTCGAGTGTGGAATGCCTGGTCTGTGTGTACTACTTTCAACCCTTGCCTTCTTGTCTATTTTTCTTTGCTTTTTTACCATTACCTTGCTTGAAGTTACCAGTGTACAAGTTTATTTCCACAGCGAGTTTCTTTTATCTGTTAATTCCATGGCGTTATATTTCAATTCTGATCCGTAAACCTTTAGGTAGCGTAGAAGAACATCATACATGTCTACTAAGTGATCATAAAGATGTTATCGTTGAAATATTCAATTCAGTCTCATAGCTAAGTTGTCCAAAATAGTGAAAAGATGCTAATCTCGTTCAGTCTCGGATGTCCATCGAAGCTTACCGAATATCCCAAACGATATTTTCCAAAGACGCAGGATGAGCGAGTGAATGTAAGTAGGTTTTCCAGGTCCAAAATATGTTATCTTTCCTCCACATATCCATTCAAGTCAAGTCATGTAGATTCCAGTAGAAACGCAACATAGATATCCGTTAAATGGCAAAGATAAATCAACCAAATCGTCCTAGATGTAGAACATAGTCTCGGCAATATTAGGATGAATCCTGACATCCACCGTGCGGGACATATCCGCTGTTCCCTCGGTGCCACTGGTACTACCACCAGAGCCATCAAGGGGCATAGGATCGAACAGATCACTCAAGAAGCAGCGAGCACGGGTGCACACCAAATCGGCATAGTACGCTGGCGGACAGACACTAACCGCCTTCGTGGCACGACCGAACATGTAGCACATCTTGTGAGTGAGATCTTGGAGGACATCAGCCGCGCCGGGGCCGGTGCTGTTAGCCGGGTGACGGGGATAAAAGATCTCGTCCCAGACGGTGAAGTAGTGAGCAGGACGGGCAGTGCCCTGGAGGGCGGAGTGAGCCTGCAAGAAGAAGTCCCAGTCACGGGCCTCGGAGACGCCGCGGTCGACGACTGTTCCGGGGATGGGATTCTCGCGGTTCGAGTCCTGCTCTGTTGTTGGGTAGAAGCGGGTATTGTGACGTTTTCCTACCACGATGATGGCCAGACGCGGGAGGCCTTTCTTTGTCTGGTCTGCTGGGTAGGTCTTCTTGCAAGCTTCTTGGAGGAGGGGGAGTTCCTCGTCGATGACTTTGTTATATTGGCCCTCTGAGACGCCGTCGCGGTAGACGATGATGTTCTCAGGGAGGGACTTGTTTAGCTTGCGCCAGTGTTGGAGACGCGAGGCGAGGAGGGTTTCTAGGTCGGCGACCATTTCTTGGCGGGCTCCCTGGACGCGGATCTCGGCGGGCCATTGGGCGAGGGTTGCGTCGACGGAGGCGACGATGCCTGCCACGCTGGGCGCTGTCCTGGCGGATCCTGGTGACGGGTGGGTCACGTCGATGCCGACTAGCATTGTTTTTCCTTCGGAAATGATTCCCAGGTCGGCAGTGCGAAGGGCCTGGTTGGCACCGCCTAATTTGAGGTTGATTTTCAGGCCCACATTGGCATTGTACTGGTCGTTGGAGTTCACGAGCTTCTCTGCGAGAACGTTCACGTTGCGGATTCCGAAACGGACGTCGCAGACTTGCTTGACGCAGTTGTATATACCAGTGTCTTTACTGTGTAATATACCCAGTATGAAGATTGGGTTGTGTTGCTTTTTCAGATCATCGACAGCTTGCTCAATATCAAGAGCGTCGTTCTTGCCGGTCAGAACGACACGTTTGCCTTGCTTGTGGGGGTCCACGAGCATACCCATATCTTTGAGTGTCTTTCTGAAGGCTTGGAGAGACGCATTGAGCTGATCTGGGCTTTGGAAAACTGGCCGAGCGCCCTCCTGGTCAATGTAGAGGAAAGTCCAGGATTTCATGGCTGCAGGCTTAGAGAACTGAATTTGGCGCATGTTCCAGTTACCAAACTGAGTCCTGATTTCCTTGGTCCTATTCCCGTCTTTGTAGTAGACATTTGGGGCGGGGAGAACGCGCCCAGGAACCGTGATCAGCTCAGTGGAAGAGTTAACACCGAAAGCAGACTGTAAAAGGTTAGACATCTTGATAAGATCTTCAAAGCGAGGGAATCCTTACTAGTGTGGCATTCAACGGCTCGCCGAGTCCCAGTACACCCACACCCTTGGTGACAATTGACTGGGCGTTCTGGCCCGGCTTCCGGCCCATAACAGCGAAGCGGAGCATACTGGCTGTCTGATCGCCAGTAAGCTTGGATTTAGCTGGCTGGCCAGGCTCGACTTCGCAGACCTCAACGGGGAGATAGACAGGTCTGTCACGAGACCCGACATTCACCACCGGTAGGTTTGCATTCAGGGCCATGTTATACTCTAAGAGGCAAGTCAGCACAACACGAGGAGAAACTGAGTCTCAGGAAAAATAGAAGGAAAATGAAAATCGACGGACCCTTTTTGAAGAAGTCCGCAACGGTGATATAGCGACCGGCTTCTGCAGGGCCGGCTCTGGGCGCTTTCTTTCCCTTCTTTCCCTTGGCCTCGGGCGCACCAGACACGGCGACGGGCCGAGGGCTAGATTCAGCTAGGAAGAATTGCACATCCTGGGGACCGGCGCCGTGGCGGGAAACCTTGGGTGGGTTGGGCGACGAGCCACCGTCGCCGCGGTTGGCCAGGCCATATATAGGCTTGATGCGAGGCCGAGGCTGACCGCGAGTGTTTTTGCGGACGAGATGGGTGATGCGAACGCGCAGACTCTTGAGAAACTTTTCCAAATGATAAGTGTTCCTGTTGCCATAGCCTTGGATCACGTTGATCAAAGGTCCCTCATTGTAACATGCCATATATTTGACCTGGACGTTCAAGAGCACCCGAGCAGTCGCAGCACGCACACTGACAAAGAACCCACGCAGGACAGATAGGCCACCGCCAAGGTTGAACGATTCCATGGTTTCCTGACGCAGACTGTAGTGTCTGTTGGCCCCGACAGAGACGACCTGGTCGTCCGTCTTGGGGTGGTGGCCCATGATCATGTTGAGGGCAGCCACAATCTCAGACTTGGACTCAAGCATGGCACCGGCATTGGTGGAGGTCAGGTAGTTAACCAAGTCAGCAGGATTGACCTCGCCAGTATACTGACAGGTAACCTGGTGCACCCGGGGTGGATCCAGGTAGTCATCATCCATGTGCTCCTTGTATCGCACATTGAATTTACCCTCGGTCAATTTGACACACGAGACGAGGGTAGACCGGAAGTCTGACGCAATGCTGTTCTTCTGCTGTGGGAAATGCTCCTCCAGCAGCAGACGCACAATGTGTCGGGCCTTTTTGCCCACAGGGGCAGATCGGCCTGCAGAGTCGGCTGCAATGTCAATATGGTAGCGGAACAGCTGCTTGTTAGGCAGGGTCAAGGGCAAATAGTTTGCATACAAAGTCACTGGCCTGCCAGCTGTGCCATAACCCGGACGGTCGGGGTATTTTGCCTGTCTCGGGGTCTTCTGGCTGCTCACGGCCAGAGCTTTGGCAAGGTCATTTTCGGTCTTAGTGACGGCGGTGTTAGGGGGTGGAATAGGTTCGCCTTGTCTGTAGGCAAATCATTAGGTTTGTCCGAGTACCAACTATTGTGAGACATACCTGAAGATGGGTGGGCCAAAGTTGGTAGAGCCACCACGTCCACCACGTCCACCACGGAAATCACCCCTACCGCGAAAATCACCTCGACCCCGGAAATCACCTCTCCCACGACCTCGATCACCCCCACCACGAAAGTCGCCTCCACGACCTCTGTCACCACCTCGGCCTCGGAAGTCACCTCTGAAATCTCCTCGATTTCCATCGCCTCTACCAGCTGGGCGGAAGGCTAAATCGCCTCGACTGTCCCCGCGACCGCGACCTCGATCGGCACCACGACCTCGATCCCCACGGCCACGGTCACCGCCACGATCACCTCGTCCACGACCCCGGTTGTCACTCATAATAAGATAGGATCAGATACAGATGGATTATATGGGTTGAACTATGAAAAATGATAGGGGAACTTAGTGGGGAATGGGGAATGGGGAATGGTGGATGAACGGCTTATTAAGTATTGGAAGTGATGTATCGTTTGTCCATCACCAGGTTCTTTGTTTGCTTAAAGTAGTGTATTATGATAGGGTGACGATTGGGTACACGTGTACGGGGTACTTCCTATATACACGAATCTACCTGGGCAGTTGTACAGAAGTTTCCAGCTGCATGATGCGACTATGACATGCTCCATTTACATTATGCTTCTCACTACCACGGCGATATCAAATGCCACGTAGTTAGTGAGATAGGATTGGAATCCTTTTTCGCCTCTTTTCCGACTAGTAGTAAGTTTTTTCTTGGGGGAAAAAATAGATCAATCACTTCGCTCCCGTTTGTAGTCCTGCGGTTGACCAGTAGATCTAGGCATAGGAGGGCGACATATTCCCAGTCTATTTTTGTGATAGTAAGACTATGTTTCAATTATCTTTCGATTGGCTGCTGTAGCTCTACGTGTCCACGTATTCGAGTGTATTGATGACACCACGAGTTTGAGGATTTTGTGTGCAAAGGAGATCCAATGATTTCGGCCCGTAGGTTTGGCGTTGGCTGGTGTTGGTTGGTGTTGGTTGGTGTTGGACGTGTATTTTCCTTTCTTGCTTTTGCCCTCGATTTTACATGATATTAGGTGAAGTCAATCTAATAACCAGTACGGAGTACCTTGTGCCTTGTCATTACCAAAGCGAAATGCTCTCTTTAAGGCCACACAGGAAGACATTAAAAATCATAATATGTGATATCAAATAGTTTTCAAACAGTTCTGGAGGTATTTTAGGCAGAAACGCACAGAACATACAAGTTTAAAGACTACTCCGTCGTAGGGCTCTTCAAGAAATAGTCAACGTCTATCTATAGACGGTCCCAATGCATGATGACCTTGCATAAGTTTTCCGGGATATGAAGATAGAAGCATGCTTAAATGAAGCAATTGGACTTTTCTTGAAGTGCGCCTCCCTTTTACGTTCAATAGTCTACATATACTATCGTTAAAACAGAGCAACTTGTGTTGAAACTAAACATGAAAACTATACAAAGCTGTATCAAGGGATACAGTTCTTGCAAAGTAATACTCGAACTTGAAGTATACAATGTGAGAAACTGTAAATGTCCAATCGCTCAATACCTAGCAGGAAGCCTATATTCGTAGGCTTCATACCACTATACAACATATGTACTCTTGATAAACCTTTCATATGTAAAATAGACTTTGTATGGAGTGATGGCAACATAAATAGAATTATAGAGAAAGCAGTAAGCAAGCGGATGCCGTCGGAATATACACGTTGAAGATCCCATACTTCAATACAATCTGGGTACAGGTCATATGCAGGAATGGGTGATGAGGCTGCCAGGGCTGCATCGGAGCCGCTAGACTCGATTTCGTAGGAGTTCGGGGGCTTTGTATATAGAAGAGGTCTGCCCAATGGTGTTATAGACTGCAAATCATCTGGAAGCTTCAACACTTTGACATCTAGAGTTGTAGCATGTCTCCTGATCATATACATGCACTCTTTTTAATCTGCCGATATATTAGACAGAAAGATGTCTACTACTGAGATTCATCAAGTATTGCATTGGCAATATGTACATCACAGTTTCCACGTTTCAATAAGTAATATAATAAATGGCCCAATTTAATTATCATACCATCTCTTTCGGGGTAAAAATCGTCTTGAAGTTATGTTGGCGTACAAACCATGCATTCCACAATTTCCATTCCTGGTCAGGATATGCCAACTGCACCTATGGAAAGAATCAGCATCACTAGCGTGTTTTTTATGCAAAAACAAATAACGTACCTCAAACCTTCGCAAAAAGCTAGGTATAATCTTATAAATCTCCATAAGAGAGATGTTCTTCCCAATGCAGGTCCTCGACCCGGCACCGAATTGGAGCATCATTCCATCCATAGCCTTCAATTGATCAGGTGGAGTAGTCAGCCATCTATTTGGGTTGTATATATCGGCATCTGAACCAAAAATGTCTTTACGGCGGTGAATAACCCAGGGGCTGCAGCCGACAATTGTTCCACCGCGAATGAAATGACCGGAGATCTCCATTCCCGACGCAGGAACAACACGTTCTAGAGGAAGTCCTGCAGCGGGATGCATACGGAAAGCTTCCTTTATACAGGCATCGAGATAGGGCAGCTGCCGCGACTCTGTCCACGAAACAAGTCCAGTTGGGCGGTTCACGATCGTACCATTGGCCACGGCGTCATCAAGTTCTTGCGTAAGCCGTTTCATGCACTCTGGGTTCTTTAGTAAAAAGTAGAACACGGCTGCAATGCTGATAGCAGTGGTTTCGGACCCGGCAAAGGCCATAGAGACGGCCATGGTAAGGATTCGTTTGTTTGTCATGAAGTCTGGACGGATTTCACCCGCCTTGATGAACATCGTAAGAAGATCGTCCTTTGTTACCGAGCTCGTTAGATCAGCCTTTGCTGACATGCGTTCTTCCATGCGCTGCTTAGCGAAGACGGCCACGGGGTGTGAATTATCCCATAAGCCCAATTTTTGAAGAATATCAAATATTGGATTCTTCCAGATTAGCTTATCTAGCCATGGCATCTGACCAACAGGGGCGGCATAGTCGAAGATGTTCGCCAGGGAACTGACGATACCATCGATATCTTGGTTTTTCTCGATGAAACCATGGCGTTTGCTATATGTGATGCTTCCAATAACATCAAAGGCAAAGAATTGTAGCCATCGTGCAAAGTCGCACACTGTAGCTCCATCAGCAAAGAGGCGGCTTGTTTGATCGAGGAATATCTCCGTAGTCTCATCGACCATGGGCTCGTACTGTACCAATGAGCTCATTGAGAACGCATGGTTGACAGAACGACGGAGAGTCGCATGGAAGTTCTCATCCAGCGTAGAGAATAGCGATGGCAATGGCTCGCCTTTAGAAACCGTCATTTGTACTGGATAGAACTCGGACTGTCCTTTAAATTAGAATATGTAGATCATTCTGCGCTCGGCATATAGTACCTTGACAAATCCCTTGTTTAAGCCATAGATCACCTTCGTCGCCTTCGGATCTGCAAAGGATAAAGTGCGTGGTCCTAGGCGCACGATATCGCCATACTTGCGATGCAAGGCTATATGAGTGAGCTCAGGGCGTCGACCCCTCACGTCGAGGTATCGCCAAATATCAGATAGGCGCGCCCAGAAAGGCCCAGGAAAAATGTGTAGTGAATTGTAGAAATAGTTTTGAGCAAGGTAAACTAAGAGTAGAAGAGGGAATGTATAGGCAACATAATGAAGCGTAGAGATAGAGAAAGCTGCTATGATAGCCATGATTGTGTCTAATCACTTGGACCTAGCTCGAAGCAGGAGCTATGAGGAGGGCACTTTATATACACCACATCATAGAATATCCGTGACGTGGTGATGCTGGGATCGGCAGTTGGGCATGCCAGGACCCGAATATGGGCGTAGTAGGCATGAGAGATATCTCAAGCAGGAAGCATTACGCAGGAAAAGTCATTCATTCGTCAAGCCCCACAATTTCCCCATATTTAACATTTAGTGCAGGTGAAGTAGACGACCTTTGCTTGATTGTGGCCTGCGCGTCGGCATCTGGAACGATGTTCAACAACCGAGAACTCCTTGCAGTGCAATAATCACGCTATTTTGTATCTCAATGCCACAAATCTAGAACTTTCATACACAAAATAGAAGGCCTACAATACCTCGGAAGTATCTAAGCAATAAATATATGTACTAACGGCTGTATACAAGCCACTCCGAATTTCCTTACAGCAACCAAATGTAGAAGCCCAACAATTTTAAAGTCACAATCTCGGGCATGTCCGGTCCCGCTCTACTCCATGGCGGATAGATCACACTGCCGTCAGAGAATATATATCAAAAATGATCCAGAAAAGCCCGTGCAAACTGCGAAAGTCTATATCGTGGCATTCATTCGTGGATTGTGCTATGTAAATTGAGGTCGATCTAAGTGGAGAGTATTTCATAGTATGCAATACCGAGGCAAGAAGCAAAGGCCAAGCAGTCTTAGACCTGGCTATTCGTACCCCAGCGCTTGTGTTCGATGTCCTGGTCGATCTGTCTCGGGAGCAACTACGATCTTTCCCAAAAGCAACCTAAGTCTGTCGTTGAAGCGATCAAAATTAGTTTCCTGGTAATTTAGCGAAGCTCAAGTTCTGCGACCAGATCCAAAATGTCTAGCCATGATAGGGGTTGTTCACTTAAATAGGAGAAGATTGTAGAAAGGTGTCGGCATTTTAATCCGAGCAACTCCCGAGTGGGGCGGAAAACAGCCCAGTAAGGGAGCTCCCGCCTACGGCAGGCTCCAGCCGCCAGTGCGCCAGTATAATACGCATTTACCTATTTGACAGGACTTAATATACCAATATCTATATCTATAGAAGCAATATCGCCTAGATGCTTATACAGTTCAGTTCTCAGCTCTCAAGTAGTCTTTTTCCGTGGAAGCTTATGGTAATTTCCTATATATAACCACTAGTATATAGGAAGGTATGAGAAGCCAACGGCGAGTATGTGGAGGGAGAGAGAGAGAGTGTGTGTGTGTGGGGATGTTGGGAGGCAAGAAAGCATTTGAGCTGAATGTTCAAATAAAAAAAACTTCCTGTTTAGGTATAGTGAATGCTCATGTTACATACCCACAGGAAATTTACTTTGATTGGTTATTTCAACATCATCGCCCACGGGGCCACATCTCGGATCTGAAAGAGGGTATATAGCCTGGTCTCTTATCACCATTTCAGCCCGTTGGCCCTTATCTGCGCAGTGCATAAGGCTCTATTGGAGTGCGACCTTTATAGAGTCAGCATGGCTGAGACTGTCAGAATATGTATGTTCCGCTGTCCTCTCGCATGTTTGTCAGATGCCTAGGCACCTAGTAGGTACCTAGGTAGGTTAGGTATAATTTGCGATACTTACTTGTGCCTGATATAGCCGCCCGAAGTAATCATGGCTGTTGGACGTGTCGCCTCCGCAAAAAGAAATGCGACGAAAATCGCCCTGTGTGTTCAGCGTGCATTTCTCTCGAGTTGGATTGTCATGGATACGGCCCGAGGCCAGAATGGATGGATAATGGCGCACTGCAAAGAGACCAAGCCTCCAAATTCAAACGTCTCGTTACCCAGGCCAAGTCAAAAAAAGGAAGGCGACAGCAATGTCACGCTAATCAGTTAACATTGGCTTCAACGATTGGCATGAGGTCTTCCACCACCAAGAATGTATCCCCCCCGGCGGCAGTTTCGCAAAACTTTTTCGATGAGCAACTTGGGGCTTTTCCTCAAGATGATTTCAATTGTCAAGACAGTGGAATAGGGTCAAGTCACTCTATTGACACACTATGGACATTCTGGCCCCCAAACGACCTTTCTATCATGGATGATGCTTCGTTGGATTTAGAGAGTTACAGCTCTACCTATACAACCGGTCAGAATCAAAACTCGTCACCGCATTTGATATCCCCCATGGCTTTCGAAAGTATCGTATCTGGAATGGACATTCAATCTCCGACCCATCAGAGTACCAGCTCCGCGTTGAACGGATTGCAAGATAGTGCGTCTCAGGACCATAGATATCAGTTCAAGGAAACAGCTTCAACTGCCAATCACGATCACGTGGCATTATCTCCTCAAACAACATCCCCGAGTGGAGACACAGAGGATGCATTGTTTATGTACTACCTGGACGAAGTCTTTTACATCCAGTATCCGTTTTTTCATTGCCAAAAGAAACAAGGAAGAGGTTGGCTCTTTGCAATCCTTCGACGAGTCAAATCTGCATACCATGCAGCTTTAGCTCTGAGTGAACGCCAACTTCTTTCAAGCTCATCATCGCGGACTAGTGACATTACTAGTAGCCTGACTCAACTACGCACTCAAAATAGTCACTACGACATAGCCATCCAAGAGATGCAGTTGATGATAAATAATCATAACGCATCGAAAGGGCTTCGACTCGTGCTTGATAGCATAGAAGTCCTCATGTCTATACTGCAGCTTTTGTTCCTTGAGGTAGGTGGGCAATGATTCAAGTAGTCATAATTATAATACTAATATGTTACAAATGGAAGACTTTCAATGGCGGAAGAGAAAAATGGCAGACCCATCTACGGACGGCATCTGCTTCCATTTATACACTCCTACAGGCCCGGCTTCCGCCGCTGAGGACGCCAGACGACTATATGGTTCCACATACTGGAAGTGAGACGACCGCTCTATGCCCCGAAATTGAATGCGCATTTAAATTCGTGCTCGGATCTTTCATCGCATTTGACATCATCTCTTCCGCTTCTACTCGATCAAATCTAATTCTTAACATAAGTCACTTACAAGCACTTGAGACTTTTGAAGTTTCCATGGAAAGCCACACCGGGTGCCGTGATTCAGTAATGGCACTTATCCTGGAGATATCCCTGTTGGACAAATGGAAGAAAGAGGCCCAAAGCGCCAACAAACTGAGTTTTGTTGATCTGGTAAAACGTGGCGACGGAATAAAGGGCCGTCTTCGGCAAGAGATAGCAGCCATTGAGGAAATCACCCATCCATGGGCAGGAGGATCATTGCTAGCCACTTCATCAGCAACTGCTAGCTCTAAGCCCCCAATACCTACGCATCCGGAAATCAACAAGTTGTTCCTACTGGCAGCTATAACGTATCTCCATGTTGTCATTTCAGGTCCTTATCCAGAAGTGCCGGAGATTGCAGAAAGCATCTCGGAAACAGTCCTCGCTTTCAAGGATTTGAAAGATCCGCAATTATTGCGAAGTTCGGTGTGGCCATTCTGTATTTCGGGATGCTTGGCGCTGGAGAAACATTATGGTTTCTTCCGGGGTCTTGTTTCTAGAGCAGGTATCTCGCAAAATACTACTGGGGTGTGCTTCGAGGCCTTACAAATCATGGAAGAATGCTGGAAGGCGAGGATTACTTCCCCGAGAGTTGTGATTGGGCTACAGCAATGCAGCGACGTGGTTGCTATGTTTTTCTGGGATGAAGAAAACGGAATGGAAAACATAGTAAAACGATGAAAAAAATCAGTGTCAAAAAACGCTGCTGATATTATTTGAATAGGACGATGTTTTAACCATTTAGGGGTTTGGATGGAAGCTCCATAGATCGTCGTCAGTCGTATGACTTGCATTCGACAACTGGGGTTTCCTGGGGCCGTGGGCTCACGGGCCGAGCCTGTATAGTAGCCTTCTCAGAGCTGACCTTGCTACGAGGTCTATCAGTTCGATAACACCCTACGCCGCACAATTAGCACTTCACTTCTCTACTACCTGTATCAGAAGTAAACCCATTATGTCTTTTGTCTTACAACTCTGTACAACTACTTTCGGATCCTGCCTCACCTGAATGGTGAGGCCTATTTCTCAACTTGCCCCGGGTATACGGAACGCCAGAGTACGGAACGCCAGAGGAATCCTGAATAGAACTTGAGACCTGCATATTTGGCGTTTTTCTAGTTGATCGTGCCAAGCTCACCAAAATTTGCCGGTATTGGTGGGCTTGACACGATGCTGGCTCCGACGATCCCAGAGGCCGAGATGACCTGAAGAATCTTAGGGAATACCCGTAGGTACATGCAATACAAGGGTGCAACATCTAGCGATGCACATACCAGGCTAGACACTGCGTCTTTTTGGTGAGAGGATCAGCGGCCAAGTAAGTAAGGCCTTGTTTCTTTAACATGATTGACCCCTCGTTACCAAATATTCTTTTCTCAACACGTAATTGACATTGTCGAGTCCAAGGCCAAAAGTAAGCACTAGAACGGACATTGACTACTAGTTGTATTAAACCACGCATGAGATGTGTGTGCTAAACACATAATGATATGAGAAAACGAAGGGATTGAATGTGCGGCTTCAGCAGTTGATGTCTTAAAGATCAGGAAAGAATAGTGTTGAATAAAACATGACAAACGCTAGTAAAAAAATGCCTCCACCTTTTGCCGACAGATGCCAATAAAGCAAGGGGCTCTGTCAAAAAGTGTTGCGCAAGCTGAAACACCGGGGGTTATAGATGGTATCTGATATCAAGCCACTGTGCTCCGAGATTATCCTCTGGCCCTAGTTTGGGAGTTAGCACCATGTAAGATCTCATCAATGAGTGCCATCGCTTGATAAAGCCTTCTCTCCTGCAATCGGGGGGCTACAACTTGAACTGATAGCTTCGTGTTCAAATATACACTCCTATCATTGGTGTTTGGGTGCCCTGTTTCTGATGGATCAGCATAACCTTGCAAGATAGGATTTATCACTGCTTCAACACTGGAGGGAAACGGATAACCAGAGGTGAACGTGTAATAGTGGTATCAAAGACAGAATATTGGAGGGATGAAGGTAGGGAGCTTACACAAGTCCCTGTTCCTCGAATCCCAACCTCCAAGAATTTCCGATTCAGGTAGATCGTCCTTTAAATCATCATTTGAGACGTCTCTGACTGGGAGTGTTCCAGCTGGATAGTCCAATACGACAAATGCACTTGTATAACCAACACCATTCCACCTGTCAATTTCTGGCACTGGATGAGGAGCCACTGGACATATCAACGCATCGATCATTCTCCCATTCTCATCCCTCCAAATTTCCAACATTTCCTTCTCGAATGCCAATTTTCTGACATGTAACTCGCTCAGCTGCATTAAATCTGCAGGCTTTTTTCTTCTCAACCTTGTGTCAAGCCAGGGGATCAAAGGTTCCCCGATTCTCTCAAGTATATCAAATGTATGGTTGTTCCCCCCGATCCCAAAAAATGAGTTGGCCAGTGAGTGGTATTTCTTGAATGCTGGTGCATTGACCTCAACAACTTGAAGCCCGGCTTTGCGTAGAGCTTCTACCGCTTCATCAAGGACCTTCGCAACCGGTGATAGTGGCGTTGTGATACCGTCAGCTCTCATAACTCCAAACAACGGTTTCTTTCCTATCCTCCCTTGCCCATCCCACGACCCGAAGGCGACATTTGGATCTTTTTCCCACGGATTGGCATCTGCAATCGCTTTCAGAAACAGCTCGCAGTCTCTGACACTTGTCGCCATAAGCCCCGCACTAGCCTGCAACCCCAGTTTATCGATACCAGGCAGCTGCCCAATTTCTTGGCCCATGAAAGGGATTCTCTGCGAACTGGGTTTGATACTGTAGAGACCATTGCACATGGCAGGTATGCGTACCGAGCCTCCAATATCCGTGCCGATACCCAAAACACTGCCCCTCATGGCAAGCAGGGCCCCTTCACCACCACTACTTCCACCCGCTGTAACCCGCCTATTCCGTGGGTTCATGACACGCCCGAAGAGATGGTTATGCGAATCCAAGGCCATGAGAGTTTGCGAGACGTTGGTCTTGCAGTATAGTACTGCTCCTTGCTCAAGAAGTATATCCACCAAGGTGGCGTTTTCTTTTGCAGGATTCGCTGCGAGACTTGCCATGCCAATCGAAGAGTCATACCCTTTGATATTGAACGTATCTTTTAAAGAAATCGGTATCCCATGTAGCGGCCCTCGTGTCTTGCCTGTACGTTTATATTCAACATCCAGAGCATGTGCTCGCTCGATAGCCGGTAGGAAGAGGATTTCCGAGAGACAGTTGGTGAGTTGTTGAGCTATGGCGGCGCGCTTGCAGAAAGCGGTTGTTACGGCTTCAGATGTGAGCGCTCGGGAATGGATAAGTTGAGAAAGTGAGGTTACATCGTGCGAGGAAGTTATGGAGAGTTCGTCTGGAGTCAGGACAGTGCTATTCGAAACAAGGGAGCGGACGTCGAGTGGGAGGGGGTCAGGTAGTGGGTCAAGGAGCCAGTTTCTGGGGATGAGGGACTGAAGGGTCTTGAGTTTGCGGTGAGCAATGGCATGGTAGGTTTGGGAGGACATTGATCTCAAAGTGCATTTGCCGGTTGCTGGCTTATCACCGCCTAACGTTGAGGAAGTGCTAGGTTGAAGAAATGTTGTTCCCTCCAAGCATGGATGTAGTACTTGGTCCATGTGATCAGAGTGGGAATTAAGGGACTAGCCGACTGCCGTTAGCTGGACCCGTGTAATAACTAGTACTAATGTGACTAGTAACAACTACTTTTGAACTATCGACTATATTTTTACCGCGGGAATTCGTTTATACGTCTTTCTTCTTCTACTTCTTCTATGCCTTCAAAATATCCAATTAGGCTGCCCAGTGAAGAGGGAATGACAGTTGATCGAAGTTATACAAACATTGCTGAGTAAATTGCATGATACTTACCCTAGGGTAGCTTCCCTTATCTAATTAGCTAATTCACTGAGTTAGTTACTGGAGATCTATTGATGGCCTGTGGAGGGCAAACCGATGGGCGCGCTAAGGCTAGCCTTTTTTGGACCCGCCAGACCCACCTGCCGCGCTGCCCAGGTGGGTACTGCGCGGTAACGCTAGCCGACTGCGGACTAGATCGGTTGCACGGCATATAGGGCTATCCCACTCGGATATCAGATCGGACTGAGGTCTCCCCATGCGCGGCGACGCTAAGCCTGATATAGCCACCTTTCTTTGTAGAACAGCTATGCTTGGTAATACCAGGCGGTTGCGACCTGATCGCTCTATCTTTCAAGCTCAGGATCTGGAACCTACAGCAGCAGTTTTGGGTATGCTTGGTAATCTCTGTTTTCTTTCCTCGTCATATCTGTCAAACTTGATTGCATATGTGGTCAGGCAACAATTTTCTCTTTTTCATAGCGTTGTGAAATTCATTCAATCGTTGACAACTAACAAGCTTGGCTACGAAATCTTCTGACAGACAAGAGGGCAAGGAACTGGAACTATGGAACCTGCGACAGATTTTGAAAAACTTTCAAGTGATCCCAAACTCGACACCGACTCAGGCCAGAGCGACGAGAGCCCCACTGGTGCACCAATCATCGATGATGCTGAAAAGCAATTACAGGCTGATCTAGAGCCAAAAGAGTCACACGAGCAAGAAACGCGCGAGACTGGAGGTTGGAAATGGGTTGTCGTTGTGCTAGCCATTTACAGCTCGCAATTCCTATTTGCACTCGACCAGACCATCGTAGCCAACGTCCAACCTGCAATCGTCGAGCAGTTCCATTCAGTGGACAGGCTTTCGTGGGTCAGTGTTGCCTTTCTCATCGGCGCCGCGGGAACAAACTTGGTATGGGGCAAAATCTTTTCACATTTCAATATCAAATGGACCTACATCGCGACCATCTTGATTTTTGAAGTTGGCTCAGCTATCTGCGGCGCTGCTCCAAACATGAACTCATTGATCGTGGGTCGGGCCATTTGTGGCGTCTCTGGAGCCGGTATGTATGTTGGCCTCATGACACAACTAGCCGTCACAACCACCATTCAAGAACGTCCTATGTATATCGGCGGAGCAGGCCTGGTATGGGGTGTTGGAACAGTCCTGGGTCCCATAATCGGCGGCGCATTCACAGACTCATCTGCGACCTGGCGCTGGTCATTTTACATCAATCTCTGTGTTGGTGCTGTCTGCGCCCCCGTCTACCTATTCATGTTGCCCAACAAGGACATGCGCCGCGGAACAAACTTTGCCGACCGTGCTCGAGAGATTGACTACCTGGGAACCATTCTTCTGATTGGTGCGTTCTTTTCGGGAGTCATGGCCGTATCATTCGGTGGAGTGATGTACCCGTGGAACTCGGGCAGGATCATTGGCCTGTTTGTCTGCTCTGGTGTCTTATTCATCTTGTTTGGCGTACAACAGGCTTACGCCCTCTTTACTACCCCTGCTCATCGTATCCTACCCGTCGAATTCTTTCAGAGCCGCACCATCTTAATCTTATTCGCCATGACTGCAGCTGGTGGAACGAGCCTATTTCTCCCCATCTACATGACGCCTCTCTATTTCCAGTTCAGTCGTGGAGATGGAGCGCTTCAGTCTGGCGTTCGACTCTTACCCTTCATCATGTTAATGATCTTTGCCACCATCTCGAATGGCGCATTCCTGTCCAAGGTGGGGTATTACATGCCTTGGTACTTTGTCGGAGGTATCCTAGTTGTTATTGGTGGTGCACTCATGTTTACGGTGGACACAACGACATCCGTTTCCAATATATATGGATATACCGTCATCATCGGCATTGGGGCTGGTCTATTCTGTCAGGCATCATTTTCGGTTGTCCAGGCAGTTGTCCAACCAGAAATGGTTCCTGCGTCCATTGGTTTTATCTCAACTGGTCAAGTCACTGGCATCACTTTAGCCCTCGCCATTGCCAATGCGGTATTCCTCAACAAAAGCGAAGATGGAATCAAGGCCATATTGCCAAATACGCCAACAGCGGAGATCCAGCAGACGATCACTGGGGCTGGATCTGCAATTTTCGAGAATATGTCAGCAGATGATCGGCAGCGGGTGTTGGCCGTGATCGTCTCTGCAATAAGCAGCACATACGCCTTGGTCACCACAGCTGGATCGCTGGTCACTGTATTGAGCCTTCTTCTGAAGAGGAACAGGCTGTTTGTGACTGCTGCGGCAGTAGCCTAAGTGACTCATTGCGGAAAGTGAGTTTGGGGAAGAAATGGCCAAGATACCGGTCAACTGAGCGCCCTGTGCAAGGAAGCGGGCTGAGAGAGGAAGTATAGCTTACTTCCGCCCAACTTGGTCAGTGAGAGGCTTGGGGTATTAATGGTTAAAATACAGAGTGAATCATCCATGCGGGAGAAATGGGTGCGACTGAGAATGCATGGTGACTGGACATTTTACAGAAAAAGTAAACAGATTATTTCGAGCAGGTGATCTGGCCAATGTCATATCATTATCGGTCCCACTGTAAATATTTTATAGATCAATACGTATTGAATATATATGATAGATATCCAGTCTTGAAATGATCTTATATGGCAAAAGACTTCAAATATTTACGAAGTTTCTGATGCTTCAAGGAGTTTTGGGCTTGGAGAGGTCCCTGTAAGGTGTTGAGACAATATTAAGATATGTCAGGATAAAGAATTGATGTACTGGCTAGTACCGCGCATGTCAAAAAGTAACAGACTATTGATTGTAGTTCTTATGATCGGTTAAATAATCTTAGGGATCTATACAAATAAGCATCGGCGTGTTATAACACCTTACTTCCAAGTCTGCCTGAAATCCTATACAAACACTAGGGGGAACTGAGTGAACGATGAATAAGTGCCCCAAAGCTCTGGAGGGTCCTAGTGGTATTTGACCACTACCTCAGTTCGTCAGGATCGTACTAAGAGTATTTTAAATAGTAGAGGGATAGGATATATTTTATCTTTGTGAATATTTTCAGTAATATTACTACTATCCGAGGTCGTCTAGTGGCAGAACTACCTCAGGATCGAGCCTAGCCCACAGTAGAAAAATCATTCAACGTAGTAAAAATAATTATTTTGTACATAAAAACGGGGAAGACTCAGCCTAGCATGGGGGAAAAATTTCGCTTATCACTACGGTAAAATCCCCGAACCACTAGATAACACATTTTTCTTCTCGCAAAAACATGTTCGATGATATATAGATCCAGATAGATCCAGCAGTGGCTGGATCTTGCTCAGTCAGCGATTTTCTTGCTGCCGGTGGTGCTGGAAATCATGCATGGAACGTGATTTGCTCCGAAGCAGATCAGATCCTTTTTACGTATGCAGGAGATAGCGATGCAAAACCTTTGACAAGACGAAGGTAACCGCAGTTGAATTTGAGCCCCACCACAGGGATCTCAAGAGTGTTGCATTGCAGAAGGCTCCACAAATGGTTTGGACCGACCAGTTTCTGCCTCCTGGTCACAAAAGGAGAGCGGTGCTTCAGAGATTATTCGATTCAAGTACCTCGTTGACGCGTCCGGACGGGCGGGTGAAGTAAGTACCAAATACATGAAAAACCGTAAGTACAACTAAGGGCTCAAGAGTATTGCAACCTGGGGATACTGGGAGTTAGCGGCGGTTCATGGCCCTGGCAAGGGTGATCCCTTTTTTGAGGTAGTTGATGGTAAGCACCGCGTGCTTGAACTTCCCAAGTAACATAACAGACTAATCAAAAAAATCAGAAGGAAGTGGCCGGGCCTGGTATATCCCGTTGCACGATGGCACCGTTTCGGTTGGGATTTCAATGAAGCAAGACCGCGTTGCTGCCAAAAAGAAGGCGCCTGGAGCAACAGGCATGTGGGAATTCTACCAACACATCCTCTCCAAGGAAACCCCGGGCATTGCAAAGCTCCTTAAGAATGCGCGCGAGACATCACGCAATCTCAAATCCGCATCTGACTGATCGTACAGTGCAACTGAGTACGCGAGCTCCCATCTCCGTGTTGCCGGTGATGGGGGCTGCTATGTTGACCCTCTGTTCTCGTACGGTGTTCACCTTGCCATGAACAGTGGGCTCTCGGCAGCTATCACGATCTGTGCATCGACGAGAGGGGACTGCAGCGAGGAAACCGCTGTATCCTGGCATTCAAACAAGGTTGCTGAGGGTTACACTTGCTTCCTGCTAGTTGTGACCAGCTCCCTTGAGCAGATCTACGGTCGAGAGCAGAACATCTTGAATGATATCGACGAACCTGGATTCGACAACGCATTTGACCATTTCAAGCCAGGTAAGCTTGCTTAATCACACAGCTTAGTTATACTCCTGCCTTTCTCTCGACTAACATGTACATATATGTAGTCATCCAAGGCACCGTTGAAATAAGTGGGAGATTCACCAAGGAGGAAGTCGCCCAGTCAGTCGACTTCTGCACCAAGCTTATCGCTAAGGTAGAAGAAAGTGGCTGTCTTTCCACCCTGGGCGTTGAAAAGAATGAACCTGGCAGCGAACTGGGAGCTGCTGCTCCCGCCGGTGCTTCGCGTACTGATGACAGGGTTGATGCCGCGATTATGAAGATTGTCCAAATCCACCGTGTTCTAGACCTGAAGAATTTCTCGGCGGACGTGATCAATGGGATGGCACCAAGCATGGATCGTGGCCACTTTGGCCTCGTTATGACGACTAGCTGATGGAAATACGCTTATCTCTAAGTGATGTACACGCCTCTCCTATATGTTTCCTGGGTCTCTTCTTCTTCTTGTCCCTCTCCCTTGAATAGATCAACAGACTTGTTTTCCCACTCTACGCCTCTACATTCAACGTGTTCCGTCACCAGTGCTGCATAGCAATCTCAACGGAAGTAGAGTGTCGTCTTTTCCCAGCTCAACTCACTATACATGAACATGTGCATACTTGAGTAGATAGATGTCCACCCAATTTATCGGTGTGAAACCAGTGCGCATTCTGTTAAATTGCGCTCCGCAAAGCCCACAAATGGACCCAGACACCAGGCCTATGTCCCAACCAGAAGTGGCCTATGGGCTCAACCTTCGAAGCCCATTTCTGGGGGCCCATTATAGCCCATTTAGGGGGTTCAACTGAGAATTTACAGTCAATGTATTCTAAACCTTCTTCCACTTGTAAAGACTTTGAATTTAGCATATACAATTGGAGTCACTATATAAATGTAGTATTAATATTTGAATCAAATCCAACCAGTGGAAGTCTAGAGAATGTCAGTATATACTCCAATATCAGATATATATTTTGAATAAGGACTACTACTACATTCTCGGTGAACTTTCACAATTCAAAACTTTTCTGAATAGCGCGTTTTCTTGCGTTTTTATACGTGACTAATCTACTCAGTATTGATTTACAATGTAGTAAATATAGTAAACAAGAATTACACATAGATCAGGGCGAGAAACGAGGTCTACACATAGAGTGATTCAAAAGTCGCATTTTTCGGTTTGTTTAGCAACTCTTTGGGCTTCATAGGCTTTCCGAGGCGCTACTGCTAACTAAAGGTGCGAAATCGTGATGGGGATTATTTAAACCCCATCTGTAACCATTGACTTCTACTCGTATGATTTGGGAAGAGTATATCAGTGTATGATGATTTACGCCGTCTTCAAGTTGGTGTGCCAGGTCCTGGAGATGGCTCGTTTTCATCGACAGTTTCTGGCCATGTGATCTGTGTTGTTTTCTCCTCATTATCAAGGGCGTCCACTTCTCGGGAATGCAGTCCCGGATAGGTGATTGGCAGTGGCTCAGTCCGCAAACTCGGTACCGATCTAGTTGGGATCTGAGGGCCAGCCCTTTGGGACCAACGGTCAAATACTAAATCTAGGATGCGGAGTCGACATACCTGGAGCTTTGTATTCACTCTATTGGTTTCTGAATCCGAGATCTCGAAACCTTTTCCAACACAAAGAGATATCCTGGCATGCTAGGGAAATCGAACAAGCCTAGTAGAGATTGAGGATACGTCCTTGCATAGGGAGTTATACAACATAGTACAACACAGAAAAAAAATCGGTAGGTTATGGCGACATAGAACCACTTCTCTCACCAATGATAAGTGCATATATCAAAAGGCTTCTTCTATAAGTATTGGCTATTGATTTGCGCTAGACAGATTACGAAAAGGACATTGATCAGCGGTCAGACTTCAATAGCTCCTCGGAGCCCGCCACATGCTCCCGATGGCCCAGCAGAGTAGTACTAGATATATGTAAGCTGTATTGTTCAGGCGAAAAAGACTGCTCAAAACCCTGCTAAACATGTGAGTTTCCTTAATATCACTTTGCTAATGTTCTCGTGAAAGCTTACAGTCATAATAGCCAGCACCCATGGGCCATCGCTCAGAGTACCAATTCTATGGAATGGTCCCTCCGCTACCCCGTATTCCTGCCTCGCTCCACCATATTTAATTAAAGACATGTGCTTGTAATCTTATTGAGTCCGGTGTGGCTACAAAAATTCAATGCCTTGGCGTCTTGGCCCTAGGTCCACCGTCAACCATCTCTGTGAAAGCTTTACGACCCCGCCTCGTTCATGATTGGATTTCATTCTTTCAGATTATTGCAAGATCAACAGGAACAGGGATTACACTAGTTGAAATACCAAGTAAGAGAGCCGAGCCGACTGTACTTTTGGGGGAGAAACAAGATTACTCTTATGTGACCAATGATGTGACATGGACGATGTTCTAATAACCGGTATATTCCGCTAGCCTGGCAAAGAGCCTGGATTGCAAATGATTCATATAAAACTAGTCTCGTGCATACATCCAGAATTTGTTGTTCTGGTCGCGTGAAAATCCTCTCGCCATTCCGACTCCAGGCAACTCATCTATTCAGTCCAGTAAAATAGTCAAAATGCGCTTTACTACTGCTATTGTGGTGCTTGCCACCAGTGCAATTGCTAGAGCTCAACTATCCAATATCCCGCAATGCTCTGTATGTCATATCCGCTCAAAATCTCTGCTTAGTTTCTCCTTCGCAACTAACCCGTGCTTGTTCCTTTCTCTTCCAGCTCACCTGTTTCACTACGGCCCTCGGCGGAGATGGCTGCTCTGAACTGACGGACTTTGCCTGCCATTGTCAAAAGCCTGGCCTTGCAGCAGAGATTGTGCCCTGCATCAATAAAGCCTGCGATGTCCCAGACCGGAAAGGTATGAGAGACCACATTTGATTTCGCATGACCCAATCTAACTAGACCCTATAGCCGTATCCAGCGTCGTTGAATCCTTGTGTTCCGGTGCTGGCCATCCGATCTCTATCCCCCGATAGATACATCGGCTCCCACAACGACTGCCGCGGGGAGTATCCCAACCCCAGCGAGAGGGTCCAATTCTACCGGGCCGGGCGGCTTCTGGTCAAGCCCCAAGAATTCAACCACGATCAGCACAGCTTCTCCTCAAAGCGCCTCCCACCCCGCAGGTTCTCCCCAGAGCGCCTCCCAGAGCGCAGGCTCGCCTCAAAGCGTCCCTGAGTACAACGGTGCCTCTGGAATTGCACCAGGAGCCGCTCAGATGGTTGGTAGTGCCATCCTTTTAGCCAGCATGGTTTTCTTTGTTTGAGGAGTTGCGTGGAGAGACCCCATGATGGTTTTTTTGACTGTTTTCTACTATACTTAATCTGGCGCTGATACCTCCTTACATGTTTATTGCCTCAAAGAAGCTATCGCAAGCTACACTCAATTTAATATATTTCCTATTCTAGAATAGAGTGTTCACACATCGAATCGTTGGAGTTAGAATTTCAAGGCGCATTTATCTACTAAATATATTCTTACCCTCAATTGAGACTATCGTCTCCAGATTTTGGGTGACTCCATAGAAAATCCTAGGTAAGACAGTCGCAGCCTTCAAAACACTATCGTACAAGCATCCCACTATACTAGCCTCCTACAATTGGGGGTGGGGAAAATCGGATGTAACGTCGGTAACAGCGGACTAGAAAAATCACAAAAAAAGTAAAGAAAGGGAAAAAAAGCTCAGCATCCGGAGCTGTTAGATTGGTGTCGTGCGTGGCGAAGCCACTCATGTCATTTAAGTTCCTTGCGATTCTGTTCCTGATGACAGCTGATTTCCGTGAATAGTTCGCTTTCTGCCCAATACTGCTGATAGCAGACACAGACCGTAAGATACAGACTCCGTCCGCTTATCAAAAACGGTGTATTTTGTAGTCGATCATGATCCCCGCCATTTCCCCGAGAGGACAAAAGTAGAAAGATAGACATGATCAGCTATTCTCCCCGGATACCTAGTCGAAATAAGATCGAATGGCCGGCGGGGGCGTTCTGGCCAGAGTGAAAACAATCTCCATTGGCCCATCCCGCACCCCGCAAGCCCTAATTAATTAGACTTTCTGGCATATGCTAGTGGGATAAGCTCAGGTCTGGGGATATGAGAAATTTTAGAGCCTCGGAATGTCTTAGACTATGTACTAGCGGGACATGTGAAAATGAGCAATTTTTTTTAGCTCGCTAACTTTTTCTCAAGAAATTAGTTGTGTGGCAAAGTGCGCTAGACAACGCCAAAGCCACCCAGCCACTGACCAGGATGTATGCATGAGATAGGAAGACAGGACGAGAAAAAGAGATTAGAGAAGACTTTTTGGAATAGTATGTATGATATACCAAAAGAGATCCTTGTCTAGGTCGTTTTCATCGTTTTGTATTTTTTAGTATGTACAGATTAATTAAATTCTTCACTTCCCAAACGCCCCTGCGTGCTATATACGCATCTGAGAAGCGGGATCGCACCTTCAAACCCATTGCACATAGAAAATAAAAGCCCAAATAAATGTTACAGATATGAACGAATTGAGTCAGAATACTGCGCACGTACCCAGCTCTGCCAGAAGGTCCCTCGCCATGACGTCGATGCCTCCAGAGTCCGAATCCTCTCTGCCAAAAGCTACGAAGAGGGTATCATCGATAAATCCATGGTATTTTTGGCCATGGCTTTTCCAACTGATGCTAGTCACGTAGAGCATCTCGGAGACATCTTTCCGTGATTCCGTGGAAGAACCGTCACCTGGCTCCTCTGCTCTAGCGCTGCGACCAAAGATCCAGGTTGGTTTTGACGAGACCGCATAAATCTCAAATGGCATCGAACGCCGCATCAGCACCACATAGGGCTCGTATGCGGGGAGAAGACCGTGTAAGGTCTTTTGTTGAATGATAAAGAGAACAAAGGTATTGGTCGAATCAGGTTGGCAAGATTGGTCAGATCGTGCACATAGAGTGATAGCTAGCGAGTTTGTCGCTTGGTGGATCTTTCCTGTCTCAGGCAAGAATCGCTTGAGACATTCTTGGTCGGAAGTAGAGGTGGCCAGCGCCAAGTTTGGTCCGGCAGAGCCATCTAGTTCGAGTTTCGAAAACACACGTGCCGGTGTGATTTCATGGTGAATAAACATTTGTCCAGAATCATCCCAGAAGAGAAACCAATTTTTCTCAACAGCACCCCATGGCATTGGACGTTGCAGCTCACGATACTGTCGGAATTCGTGCTCATTGATGGTGTCTATCCCCCAATCGACCAAAATTCGAAAATCAGATATCCATTGTCCGAAGCATGTAAAGTACGAATTGGAGCCGTAAATGGTGTACGGAATCTCGGGCCCGTAGAACACCCTTGCATCATGTGGCCCGATGTTGAGACTAAAGTACGAAAGGTCGCCGACACACTTGCTGGGGTCACCAAAGGTCGCTGGGATGGGCAATTGCAGTGGTGGCTCCAGACAGCCTAAGACTCGCTTGTCGTCCGAAAATACGGCATTGCAAACGAGTTCAGCAAACCAGACTGAGTCACTTCGAGCAGATGGAGGCTTTTGAAGTTGTCCAGTGATGATCCAGGTGTCAAGCAGCTTAGGATGGGGGATTATACTGGGATTAATGACGGATCTTTTTCCGAAGTCGATCCTAAAATACTTTCGGTCGGGAGTCGATGCCGAGTATATCATATTGTGTGAGTGAGACATGTCTTTGTCCAGATCGGGATATCTTCGGCCCTCGTCCGTAACTTGTTCAGCCCGGCAGTGGGACGAAGTTTCGCTGCCATGGGCGCTTGAACAAGCTGTGTCGGACTGTCCAGCATCAATGTATGATTGTCTATATGGCCCGTCCGAGGAATAGTCCGTAAACAGGAATCTCGATTGCAAGCCAAGATGATTGGATTGTAGTTTGATGACGAGGATCACCGCAGACAATAGCCCTGCAACAAGTATCAGGTGTGTGGCTATTTTTTTGGCCATGTTCAGTTTGGCGAGTGTAGACGGGATGTAACAGTAAGAGGTTATAAGTCTTATATCAAGGAAGGTCTAGCCGAGATTGGCCGTTAACACTCTGACTAAAAAAGGGGGCTTTGACGGGCAATAGTTTTCAGGGTTGTTTGCTACTTTGGCGATCAGTGCGATCGTCCATCAATTTTAGCAATTTTACCTCCATGATCACGAAACATGGCTTAATGACCCGTATATCCTTACAGAAATACAGGGAAACTGCTTCCAGTAGAGAATTTTCAATATTACAAACATTCCTTCGAAGCATTAGGTGGATCTCGCGAATGTCATTACAAGAATTTTATGATCCAGGTATCCTGAGCTCCAAGCCACGGGCTAGCGGCAACATTTGTTTCCAGTTGCAAGACAAATATTACACGGCGACTTTTTATCTAGAAGAGCGAGTCGCATTAGATACCCAAAAGCAAACTAGCAAGATCATGAACACATGCAGAGGGCCGTCAGGATTTTTCACTCAGCGCCCGTTGATAGATCCACTGAGAGAACTTCACTGCTGGCTCATCAACTAGTCTCGTCGTCACCTCTGCCAGCCAGATGGTCAAGGGCAACAGAACCAGATTTGCAGCGAGAAAGTTGACTTCAAGCCCAAGAGGACCAACGTTAGGCAACGGAAGGCGATTAATCCACCAGGGACAATTCTCCTGGTGTGAATCGCGCGCAAAACCGACTGCAGCATAGAGCCTGTCACCCAAAGTCCACAGAACCGGCCCGTGGACCAGATAGAATGCAAATGAAATACGGCCCAAGTACTGATTGAATGGGGCGTTAAAAAATGTCTTGAGCCACTGAAGCTGAGATGTGCATGCGACAAGAAAGACAGCGGCCCAGAACAAGTAGAACCACTTGTAATCAAATACTGCTTGTGGCTTTAGGAAGGATAAGAGGTACCACCCCGATGAGTCACGTAATTGTTGCAGATCGGCCGTATGGGAGGGAACCCCTCCAAGATAAAGGCTTGTATAGAAGAGAACAGTCATGATGGCTGTCTTGAAAGGATTCAGTCTGGAAAAGAAGCGGGGCAAGTCATTCCGTACAGCGAGGAGGTCAAGATCTTTCAGAAGCATGCCGGAAATGAACATAGCATAATGTGCTCCATCCGCAATGTACAAAAAATACACAACCAATGCGACTTCGCCCAGGAGCCGGGCATTGCGGCTAAATCTTGCAAAGGCGAGAACGGCAGTGTAGATAGCCAGAGAGCCCCGATGCTCAACGGGTATGGACCAAGCATGGAAATTGTATGTGAACCAGGGCTCGCCGCCTGTTCGGAGGGGGAAACTGAAATTCTTGAACTCGGCGTACCAGTTCCATAGCTCCGAGCGGTAGCTTCCTTGGAGCTGGGGGACAGTAGCGATTTTGAATAAATGCAAAAATGTCATGTAGCATAATGTTGTGCAAATGACCGGAATATATAGACGAAACCATCGACGAAATACGGCCGAGGAAAGGGATTTACCTAGTCCAACGTAATCGCCATCCTGGATGCTTACCAGTGGCCTCATGGAAAGAACATATCCGGAGAGCACGAAAAAAACACTGACGGCAAAATGACCGCCGGAAAAAAAGGTTCGAATACCAGGAAGGCATGCAAAATAGTATTTGTTGTCGTAACCGTAGGCCAGCTCGAAGGCATTTCCCACGCCTCCGCCATCGTGAGCCCAAATTTGGTTATGCCCCCAGTAGACTAGTAGAGCGGCAAAACCTCGCAATCCATCTAGGTATGCGGTGGGCCTGTTCAGTGACCGTTGCTTTTCATTCGTGTTGTCGTTATTTGCCCGCCGAGTAAGGAATGTGGGCAGGAAGGGAGCCATATAAGAGGAGAGTGACGTCCCATGCCGAGAGCGTGTTGTATTGGCAAATTGTGGCTTCCACTGTCCATCCTCGAGGGCTCGCTCTGGGCCAGACTTCAACAACTGAGATGAAGAGTTGTCGATTGGGGGGGTGTAGTATAGGCATGGGGCGAGTGGATTGAAGTCAAGAGACTTTGAAATCTGAAGATTGAAGAAAAGATCAATAAAAAGCCAACATCCACCGCTTGATAATCTACACAACTCTCAATAAAATTCTGTGACATGTGAATACAAGCGCTGTATAGTGTGAATAGTCCTTCGCGGGGGGAACCCCAGTGCCTAGTGGTGCCGAGGCCCTCAAGGACCATAGTGGGTTTCGTCTTAATTAGTGCCGGATCCCCGCGGCCTTCCTTCCCCCACAAGTCAGGGCCTGAACACAGACCTCGGGAGTATAACCCGATGTGACCTGACGCCGTGCAGCCACAATCTTACCCTTGTAATGTCTCATTAAATGGACTCAATCAATCATTGATTGTACCCACCCGGTCTCTACTATTGGCCCCGTCGCCCGCATTGGCTGAAGGCGTTTTCACTGCTCCACGAATGATCCAATCAGTCAAGCTTTAACCCTTGACTAGTGAATGTACGAACAATACGGCCTAGGAAACGAGGTACAAGACTACGAGGATGATTGGGAGCAGCGTGATCCGAGGCAATGCATTGCAAACTTGATCAACAGCACATGTTAATTACAATGAAGATGTACTGTATGTAATGTACAGTGAAATTAAGGCCCTGCCTTGCTATACTAACAATCTTTTTCCTTTCCCGACTTCGATGTTTCTCCCAGACAGGAGGTCACTGGATTAAAGCACATCACAGGTCCAGTCATGCTGGAGAAGAACTTCGTGTCGCCCAGTCTCTTTCCGAAAAAGGCACGCAGATTCACACATGGAGGCCTTGTGGCTCTGTGCCTGTTCATCTACTTTTGTGTCACCAGAACCTCACAGAATTTTACCGAGAAACAACCTTACCCTACCCAATCGACGAAAAGCAATGGCGAACAATTCCCAAGAAAAATCTGGCAGATCTGGAAAGTGAATCCATTGGAATTCGAGGGGCGTGATATCGCGGTAGCGCGCAGCTGGATATCTAAAAACCCGGGGTATAGGTACGAGGTTCTGACCGACCAGAATGACCTCGACTATGTCGAAACAAACTTCGGAGCCCTTGGCCTGAACCGACCAGATATCGTGGAAACATACCGATCTTTAACGGCTCCAATCATCAAGGCCGACCTGCTTCGGTATCTTGTGTTATACATAGAGGGAGGCGTCTATGCTGATATAGACGTGGAGGCATTGAGACCAGTCGAGCGATTCATCCCAAGCAGACACGATGAGGGCGAGATCGACATGGTTATTGGCATCGAAATCGATGAGCCACGCTTCAGCGACCACCCTATCCTAGGTCAAAAGTCTCAATCTTTCTGTCAATGGACATTCATGTGCAAGCCTCGACAGCCCGTGATGATGCGACTAGTAGAGAATATCCTCAACTGGCTCAATCAGCTCTCCATCGAGCAAGGGAGGCCAATCTCAGAGCTTGAGCTGGACTTCGATGATGTGATCACAGGCACCGGGCCTTCTGCCTTTACAGGTGCAATACTGTCCGAAATGAAGCGTAAAACGGGCAATGATATCAAGTGGAGTATGTTTCATGACATACAAGAGTCCAAAGTCGTCGGAGGATTTTTGGTACTCACGGTTGAAGCGTTCGCCGCTGGGCAAGGTCATTCGGACTCGGGCACACATAATTCGCGCACAGCGTTGGTCAAGCACCATTACCATGCATCTTCATGGCCAAACCGCCACCCACGATTCTTTCACCCGATCTTTGGAGAGGTCGAGAGGTGTAATTGGAATGAGGACTGTGTTAAGAAGTGGGACAAAGAAACAAGTGCTTTCGCTGCTCTGCCTCAAGAAGAGCAGGAACGGCAGGTTGCGACATTCCAGGCAATAGGGGATGCACTAAGGCATATGGAAGCACTCCCTAACGAAGGAATGTTTTGATTTTTTTTTTTTTTTTTTTTTTTCTTTTTCAATTAATGTGATTATGTGTTCTCAATATGACCAATACGCCCTCGCAGAACCCAGACTAGAGCCTGCTGTGATATGAGGCTGGTACAGATCAGGAATCAAGCCGCCTCATTAGGATTATCTCCTGCATTGTTCATACAAATTATCAAGTTGATATCCAATGAACTTGATTTTTTCATTGTATATATAGCCTCACTTATTCACTCTGATATAAGAGCAATCAATCTTCCATTGAAATACAACAGGCTATGAGCCTGACAGCAATCTCTGAGGTGCCGTCAACTCATCTGAGGAACATCTTTACCGTCTTAGTTATATATATCTGTCCTGGTTTCTCGGAATTCACCATGTCTGCCATGGTTCACGACTCGCCCGAGATGTCACAGCCATCGAGCCTCTGACAGGAAGTGACAATGTTGCGACTAGAAAACTTCTTGATCTCCTACCTGGAAGCAAGGCAGGCCTGAGATGTGGGTTGGGCGACCTCCAGCACCCGGACTGCTTCTTGAAGTACGCCAAACCGTCTGTCTGATGCCTAAAAGACGGCTGGGAGGAAAGAGTCTCCATTGCCTCTGTAGGTAGCGTCTGGCCCATCCGTCAATACGGTGTAGCAAGATACCCAGGAATGCAATTATTGTGAGAAGCGCGGCCATGTCCGCATAGTCCTGGAAGAAAAGGCGTGAATTCAGACTCTGAAGCCGTCTAGGGATCGTGAACATGCATTGAAATTTCGAACATGGTGCTCTATGAGAATCTGCGCGCTTTAGTATCGATATTATAGAACCAAACAACGTGTGAGGTGATGCAAAGGTGACCGACAGCTTGGCTCTCGTGTCTACGTACTGATCCCGCCAAAACACTAAGCAAGCTGGCGACCCAGATTATCCGAGTGCCGAAAACTGAATCATTACGAGCCATATCGAGAACCATTCCGGAAAGACAGTCTTATCCCGTGATGTCGAGTTGGATGAGAGGAGTAGACCCGCATAGATTACCTGACTAATAGACCACGTGACCTCACTCGAGTTGAGCACGGGCTGAAATTTACTCGGGAGCCCGAGCGCCCTCATCAAAGCAGCGGTATCTGAAATAAGCAAGACCTGGCAGAGGCTATCAATGTATGTTGTACCTGCAGTGACATTTGTAAGCCTCCTTGGTTAAAATCTCGGCTTGTGAGTCGCGCATCATCGTGTGACCAATACGTGATCCGCCAAGGGAAAGCAAGCCTGATATAAAAGCTGGCATGATATCAGGGGGTAAGAAATAGCATAGACTAGATCAGGCTCCACAGGAGACAGAGTACCGATGAATCAAAGGATGATAGTCATACAGGATGATCAAAAATAGGAAAATAAGAAATATACACACTATATGTACTCCGTATGTATACTGGCATTGGTTCCTACCTGTGCGAGGTAGGTACATGGATATGCGTGAGATCATTTGGTGATAAGCAAAATCGGAGATAAGGGATTAATCATCACTTTGTTCGGGCCTCGACGTCCAGCTTCATTTTCTCCTGATCTCTTTGTTCCTATTGACTTGAAAGAAAACCAAGGGGACTTGGGGGACTTGGATCAAAATATTTGATTAGTTTTTTGAATCTTATTCTACCCCCCTGACCACGCTTATCCGCCCACACGGCATCTCAGTAGCCACCCCTCCTTCAGCCGCCTCAAGCTTCCACAACGCACATCCGTTGATCGCATTGCCCCAAACTTGTCTAGCGATACCTTGCGGCCGCGATCGTACACCTGGACGCTCAAAATAATCGCGAACAAGATCAATCACATTTCAAGTTCTAGGTCCTGGCGCAGCTGCCTAACGAATACGTACCAAATCCCCTGGCATTGGCGTTGCGCAAAACTGTGCATACGTTGCTACGACCAGGGAAATATACAAACTCACCCTCGGAAACCAGCGCAAATATTGAGGGGTCGGCTTGCAATAAGACCCGAAAACAGTGTTTGGGGGCTGGCAGAACAACCGAGTGGCATATTTGATTCGGTCGTAGAACTGTGCGGACTGCGACAGCGTGTTTGAGAGCCCCGCCCGCCTGCACCGCTGACTTGACGTGCGCTTTGTCATCTGCGCCTGCGGAAATATTGAGGATATCGCTACATTTGGTTTATCAATACAAGACTATGCCAATCCCCGTCAAAATGACCCCGACACCTCCTTCTACAAACTCCTCGAGTGCTGGCCACTCTCCAGATTACAGAGTTGTCCGGAAACGAAACCGGGTACCTTTGTCATGCGGACCTTGTCGGCACAGAAAGTGAGCATTCAAGACATACCTGACATTCCTTGTTTCTAACAGTTTTAGGCTGAAATGCAATCGCTCGAATCCCTGCGAAAACTGCGTCAAACGAGGAGATGCCGCTTCATGTAACTATGCGCAACCCAACTCGCGCAGGAAGGCTCCGTCTCAGCAGTCATCCAACACACCAGATGATATGCAAAACCGCATCAACCGGTTAGAAGGCTTGGTTCTGTCACTGATGACAAACGGGCCTCAATCTGAGGGTCCGGCTGCTGCCATGGCAGCAATATCCGGTGATAGTAGTAGGGACTCGGCTCAGTTCTCTCATGGCTACGATATCGAGGAGGAGGGTATGGAGGGCGCCGAAGAGAGCGACACGGACCAAGTGACCAAATCGTTTGGTGTCATGAAGATGGACAATAACAAGTCCTACTACATCAGTGAAGCCCATTGGGCGTCTATATTGCATGATGTAAGTTTGGGAGATTTTACTAAATCCGAGTCTTTCTAACCTGCCAAACAGATCTCCGAGGTGCGGAGTTACTTCAAAACGCACAGCAAGCAAGTGGATGAGCAGGCTGAGAAAGTCAAAGCGGCCCAACCAGCTACTGATACACCAAACGCAACATTGTTGTTTGGTGTTAATAAGCCGATGAGCCGTAGCGAGATTATGGCTGGTCTGCCGTCCAAGTATATAACTGATATTCTTATTGCTCGCTATTTCAATTGCTATGATCCTGCGACCCGTGAGTATTGTTTACCTTCGTAGCCTTGATGTTGACACTGACGTTATCTAGATATCCTTCATGGGCCCACCTTCCAAGCACAGGTAAGATGTCTGAGAAGAAGTTCATAATGTGTCCCGACTCTGACTTTGCTAGTATAATAAACATTGGGATGATCCTTCCGCCACCGAACTTGTCTGGATCGCTATGCTGTTTGCAATGATGAGATTAGCAATGCTATCTTACCACCGCGAGGGCGACGAGCCACCTGAATTCCGGGGCAAGTCCATGGACATGGCTGGGGGGTTCCGAAATTCTGTAGCACAGTGCTTGGCATTGGCTGACTACACGAAAGCTCACCGATTCTCAATCGAAGCACTCGTGTTTCATTTGCACGGCGATTTCATTCAGACTCGAGAGGCGGCCATTTCCATATGGGTTATGACTGGTGTTATTGCCCGTTTAGCAATGCGATCAGGATACCACCGTGACTCCAAAATGTTTTCGAACATCACGCCTTTCCAGGGGGAGATGCGGAGGCGAGTGTGGAATTTTGTGCGCCAAGCCGACATTTTATTCTCATACCAGGTCGGATTGCCGAACATGATCCGCGATACAGATACGGATACTGAGCTCCCACGCAGTTTGTACGACGATGATTTTGATGAAGACTGCAAGGAGCTCCCTCCATCTCGTCAATTGAACGAGCCGACCCCAATCTCGTATTTGATTGCCAAGGCACGCCTGACGAACTCATTCAGCCGTGTGGTTGAGCAAAATTCTGCTAGCTCGTCAGTTCCTTACGAGAAAGTGATGGAAATCGACGCGGAACTCCGACAGGCAAGGGATTTGGTACCGGATCACTTGCGCATTCGGCCTATGGAAGAGTGCCAGTTGGATCCTATTAATTTGATCATGTCGCGGTTTTCAGTAAGTAGCTTGAAAGCTACCGCAATTTCTATCGATACTAATCATTTATCCAGGTAATGGCCGTATACAACAAAGCTCAGATTGTACTCCATCGCCCTTATCTGGTTCGTGCTCGAGAAAATCCTCGCTTCGCCTATTCTCGAAAGACATGTATCGACTCGGCAATGGACTTATTAAAAGTCCAGGCAGTCCTGCACGCGGAAACGCGTAACGGACGCCTACGCAGTCGCCAGACCCGAATAACTTCCCTTAGTTCAGCCGACTTCTTACTCGCAGCCACTGCTGTTGCTGTCGACCTATACCAAGGAGTGTCATTGCAGGGGGCCGGCCGGCCATCGGGAGACACGTACACATGGGGTCGAGAGCGGCGCGATGAAATGACTACCGCGATCGAACATTCGATAGAAATCTGGGATGAGTCGCGTGATGAGAGCATGGAGGCATGGAAAGCATCCACCCTTCTCGGTGTTATGCTTAGTAAAGTGAAAATGTCGATCCCGGGTCTTGAAAATAGCACCGCGGCAGCTTCATTTGAACCACAAGACGAGAAACAGAACGCGGCCATGACTCTCGGCCTGCTAAGCAGTGGGATGAGCCCAATGAACCCGGGCCCACCCCCTTTGCTGATCCCATGTTCAAGATGGGAGACTTGCAGATGGGGATGGGAGTTGGTGGCGTAGGTGGCTCAGCTGAAATGCCGAGTGCGCCTTCACCTTTTAGCAGCATGTTCGGGCAGATGCCGGACATGCAGGTCAATTTGGATTGGGTAGGTCATTTCCTCTCTGGGAACCGGGCTTTAACGCTAATATGGTAACATCAGGACGCCTGGGACACATACATCCAAAACCCAACTCTCGACTCAACAAATCAATTCTGGCCTATGATTGACGCACAGCGCCAATTGAACCAACAGGCCGGAGGCATGCCTCAGTCTTTGGTGTCTAGTCCTCTGACATCGGGGCAGATGCCGTCAAGTAGTGGTGCCTCACGGCCACCGACAATGTTCTCAGCTTCCTCCAACAGTCCCGATAGTGGAGGTGTGCCAGTGACAGGATACGGAACGACGCAAATGCCTCGACCAAACAATGGTCGGGGCCAAGGCTCCCTATAAACGAAATGTACAGGTGTATTGCCTGCTTTATTCCTTCCCCATTGTGCCAGAATATGCTTTGCGCTGGCTGTTTTTGATACCTCGAAAAGTTTGAATGGGTTCCTGATCTGATTTCTTGATGTAACAAGCTCTGCTTCTTCTTGTTGGATAGATAGTGACGTTCCAGCGATTATGTCGTTATGTTAGTGGATCTCAGACGGTCTGAGAGAGACTGTTGTCTTTGGGTGTTGCGGTCAATGTATCATATTATGAGGTTACTATCAAATATTTCCACTCTGAGTTATCATATCCAACGTTCAGCTCGAAACCTTTACCCAAATTCTTAATACCTCCTTTATAATATATCCAATCTAACCTTTTTATATGATCTGGTTCGTTGTCATTGGCACTATATCAGTCACGTGCCGGGACTTATCTGCCGGGAAAAGTTATCTGGCTTTGCGTAATTCTTCTCCGGCTAACATATTATTTCTAATACAAGATCGACACATCTTGTGTTGATATAATTCTCAATATGTGAGTCGTTCAGAATGCAGAGTCCGAGTACGAGTCTGAGTCCGAGATCCCATATTTCGTGTTCTCTCGATCTCTGGCAGTTGCTAAACAATTCATTTCTAGGCATTGCTTCCGCCGGGCCGTTTCTCGGCTTCAATTGTCCCAAGCCACTTCGCGCTCATCGATCACCGCGTCTGGCGCAGTGCTACGCTCAACATGTCCTACTCCGATTCTCGCCGCTACGTGGTTCACCTACCCTACCCTCACACAGACACGGTTGAACTCGACCAATGAAGGCGGTCCGCGCATTCCCGTCAGATATGTTGAGTCTGTCAAGCCGAAAGCAACCCCGAATCAGATCCGGCTGGAGAAAAATGAGCGCCGACGTCAGTATATCAGCGAGGGCCCTGTACCGAAGACCACCCTGTACATCGGAAACCTCTTCTTCGATGTGACCGCCGAAGATCTGCGCAAGCACTTTGAGAAATACGGTGCCGTGGAGAACGCACTGATCGTGCACGATGCCCGTGGACTGAGCAAAGGGTGAGTGCCAAGAGCGAGGATTGACAAAAGCAGCAATGCAGGCCAAATTCTACAAGACACTAACCAAGCCTCCCTTCCAGTTTCGGCTACGTCACCTTCAGCACCGTCGAGGAAGCCACCGAGGCCATCACACAGCAGCACGGAGGCATTATGGAAGGCCGCGAGGTGGTTGTTCAGTTCTCCAACACAACATACCGATCCATGGCCGAAAGCAAGCCCAGCAAGACCCTCTACATTGGTAACGTGCCCTACGAATTGACCGACCAGGATTTGCAGGACTTGTTTGATGATATTCCCGGTGTCATCGATGTCCGCATTCCCGTCGACCGTCGCACCGGCTTGCCTCGTGGATTCGGACACATCGACTTTAAAGATCAGGCCAGCGCTACCAATGCCAAGGAGGTTCTCTCTCGCAAGGCCCCTTACGGCCGCAAGCTGGCTGTCAGCTTTGCTAAGCGTAAGGTCTTGAGTCCCGAGGATCACCAGCGTCACCAGCAGAAGAAGATGGAGAAGAGGAACTCTCCTAGGCAGCGTACGTTCTCCCCCATGAGCGAGGTGCGGGAAGTGCGTGAGGTGCGAGAGATTGGGGAGGCGCCTCAGCAGAGTCAGACTGAGCAGGTTACTGAGATCAAGGAGACTGAAGCCGTGGTTGAGACTGTGACTGAACAGGTCGGCGAGAAGACCGAGACTGAGCAGAAGCAGTAGATGATGGTAGTTATATGTCATCAGTAATAAAGTGTACAATAGTGTCCCAAAATGGCAGCCGGAAGCATTTTTCATCTCGACGTACATTGAACAGAAATCATCATACGCACTCGTTTCAGCGCTCGTCTTAGCACCTGCTGCCGCCGTTCCACATCTTACTTGATCCTGCCGGCTTAGCCTATGATCTACAACCTAACATCTATCGATGAAAGTCAATGATCAACGCTCGCTGCAATTCGACATTCCACACTAAATTAGCCCACCGGAAATCATCGTGTACAACACCAAACGCATGGATGTCTTTCCCACACTTCTGAATCTCAAGTAGTACTGAGTAAATTCATTATCTTACTCCTTCCCCATCTATCTATGTTATGGCGAATGTATTTAAGTGGAGTTCTGGTAAATTCTACTCCAACGGCGCACAGTCGGGATTTTAGGGTTCTCAATTGGGCCCCTATTTTCAAGATATAAACACTCGCTCGCTTCCCATCATCCGCCCAAACAAAAGGAAAAGCAAAAGAATATAAGCCCAAACAATGCCATTTAATAAGGAAATTCACCCTCAGTCTCCTCAACAAGTCCCTGCTCCTTCTGCAAGCGATCCTGCTCTTCCAGATATGGCATCAAGATCTTATCCCAACTGGACTTGCCTTTATAATAAGAAACAGTCTCATCCCAATTCCGAATAGCCTCTGCTAAACGACCTGGGATATGAGGCTCCTGAGCTAATTTTGTCACTGGCTCGAAATAAGTGCGAATGGTGAACAAAATTGCCCCCGAGCGAGGCAGCCGACGTAGTGTCTGTCGCTCTGAGCGGAAATGGATCTCGTCGATGGTCAGACCTTTACCGTTGGCAGTAGCCCATGCTGGTGATTAATACTGTTAGCATTTGTTGTATGCATAGAGGGAGGGAGTGGGAACGAACAGGCAACTTCTGTTCCTTGTTGATCGCCCATGCGGTGGGACCAGTGAAGTCCGTCGTCGAGTTGGATGAAGAACTGTAATTTTTGTTAGAATGGTATATTCGCCAATTGACGAGGCAGGAACAAATTAAACGTACATTGTTTCTCTCCACTGGCTTGTCCGGAGTAAGCTTCAGCATGAACCTATTCATGGCCTTTTGCAACTTGGCCGCATAATGAGGAACGCCGGCTTCGAAGTGAAGCGTATCTAGGGACATGCGGAATTTCTCTCTAAGACGCCAGAAGCCAGGGAGACAGACCGCAGCTGCGTCAAGGTGGTATTCGCCATCTGTGTTGTGTTAGTGATTGCGGGGTTTCAAACTGGCAAAGAGAACATACCGTCATTCTTTATCATCAGCACTAGATCATCCTGAACCAGCAGGGCTGATGTTGCGAGGGCCTCATCGGGGGTTGCTATATCTTCAAGTCAGCTGAATACTTTTGGCAGGAGTAATCAGACTTGAGCATACCTGCTGGAAACGGAAACGCCTCTCCAGTAAGACTATTATGGACCTTCCCTCCTTCCAATCGGAAGATCTTGGGATAGCGATGTGTGAGATGAAGAACCAATTCCTCATTGAGCTCAAAGCAAGCATCTTTCGTGACTGCATTATCGACATATTTGACGTGTTCTTTGAAATTCTTTTCCAATTCCGCTGCTTTCATATCGTGGTATCGCAGGAAGTAAGAATCCATTTCGATCCAGTTGTCCCAGTGCAGTTTGCGAATTCCCATGGTAATAAAGTTAGGGCCATGTCGGAATGGGCGGTACAATTTGGGATAATTTGAAGTAGGATCATGAGGAGAAGGGCTGGGAAGTGGTTTGGTGAATGGTTCTTTCTCTGGTTGTTGTATTTGAGGACTGGATTTACGGTGAATTGGCCATTTCGCTATTAACCATGCGAGGACGGTCACAAGTAACCCTAGGAAGGGAAGGGCACCCGATGGGAGGGCAATATTTGTGGGAATCATTGCTTTGTCCAATGTTGAAGTTTGTCGACGGTAATACTTGTATATCTGATGGGGTGCAGGCCTTAAATAAAGTAGATATGCATATACCTGTTGTACACCATATGTCCTGGATCGGCACTCTAAAGTGTGTCACACCCACTAAACCCATTCAGGCAAATCTTTTGGCCATATAAGACCTACGCGACTAGACCGGTTAAGTGTCAACCCGTTTGAGTATAGTGCGTGCCGATAAGAGTCTTGTTCTGTGGAAATCTCCACTTGAGTACTGTGAATGGGGTAACATTCTACGCCCTCTGATTGGTCATTTCTTCCCCGCAATTCGGTTATTGGGCTCTCTCGTATCTCGCTCCTTCTCCTTGGCTTTCCCAATGGGGTGAATCAATTGAGATAGCATCATTTGTTCGGCCCACTGATGTGGGGGTAAAAAAACAGTCTCGGCTGGTTCGGTCCATAGATGTCAATCGGCAAGATTGTCGAAAAGTGGCTCCGATGGCCCAACTTAGATAATACAAATTTATAGATTACGTTTAGAAGATAGGAATGGTAGCGCAAGAAATATGATTCTTCAGGCTATATCAAAGCAAACTAAATAAGACGCTATATAAGTTCAATTCAAAGTTAAGAGTGCTCAGCTTCTTCTAGAGGCCCTTTGAAATCTGTAAACCCAGTTAGTACTTCATCTTCGAATCAAGGGGAGGAGAATGCTTACATCGCCGTCCATAGAACATATACCAGGCGAGACTTAAAGCAACACAGCCCACAAATACAACCGATGCATAAGTCATTGTTTCGCTGGTGACAGGAAGTGTGATAGGCATGCTGAACAGAACAACTTGAAAAGTGATCCACAAGAGCGCGAGAATGTTGGCCGTCTTCCCAATGAGAGGATTCAGCGTCCAGCGCGACTGGCTAATCTCCACACGGCGATCAACAAACAAACTGATCGCAATCGGGATCGCATACGCCACGGCCAATGCAATGACACCTACAGATGCAAAAGCCGTGAATGCACTGCTGCTTCCAAGATAGGTAAGGCCCAGTAGCATCTCAACAGCTGTAACCAAGCATAGCGCTGCCAGTGGGCTGTCTCTGACAGTGGTAGACCACAGATGTGAGAAGGGGATTGCATTGTCGCGCGAGAAGGCCCAGGTACATCTCCCAGCCGTGGTTGTGATGCTGATCGAGCAGAAAAGGGCGACAAATAGAACAAGGATCATGAGCACAATTGAGGCTGCAGGTGAACCTGTCACCACGTGAATGATATACGGCAAGGCTTGACCGTAGGGCGCGCCAATGATGTCCGCCAGCGGTGGAAGTGTGAAACAAATTGGGACAGTGAACACTAGCGCTGCAATACCGGCAACAACGGGTACCAGACTGATAGCTGTAGGAATTTGTACTTCAGGATCTGTGCATTCCTCTGCCATGGAGGTGACCATTCCTATTGCGGAAAAGGCGTATGCTGGTGGGAGCAAGCCGATGAAGAAGGTGAAGTTCTCTTCCCAGCCAGAATAGCTGGGATCGTATCCAACGAAGCCTGTGTAGGCATCATGACGACCGGTCTTTGCTAGGACAAGGAGCGTTATGGCGAGCGTGATGCATGTGACGACTGAGAATGCTGCGGAGAGTGTGTCGATGAGAGGAAGGAGGTGGTCGGCGAAAAAGCATATCATGAAAACTACAAGGCAGATAGCGTAGAAGATGAGAAGGAGTTGCCAGGCAGAGGCTGTCCAGGCGGGATAGAAGATGGAGACAGTTGCAACGACGAGGGAAGCGATTCCGAAATTCACAGATAATGAGATGGTCCAATTTCCGATGAGCCAGATCCAACCCGTAACAAATGAGACTAGCTTCCTGCTTCCGTTGGTCTTCAGCAGTCGGAATGACCAGTGATAGATACCAGATGAGGTAGGGTATCGTGAGGCGAGTTCTGATAGAGACAGGGCAACGCAAGTATCCAGGGCTAACACCACTAAGAGTCCAATGAAGAGAGAGAGTTGACCGCCGCCATATACAGCGTTGATGAGAGCGCTCCCGACTCCGTAAGGGATAGAGGCAATTGACAGGGACATGAACAACATACTCGACAGCTTACGTGTACGGCGCAGCTGAGGCTTGTACCCCAATTGGTATAGCTGCTCATCCTGATATGTGCCTAGCCCTTGAGTTTCGACTTTGTCGCACGAGCCCATACTGAGGTCTTGTTTCTCCATTGTTTTCTCCATTGGTTGCCCCAATTTGGAATTGAAAATGCAATGATGGATTTATAGATTCACTCCGTGGGTATGTAGCATTGGTCTTTATACCGTTTCCCCACTGTATGGACCTAGGGAAGAAGCTTTGTTCTAGTCTAATATTGGAAATCATTTGGGCCATTTATCTTGATTGCCCCCGGTCACTGAGGCGGCCATCAGATAGGGGTCACGTATCTATGATTTTCTCCAGGACTGTTATCATTGCCATATTTAACCTTGAGACTACTATATTTACGGCTAGAGGATTGCGGGGTAGAGTTTTCTAGCCCATGGGAATGGTTCGGCTGTCTTATCAGTGCCATGTGGCGGTAAATTGGGTGGAGTTGCCCAAAAACCTTCCCAATTGGGGTTAACTCGCCAATGTGTGTCATGCCGATTACAGAGCTGGAGATAATCTCAAGGCTGTACCCCTATTTTCCCGGTGGGGCTTTTATGCCGCTTTTGTGAGGGATAGTCGGGGTAGATACCAGCACGATGATCACCTGGGACGACTCTACTGAGGCGATTGCCCATATTATCCCATCTCACGTAGTTCAGTAATTCATGTAGAGCCCTGCAACGTACCAAGAAGTCGCCTTTCACGGTGAAGCGTGAGCAACCACTATGTAATACCCACTGTATATTCCGTTTACTAATTCTTGTATTCATGTCCACTTCTGTGGTGGTTATGCCATGTTCTTAGCCTGCCGTCCCTCTTGAAATTACATTCATTTGCATAGCTATGTCAATTGAGTTTCACGTCGGGAGAATTGGTCATTCTCGCCAAATAGAACGTACTATCAAGAATATATTCTTCATTTCACATAAAAAGAAACCCCTCAAAGGCGAGAAAGATTAGAAAATTCTGCTGGAGCATGGTAAGTAGGGACCTTCATATCAAGATCGGCTCCAGAGTATCCAAGGTCCTCCGCAACCAACATTGCACACTTTTCACCGATCAGGAGAGCAGTCTATCGATGAGAGTAGTTAGTATTTTTCAGGTTCCCAGATAATTCAAGATAAAGAAAACTCACGCTGAAAGTGTTGCAACCCACATTGTCAGGGCAGATGGACAAGTCGCAAACCTTGAGACCCTTCACGCCATGAACATTGAGACGCTCGTCAACAACGCCTCCATGGGGTGCAATGGAGTTGCCCTCTCGTGGAGCCATGCTACACGTGCCAAGGCAGTGCCAGGTTGTCTCAACGTGGCGGGAAACTGCAGAGACGTTAGATCTCATGATCACCAATCACAATTCTTGATACTTACTCCACTTCTCAATGTGTTTAACATCATCATCGCTGTACTCCAAAGAAGTACGAGCCTCATGTCTATTGGAGTTGAGAGTTGAAGCTGAAGGTTGCTTTCCGGGTTCCAATGGAGTTGTCCAAGAACCTATATTCATTAAATTAGCTTGATCTGATTATTGTACTGGAGGAGAATGAGGACGCACCATGTTGGATGCCAGCAGAAATATGGTTCGCTCCGGCATATGCCTTGGTAGTTGCCAAATCCATATCTTGCGCCCGTGCTGGTGAGTTGAAGGCAAATTGAGGATGCATGGCAGTGACCTCTCCAGCATATGCGCTCATCCGCCGGGCGGTCTCACGGGATTTGATATATCCCCAGACCAAAGGCGCCATATCGCGTTTGTCATTCATGAAGCCGGCATCGAAGTCCGGGACTTCGTAAGGATCAGCAGACTGGATGTGGGTGTGCCCACGTGAGAAGGGATATTCCTAATATCTTGTCAGCACTAGCTGCCATAATGTAGTGGATTTGTACCATACCAGGAAATGGAACATTGTGAAGAACTTGCCCGGGGGCATGTGCATGTGGTCTCCAAACCAGCTATGCGCGTGGGTTAGCCTAGTGGCATTTGAAATGAGGCTGATAAAATGCTTACCCAGAAATGATTGAGTAGTGCATGACAGGCTTGTCAGGCTTGTTCCTGAAGTACGACTCATATCCCTCTGTAAAGTCCGGGGTTGGCCACTTCTTCATCTCTCCGAGCTCTTCCTCGGTAGGCCGAATCTTGACCCCGGCATCAATACCATTGGTGGCCAACGGACCGGTGCCCTTCTTATCCCACTCTTCGAACACCTTCTTTTGAACCTTGGGATCTCCGCGAATGAAGTCATCAAAGGACTCGACATCGGGCTTGGCGCGGTAAACAGAGAAAGTAAGGTAGTGGTCCTGGAAGTTCTGGCCCACACCTGGTAGATTGACCAGGGGCTTGACACCAGCGCGCCGCAGCTTTTCGGGGTCACCAAAGCCAGACCGCTGTAGGATAAGTGGAGAGCTCATTGTACCCGAACTGATAATGATTTGCTTCCGAGCCCTGAATATCCTGCGAACTGGTTCTCCGCCATTGAGAGGCTTAGTTGGGACTGTCATAACTCCCACAGCACGACCATTTTCAACAATCACTTTCTCAACTTTGGTATTGCATTGAAGGTGGAGATTGCTGTGCTTGGCTCGGGTGCTGTGCACGTAGGCGTGGGCCGCATCACTTCGTCGCCCTAATACCGACTGTTAGGAGACAACAATACTGATGAGAAACTGGGAATCTGTTCTTACCTGTGTCACGATTGATCCATTTCAGCCAATGTTCAGCACCGTGGCTGCAACATTATCACTCTTAATTAGCAATAATCAGTGGAAGATTGATCATGGGTCTCATACGCAGTCTTCAAATCTTGCAAATCATCAGTGAATGGAATTCCTTGCGTCTCAACGGCGCGAAGGAAGTCATTTTTGATCGGGTACGTGTAATTTCCAAACGAGACCTTAATAGGTCCGTCAGAGCCATGCAATTCCGGATTATTGCTCGCACGTTGATATGTTTCATGTTTCCTCATCAATGGGAGAAGTTCCTTGGTTGTCCAGCCTTTTGCCTGGAAGTCGTCGTAGTCGGACGCGGAAGCTCTGGTATACATCTTCCATGCGTTCAGCTTGGGGCCGCTGGATCAAAAGATTAAACGAAAATCACGCACCATGAAGTTGATGGAGCTACCACCTCCAAGGATATTGGCGCAAGGTACAATAGCCTGGCGACCGTCTAAATGTTCAGATGGTCTGGAGTGATAAAACGATGCCGTCTTCGAATCAAGTTTCATATTGTTTGGGTAAATTCCAGGACGGTACACCCTAGATTGAGATGAGAACACATTTAATGAGATTGGTAGTCACAGCAATTCCTACCATTGATTGTTCAAGTTGTCCTCGCCGGCTTCAATCAACAACACGGACAGTTTGCGATCAAGATTAGCGAGGCGGCCCGCGGGGACACATCCCGAACTGCCGCCACCGCAGATGATGATATCGACCTCATCTGGGATAGTCATGACTTTTGAATGTGTTGAAAAGACAATGAATTAGAAATGTTTCTTATGAAATTGTTCGAGGGAATGATCAAACATCTGATGAAACCTACCAGAGGGGCCTTATATACCTGTGTCTCTGTGCCCATACAGGTACCTAACCAGAAAACTTCTCCAAATAAAGTCACATATACAGCCAATAGCCCATAACATAGACCCCGCGTGCGGAGACAGGGTTCAAATGATCAAAGTGTACCTCACACGAGGCTCATCCTTGTCAAAAGGTGCATTCGTCCTTGACGCATTCCAATGAATGCAATTCAACTCTCCACCATGGAACGAATAATATAAGCAGGGAGAGAATGATAGAAGCATGTAATACTAATGGCATTAAATGGAAATTGCTAGTCATGATGCCCTGTTTCTCAAGGTGGGTATTCCCGTCATATCACAAACTGCGATCCGCTTAAAACCAAGATCTCTATTATGGCGCTTCCGGGGCCATTCCCCGCATGCCATATAGCTGTCGTCAGCTCAATTGATTGCCTAGACCAAGATCTTCCAGGCTCTATGCAGGTGAGATGCCGCCAAGTGTCTTTGCCATGCCTCCATACCCCAGACGGCGTATAGACGAGGGGAAACCGCGCGGGGGTCAAAAGCCTCGCAGTTCGTCGCACGAGCCCAGTCGAAAATGATTAGAATGGCGCTCAATGTACTAGTCGCTGGTTTCAAGGTGTGGCCATCTGATATGAGCACCTCTAGCGTGCAGAATGATGCATCAGGCATTTAGGTGACGTCCTCTCGTTTAATGTGTGTATTTCACTGGTAGAATGCGCTGAAGAGGAGAAAGCAAAGAGTTTTACCGGAAAATCCCCGAAGATAACTTATAAAAGACTATAGAGTGGTCTATTTTTCTGATTCAGTGAGGTTAGATTGTCCGGGATGCATGATTCAGCCTATAATGTGGCGCTGGGGGGCATTAGTCTCCGTGGATTGTCTCCCCGCACTATCGGCGCTCTAAATAGCAATTTCGCGGGGTAGGTTTAAGTGCGCTCACAATATTTTATTTACGGAAGAGGCGGCAGATATATAATGCTGATACATATTCCGATTGGAGGGAAATTTTGACATCAAAAAGTAAACCGCATCGTACTTTCACACATCACCAGTAGGCTATGCTCTCACTCGTGGAGTATGATATAACCGAAAACACGTCGTTGTATAAAAGTTTGTGGAGTAGAGAGAGGAGGAAGTTGCTGTATCGACCACAAACAAGTGGAATTGATTCTATGCTAGCCGTCATAAAAAAATACAGACATGTAGTACGATACTATGTTAGGTTAGTGCTCAATATAGCAGTTATATTCTTGAACAAGATAGGTTGATCGTTGAATGAGGTGTCAAATATTCCATTCTATATTTGAATGAAGTTGAACCCAATCCTGGGCCTAAAGCACTGGTCCATCACTCAGAGGCGCCGTAATGAACCCCCAGCAGCAGATAAAGATAAGTCTGCTACCCATTTTTACACTTTCCACTTGGGTCATCGGAGACTACGGCGCACGGGTGTATCTATTCTTTTTTGGACCTGGGGTGAATTCTGAGGGCGCTCCCTGAATGTATGACTGCAAATATCTACAAATGCGGAGGTATCAGCCATTTCAGATGGTTTGCTATCTGACGGCCCTGACTTCTTCCAGCCCGGCAAGGTTTGGTCGTCATTGTCAGATACGTACTCGTCTCTGGGAGCGCCATCACCCCAGGCTTCCGATCTCTTCTCTCCCAAAACATGCTAGCAAGAATACATGAAATCAAAATATCTTTTTTCGGTCGAGAAATGTTTGGCTTCGATCTCGTCAATGCGATCTTGAACGAACTGGCTATTCGGGGATTTATTTCGGCGTGAAACCGCTCGACGCCCAGACGCATGTTTTCACCGGAATTGATGTCTGTTTGTGTGCCGATCGACATTTCCAGTGTTTAAAGATGAACTCGAGCTGCAAGAGCAAGGAAATCGAGCCTTCAGAACTATGGTCATATGTACAACATCCGGCCTATCAACTTAGGGTACGGACGTGCTCAATTATACCCAGTGAGCATAAAGCGGCAAGAGCTGAGCACTAAAATGGAAGTGCCACTCAGACTTTGGGATATGGGGCTCCACTCCGATCTCGGATTGATTTGCCGCTTATCTCAGAGGTCACGACAATAACCATTACAATTGAACTTGATATTTGGAGAAGGTAAAAGTTGTCATTCGCAAATTATATACATGAATTCATCACATGATAAAGCCCCAGAAAAGAAGCCGGCTAGTAAGGGCAGTGAGCCTCAACCTCAATTTCAATCACCATACCCTCAATTCCAAGCTTTCCAATCTCCACACAAGTCCAAATAGGTCGGTGGCCAGGAAGAACCTTCTTGAAATTGCCAGTGACTACCTCAAATGTCTGATCCATGTTGAGGTGATAGCTGCGCACTGCATAAACATTTTCCCAAGACATACGCGAGTCAACGCTCTTCAGCGCCTTTTCGACATTCTCAAAAGCGATAGCCACTTGTTGCTCGACGTCAGGGTTGACATTGCCATTCTCGTCCCAGCCACCTTGACCAGAGGTTTTGATAGTGTTTCCGATGCGGACGGCTTGCGAGTAGTGGAAGGATTCCGAGTTTGCCTCGGTGCCAGCGTAGTTGAAGAATTGCATGTTTGGTTTATTGGTGGATTCGGGGTGTGGATGCAGTAAGTAAGAAGAAAGTAGATAGAGATTTAGGTTGGCGAGAAAAGGAAGTGGACGTAGCCAACCTATTTAAACGACCATCAAGACATCTCTCTCATAGAATGTGCTAAAAAATGGGGCATCTCACATACGGTAACTATTCTGACCATGCCCCTCAAACTCATTCAAAAGATGCATATGTAGTCTTGTACCAATTGTGGATGTTTGCTAGAATAGCCAAGATTTCAGCCTTCAATCAGATCTTGGGGTGGATAGATGGTCTTCTTACTTGCCGTTGAGGGCACCGTTCCCCACACTCTGCACAATAATGCCCTGAATAGGTAAGTATTTAGGCCAAGTTGATCCTCGGAATGTCAAAGAACGTCCATCGTCGGGATCTTCGGGGATCTCAGAATCGTGGGTCCCCTCATCTATGGGGCTCCGCATTTCCCAATTAGGCAAAAAGATAGGCCAAACTAAAACTTTGCTTGGCTTTCCCCAGAACATACCGATCGCTCTTTGTCACAGAATGAAATTGATTTACTAAGTGTTCACGAAGGCTACAAATATAAAGCTGACAAGTCTAGCGTTTTGCACGTCCCAGAAACTACAACCTATTATCTCAAAATGGCTCAACCTATCCAATTAACGGCTCCTAACCAGACCTCCTATTTACAACCTACCGGTGAGCAATAGGTTCCCAAGAAGCTCGATTTCAATGACTGATAGTTCCAAAAAAAAGGCTTGTTCATCAACAATGAATTCGTTCCCTCTATCTCCGGCGACACCCTCTCAACCGTCAACCCTTTCGATGAATCCGTAATCGCCAGCGTCTCATCTGCCGGCCCAGAGGACATTGATCTTGCCGTAGCCGCTGCTAGAAATGCCTTCAACTCAGAAGAATGGCAATCCATGGCTGGATTTGACCGAGGCCTCTTATTGACTCGCCTTGCAGACCTCTGCGACCGCGACAAGCACATTCTCGCCACAATCGACGCCTGGGACAACGGCAAGCCATACGAGCAGGCATTGGGCGAGGACCTTGCTGAGGTCATCTCTGTGTTCCGTTATTATGGCGGCTGGGCAGACAAGATCCACGGACAGACCATCCCAACTAGCGAGGCCAAGTTGGCCTATACTAGACACGAGCCTATTGGAGTCTGTGGGCAGATTATTCCGTGGAACTATCCTGTTATGGTAGGTGACAAAGGAGCAACTATAGCCCCAGTCAGTTCAAGCAACGCTAATGCAAAGTAGATGGCAGCATGGAAACTCGGACCTGCCCTTGCGTGCGGAAATACTGTTGTCATCAAAGCTGCTGAACAAACCCCACTCTCGATCCTTTACCTCGCTTCTTTGATCAAGGAGGCCGGATTCCCCGCCGGAGTAGTAAACGTTGTCAATGGTCCCGGTGCCACTGCTGGTGCCGCTATGGCGTCGCACCTGAACGTTGATAAGATCGCGTTTACCGGCAGTACCAACACCGGAAAGGCCATTATGAAAGCAGCCGCTTCGAACCTGAAGACTATTACTCTTGAGACGGGTGGCAAGAGTCCATTGCTCGTCTTCGAGGATGCCAACCTCGACCAAGCAGTGAAGTGGTCACACGTCGGCATCATGAGCAATATGGGTCAAATTTGCACATCCACCTCGCGCATCTATGTGCAAGAGAGCATTTACGAGACTTTCGTGGAGCAATTCAAGCAGTACACCATTGAGAACTCCGTTGTCGGCAGCCAGTTCGATCCCCAAGTGAACCACGGGCCTCAAGTGTCTGCTGCACAGAAGAGTCGCATTCTGGGGTATCTTGAGACTGCTAAGCGTGAAGGCGCACAGCTAGTCCTCGGGGATGATCAGCCTTCCCCAGATGCCAAGGGGTATTTCGTCAAGCCCATTATTTTCAAAGATACCAATCGCGATATGACTCCCGTCCGGGAGGAAGTCTTTGGTCCCTTTGTCGTTATTCAGTCTTTCAAGGACCAGAAGGATGCAATTGAGAAGGCCAATGATACTGAGTACGGCCTTGGTGCCGCTGTATTCACGGAAAATATTACCCGTGCTCATAAGGTCGCTTCTGCCATTCAAGCTGGCATGGTTTGGGTATGGACTCACATATCTGACTTTCTACGACACATGCTGACCCTCAACAGATTAACAGCTCGCAAGATTCCCATTTTGCGATTCCATTCGGTGGATACAAGCAGAGTGGTATTGGGAGAGAATTGGGTGAATATGCTCTTTCGGCTTACACTCAAGTAAAGGCGGTTCATGGTCAGTATCTTTCTCACAATCTTCGCGACTGGAATATTAATTTTTTTTAGTTAACTTGGGAACTTGGCTTTGAATATATCCGGGGTTTGACCCGACTCGATGTGGCGTTTTAGCAAAGGAAGCGCCACACCGCATATAGATAGTAACAAATAAATGAGGCCAGAAAATAGGCCAGAATATGAACAATTCAACCATCACAACTGTTAGTAAATCATGTGAATCTTTACAGATGATGTGCCTGAGGTACCGGATATACTGCGAATCTCGTGACTCTCCAAATTGCCGTCGCGGAACCTCGGCTGACCGAGGCGGAAAGCCCTTGAAACCCCCACGTCAAGAGATATCCGGGGGAAAAGGCACATTTACCTTTACCTTGACTTTATCTCGCACTTTCTTTTCTTAACTCAAATTTCACCTCATTAACTTACATTCAACTCACATTCCCACCATGTCGTTCCTCGGTGGCGCAGAATGCTCAACCGCGGGGAACCCTCTCTCACAATTCACGAAGCACGTCCAGGATGATAAATCACTACAGCGCGACCGGCTAGTAGGCCGGGGGCCAGGCATGCAAGAAGGCATGCGCTCACGCAACATGATGGGCGGACAGGACCAGGTGAGCAACGCAGCCTACAACTCCCTGCAGAGAAAAATAGCAACGGAAACTGACATCGGCCTCGGGAAACTTTTATCAGATGATGGACGATTTCATGCAACAGCCAGGACAACAACTAAACGGGCCCTCGCCGCAGCCTTTCGCGATGGAACACATGCGCCGCGAGCTGGATAATTTCCAGACGCAACCGGCCCGCACAGGTTCGCCAGGATGGGCGGGGGAGTTTGACTCGGGCGAGCAAGCACGCATGGAAGCCGCATTCCCCGGCCAGATGAATAACGGATCTGGGTTCAATCCTGCTGAGTTCGCCCGCTTCCAACAGCAAAACCGTATGGGCATGCCGCAGACGTCGAGCCCTGCTGCCGTTAACGCCTCACCTATGATGTCGGGGTACCAGCGACCGATGGCCATGGGCGGCGGATTTATGGGTGGCATGGGTGGTATGGGAATGATGCAGCCAATGATGGGTGGTCAGATGGGGATGCAACACGGGCCTATGGAAGGACAGACACAGGATAAAGGGAAGGGGCGGATGGTGGAGCTCGACGACGAGAACTGGGAGGCGCAGTTTGCTGAAATGGAGACTGCGACAGTTGGCAATGAAGCCCGGACGGATGAGGAGGCTAATGCAGCCATCGAGGCGGAACTGAATGATTTGGACAGGTCAGTGCCCTCCAATGACGCGTTTGAGTCTGTATGGCAACGGGTCCAGGCTGAGACCGCAACGAGCAGGAAACTTGCCGAAGAAGATAACTTTGAAGTTACTGATAACGTGCATGTTGGTGATCTCGGGGACTGGGATGGCTTTGATAGCCTTAACTCTCGTTTCCGGGACCCCCAGCTCGGCGATTATATGTTCGAGGAGGATAATGTTTACCAGGCTGTGGGCAATCCTTTCGAGGAGGGAATGAAGATTATGCGTGACGGCGGTAACCTGTCACTGGCAGCGTTGGCTTTCGAGGCTGCAGTTCAAAAGGATCCACAACATGTTCACGCTTGGACGATGCTGGGCTCTGCGCAGGCGCAGAATGAGAAGGAGTTGCCCGCTATCCGTGCATTAGAACAAGCCCTGAAGGTCGACCCTGGGAATCTCGATGCATTGATGGGCCTGGCTGTCTCATACACAAACGAGGGATACGACTCAACTGCTTACCGCACACTCGAGCGTTGGCTATCCCAGAAGTACCCAACGATCATTGACCCGAAGGAAGTATCCGGTGACTCAGACCTTGGCTTCACAGACCGTCAACTTCTTCACGACCGCGTTACAGAACTATTTATCCAAGCAGCTCAGCTTTCCCCCTCAGGAGCTCAGATGGACCCCGACGTACAAGTCGGACTGGGCGTTCTCTTCTACTGCGCTGAAGAATACGAAAAGGCCGTCGACTGTTTCTCCGCAGCCCTAGCCTCCACCGAGTCCGGCAGCACCAATCAACAAGAGCAGCTCCACCTGCTCTGGAACCGACTTGGTGCGACCCTTGCCAATTCCGGTCGCTCCGAAGAAGCCATCGAAGCCTACGAGCAAGCCCTCACCATCAACCCCAACTTCGTGCGCGCCCGCTACAACCTCGGCGTGTCTTGCATTAACATTGGCTGCTATCCCGAAGCCGCACAGCACCTTCTAGGTGCGCTTTCCATGCACCGTGTTGTGGAACAAGAGGGCCGTGAGCGTGCACGCGAGATCATCAAGGACGGAGTGCATCCGGATGGCCTGGACGATGAGCGCCTTGAGCGCATGCTGCACATCAGCCAGAATCAAAGCACGAATTTGTACGACACGTTACGTCGTGTATTCAGCCAGATGGGCCGTCGTGACTTGGCTGACCAGGTTGTCGCCGGCATGGACGTGAACATCTTCCGCAAGGAGTTCGAATTCTAGATCGTTGTGCATAGTTGATTCCTTTTTGCTTGATGTATGAACAGGTATGGGATATATCTTTCGATTTTTCTGACTCATGGCTGGCAGTGCCTGGCTGCATTGTATCTACTTTTTATCATTTGATGGCTGCTTAGATGGGATCTTCAAGCCACAGAGGAGAAAGCACTTCCTCATATATATGTCTTATGAATGCATTTGCTCCTGTCTCAATTTTCCCCTCTCACATACATAACTCTCATCATCATGAATGAAAGGGAGTCAGGTTCATCAACTCGTCAACGACCTTCCCAACCGCCACGGCCTTTTCCTCTCCAAATCGACCCCCAACAATCTGCACGCAGATAGGCATCCCATGAACAAGGTTGACATCGTCTAATGAGAAGGGAAAAATCAGCACCAACGGTTGAGAAAGACAGTAGACTAAGAAACAGCCACTCACACTGCAAATAATTAAAAGCATCCGACTCATCTCTGATAGAATGTCCCTGCCACTCAGCATTACTACCATTACCAACAGAGTCAAGACCCCGATCCACTCTCGCAACAGGAACAGTCACGGCTGCGTAATCCAGAAGATTCCACATAGCCGTGTATCCCACCCACTGCTTGCTCTTCACCCACGTCTTGGGCTTGTACCCGACCCATGGGGTGACGGGCATTAGGAGGGCGTCTATTCCCGATGAAGCCCATTGCTTCAGGAACGTGGTTTGAAGTGTGAGCTTTGTTGCTTCAAACTAGTTCAGTGGTGTTAGAATTGTAGATGGGTTAGGATTTGGGTATTAGATAGCTGAAGTGTCAAAGATGTCATCTTTATGAGTGGGGTTATGTGCTCTGGGTCTTGATTCTCACCTGCTCCCGCTCCTCGTGTGAAAGACGATCGGTCTCTTTGCCAACAATCATGCCTTCAATCAAGGGCTCGTCGACTATGCTGCAAAGCGAACGGCAGTGCTGACCACCATCGGCGAGGATTCCTTTTGTCCATAGATTGGTGATGGCGATGTGGAGGGAGGTGTCCCATTCAATCACTTCGGCATATTAGTATGACGCAGACACATTTTAACCTAAGGAAAAGGCGGTCTTCTTAAAAAGAAAAAATGAGTGTATACCTTCATGGCCAGCGGCTCTCAATGCATCCACCGTCTCATGCATAGCCCTTGTAACAGGCGGTTGCGGCTTGACAACACCGTCATCAAATACAACGCCCAGTTTTAACTTGCGACCCACCGATGGGGTCGCGAGATCTTTTCGCCATGGGATGGGAGTCACACTTGGATCTAAGTCCCACGGACTGGACGCAAGGAAACTCTCCATGAAGTATTCAGTCGTAGCGAGAGATGTGGCCATTGGACCGGCAACGGGTGGTATGAGATAGCGCTGGTGTAAGCTATCAAAATAAATCATTATTGGCCATACGTGCAGTATCCCGAGAACACAAGTAAATGACTTACTAAGAGCAGTCCCAGGGCACTCGTCCCGTCGTTGGACATATAGAGTACAGACCTTGTAGATTAGAAGGCACTCGGATCGAGCCACCGATGTCAGTACCGATTCCCAGGACACTGCCCCTAGACCCGACAAGGGCGCCTTCACCACCGGAGCTACCGCCTGATATTAGGGCATGGTTGAAAGCGTTTACAGATTGGCCGAATACATGATTGTACGAGTCGGACATCTAATCGAGTGTGGTGTGGTGAGTTGACTTCCGCCAACGCATTTCAAAGACAAAAGAAAGGGAGAGCTCACCATTAGAGATTGTGGGACATTAGTCTTGACATACAACACTGCACCCATTGACTCTAGTAAGCTCGCGATTGAACTATTAGATTTGGCTGGTTTGTTGGTCAGGCCCACCCAACCTATACATACATTAGCGACACCCAAACTCGAAGTTAACAGCGAGGCAGAGTGGAAGAGAGCAAAACCGCACCAACAGTTGTATCAACCCCCTCAACATCAAACCTATCCTTCACAGAGACGGGAACCCCATGCAAAGGCCCAACAACCTCACCAGTACGCAGTAAATGATCATCAAGCTCCTTGGCACGCCTAAGAGCTTTGTCAAAGAAAATCTCCGTCAAGCACTTCGTAACCTGCTGTGCAATAGCAGCACGTTTACAAAACGCCGTTGTCAGCTCCTCGCTCGATACGCGCCGGGATTTGACTAGCTCGACGAGGTCGCGAATATCTGTTTTCCCGGTCCATGCTAGCTCGTTGGCGGAGAGAATATCGCTTGCATGGATGTTTTCTATGCTTGATGCTGGTGGGTTTGATAGGAGGGATGTTGGGAGGTGCCAAGCTAAGGGGATCAGGGCTGACTGGGCGGCCCGCTTTTCGAGGACGCGGTTGCGCCATGAGGGTAGGTTGAGCTCTTGAATTTGTTCTTGAAATATTGCCTCGATAGTCATGGTGGTGATAGTAATTCAGAAGATAGTACTGAAGGAGTGCCGGTTATGTTGAGGGATGTAACTTAACCGAAATATCAACTCTGGATTGCTATCCCCTCATTTCGGTAATGTTGCCGTGAGGGGTCAACTTAAGCTTAAGAATCATATCTCATCCATGAAAAGGGCATTTGAGACTCCAGTAATTGGGCAGATGCTAAATCTAGACAAGGTTGCAGTTTCCTAAGCAAGGAAAGTCGGTTCTTTTATACTCAGCTAGGTTGCTTAGTTATCTTGCCCACGATGGAGGTATATAAAACAGTGGCTGTCTCGTTATAAGCTCAAATATGACGCAACGTAGACTTCATACGTCGACGAATTCCAGACCGATGTTGAAAATTGCAGGAACTTGCACAAATTCACGCAGGAAAAGCGATCCTTGGGTTAAACCAAGGTCACCGAGCTGGAAGCGGAGAATATTGGACTGTACGCCAGAGAAAACAATAAGGGCCTTGAATGTCTTAAAGAGAACTTTATGAGCAGCCCACTCATACTCGGGAATTTGAGCCGGCACATCGCGACTGAAGATGAAACTGCATAATCTGTCGCATTGATACAACCACTTGATAGATGGTTGGAAGCCAGACTTCCTTTTACCTTCCATGTTGATTCTTATCGTCGTATTGGGGATCATGATTTCAAGAGGATGTATCGAGGGTGTAGGCTCTTCACTCTTGAATATCAAAGGGAGCAGTTATACGCATACTCTGCAACATTTGATGTTCGTCTTTTTAGGTATTATTTCGGATATATGGCACATACCCGAGCTAAAGCCTCGGAGACGGAAGGAGTTAGAGCATGGAAACTAACATATGAGTATTAAATAAACTAAACAGACTGTTGTTTAGCTTGCTCTCGCTCACAAGGAGGACGATCATTATGGATTTGGGCCAATTATAAGTTGGGGATTGCCAGAAATGCTTGTAAGTGCGTTGTAAAACTTCGCCGAAGTGTGTCCAGGAGGCGATAAATTCCTGATGACACTGTACAGGTTGAAGATCACCACTGGGATGACTGTGGTGGACTATGTATGTACTACCTAGATCGTAAGAAAGTAAGCCTTGGAATGCTTAGCACTTGGAAAGCTCCCAGTTGCAGCCCCGCGGGCCGGCCCGGCGGCCCACGTGGCTTTTCGGTAATACGTAGGTATAACTTTGACATCCACCGATAAATATAGATTCATTTACATTCGTGGATTGCACAAGACTCTTCAATTAAGATTTCTAAAAGAAAAAGAAGAGGAGCTCACAGTGGTTCTTCTCAGCGTGACTATGCTCAAAACCTAAATCAAAAAATAAACAGGAAGTACGAGAGGGAAATCTTTCAGAAATGTGATTGGGGTGTGCTCTCAGATACAGCGAAGCTATATGCGTGCCGAGAGGAAGATAGCCCATCCCTATCTCGAAGAGCGGTGCTGATAAAGGAAACCTTTACCAGATGGCATTACCACCAAGTTTTTGATATCCATCTTATCCTCAGCCCTATAAAACAAGTCAGAGATTGACGCGGGTGGAAAGACTGGTTCCCACGTGAAGACCATACATATGCTCGCACGGCCAGACATCAGCAAATCCATCCCTCGCTTCTAGCAGGACGTGTAGGTGCAATATGGACCACCATTTAGATCCATCTTACAAGCGCCTGAGGATGGAATCATACTTTGCCAGATACCGGAAGGATCGCCTGCACAATCATAGGGGAGACTTCGAGTGTTAGCTTTTGCCTAACGTTTCGAAAGGGAAATTCAAAGCAGGCCAGACATACAGTATGTGTATCTTCCTGGCGTACATGCAGCAGCAGAGCTCAGAGCCAAGACCAGGGAGAGGATGATACTTGAAAGACGCATTTTGAGGTGATAGGTATTGACCTCAAACTTTACAGAGGAGAGACGTTATGTCTTGGAGATTTTCTCAAATCCTGCCTTTATATATGTCCTCGGGGTGCGGGGCTGGGTAGCGGCCGAGTACACTCGGGGGACCAATTGTCGAGATGTAGGATCCCGTTATATATGCACGATACATTACAGCGCTTATATTCCAGTATCACATTATCAAATGACCTGAATATGCAGGATACAACTCGAAAAACTGCTGACCGCCATAATAGAGTCTTCCCTACTGAGTAGATTTACCCGTGCTCTGCATCCAGAATGTCATACTTATGTGATTTATCTAGAGAAATTGCACTTGATCATTCTATTCTAGCAGTGATGCCCTTGGAAAGGAAACCTGATAGATGAAATTCTTCTGCCTTATCTAATCCATCATAGCCATAACGAACTTTCCTCTTACTAGAAAGGTGAACATTTCATGGTTCCACTGATACGAAATTCCTTCACGGGTTTTAGTGAGGCTTCCTCAGTCAATCGACCAATCAGGTCGCTTGTCAATTGAACCCACCTGGGTACATCTTAGAGGCTAGGTCCAGCTCTCAATAGGTCGCTCCTCGAGAGTAGTGGTTCAATTGTCGGGCTGAATTTTGTTCAATTGCAAAAATATGATAGCAACATAAGAAACATGCCTCCAAGAGAAAAAAAAAAGGCCTTAACTCTAGAATGAGGATAATGATATATATAGATATAGGGGACTTGCAACGATAAGTTGATCACTTGATTTAAACGAACATTTAAACGTCCCTCAATTGATTTGCTGCATGACAGAAGCAGGCTTTACTTGATAATTGCTCTCATTGTACAAAGTACATGTCATCAATAGATATGTATGGGCTTAGGGCAGTCTCCAGCCACCAGTACGCCAGTATACTCTTTGCCAGCAGTACCATCACGCATTTACGTATTTGATACTCTGTAAATTTATCTCACTTCAACATTTATGTAGTTCAATTTTCGATAATCAAGTTCTTAATATATAAATATCTTAAATCTCACAAGTAGACTACCTCGAATTGACATTTTCTTCGATTTCCGAATTAAGTTTGATTGATTACTTGAATCGTATAAGAGAATGGAGTAGACGGCCACTTATAAGACCTTATAATATCTATATGGCTCTTCGGTGGTCTTTTCAGTGGTCTTCTAATTGACCTTTCAATATGACCTCGAATATAAAGGAGGGTAATTAAAGGTAGCGGTGAGTTATTCAAATCCGGCGGTAGGGTAAGCGGTCAAAATGTGCCGATAGGTCAAAGGTCTACTGACGAACTGGCTGCTAAAGACTGCCGTAGCTATGGCTAAGGGACATTATTCTAAAAGGGTAAGAAGACTCTGCCAATTGGGTCCACTAGTGAATAAGTATTGCCTGTGTACTCCGTAATCTTGACTTTTGATTTTCCCTTTGCAATACCTTCAACCAAATTATGGCTACCCATACTAATGGGAACCCTCGTGAGGAGCTCTTTACCAAGATGCTAGCCTCCGCCAGTGAAGGCCACCTCACGGAGCTAAAGGAATTGTTAAGAAAATGGGACACTGAGAGCACCGACGAAGGTGCGCCAGCGACAAGCAAGGATCATCTTTGGTTCAAGCCGTCTATATTGGAGCAGTTCGACATTTTCAATGAGTTGAACCGGCCTAAGGAGAACACGAAACGGATCCACACCAACTGGTATATCCACAACCGGATCCTGGTCGAAGCCTCGCAGAAGAATCAGATCGACGTTGTTGAATACCTTCTAGAGCAGCGGGATTGCCCCATTACCTCCCGGGCCGTACAGAGAGCCATGATGACGGATTCCTTCGATGTTTTAGAGTTATTTCTCGCACATGGATGGGATATCAATCAGCCCATTCAAAATAATTTCTGTACAATCTTACGGTTGGTTATCTGGAGTTATTTGTTTGAAATGAAAACGTATTAACAAAGCTTGCAGCCAAGTTGTCATCAGCGAAAACCGGGTACGCTGGTGTCTCGAGCATGGGGCAAATCCCAACGCCCGAAGTAAAGACAAGACAAAGGATGTACTGAGCCATGCTGCTTGCTATGCCTCATTGTCCACCCTCAAACTTTTAGACGGCTATGGTGCAGACTTTGCACGAAGCAATGCTCTGCACGGGGCTGTTAAAGGGCGGAGCAAAACGCGTATAGAGATTTTGCAATGGCTACTGGATGAAAAAGCCTTCCCAATCAACCAACGAGAGTTCGAGTATGACATGGAGATGTTCGTGGATCGCCAGTCAAATGGACTGGCAACAGCACTTCATGTCGCCGCCGAGACGAATTCTCTGTGCTGTTTGCGGTTTTTACTGGAGCGCGGTGCAGATGCCAATGTAGCGGACACACTGAGCTGCACTGCTGAAGATCGGGCGCGTAAACGCGAGCACCAGGAGGTAATTGCCATTCTGAAACACTTGAAAGAGTAACTGAGAAGTGATTTCATTCCCAATCCGCTGGGTTTGCATCATAATTTATTTGAAACAAGATAACCGCTCGAGTATATATCATGTCCTAAACTGTGATTCATCCAATCCGACCCCAGTAATATACTCAGATTTACAATAAATGCATGCCATTTGCAATGGAAGCCTCGGCAGCAGCCTTCTGCCAATCTAGGTTGACGAAGACAATTTCGTTATTCGGATTTCCTCCTTGATGCTTCACGAGGATCCCCCCAGCCAATAAGTTAAGCTCGCCCTTCTCCCAAAGTTCAAAATGCAGGTCGTCTTCCGGATCTATAATATCCATCGGATCAATGTACTTTATCCGACCAGGCGTGATTCCAAGGTTGGTTTGGACGATGCTTTCCAAGACTTGATTGTTGGGCTCGGAGATAAATGTGTCAGGATCTTGCAGACTGACGTGTGCAAAGATCCACGCCTGAGCTTCCACCAAGGCCTGTTGATTTTCCGTGATTAGGCTGGCCAGATGTTGCCTAGCTCGGTTCATTCCCTGCTCAGTGTCGGTGTAATGTCCAATAATGGCACCCTGGCTGGACGCAATCACCACCCCAATGCAACCCGTGAAGCCATCACTACCTAGGATGACTGAGTCTGCCCCGAACGCGAGGAACCTTTCCTCATCCTGGGTAACTGTTGTGGCGATGCTTAGATCAGCGAGAAATGGCTCATATGCTTGATTCACACGCTTTGCGAGACCATCATGGTGCGCCGTCAGAGACCGAACTGATGGTAGACGCTTGGGAGTTTGATTGGGTAAGGTACTTCCTCTGTCAGTCCTAGTCTCGATATAACATAGAATAATGATATAGACTTACGCAAAGAAATTTGTCGGCACAGACAAGCAGATTGTCAGGTAGGAGAAGAGGAACAGGATCAAAGCTATGAGCCTTTTGTTGCCTTGGTTGGATCCCATTTTGAGGAAGTTTCTCGGGGATGGTATAGTCGTAGTGATTAGGGGAGTTGCAGGCAATCTCCAGTAAAGGAAAAAAAAAAAAAAGAAATTTCTATTCTCGGCAATTCAGTTTGCCATCTGGCTGGTTTAAATAGTGGCTTCATTAGTATGGACACATTTGTTAAAAATAGGGGCCAAATATGAGTTCTTCCTGGCATCCAAATAGCGAGAATGCAACTTTTTTCCAAGGTTAGGTATGTCAAAGTGCCCTGTTCTAGCCTGATGAGGAATTTGGGGGAAGTGATTGGGATATCCGAATTAGGCAGTAGGTCTCTCATAGGCAATACACCGCAGGTACTCCATATAGAGCCATTTGTTAATTGAACGAAATATTTCGAGCCCCATAAGGTGGAGCCATTAAGCTCCCAAGAATCACACGTGAAGCTTCTCAGCGTTTTCGCAGATCCGTCAGCACTCTACTCCGTACCTATGTTGACACTATTCTTGATAGTTCCAACCTATCCCGGTATGGGGTGGAGGTGTTTCCGTCTTTAATCTCCGTCATTTCCACTTTGTTGAAACTTTGCATCCACTGTCTTATCCTGGACTTGTGGAATAATTGACCAGCTCGGAATACCGGCTAGCTGATGAAGAATGGCTCCCGATGCCACCAGAAGTAGAAACTCCAGGCGAAGAAAAGCCGATGAAAATCGGAATCGGGTATATTTTGCGAGAAAATTATGATCCACGACATCTGCAATGGTGATTAGTTTGATCCCTATCTTGGGGCGCACTCTTGTTTTATTTTTAGCCCAATAAGACTTCTCCCCTGGGGACGTATCGGTAGGACTAGAAAAAGAGGACTTGAGCTCCTCTCCCACCTCATGCACCTCAACATCCGTGGCCGCAGAGATGGTGCTGATTCATATTTCATTGTTACTACTCCTAGCACAGCAGGTTTTGTGTTTTCCTAGTACGTCCAGCGTTTCTAGTAAACCTTTGACCAGTTTGTCCACTTCAAAGAGTCACCATTCCTGGACTACCGAGCACTCTCAATCTACGCATATTAGGCACAGGACCAAGACATCAGCATTCAGGGAATCTGATTCGCGGCTATTATCATCCGCATATTCTTCTACGATTCTCTCGGCCATTCCATCTGGATTTTCTAAATCCACTTTGTCTTCCAGCAATGTTGACGTGGAATCAAGTTCTTCAAGGACCTCAAGCTCTTCGATCAGCTCAAGAGCGTCTACCATGCCCGAACATGGCTCCCGCAAGTCTTCGCCACAGTCAGGCAAAGGAACTGCTGTGCCTTCCAGAATGTCCAATGTGACACCAGCTTCTTCGACGATCTCAAACGCTTCGGTAACCTCAAGCTCATCTACCTTGCCCAGACCTGGCTCTGGCACATCCTTGACAGATGCAAGTTCTTCTCATTCTTCTCGGTCTTTTCGGACGTATGGTTCTAGCAATGCCAGTGTGAGGTCAAGTTCTTCAACGGTCTCGAGTACTTCAGTGGCCTCAAATGCCTCGATAACCTCAAGCTCGTCTGCCTTTCCCAAACCCGGTTCTGGCATATCCTCAGCAGATGCAGACCTTTCTCAATCTTCCCAATATTCTAAGTTATATGGTTCTAGTAATGCCAATTCGAGATCAAGTTCTTCGACGCTCGCGAGTACTTCAATAACTTGGCGTGCTTCAGCGACCTCAACCCTATCTACCCTACCCAGACCTGGTTCCGCTATATCTGCATTTTTGGGCACCTCGCAGACTTCTCAGTTGCCTAGCTCTAGCATATCAAAAACAACCGCTGGTGCGGCATCCCAATCATCGCTCTCGGGGATAGTCAGTTCAACTTCTATGACAACTTCCATGACATCAACATCAAGCTCCGCCATCGTTCCGTTGATGGTCTATACTACTCCCCCGCCTGGTTTGCATACTAGCAGCATGACTCAATTTCTCTCAGCGAGCAACACTCTCTTGACGACGACCGAAAATGGCCACCAAACAATCATCCCTGTTATTGGCGGAGTTGGAATATGGGGAATTCCGAGCCCAGGAACATTCTTCAATATCCCTGGCTTCCCTGGTGCTATTACTATTCCATGTCTGATTGCATGTTCTTCGAGTGCGAGCATGCCCTCGACTGATGAAGAAGCTATTGAGGGCAGTGATCAGGCTAGTAGCAGTAGCAGCTCATCTTCGTGCACGTCCGCATCTACCTCGATCTACTCTACTGAGTTTGTCACTTGTACCCCCATCACTACATCGCGTACAAAGACCTCAACCTGCACCACCTCAACTGAGATTTACACAACCACCGGGTGTAATCTCGCTGTCACAGACGCGAGCACCGCCACTTACCTAAAGCTCACGGGCACAGCTCTACCCTTGACAGCTGTGACGTTCCACGTTGGCCCAGCCTCATCCACGCCTTCATTTTCTCTCTTGCCATTGACAGCTGTGACGTTCCACGTCGGCCCAGCCTTGTCCACACCTCCATCGTCTGCTTTGCCCTCACTAAGCGTAAAATCCACCATTGGGAGAAGCTCGATGCCTCTAGTCCCGACCTCCATATTGGCATCGACAACGGCATCGACAACACAATTGACCGCCGCATCGTCAACGGCATCGACAACATTTGGCGATATTCCCCTAATTTCAAACTTCGATTTCAACCAGGTTGGACCTAAGCCCACGGCTATACCATTCACAACCACGTCAGCAAATGGCGAGATCCTCGCTTATCCATCGCGGATCGTTGACGACTTTGCCCCAGAGGGTGTATTCACCACGAAGGGTGCGGGCACACCCGTGACACTGCAAGCTGCATCACCAACCCAGATCAGCAGTAACCACGATGGTTCAGGTCTATGCAACAAAGTGCAAGATTCCTGCGACAAAGCGTATGGGAAGTATGTAGACGACACGATATATTCATCATACACCTCTTACACATGGAGTGGCTCCTTCATGGTTGCATCGAGCGGTCAAGCCGGTTGTGCGGCCATGTTTACATGCGATAATGATAACTATGGTTTCGGCATGACTGGACGACAAATCAAGGCTGCGTAGGTTATTATACTTATCGATCTATGCGGATGCACGCTGACAATATTCCCAGTGTTGAGTACATGAGGGCAAATGACGGTGTCGCCAACTGCGGAACCACGTATCTATCAAACTTTTGTCATATAACTCTCGATGCCTGCGGATTTAACTGCCACGCCACACAATAATCGCGGGCTTATGTGCAAGACTGAAAACCTTCTGAGGGTGTCTTCTCCCTTTTTGGCTGGGGGTGACATAGATGCACTCACCTTGGTTTGGCGCTGTGTTGACCTGGTAATTTGCCCTTATATTTAGATGTATATAATCATACTAGACATCCGACTGCTGTACTACTATACATCGTGAATTACTGTATCCGGTTAGTCTTAACATTTGGGTTTAGCACCATGTATTTGAACCTCTTCCCATCTTCTAGATCAGATCTCACGGCTTCGCATCACGAGATACACAAGGCTCGCCGTTAGCTATCTGGGACTGGTACTACCGGCTGGATCTATATACCTATCTTTTTATACATTGCGTATTTCACGAGGGCTTAATGTATTGTCTACAACTTCATTCAATAACTCGTGCATTCTATCTTCATTTATATACCGCATGCAGGGACATTGTTACTTTTCCCTGAATGTAAGTGGCCCTTCATCCTGTACCATTACGGCGCGCATCTTCTTCCATTTATCAGTCATTCCATCCACGCTGCGCATAGATGCGATCTCATTCTCCGGTGTAGTATAGAGATGGCTTGATAATAACGGAAGCACCATACACTTCCACAGCATGGCCTTGCGGTGTTTGCTTCCTATTGCAGTTCCCAGAAGCAACGCGATGGATCCCAGAGTAACAGTGACCGGAAGAATGATCCACGGCCATCGGACATGAATGAAAGTCTCGACTCGGAATGCCTTCCCCAGAATTTGCTTACCCTGGCCATTAGCGCGTAGGGCATTAGTGACGCTGGTGGACATTGAATCGAGTAGTTGACTAAGGTTACCTTTGCGCAGAAAGGTTGCCAAATTCAACATATCTGATGTTGATACTTCCTCACCGGCAAAAGTTGTGCTATTGAAAATTCTCATTATTGTAGGTTCGAAACTGTTGAACGTCCGATGATCGATGCTATAGGACGGGATTTTGGATAGGGTTGCTGACCCGTTTGGGGGTGCAAAGTGAATGGGATATGGTGAGTAAGAATAGCGACTTTCCTCGGGAATATCTGTAGCAATAAGCTGCTGTGTATCAACAACATGCATTGGACGGCTGTTTTGGATGCCAGGCAGGTCTTGGGTTCCAGGCAGGTATGAGCTCGCTGAGTATCGTCGTTCGCAAAAGTACACAGCACATTCTGTTACCAATGGTTTTGTTGGAGGAGCTGTCGCGTTGGATAGAGTGTAGAAAACTGGGTTGGTATAGTCTATCTCAATAAGGGAGACAATTGGGGTCTGAATGTCGAAAATTGGGTCGCGTTTCCTAGGAAGGGAACTCCAATGGTACATCTGAAAGGTGATATTGTCGTACGTGACATTGCCGAAGCCGTAAGAAGCCGAGTAAAATCTATCAAAATCGAAAGAGAAGCTATTCGGAGATTGGTAGCTACAATTCGTAGGGGTTTCCCTAAAGGCCGGGTGGGCAAGATCCCAAAATGCTGAATATTCTGGCACCTGACACTTTTGATTTGTTCGAGATGTGACATCCTCGCATTTGCTACACATCGCCAGTGCAACAAACTCCGGGAATTCGCAAGAGGTTGCATCGCATCGAGGCTCGAGAGGACTATCTGTCTGTAAGAGTCCACTTATTATTGCAGTCAAAAGCGTCGGCGGGAGCTCAAGGAATACGTCACTTGCATCCGAATCCGTCGTGGAGTCCCATTGCTGTGAGGTTTGGGCAAATGTAGTGGCATTTAGTGTAGCAACGGTTCGCGAAGGGAACGTTAAAATTTGCTGTGCAAATGGATCTACTGCAAGAGCCAGAACCGTTAGAGATGCCCCAACATAAGTCAGGCTTCCTGTGTTCGACCCAGATATTCCCCTCAGTAAAACCTCTAAGGATCCCCAGGGTCCCCGGCTTGCCTGATCAATAACCTGCATATGATATAGTGGAGCTGGATTTTGAAATAGGTTCCATTTCAGCTGGCCGAGACATGAGGACACCGAGACTAACACTGCGGCTTTGGTAATGGTGACGATGATTGACACGACAGTATTGGGGGACGCGGTATATTGCCAGGTCTCGTATGAGGTGTTGTTTATTTTGACAAGAAAGGCAACCAAAAGAACAAGGCCCACGACGGCTAGGGTAACAGATCCGATTTCCCATACCCAGGACCCGCTCCAATCGAACCCAGGTCGCTTTGTTTCAGTGTCCGTTTGCGGGTCCTGTGTATGCACAGTCATACCGTCTATTTCTGAGGTGCGCATTTCAGTCTCGCTGGCATGCCTATGAACAGACATACGAGGACTGGCTTGGTTTTCAAACATATCGACCACGAGATCAGATTCGCTCTGGCTGTCGTGTAAAGCGGAATATGGTGGATGAGTTGCCATTGTGATATCAGTTGGTCCACCGGAGTAGTCTCTACTATATAGGTGTTGAGTAGACCCTCTTAGGTGATGGCGGGGAAGGGGAGAGGAAAAGGAGGTTTGTCATTGTGGCTATGGGCGGTTGAGCCTTAATAAATAGTGGTTATTTTTACAACCTACTCGGCGGTGCTGACAATTTCAGCCTATCATTTATACGCTAGTCAATCCGTCGTAATTGCTATTTTTTCCCCGCAATCTCCATTTCGTTTGCCCTATGTGATATTGCATTGCCCAGCCCCTGATGGCGTAGATCTATTTTTGTTATTCGCAAATGCCTTGGTGCCCACTTGCCTTCGAAGCAATACCTAAGCGATGCGGGCCAACGGCGAAAATACTGCACAAGCTACTAGCCTCGCTAGATGCTTGCATCACGAATTTAATACCAGGCTGCCGCAGACTCGGGTGGGGGGGGAGAAAGAAGCCACCTAGGAGAATCAAACTTATTATTGAATATAAATTTGCTAACTAGTGGGCACCCACTACTAAGTCACCGGTGTGCGACATGTATGACATACCGTCTTTCTTAAGGGAAGATGTTTCCGTGTTGCAATATAGCTCTCGGCAAATAACTTTCAAACCTGTGGGGTAAGGTCTGGCGACTCTTTAGAGATAACCGACTCACTCTCCTTATTACGGGAAAGCTTCCATCTTAGAAATTTTAGTAAACGCTTATCAAGCTAATCGAATTTGCTTATAGTTTCCACTCGAATACTGCATCGTCATATCTTCTGTGGGTAGCGGGTGCTAACTCTTTGTACAAACCACCCAAATCGCGCGCACTTGATCTAATGAATTATAAGTGCTGCTTTAAATCACGCAGGGCGCAGTTCAGTTTCATCGCACTCAACTTCTGTGGCTTAAGTACGGCTGGGCGGACGGGAAGCCCTGTTTTCCACACCCTATAGTCGTATGTGCGGTACTCACCGTTATTGTATGTGTTGTTCAGTAGACCCAGAGGGGCAATTTGATGTCGCTGGTCGTCGGTAAGGCTTTTCTTTCTGCATAACATTTTGAATCAATATCACCCAATCGAAGTAGTGAAGTTCGAGGAAAAGCTAGTGATAAATGGTCCGACTAAAAGAAATAGTCGATGTTAGATGTCTTCTACGCGCATCAGAGAGTTATTCTCTGTTTGCCTCTTTCATTCATCTACATTACTGACATTGCTGTGTTCTAATAAACGACCAGCCAAACGGACAAGGACTCTACCGAGATCAGATTTGCGAGTCGGAGTTCGTTCCCCAATGGGCTCTTTCATCTCAGGCTCATCCCTCGATCGCTTCCTTTTCTCACCATGAGCGCCTTCCCATTTGGCTCAAGCATCATGTGACAGGGTTGCACCTTCCTCGTGAGCGCTGCCCAAGTCCTTGAAACCGCTGGTGCTCTCGTGATTTTCCTGTCTTTTGTCTATCTCTCCGGTGCACTCGCAATGGAGTCCACGTGAGTGACGTGTAATGATAGTGCCATGCAAGACCAGCTACTAATGGCAGAAACCTCAGGACTGCCAAAAAGCGTCCTAGAGTTGATGAAGCTGATGGCCCAGATGACTATGATGATTGCCCCCTAGGTACAGATCATCCCCGTTCTGTCAGGATTGTGGAGCGAGATCGCACTTAGGCAAATGTCGTCCTTGCTGCCATCGCTGTGACAGAAAACATTCTGGGGCATGCACTGCATTCTGTCGGAAATGTGCAGAGATCGGCCACTCGTGGCGACGCTGCCGGCTCTTCGTTCCTCATCAAATATGGGTGAAACGGCATTATGGAATGCATACCATCATTCAGAATGTCAACATCACGCTTCCCGTGATCAACCCGGGGCTGTTAGTGACTACAACCTTTGTGAATGCTGCCATTCTATCTCAACTCGATGCGGCCCTCAGCCACCTCCATAAGAAAGCAGGAATCCCCTTGGATTCACGTATCACGATGAACAACGTGAACATCAAAACTAACATCATCGCATCAGTACGAGCAGCTCCAATTGCTCCAGACACGTCGTTACTGGATCGAGTGCAACGAATCCCGACGGGACCACGGTCGAACATCCCCAACAACAAGCCTCGTCCTATGAAGTCCGCATTTGCTCAGTCAGATTTCACTCATGCTGCAGGCTCTAAGTCTCTTTTCAACCAACCTGTGTTTGGCCAATCTGCTTTCTCGCAGCCCAAATTCATGCATGATTCCTCTGTTGGCATGACCCCGTCCTGGCCTCGTTATGGCTGATTTCCGTTCGATTCAAAATGATCAGCTGCTTTCGCGTGTCAGTGAAGAGATGGATTGAAAGGAGCCAACACAATGGGACAACGACACATCAATACGTTCATGGCATGGGAGGATGATGTATAAGTCTATTGCTTTGTATCTTCACTATCCTGCGAGCTTGACTCAACAGGTGTTTACTGACTATCCGAGTACAAGCCAATCTGGTAAGATTTCATTTGATGGCAAATGGAACTAAAGTACCGTACAATTCCTGGCAAATTAACGGTTTGAAGTTCTATTCTTTGTCTACGTATATGTACAAAAGAACTGCGATCCCAGACGTCATCTAGAGGTCAATATTCTTGAACATCGGGATCTGGCCCTAGTTTCAGGCTCGGTCTAGTGAATTCTACCAACATATAATCGCCGAAAATGTGACCTCTTAATACATATCCAGTAGAGGCATTCGGTGACCATCATTTAGGGTTGTGTAGATCGACAATCACCCCGATTCGGGTACCGATCGGCACCATCTGCCATCAGGCTTTCATCCCCTAAACACCTTCACAGGTCCACCTCACGTTCAAAAAAACATGTCTTCTATCTCCATCAGACCTCCCAAGGTCCACGTTAGCGAGCCATCTGATTGTGTTCCACCAAACGACTTCATAGTCGGTACATGGCACGTAACCCACTCCACCCTCCCGCTGTGGAAAGACAAGCGCAACGTCAACATCACCTACAAGCTCCTCCCCGCAGATTCTGCCGGAGTCCAAAAGCTCGACGACCTGGTACAATACCAAGGCATTGACTCTGACAAAATCAAATCCGTCCATGGCGTGGACACCCCAGCACCAGGTTATCCCGGGGCTTGGGATTGGCGCGGCAAAGGCTGGCTGATGATTGCGAGTTCGCACTGGGAGTGTCTTGGCTTCGGTCATACCGATGATGAGAACCGGTGGATTGTCACTTACTTTGCTAAAACAATCTTCACGCCTGCTGGCATTGACATATATTCTCGAAACAAGGAGGGACTTTCGCAGAGTACCGTCGATCAGATACTTGATGCTCTTAAGGAGGTTGGGGTCAGGGATATGACCGATCTCGCTAATAGTGTCTTCGAGGTTCCACAGAACTAGGAGGCAAGGCCATGTGATGGTGTTTACATGTCATTGGAATCTATTGAGAAGTCGAGCGGTGGGGTTGTCGAGACAAACCCGGGAGTGCGATGGTGAAAAGCCTCGGACACTTTCGCTTCCCCAAGCTCGAGATACGGATCATCAGGGTAGTGATATTGGTGTTTGGGGGCCGGAAACTCTTCCCCTTGGTAAAGCGGCCGCAGATCAGTGTCTCTCGGGGTTGAAGCGAGTACTTGCCAGACGGATGTTTGAAGATGGTGACAGTGACTATAACACTCTCATGAGTGGCCTTTTGCCGCGGACACTTGGAGCTTCTTGGGCTCCAATGTCAGGGTTCACATCTAAATAGTTTGAGTCTACAGGCCTGCTATCTGCTCCGACACGTCATCCGAATGATGATCCGACGCCCGAAGCCCTTACGGCGAGAATGTACGGTGGAACTCAAACCTCCACTGAATTATTTGACCTGATGATTGCCTTCTATGTCGGGACCAATTATTACCCTAGAAATTGAGGCAAAAGTTCATACACAAAATATGAGCCTAGGCGGCAAGCAAAGCCCACAAGGCATGGTTAAATGCTATTGACATCGAGATTTACATCTACACAGTCATCAACATGCTAGCATTCTTATACCAGCTCAGTAGCGGATTCTCCCCATTGCGCGTCTCCGTATCCTCAATGTAGGCCCAACGGTTCACGAACTCCTCATGGCTCGTGACCTGCGTCAGCTTCCCCGTAACAGCACGATACATATCCTCGACAACATTGAAGTCCGTCGGGAAGAAGATATCGAAGTAGCCTTGGTGGACCTGTAAAGAAAATTAGCCAGATTCAAATATCACATCGGAGAAGATATCTACTTACAAAAGGAGTCGACACCGGCACTGTCTGCCGTTGATACCGAGTCTGAACGACTGGCGCGTTGATCCCGGGTACGGCATCTGGCAGGGAACTGAAATCACTGGAAACAAGACGGTGGGCTGGGAAGTATTGGTTCAGGACATCAAAGAACTGCATCAGGCGGGTAGGGATATACTCCGGGAGGGTGTATTCCTTCTGGAATGGCGCGGCGGAGCGCAGGCCGCGGAGAAGTGGTGGGCCCAGCGGACTCGGGAAAGGACGACGGGCGGCAGCTTGGCGCACGCGCAGGAATCGAGCCGCGACTGGGTCCAGCTGATTGTTGTAATACTCATGGAACTCGCCGTCAGAATCAATCAGCACACCACCCTGCTGCGGCGTCTCAGTGCCTTGCTGGTAGCGAATAGTGTCGTGGGCGAAGTTATCGAAGACCTCAAGAGCCAGGAAGAAACATGGGGAATGAACATATGTGTCCCAATCGAAGATCGATCGGTTTACAATCTCGACGTGATCCCGGTGTCCCTTGGCAGTGAGCTTGTCGGTCAAGTTCTTGTACTGGAGATCTGCCAGTGCAGGCGAGATCTCAATAATCTTAAATTTGGTTCGCTGATACACCTCGTGATCGGTGTCGCGGATGAAATCAAGAATGTTTAACATCATTGTGCCGTTTCCTGCGCCCATTTCGTAGATGATCAGATCGTGGTACGGGTATAGGGTCAGCTTGTAGTTTGACACCAGATACCGCGCAATGGTCTCGCCATAATATGGTCGAAAGAGCTCTGTCGGTGTGTGCCACAGCTGGCGCGCGATATCTGGGTTCGTCGCGTCGAGCTTGTCTTCAAACTCCGTGTACCGTTCGCCAAGGAGTTTGTGGAAAGCAGGCCCGTCTTCGATTTTGTTGAAGTCGAATGGCTCTCCGGGGCTGAAAATGGTCGCGTGTTTGGAGAAGTACCCGTAATGTGGGTTGTAGAGGCTGTCTAAAAGCGCCATGTCAGAACTAGTCTCCCTCACTTAGCCGCCGGACTTACCGTCGATGAACTCGCGCGTCAGCATTTTGACCTGTCGAGGCCGTTCGCGACGGTTGCGTAGCTCCTTCGCCGTCACCGTCGGGTATCTCTTGTACTCCTCATCGATGTTCTTGGGGTAGTCCCCTCGTTTTGTCCAGAGCTGGATATCATCGTGCGGCTTGCGCTTCGCGTTGACAGGTGTGCGCCGCGTGAGAAAGGATCGGGATTGTGGTCGAGCAAGTACGGAAGGTGACCGCCTTAATGATCGACATGCTGGATGGCGAAAGAGCTGTCGGAACAGCTGGGTAAGGACTGGCGAGTCCATTGTGGTTGCAGAGCTAAGCTCAAGGTTGTGCCGGGGATGAAGGACGGTGTTTCTGCATGACCTTGCGGCCTCAGGCACGAAACCACGTGCCTTAGGCAAATCGCATCACCTCCCATTTCCACCACATTTGGAATTACGAGGTTCTTGAAACCAAACACGAGTCGAGTACCAAGAAAGAACTTTGCATTGACTCTCAATCATCCTTTTCACCGACAAAGTACAAGCTGAATCCTAACTTCCATCAAAGAAGGCCGATGGTCCGAGCTTCACGTCTCCCGTCTATGCACATGACCACAACCTTCAAGACATAAAACAGCATTGAAAGATGCCAGATCATTCAACAGCGTATATAGGCACAGCCTTCGTGACTGGTGTATGCCTGGCACTCGCATATCAAGAGTTTTCCCGTCCCAGGAGGGAGGATAATGCGACAGAACAGATATCGTCAACAAATGGGCTAATCGCCCGAGCTGGCCCGCCCGCCATTGTGGAAGGCATTGAAGGCTGCATTGGAAACACCCCCTTATTCCGAATTAAGTCATTATCTGACGAGACGGGATGCGAGATTCTAGGCAAAGCAGAGGCATGTAGCCTTGGTACTTAGTATACGACTTGGAAAATGAGCTAACAATGCCCACAGTTTTTGAATGGCGCTGGCCAGAGTTCAAAAGACCGCGTTGCACTAAGCATGATTGAGATTGTATGCTGAATACATGTACCAAGAATTCCCTGCAATACCAGCACTACTAACCCCAACCAGGCAGAAGAACATGGTATCCTGACACCCCATTCCGGCGACACAATCTACGAAGGAACCTCGGGATCAACCGGCATTTCACTAGCAACCCTAGCCCGTGCAAAGGGCTACTTAGCACACATGTACGGACACGCCACCCCCAACTTCCCATCCAATAGCAAAACCCACTAATGCACATGCAACCCAGCTGCCTGCCGTCCGACCAGGCAATTGAAAAATCTAACCTACTGCTAAAACTCGGGGCAATCGTGGACCGGGTTCCGCCAGCCCCAATAGTGGAAAAAGATAACTTTGTCAATCGCGCACGAGCACTGGCGAAGAGGCACACGGCCTCATCGGGAATTGCCTCTGCGTCAGCGGATGAGCAATCCGATCTCCCCGCGGCAAACGAGCGCATGACCCGTGGCCGAGGCTTTTTCGCCGACCAATTCGAGAACGAGGCCAACTGGCGCGCCCACTATGAAGGAACTGGCCCAGAGCTGTACGCCCAATGTGGGGGCCGCATTGATGCGTTTGTTGCGGGCGCTGGCACGGGCGGGACCATTTCGGGGGTGGCGAGGTACTTGAAGCCCCTGCTGCCTAGACTTACAGTTGTATTGGCCGATCCGCAGGGCAGTGGGCTTTTCAATCGGGTGGTTTACGGTGTAATGTTTGATATCAAGGAAAGGGAGGGGACGCGGCGGCGTCGTCAGATTGATACTATCGTTGAGGGGATTGGCATTAACCGCGTCACGGCCAATTTCGAGGCCGGTAAGGAGATGATTGATGATGCGGTGCGGGTCACTGATGCACAGGCTTTGGCTATGGCTCGGTGGCTTGTTGAGAAGGATGGGATCTTTGTTGGGAGCAGTAGCGCAGTGAACTGTGGGTCTATTCAATCTTGACCTAGTACATCTGGGACTTTTTTACTAATAGTGGATTCTAGGCATCGCCGCTGTCAAGACAGCGAGGAAGCTTGGGCCTGGCCATCGGATTGTGACGGTACTTTCAGACTCTGGTTCCAGGCATTTATCTCGATTCTGGGCCAAGGCAGGAGATGTCGGTGGGGCTGTTGATACAAAGCTTGAGGATGTCATGAATGCACGGGACGAAGACTTTCAATAGATAGATTAATTGAATATTCTAATTGTTTATGGATGTGGGTGTGGATAGCTATATCGATCGTCGATCACTGGTCCCCCGATTAGTATAGTTCGGTTGCAAGATATCATGATTTTGAGTTTATAAAAATGCCCAAGAACCTGTTGGGATGAGACACCTAACTGTCAGTTGTCTTGGTCATCCTTGAATGCGAAGCTGCTCAAGGTCTTCCTGAGCAGTGTGCCTTGTCTCATCTTTGACTTCCTGCAAGGCTGGATCAGATTCTGGTTCATCTTTTATCTCGTTATCCGTTTCTTCTTGGTCTTCTGAGTCCGCCTGTTCCTCCATGACTCCGATCATTGTAGAGGTATATCCCTCCCCAACAAAAGCACGCAGCAGCTCAAATTCAACCTCATGTCGCGATCGACCTTTGAAACGAGTTTGTATCTGACCCCAGGTAAGATCCGATTGGGTGCTGAGTCTGGCCAGAGCTGCCAGTTCAGGCTGTGTCCAGGCTGCGGAAAGCGGGGGGCGGGTTGGCCAGGCGGCGGGTCCAGTGGCTATAGAACCAGTGCCAAACAGTCTGGTACTCGCGTTCTGGCAACATCTGCATCACGTCACTGGCTTTCTTTTCTTGTTTATGCATCATGCACACGATCAATTTTGCCTCGTCGGGTGTGATGGGCCATCTTTTGCTTGGGGTGAATTCCATGTGGTGCGGCGATGGGCCCGGGGTGCTGGGCATTGCCTTAGGGGTTGAATCCCCTTGTACCGTAGGGATAAATGGAACTTGTTTTTTGTATCCTATTTCAGGTGTTTCGTTTTCGCGATCACTTGCACCACTGCCGCCTCGCAGTTGTTCTTGTTCCTTGAGCACTCCATGTTCTTGGTGGCTCGGTTCGCAGTTCTCCTCTCCGAGGCATGGTTCGAGCACTTCGTCTATTTGATTGCTCGATCTGTCACACTCCTCATGGTGTGCATCATGCACCTTAAGGTTTTGATCACACGTTTTGCACCCATCGTCTATGCCATTGTCTGGGTCATTGTCTTGGTCATTGTCTTGCCCATCGACTAGTTCAAGAACCTGATTATCGACCGGATCATCAACTGAATCATCGACTGAATCATTGACTGGCGTATCGACTAGCGCATAAACCGGATCATGGTCTGGATCATCAACTAGCGTGTCGGCAGGTTCATCCACTAGCGCATCGACTCGATTATCGACTTGATCGCCGATTTGATCACCGACTTGATCGCCGACCTGATCACCGACTTCAATGACGAAATTTGGCCCCTTCAAAGGAGTACAACTAGATGGACCATCATTCTCTTTCGTCGGAATGTGGCGCCTCCCGCGGATAATTTTTATTTTTGATGGTGTCGGTGATGGCTCATAGTCCTGCAAGGGGTCGTCGGACTCGTTCCCATCAGGTACTGCCGCAAAAGACCAGTCATGCGTCACAGGGCTGGAATGGTATTTGCGCTTCGCAGCCGGCCGGCGCTTACTCGGCGTAGCTTTGGGTTTCGTTTCGGTGCGTGGTCTGCGAGGCTTGCGCACAGCCCAGACGGAGCCGCTCCCTGGTGGGGATGAAGATCTCACAGGCGGGGAGAAGCCCACGTTTGACTTGCGGGTCTCAGTGGTGGGTGTTGAAAAGGAAGGGGGCAAATCTGGTACTGCCCACAATGGATCTTGCGGTTTGGAAACTGTGATTGGGTTTGTAGAATGGGAGGTAGGCTCCTCCTTGGTTGTAGGACTCAGCCCGGCAGTGCCTGATGCTTTAAAAGTAAACACGAAATCCAAAGAGGTATCGATGTCCGTCTGTAGCTGTTTCGATGGCGACTCTTCGCGTGGAGCATCTGGGGAACGACGACTAGGAGATGATGCCATAGAGAAGAACTCATCTTCCTCTCCCCTTGTCTCGGTGTCATCGTCTGCATCAGGATCTTCCGGCCTATCCATTTCAGCCTGGGAGAGCCATGATCGTGGATGATCTCCGCCGTCGCCCTCGTCCCGCATGCCCAGGAGATGTCCATTGTCGACCACTATATCCCCGGTCTGCAGGTCAATCTCGTCGCCAACGCCGGTGAAGTCCTGGCTATATTTTGCGAAAATGCCTTCGAAAAGAGACTTCAGTCGCGAGTCATTCTGCGCGCGTGCGGCAGGAAGATCAAAATCTGCGGGGACCTCTTCATCGTCGGGGGTATATGATATACATGGTCTCTTCGCCGGTCGTTCAATATCATCCTGCATGGAGTGGTCCATGCTGCTGTCCGGGTTCATGATTGCGGATAAGAATCGATAGGCGCGGCCACGGGTGCCTTAAAAGAGATAGAACGTTGAGCGCGTAGTAGGATAACGCATAATTAATTTCGGCAATCTGTTTCCGCTTGTAAAAGTGATGTGTGTAGGCGCAGGCGCGAGCAAATATGCGGTAAAAGTCAAAACAAACCAAAATGACGTTCTCCGAAGCTCCCAGAGAGCTCCCCGACTTCCACTCCCCACATCTCCCGTCATGATTTAGAGCCACCATGTATTGTCAGAAGTGTCGCACGCCGTTGAAGCTGGATGGCTCAATAGAGTCACTCAACCCATCTGCCTTTGACTTGTTGTCTAGTAAGTTCACCCCGGGCGATCGTTCTGATCCCCGCTAATCAAGCGGTCTAGACTCTACAGGGAAGACGCTGTCGGATACTGGAGCTGTTTCCTCATCAGTACGATCATCATATCCGCCCGAACATCGCGACAAGTATGACCAGTCCGCCAGACATGCTACGCAGCCAGTTTACAGACGGTCTATCCCAGGCCCCCGTGCAGGAGGCCAGCCCAACCCGCCGACCATACCCCGAGCGGAAAGCGGCAATATGTCATTTGTGATGCTCACCGAGTCACAAGTCGCGCCACCACCAGTCAGTGAGAATGGATCTGCTGCTCGAAGCAAGAGAATTGGTACACAAGCCCAACTACGTGGCCAGGAGGATGGGTCATTCGTTGATCAAGTGGAGAAGACAACACGACTATTTGAGATAGTCTCGGCGCGCTCTGATATTGACCACCCGATTTGCGTGGAGTGCACCGAGCTGCTTGTGGAAGGACTCCAAAAACGCTTGGTGGGATCTACGAAGGAGCGCGATGCCTACATCTCGTTTCTTAGAGACTTGAATGGGTCAATCCCGACCGAGGAGGAGCTGCAGGCAGCACAGAAATCGTTGGATGAGAGTCTGGAAGCGGAGCGGGCCGCATTCGCAGAGCTGCAGTCCTTTGAGAAAGAAAAGGCTATGCTAGACGCAGAAATCGCTAGTTTAGAAATGGACTCACGGCGTCTGGATGCAGACGAGGAGAACTTTTGGCGGTCTCGCAATGCATTCGCCTTGACGTTGACGGAGTTTCAAAACGAACGAGATGCACTCAATATGCGTTACGACCATGACTCGCAACAGCTTGAGCGACTGCAACGGACAAATGTCTACAATGACGCGTTCTGCATTGGTCACGATGGATATTTCGGTACTATCAATGGACTACGACTGGGACGGCTGGCCAATCCCTCGGTTGACTGGCCTGAAATCAATGCTGCGTGGGGACAAACAGCCCTGCTTCTGGCCACGATGGCTGAGAAACTTGGATTCCAATTCCAGGGGTATCGTCTCCGACCGCTGGGATCCAACTCACGGATTGACAAGATTGAATATCCCACGCAGCCATCCGGTCAGCCCGTCGAGGGAGCTGCGCCCAAAGTGACCGAGCTAGACCTATTTTCGTCCGGAGATCAACTGCTCAACCTTAATTGGCTGCACCGTCGCTTTGATTCAGGTATGATGGCGTTTCTTGAATGTTTACGCCAGCTGGGGAAGTTTGTTGAACAAACCCCGGCACCCGTTCTTTCCCCCGCCGAGGCCAGACCGGCGCCACAGCACCGGGGCTGAAATTGCCCTATGAGATCAAGCGAGATCGTATTGGCGATGCCAGCATCAAGTTGGGCTTCAACCAAAGTGATGAGACGTGGACCAGAGCCTGCAAGTACACGCTCACTTGCTGCAAGTTTCTCCTTGCACATGCCAGCAATCTTGCCAGCACGGGGTCTAGTAATTCAGCTGCGGTTGCGGCTGCAGCCGTGGCAGCTAGCGAACACGCCCGACAGGCAACGGTCCCGAAGAATAAACCATGAAGCACAGCAAAGGCCGGGGGTTTTTTTTTTTTTTTTCTTTTTTTTCCATAGAAAAACAAAAAGAAAATCAAAAAGGGTGAGGCTGCAGCACAGGATTGGAATGCCAGTCATGTGGCAGAAAAATCGCGCAGAATGGAAATTGAAGAGCTGCACAGCGCATCTTCGTACTTTTGTCGATAAGCTCTACGATTGTGCATGTCCAGTATAGGGGGATGGCAATGACGTGCCAGACTGGATGTTTCAACCAAAGCCAAGTCCATTGCTCTCATTGGCTTATCACAATGCTCCTAGATTGACAAGGGGCCCGACCAATCCCCTGACATATGTCGGCTGAGTGCAGGACTGGCGCGTGGGCCGGGAACAGACCTCCCCACTCCCTCAATAATCCCTAATACAGAAAGCTGATGCATCCAATATGCATTGGATGCAGTCAATCCAGTCTGCGCGCTACATCCTAGTACCTGCATGCGATCCGAGCCGGTGAACGATGGACCTATGAACGTGTCGCCGGCAGATATCTCCGTCCTTGTGTGTATACAGGCGGCTCATTAGTGGAGGGGCTCCACGCGGGATGGCCGTTGCGTTCCCTCCACTTTCAAAGGAAAGCGCGGTTGTTTTATTAATTCCTAGAGATATATCCTATATGGGCAAGAGTCAAAAAGGTACCCCCCGCATTTGTGCAGTCTATTCGAGGGCTTGAATCCTTTAGAGCTCTCCATTCGGGTGAAATTTGTATTCACACCCTATTTTGTTATTTTCGAGGCGGTTTTAGTTTTTGCTTTTTTTAAATGCCTGGTAGATTGTTCCCCTTTTTCCTATTAAATAAAATTGTATTCCCCGTAGGTACTCGCGACTTCACCTGTTCATTCGGGATATCCAAGCTCCAAGCAAAGATACCATCCCTATCGGGGACCAGGATTCTTTCTCCCCGACAACAAAATCCCGTAGATCACTGCAGCCATCAACCTATTCCCAGCTGACACTAGTTCTTGAGTTTTGCCCTGGGAGTTCTTGCCTTTGGAAGATAGGGCGTGCAGGTGACGATGGGATGCATCATTGTAAAAGGTAGGATTGCGCGACGAAATATATATATTAGAAAAAAAAAAAAAAAAGAAAGAAAAAAGAGATCAATCTACCCAGGGTATATATATGGGTATAAGTACTCCATACTATACAACTCCTTACATTTAGAATACGAAGTACTTCGGGTGGGCAGTCTTCCGTCCCAAAGATAAAGGCAGCACGGACCTTGCATCGTACGTTTGAATGAGTCTCGGCCGGAGTGAAGGCCAGAAAGATTCCCTCAAGAAATTGGTTTGACTGGGTAACCTTGTCTGGAGAGCCCATAGCGCCTCTTTTTCCCCCTGGTTTTAACGGGCTTAACGGCTTTACTCCTTACTTCCCAATTCAGATCTCGCACGTTGGATATGGCAGGTGTCATATATGTATGGAATATGGAATCAAGATCTAGATGTCGAGATCCATGTGTATACCTATGTTACGGAATACAAAATACCACTTCTGACGTGGCTTGATCCACAGGACTGGGATTGTTAGAGGATTTTTAGACTCGACAAAGACCTGTCAAGGAAGATTCGGCCCGCTCCCGGTTGGGTTTTTTTGGATCTACATGTATTTTGAATATTCTGCTATCGCAAGTACTCTGGACTTTATCTACATCCGTACCTGTATATCCAATACTCTCTCTCCGTATACTCCGTACTCAAGGAAAAGGCAACGGAAAATGCATCCAATTTGCGGCCAGTGCACTGCATATAATAGTTCGGTTAGGTGAAAGCCAAAAGTACAATACAAAAAGACCAAAGCCCGAACGGAGATATTCTCCTCTACTTACACGTCGATCCGTGACAAGTTGCCTGTGCTGGAGCCCATCAGGCCCAAGCTCATTCGTCCGGGGAAGCAGGGGGCTGTCTCTCCGCGTGCACGTCGCCGCAAAGAGAATGAGATTCCCTTAGCCCCCCCTCCCCCCATAGCCTCTTTTTTTTTTTTTTTGTTTTTGGACTTTTTTTTTTCTAAACATAATATGATTTGCATTCCGTATGCTTCGACCAAAAAAAACTTGACTCTATCATATATTTCTAATCATGGAGAATAATTATACACCCATCTCCCCTCAATCGCCTAACGTCTTTCGTCCCCGCCGATCGGATGACTGGCATGAATATCGTGAAATCATTGAGCAACTCTACCGCAATGATCAGTTGAAACTACGCGATGTGAAACGCATCATGGAGAGAGATTATAAGTTCTTTGCATCGTACTGCGATCCGTTTCTGGAATGATACCATGATAGTTATCTAACGCCCCGATTAGAGAGAAACAATACAAAGATCGTCTGGCGGCATGGCATGTTCGAAAGAACATCAAAGCCAAAGAAGTTCATCTCATGCTTCGCAAGCAACAGAAACGGGCCGCCCAAGGCAAACAAACCGCCTTCCGGGTAAATGGTCAGAACGTCGACCCCAAACGTATCGCCCGCTTCGTGCGTCGTTATGGAACGTCGTGGGATAGCAATCGAGGGAAAGAACCAGAGACAGAACCTCAAAGCCCCGAGCCTCGTAAGTGGACCTCCATCCCACCCAATTGATATCCCCCAGTGTCTATCTCAAAACTTCCCCCCGCCACACACTAACAACCCCAGAAACACCATCCGACATGACCTGCTATACACCCGAACCAACAGACGAACACAGCATGACTACACCAATCTCCCCAATTCCCGACATGCAATCACCAACCCGAGAGATGCCGCCCTACCCGCTCGGCTCATACGGTAAATCCACGGCCGTTCCGGTGAGTGTGCCTGTACCGAATGATATTGATGGAAGATATTTCGCTCTAGACCCAAACCACCTCGAAAACCTCCCCGATCTGGAATTGGAAGAATCTCCGGCCATGTCGATGTCTATGCACTCAACTCAGCCTCGTCATATCCCGTCCTACCACCATTCAATAGGCAATCATCTCTCTCACCCACATGGGGCACACGGTGCACACGGGGCACATGCATCTCACACGCACAGCTCTCATGGTCCTGTACACAGCGCTCACGCTCCTCATGCTGTAGGCGTGCAAGGTTTACAGGGTGTGCACAACTCTCACCCTGCGCATGGTCACCCTGGACCGGCACCGAGGGATCTCGAGGATGCCCCTGGTGAAGAAGACACCCACCCGCCTGACTGGAACACGGTCGAGTCGTTCCAGACGAGGTTACAGGATTTGGATTATACGCTTACGCAGTCGATGTCGAAGTGGGCCAGGGATCAGGATCCTAATCAAGAGATTCCTCACCACGAGGGATTGGGGATGTGATGTTTGGTTTTGGCTATGCTTGAGATTCATTCTTTCATTCTTTCTCACTTCCTTCATTTGATTTCTATCTATGTCTTGAATTTTCTCCCCATCTTCCCCTTTACCCATCAGCGTGTGAGCCAGTTTTCTTTTTTTTCTCTCGTTCCTCTTTCTTCTCTATGTTCTATGTATATCGTCACGTTTCCTGTTCCATCCCCACTTCCCTTTCAAACAAAGCCCACGGAGGACTCATAGCAAGGGCGTTCTTATTATGGATTCTCCGCGTTTTAGATTGGTGATCTATGCATTATGCCATCCGAGTTTCTGTATATCTTTCAATTTTGCTGCTTGTCAAGTATGGGTAGCACGAGAACGGGGGGGGATATGTCTCAGCTCCACAACGATATCCATCCGCTCGACCGACATTACTGTTTCGTTTCTCAATCAACCAACCCCAGCCTCGAGTCCAAGTCTCAGCAATGTCTCACCCGAACACGACATCTCAAACGCAACCATAGAAGTCACCGTGCTGCAACCCTTCACCTCGAAAGATCTGCCTAGCATTTGCACCACAACCCCAAGCCCTGTCGTTTATCACCCCGACCAACCCGGCAAATTCACCATTCACCCCCCACGATCATACACTTCACCCCAGCCGAGCTCCACTGTGTACCATTTCAAGCCCCTCGGCCCCGTCTCTCCGGGGATTTCCCCTGCAGAACAGATCCCGGACACGATCGAGACCCGCCACGTTTGAATAAAGTATTTCAAACAGCTACCATGGCCTCGTGGGCCCTATATCGTAAAGTCTCTACTCTATTACACATAGTGGATACGTATACGGCCCAGTAAGGCTATCCCGACGGGGATAACGTATATTATGTAGCGAGAGGTGACACAACCCAGATAGGGAAAACAAAAGACAATATTAATATCAATGAAGCCTTATCAACAACAATGTTCCATCGACACCAAATCAGAACCATTCAACCGTTTAAGCAGATTATACTCCGGTAGATCTACGACGAAAGTACCACCCAGTACTCCGTACTCCGCACATCACAAGACAAACGTCCTTCCGAGGGTTAGTCGATACGCACTAGTACTTCGTACATTGTATGTCTTCCGTCCGAGACTATGTAGTTCAGACAATGATCAAAACAAGACACACCTCTCGACCCCTTACGTACCCCAGTCCAGCATATTGTACATTGTACATCGCATATCATACATCGAGCATTACATATCTCATTCCAAATTCCAAAAATACATTATATCAAAAATGAACAAATACAACTTCCAAATCCCCCATACATCTACATCTACCTCCGCCTCCAAACTCCAAAAAGTCAAATCGGCCCCCGAAACAAAAGCACCAACACCCCAATCCAGACCAAAAGGCCAAGCCCAATTCAAAGCCAAGCCCAATTCAAAGCCAAGCCCAATTCGCCTCACCAGCCCAAAGCCCAATCCAAGCCCAACCGGGTGTGACCAGTCCGCCAGTCCGGCGGGAGGCAAAAAAAGCTGCAGGGAGCCGAAAGCAGGCGTGGGCGAACTCGAACCTGGACTGGTGGAGCCGGGGATTGGATAATGTAAGCGAGATGACGTGCGCGGGTATGTGCATGTGCATTGGTTTGATTTGCAGATCACGTTCAAGATGTGAATATACGGAGGGGTTTTGGTAGGGGTTTATATGTACAACATATGTACTTCTTAGGTTGGACTTTTGGGGTAGGATGGATGTGGGGATTGGGATGTTTGGGAATGTGGGTTATGGTGTTGTATACGACATTGGGACAGATGGGTTATTGAAATTATGTGTAGATGTAAATGTTGGAGATTGATATTGGATGTATCGTGTGTCAAATGGTGGGGACGGATATGGAGTGCCGGGAGCGGACGGGACGGGTATGGGATGGCCCACTGTGGGCCACACGAGGGATTTCCACGAGGGGAGTGAATGGGGAGGACGGAGGCGGAGTACGGAGGATTGGATACGGGAAGTGGTACTTTTGTGGTTAAAGGGGTTAGAAGGGGCTTTTGTTTCGATGTAGATGTGTGCATTGCACTAATAAGTACTAAATACATAAGCCAAATGGGATCCGGGAGACCGTCGCTAAAATGAATCCAATCCGATAGGACAACAGAAGAAGCTGAAATAAAAAAAAAGGTGGAAAGGGAAACGGAGAGAGTACCCAGGTCTTACTGAGGGTTGATTTCGTGGGCCCTGGGTAGAGAGGAATAACCACTGGTATCAGGGCTAGGCTGTTGCCTGCACAGCTGATTACCGGTCATGAGGAGGATCGAGAAGGTCCGAAGACACGCTTGGGGGATATATAAGGATGAGCAGAAAGCTCGAAGGGATGGGAGTTTTTAACCGGATAACGTCACTGTCAGAAAATCATACCCTGCTCCAACATGTCTAGCATTTCGAAGGCAAAGACAAGACCAAAGAGACAAATAGAAGGAGAAAATGTAACCAAGCACCGGGCAAAGTCTATATGCCATATGCAAGGCTCATGGCTCATGAGTAGAATGTGCTCTTCTGGAAGCTTTCAGGCGAGATATCGCCGATCTTGCTGTTAAGCTCAGGCTTGCCCAGAGATGACAAGCTCTGTGTGCGACCTTCGGCCACAGGGTCACCCTTCATTGTAGTCGTGCGAGTAGCAGGCTCACTGCCTGCTGTGATAGCCTGCTGATTGGGCCGGCGCTGGATAGTCTCCAGATACGGGCCAGGGAGATATCCAACGCGGCCGTCGCGAGCGCGGCAGCGCCACCACTCGGAGGCATTGCCCATAGGATCAGACTTGCTGAGGACAGCGACGATGTCGCCCTTCTTTACGGCCAGGTCAATGCCATTGCTCTCCTGGGTCTCAGGGGTGTAGTCGTAGAGAAGACGGCAGAAGTCCAACTTGGCCGGGTCGAGCGATGCTGAGCCCGGCTCGCCGTTGGGACCAACAAGCTGCTGGCGGCGCTTCGCCTCTTCCTCCTGGGATCGCGCCATAGTCCTGATCAGTTTGCCCATTAAGTACGGAAGGCCGAAGAGAGCAATCAGGAACATAAAGAATGGCTTCTTGGATGGCTTGGCGGGAGCCGGTGAGCCATCGGGGAGTGTAGCCGCGGCACGCCCACCCATGAAAGCTGCAAAGGCAGCGGGGGTCAAGGAAGTCGCATCAGCTGGCGGAGGACGTCCTGTGATCTTAGCGATCAATGTGCGGAACCATCGAATAAGGGTGAAAATGCCCAAGGCCGAGCCGAGGGTGTTGCGCAGGTTTCCAAATTGTTCTGCGACCGAGACCATTGCTATGAAAGTGAGTCAGTGACTGCCCGAAATGAATTTTGCTTTCAAGGAAACCAACCAAAGAATGAACTGTGCGTAGCCATGTACGTGCTTTCGAGCATCTGAGCAAATCCACCAAACGCACCAACGATACTCTCAATCATGTGGAAAGTGGCCTGGGTGCTCTGGCCGAACGAGTTTGTCAGGCTGTTCGGATCATTGGGATCTTGTCCTGGCATGCCACCGTACATCCCTCCGTAGCCTCCCATGCCCATACCGCCCATCATACCCCCTCCGTAGCCTCCATAACCGCCGCCGCCGTACATGGAGCCCATACCGCCCATAGTGCCGAAGCGGGAGTAAGGTGATCCCATGGCACCCATGCCTCCCATTCCACCGTAGGTAGAGCCGTATGCGCCTGTCCCAAGGCGTGAGGCTCCATATGGTGAGTAGTTGGATGCGGTGTTGTTGACTACGGAGTTCAGAGTGCTGGGACGGGAGGGGAGGTCGGGGGCGGTGGACGTTGAGGCTGCGGGGCTGGCTGTGGAAGTCATCGCGGTCGAGGCAGCAGGGCTACCGGCGATAGGTGCTGTTGATAATGTGTTTCCTAGAGAGAAGAAGAGGAGAGTTAGTTGGGGTGGACATTATGGACTGCGCTGACTCGGTGGCGCTAGGATGTCGGCAATCGAGAGAAAAACACTCACCAGTTGCACCGGCTCTCTCCCACGGTTTTGGTGGCGAAGGCGTCGCCATGGAGTTCGATATTAGCGGAATCGCATCTAGGTACGTTGCATTCAGATAGATTCGCGATGTCGAGGGGGTGAGAGATGAGAGAGAGAAGAAAAGGACGCATGTGGCCGGGAGTGGAGATGCCGAGGTCGGGGTTTGCCGAGCAAATACGGGGTATTCATCAACACAGAACGTATCAACGCGGATTGTTCTTGAGCTCTAAGTGTGTTTATGAAGATTTAACTGTCCAAATATCGATCTCTCATTATCATATTCATCTTGCTCTGTTCAACCACGCCCTACCCTGTTTATCCCCTGACGAAGAAGTCTCTTCGGTGGCAAATGTACGTACCTGAGCGGCGACCGAGGCAATCTGAGATTAGAATGAGCAAAGTAGATCGAAGAAGTAGTGGAGTCTTTATAGAAGATGTACTATGTCATATATATCTAGGTGCGAGGTACTAGCGGCCATTTTCACATGTATATTTACATCCATATTCCTCAATGTGTACCTCGACAGCATTTCCTTTTATCACACCAAAGCACTCTAGACCCCGACCTATGCGTGACACATGTATAAATCTTGACAGTAGAACTGAACCCGAAAAACGTGAATAAGTGTAGATTCACTAAAGTACTCCGGAAACCGAAACAAATCCAGAGTCTATTAACGCCATAGCACAGAGAGATATATGTACAGATGCCAATGCAAAGATGAAATACAGGGAACTCATAACTCGTCACGATTAGCATATGCAGCAGGTTGAGTATGTGCACGCGGCTGCGGCGTCTTGAGCTTCCACATGCGCGGAGGCACGGGCAATCCGAGCCAGAAATTATACAATCGAATGAGTTCCGACGCACCGATTTGGTACCTGCGAGAGTCAGCAACATTTCAAAATGAAGAAAATCCATCTCCAAGACTTACAAGGTATGTGGGATATCCATCCAAGACTGCCAAATATATCCAACCGTACCCCAGATCATATTCCACTCAGACATGAAGTCCTCCCAGAGTCCGTCGTCTGGGTTAGGCGGTTTGCGCTCCCAGGGGTACCGCTCTGGTGCCTTGCCTCGGCCGTAGACGAAGTCATCGTCGACTCCGTCACCTTCGTAGTAGAAGTTGTTATTTCCGTCTCTGAACACGCGCCTGTTGTCGCCAAGAGCGTTCGCGTGGTGGGAGGAAGGCACAGCGCCGTGGACCGGGAACATGTGAGTGGTGCCGGTCAGCAAGGCTCGCTGCATACTGCGCGAAGCAGCAATACTGTGCGAGATGCGGCCGAGGGTGTTAATGAGGGCAACCAGCTCAGTGCGACGTAAGGGCGGATTCTCGCCGTTCTTGGTTTCGTCGTAGTCAAACAGCACCTTGAGCGCGGTTCCGTACCCGTTTACTTGGAGTTTGCCCCAGAGGCGGCACTTGTCGCAGCCGACACAGTCCATGAGACGACTGACGTTGCGGAAGCGGTTGCGGAAGTCCTCTTTCAGGCCGATGTTATTAGGGTCTTGGAACATGATCTTTTCGTCGAAGATCTGAGGGAGTTCCGTCAAGGTCGATGTTAGCTTGTTGACGCGCTTTTTGGTGTCGCGGTCTTGTGCTGGGTCGCTGGTGCAGAAGGTGTACCCGTCCAGGTGCTTGCGGAGTTTTGCCACGGCGCGCGCGACCAGGGCGTAGTTGAAGTACATGTTTGAGATGCGCTCCGGGTGGTCAAAGAGTCGTTCCTTGTAGCACTGCACGTTGGGGTGCCACTGGCCTGTGGTTTGGTTGAGGTAGTCCCAGCACAGGTGTGTCGAGATGGAAGCATGCATGCCACTTATGAGTCTGTGGAACACCTGCTTCTCTAAGCACTCGTTGTCCAGCGGTAGGCCTTCTGATCTCTGCGACTCCTTGTGAAGTACATTGCGGAAATCAGAGGCTGCTTGGAGACCGCCCAATGGGACGTTCGCCGACTGCTCGTCCAGCTCTTCAGACACGGGCTTCAGGAAACAGTTTTCGTTGTAGATCGCATTCCAGACCTGGTTTGCGCCTGCTCCGGTGTATCCGGTGTAGCGCTCCGGGTTGTCCACCAAGCTCACATAGTCTCCTTTCCCGGCGGAACCCTCGTCCTCGGGGACACAATAGTCTCGTTCGTCGCATTCGTCGTCGTATTCCACCACGCAACTCTCCCCGACATCTTCACCCAGCTCTCCCTGGAGTGGGCGTTCTTTTGGACGCTCGGCTTGGATTTTGCGGGGTGGGTGGTTCGCCTTCGGGCCTTCTAGTTTGCTGAGTTCTTCCGCGCGCCATGTGAGCGGAATGTCCTCCTCCGAGTCAATGGTGTTCACGGCGCAGGCGATATTGCCACACATGCTATTTGCATCGTTCCAGAAGGGACATTCTTTATTAAATAGATTGAGGCGGTAGTAGGAGAAGAAATCCGTTTCCTGCGTGAGGGAGTTGAGCGTTGTGAAGATCAGGTCGTTCATGCCATTAATCTCGCCATATGTGACACACGCATCTGATACCATGGCGGAGGGTTCGAGCTAGAGCGACAAGGACCGTCAGTCATCTGGAAATGAATGTCTGGGATGCTTGACAAAACTTACAGCACACTTGGTTGGGTCTAGTGCGGGATTCTGTTCGGTAGCATGGCTTAAGCCAGCAAGTGCGAACACTGCTGCATAGAGCAGCCTCGCTGCGGACCGCATCTTGGTCTCCGACTAGTGGTATATGTAGATTGAGCGCGTAGAGATGTCTGTTGTTGTGTATGCAAAGTGGCGCAAAGGCCAGGGATCGAACGGAAGGTTCGGCTCGGTGGGGGCGGAAACGAAAATATATGCAGTGATGGTTTCAAATGTAAAAAGAAATCACAAGATGAAATAAATCAAGAATGTCAGGGTCTGCAAAGTGGACAAGCTGGCCTCGAGATGCGCGGAGGATCGGCCGATCGCCAAGAAATGATAATGGTCTGATTCATTCCGGCCTCTGATTGGCTGGTCTATTGAGGTTCAGCCAATTTGACAGATTTGGGAAGTGGCGAGGTCTATGAGGGTGACGTGGTGCCATGAGATAGTGCCATATATACTACTTTGTGTAGTCCTTTATATAGTTCAGCGTATATTTCATACAGATCTACGGTCATTCTCGACAACATGCCACTTGACAAATATATATTCGACAACCATCTACTTGAAACCATACATGTAGATTGGTTAGCCAGATATTTATTGCCTAAGAATATGCAATCCTTTCAGATCCCTGTTTCAAGAAGCCTCCTAACCATAATGAAAACGGCGACAAAGGCTCTTTCTCCCTGTGCTAAGGGATCTGTCAGTCCATGACGATTACATTACCATTATTGGTGGGCAAATACTGGACAGATATATTAGAAAAAATGAACAATGAAGGCAGCAACAAAGCTATGTTCTCAAAGCGCCGAATAGCCCCGATACATTGTCTCATCGGTCTTGACTCTTTGCCGAGAATCTTAATCGCTGGGAAGACGATTATGTATAGCAGTTGGTTCATACCCGGATGGAAAGTCAATCAGGTAGCAAGCAGTCGATCATTCAGTAACTATTATGATGAAATATACTATGTGAAAAGGGATCTTAACCCTAGATGGAAATTTCCCAAAATTCATTCAGAGAACACACCCTAAGAAATATGGCAACTAACTCAACTATCAAAACAAAACAGTCTCATTTAATACAACCCGTCAAAATATCTATATTCTCTGAAAGCAAAGTCGGGGCATTACATGGTCTATCAATTGAAAATTAGCGTAAGCAATAGCCACAAAATCGAGCAGGACTTTTGAACTCATCGATAGTCAATACCAAATCAAGCAAAATGAGAATCTGGCACCCCAATTGAGGAGTTAGAATCCGCCCCATCTATTATCCCACTGCTGCCAACGATCAATGACCAGGGCCGGGATTCTAACGGGACTGGTCTCTATGCAAAGTGTTCGTGATATTGGCATTCAAAACAGATATAGTTGCCTCGGTATTAGGGGCCGGTACAGTAGACCGGAGTGGCTGGCCAGGTGGGGGTGGCACCGACGCAGCCGGTGCACCTGGAAGAGTAACTCCACCAGGGAGGGTCAGTGGAGTGAAAAGGGACTGGACACCAGGAAGAGTCGGCCGTGGAAGATGAGAAGCATCACCGTTTCGCATGATATCAGGCAGTGGAAGGGCCACCTTGGGCATTGGCGGGGTTACCCTGGTATTCCTAGGACCTACCCGTCGAACACCCCGTCCAGGGTACGGAACTGCACGATGGCGTGTTCGCCGTGCCACGCCGTGAGCAGTATCGGTCGGGGCGGGCAGGCGAATACTTGGGTGTGTGCGCACTGGCCCAATAGTCCTTGCTGTCTTGACGCGTGGTCCAGGTCCGCCTGGTGTATAGTATGGTGGACCATCAATATGCACGATATTGACAGGCTGCTCGACGGGATTGCGTGTAGGGAGTTGACGGGGGAAGACTCTCATCTCGGTCAATTGCCAGCTCACTAGCAACTGCTCGAGCTGGTCGGCTACGCGGGTGTGGTCCCTCTGGTTGAGAAGGTCTGCAATGAAATAGCCCAGCTGGGCTTGCGTATACCAACAGGAGTAACCGAACTCGGTACCGAAGTAATTCGGATGGCGTTGAGTGCGGCCGCTGAAGTATAGGGGAGGAGCATCTCGGACGATATCGCTGGGTGGATAACTCGAACCCATCATCTCTCCGGCTCGTCGAAGAGTCGAGAGCTGGAGATGGAGCTGGCCCATGCGGCCAATGATCTCATCTTGATTTGCTGGGTAGTTGTTTCGAAGGCCATCGATAATCTGCTCCATGAGCGTCCAGAAATTAGCATGCTCCTCGCGGAACTCATCAGAAAATGTGCGTCCTGACATGGCTGCAGCTAATAGATAGACTAGTGGGATGGTAAGGGATTACAAGGCACTTCGAGTCTCGTGGGTTCGAGGCTATGAAAGTGATTGCTATAAGGAAAAGGCAATCAATATACAAACCGTCTGAACAGTGGCAGTTGGGCAAGTGTCGGGATATTGAGCAGAATGTTGCTTGGTGAGTTGGGTATTGTTCGGGGTAACCTTGAGGCTTATATGTATCTTTCGAGGTCGGATTGTCTGCTCGAGTAGACAAGGAATTATTCTTGTATACAAAGAATGTATAGACAAAAGAGCACCAAAGGAAGTAGAATGCCATTGAAACCATTGTTCTGTTATCAGCCTTTGTCACCCAGAATGATCATTGTATACAAAGAGTCTAGTTATAGATCACCTTGACAGTTGCTAAGTATTCGTCTTTAGGTAGTATTGTTCACGAACTCGAAGTATATAATGATTATTGAACCGATGCCCCGACACGGTTGGTTTCATGACAATTCCACGACATATACACAACGAAGACGGTCCAAACAACTTTTTAGGAAGCTATCCGTAAGCACCCAAGCCGTAGGCAGCATCAATATGTAGGCCTTCGTGATTTATATGAAAGCGATTCTCTCAGTACACGCTTGTATGAAATGACAGACTGACGTCTGTATGGCAAAATGAATGAGATTACTGGTCTCCTGAACATCATCAAGATCCCTCAAAACGCCAATGCCATATAAGATAGCCTAGTAAATTTGATGGGGGAGGATGATGTTCGAGTTCTCACTGATAACCGGTTGCAGGGCAATAATTTGACGGGTCCAAATTTGACGAAATAGGCAAAGAACAATTTGAAAAGCCGCGAAGAAAACATGAGCAGTATGCCATTGCGAAAAGGGCGTGGATAATACGAAATTTAGAGTTGACTACAATATAGGCCAGAACAAAAATCTCCGTTCTTGTTTAGGTTTCAGAGAGGTCATATCCCATTCTGACATTGTACTTCACTAACTCCCTGCAAGTGCTGGTACAAGACCCTAGTTCTAAATGTTTGAGTTTGGGTATAGAAGAAAATGGATATCTCTATGTCGGATTGATGGTTTAAGAAGATGTCTAGGCGAAAGAAGCTATCTGCGCCATTTCTCGGAGACATATCATCGCCCACAGCCTAAATTGAGCAGAGAGTACTTCACGGGGGTTCCGAAGTTATCAGTAATTCAATTTCCATAATCAAGTACTGACAGAAACCATATTCGCTTGAGGAATTCGGAGGTGTGAGGAGATTTTATTTGATATCAAGCTAGACACCGGTGCTTTTCGGTCATGTTCGGCGGTTACAATCAAGATGGCTGCATGATGACTTTGACCCCCCATATCATCTCAATCTTTGCTTTAAATCTACTTTCCAAACTCATGAGAATCCACTGTGAGAAGTCAATTACCCCGCAAATGACTTGAATATCTCGTAACTCCTCCCTGCCCCGGACTTGTGGTTGATGGATCGCGGGGCATTTGTGGGGGTGAGCATAGCATATAAATATCAACCGACAGGCCATTCTGTATTTCCTTTTTTCACAGAAGAAAATAGATCTGTCAATTTCGTTTACTATGTCCTCATCGAAGCCATCCAGTGTGAGAGAGGTAGAAAGTTCCTTCCATGACAAAACTCTGGAGGCAACTCCAGATATCCAGCAGGAATATATAGAGGCTGGGTTGAGCATTGAGGACGCGTATTTCCTTGCCAACTTTCCGGATGAAAGGAGAAAAGAATGTGTTCGAAAGGTCAGCAGAAGTCATATAAGTGGTCTATTGTCTTGAGAGATATCTAACACTGACTTAGGTGGATTGGCGTCTTTGCTCCGTGTTGATGGTTCTATATCTTTGTTCCTACATTGATAGAGCAAATATTGGTAATTTGCCAAATCTTATCTTTTTGAGATTTTCCCTTCACTAACTCAATGGATAATTTCACAGGAAATGCCAAAATTGAAGGCCCACTAACAGACTTGAATATGTCTGGCACCCAGTACAACATTGCTCTGGCAATCTTCTTTGTTCCTTATATCTTATGTGGTAAGGGAAAGCTTCAAGAAACAATTGATCATTTACTCAGCCATACTTAACAAAACTGTCAGAAATTCCTAGCAACATTTTACTTGGCAAATTCAAAAAGCCATCGGCTTATTTGGGGTTCTTGGTATTTGCCTGGGGCACCATTGTGACGGTTACGGGGGTCGTCAAAAGCTTTTCTGCGCTTTGTGCAGTCCGTTTCCTCCTCGGTATCTTTGACTAAGGCCATATATATCCTCCTATCTAAGAATAATGGAGTGACTAATCTGGTGGGTTTCATCTTTATAGAGCTGGATTTTTCCCGGCAGCCGTCTGGCTGATTTCTCGATGGTATTTGCAGCATGAAACTCAAACCAGACTTGCGCTTTTCTATACAGCAAGCTCGCTATCTGGTGCCTTTTCTGGGCTTCTTGCATATGGCCTCACGAAGATGGATGGCGTGGGTGGCTATTCTGGCTGGAGATGGATCTTCATCATTGAAGGGGCTGCATCTGTACTCCTGGCGTTTCTCTGTTACTTTTGCCTTGTGGACTCACCCGAGCTCTCCACAAAATGGCTTGAACCTGATGGGATCATCAAACGTCTTTGCCTGCTTAGTTAGATCCTTTACGCTTCCGTTGTGTGAGTTTCATTGGCCCAATGCTGGATATGTAGGGATAGTGGATTTAGTCGAGGCTGCATTTCAGAAGCAGCCGGCAGACTGTTCTGCGTGGATGTTATCTATGAGTCGCTCACTCCTTGAAAATTTCAATCATCCGCTATACAGATCGCCCCGGATGTATTTTCCCCGGCACTAAATTAAGTGGGTCCTAAACCACCTATCCAAGGGACTTACGAGTCATGGGCATTCTCGACTAACATCATTTCGGACATTCAGCCACACTAGGGTGCCGCAATCGCTTAGTTGAACCCCTGCGCGTCCTGCGATTTCTACGTGCTTTATCTTTTCCCGTGAGAACCCGCGACACTATACATCAGCAGCCACTCATGAAGAGGGTGAAGCTATATTTGGCGCCACTACTGCATCTCTCGCAGAACAACCGTCCTATACCATCAAACAAGAGCCTATGGGAGTTCAACTCAGACCACCAGGGGTCTGGTACCCCCTCTTTTGTGTGATCCTGAGGCAAGCACAGCCTTGAGGCCGTCATCTATGATACCTGACGGTGCATTTCGTGGGTAACCGTTCTTAGGCATCTCTCATTCCTTTACTTTAGCGCTATCTAATTTTGATTTCTATGGCTGCGCCTCACTGTTGTGCTTGGACAGGCTACAATGTCTACTGCCATACTGCTCAAGACTGGTATTGAGCCACAGTCATAAATGGACATGGTTCCCCGGCTACATCCGCTATCAAGCAAGCAAAGAGAGGTTCCTCGTACCTAAAAGCATCTCACGATCACGATCACGATACTATTCAATAATTTCACAATGCCTTCCCGACATTCCTACGAAAGACTTTCACACTTGGCCCCTCTTTCCGAGATCATCGAGCTCGAACCAGAGGAAGAGCCATGGTGCGCCGGCTACGCCCCCTCACAGGGTCGTCGCTGTCACGCCCGCACAAATGCACGAGGCCGCAGATCAGCAATAGCCCTTCTTAATGAGGGCACCAAAGACATCCTAGCCGGTCGCAGCATAGATGAACTGCTGGAAGACTTGGCTCCCCATGTCCTGTGCACAAGGTGGCATCAAAGCCAAGCCTCAACTCTCGCCTCTCGCTGGAAGAGACAAGTCCGCACATATCTTGATTCGCAGCCCACTTCCAGATCATTTGCAAGGCCAGTCAGGCCCTCAACTCGACATCTATCTCGAGAGACATTCGAAGCAAGCACGGAGGATAGAGCTCTTCGTCTCCGCCAAAGACTTCGTGCCCTCGAAGAAGAACTCAGGCAACTTGAGGCCGCTGAAAACAACCTCCCGTCAACTCCAAGTCCTCGTGCACGCCGTAGGGGCACAGACTCAAGCGCAGTCATTCCTAGCAGCACGAGGCATACGTCAAGCAGAAATACCTCGCCGGAGAGCGTTGTCGATAGACCAGTGGAGAGACGCATCACGGAATCCACCAATCAATTAGCAGTCACTGTGCAAGTAGCAGTCACTGTGCCTCGACCAACGCAAGTCCAAGTCGTTTCTCCCACACAGGAAGCTCCTGTTTCAAGCCCAGAACCGGCTACCCCACCAGCTGTAGATACCGCCTCCAGCAGCAACGAAGAGTCCAGCAGCGATGAGGATCAACAGAGACGGGTTGAACATTCACACGCTCATCGCCGAGACATTGATGGAGACTGCGGGATCTGTCTGTGCGATTTACGTACTTCAGAACAAGACGCGGAGGCGGATGGAGAGGACACCGAGGATACTGGCGATGATGACTCCGATGAGGATGAATCTGACTCCGATGAAGATGATGACTCTGATGACGATGATTCCGATGACAATGACTCCGATGACGAGAACTCCGATGGCGATAGCTCAGATGACGATAACCCCGATGACGATAACTCAGATGACGGTGACCTCGATGACGATGATGATGATGATCAAGGTGGCGATGACTCCAATCAGCAAATCAAAGTTGAAGCTGAGAGCTTCCGTCCAAATAAAGCATTGGTTTGGTGCAAGGCAGTCTGTGGAGTCAACTTCCATGAAAAGTGCATCGAACAATGGCTGAGAACAGCGAATGCACCTACATGCCCAACATGTAGGAGTGATTGGAAACACTAAATAAGATTGCAAAACATGTATATCAAATCCATGCAAGCTTTTAATGACTATAGCTTGTGTATGACCCGATGAACGATACCCTAGATGAATGAATTTTATGTCTGTTAGCCTAATCACAAATAGTCCATATACTGTAATCGATGAACAGGTACATAGTTCAAGTTCAGCATCCCTAGCGCGTCAAAGGGTCTACTTGTTATAGGTAGCAACTTTGTCGGATCTCATGCAATTAATCAGCTATTAAAATGAGGCTACTTGTCCTATAGCATAGTTACCAAACTGACGCCATGGCTAAATAAGCTCTTCGACCGAAGGTATGGTAGAGGAAATTTTGTGACATCGAAACTTTCAAATCTAAGCAATGAGATGGCATGTCATCTCGCAGTTGATAAGACCTCTGGGATAACGTTGATTGCACAGAGTGCATCGAGGGCTATGAAGAATAAAAAACCAAGAATAAATTGTGATGCCTCATAAGCGAAGAGATAAATCAGCCCATGATCTAGACAGAGCTCTACGTAGTTGCGGCTCAAGCCACTTTTTTCGTGCGCATATTGTTCCATTCAAATCCCAAAGCACTGAAGATACCCAAGCAACTCATGAGGAGAGCAAGTTGAAAGACCTTACCAGCGCGTCGTTGTATGCCACAAGGACCTCTGGCAAAATAGAGTCACCGAAGATGGATCTAACACTTGTTGCTCCGCCGTTTGCCACATTCGCAGAAGAAAGGTTGAGGATTAGCTCCTTCGTAAGTACTTTCTGCACGACAGCGACGAACAATGCCCCACCAAGCGTCTGGATGAACATAACAATCGCTGTGCCAATAGACACCTTGGACAAGGGAAATGCGGTTTGTGAAGCAACTGCACCCTGCTGGAACCCACATCCTACACCGAGGCCATAGAGGAATAGGTATGCGATCCACGTAGCTTGAGACACGTCCACTGTGAATGTTGTGATAAGACCCGCCCCGATAGACATGATGATGCTGCTCATGATGAAAAAGGGCACGACGTATCCTAGACGAGTCGTCGATCCACCACATAATATAATCCCAGCAACATTCGATAAAATTATCGGAAGGGAGTCGATACCGGAGCGTACGGCTCTAAGACCACGAATTGCCTGGAACCGATGTTTGGGTTAGTAAAATGCTTCATACTAAAGACCCAAAATTTCACCTACCCAGATAGGAACGTAGTAGACCATAATGAAGAAAGAGCTGCCAACACAAAGGCCAAAGAAAGAGGAGAATGCAATGGTCCGTTGGTGGGCAATTTGGACTGGTACAGTGGCCTTATCTCCGATTGCGACTTGAAGGGTAATTGATGAACACAATCATAGCCACCCCAAAAAACAACGAACAAGGTGGTGATTCGAGCGTCTGACCAGTCGTACGTGACTCCTCCCCACTAAAGAGCAAGAAGTAGGCAAACGATCGCGGGGACAAAGATGAGTATCCCAAATCGGATCCAGCTCCAGAAAAACATCCCTGGGTGTCTTTTGAACCCTTTGCTTAGGTGGTAGTTTTCGCAGAGGGAGAAGATCAACGGCGGTGATCCCACTGAGAGGGAGGTTGATGTAAAAGCACCACCTTCAAGTCGCATGATCGGTGAATACACCCCCCAACTCAAGAAGGACTAGAACTATATTACTTGACTGGTTCATGCGAGCTGGGTGCCTACCGATGGTCCAGCAACCGAGGCAATACCGTACATACCACCAAGTATGCCGAAGAAATTTTGGGTGATCAGTTGAATACCATGAAATAATAACGGGGAGGGCTAAGGACTAGTGAGGGATAAACAGAAGATACTAGCTATCAGCCTTGGGACCTTTGTACGAGAAAAGCTTGGAAAAAGAGCCATGCTCTACTCAGAAAAGATGGATTGCAAAGCACAACATAGACAGTCTGATTGCAAAGACAAATGTCCTCCATCTAAGAATAAAGTGTCAGATGTTGTACTGAGGAGTGTTCCTTGGCCCCTAGAACATCTAGACTTTTCGTGGCAAGACACCCCGGTGAAAGGTTTGATGTAGGATAGTCATAGTATAATGCGAAGATTTTCACTTTCCAAGATACGTCAGATATTCCCACGCTCTGTGAAGGCGGCCCAAATATCAACAAACGTATATCTAAAATACTCGTATCCATCCTTCCTGGGGAAGTCAAGCTTCTCAACATGCTGCACGACTAACTCACACTAAAATCATAGAAAGAGGGACACATTAAAATCTTCAGCAAGTGCAGTTTCCTTCGGTCAGAATCCAGGCTAGCCCATGAGCCTGGGTTGCCATGCAACCAGTCCGATACTCAAAGTGATAGGTCATTTATTCCTACCTATTTGTAAAGGTAAAAGTAAAACATACCCCCATCACCAAACTTAGTAGTTTCCATAGCGCCAGCAATGAGATTGTCATTAACATAGCGGAAGTGATCAATGATACGGTGATTGTCGTATATCATAGCGGCCGACACAATGCCGCGGAAACGAACCTCGCGGAGCTGGGTTGGGTTAAACATATCCTATTCCAAACTGAAACTGGGTCACTTACAATGGCATGACCCCAGCTCTCATCCTTTACGGGCTTTCCGTCCTTTAACACAATAACAGGGTCAATGTTCTCAGTGGAGTGGAAGGTCTTTCCAAACCAATTCATCTCCAAGAGTTCGGGCCAGCAGGGATGACTGGTGTCAAAGCCTGCACCCTTCCAATCTCCGTGGATTAAATCGATTGGAGCAGCCGGAAGCTCGTTGAAGATAGCCTCGACGTCAGCTTCATTCACTTTGCCGCCCTTGGCAATGAGAGCAGTGAATTGATCCTTGGGGCTAAAATGTAAAGATAAGTACAATGGTCAAGAGCTCTCCAGAATATAGAATGCTCAACATACCTTTCGGACATGGTGGAAAGATATTCTATAAAGAGTTTTGAGAACAGAGTCTAGTAGACAAACTGTGTTATAATAAAGAAGATGGAGTATAGGAGATGCTGAGCTATATATATGTAAGGGGCCGGGTTGCTCCAGTAATTTACAGGCAGAGAGCCTTCACACCCTCTTGATTCCCGAAGCCTCAATCTAAGATATCATTCGAAGCAGCATAATCAGGATTGGGAAGATGATGCAGAGGTTGGTTTCACGGGCCACGGTCCTTTGATGTGGCAAGATCACGAGACATACAATACAGTACAAAAGTGGCTTTGATTAACACGGAGATTGGAAATATCGTATTCGTCTTGAGGGCATTTTTGGAGTTATGAGATCTGGAACTCTGGCACTTGTTGCTGCCCGATGGAAATTTGCAAAGTATATTCAGAGGCAATAGCCCCAGCTCGTGGAAGCGTTCCTACTTCAGACAAGGTACGACCTCCCATCCGGGGAGTCTCGATGCAACAGCGCACCGATCGAACAGTAAACTTGAAATTCAAAGTGGGATTTTCTTATGCTCACATGCGCTCTCTTTTCTCTCGATGACATATTATTGTCACCTTCATTTACCTGAATTGGTGAGCGATATGTAAATGCTCACCATATACGTACTTGGCTGCATATGCATGGCGCACCACCTTCCCCGAACAGATTTGAGACCTTTTTCAAGGGCCTCCATCCAGAAGAATGTTCCGACTCATAGTATATACTTGAAAAATGGCGATCGGTCACCCATCCGCTGTAGCTCCTCGTCGGTATATCTTTCATAGACTTCCTCCCGGCTCATCCTGTCGTTTCGCTTATTGCTATGCCAGAGCTTGAGCTCTAGGACTATACTTGCAATCACTCCGGCCGCGGCAAATGCGAAAGAGCATCCAAATCCGGTAGGGTACATGGGGGCTTCGGCTTCGATATAGATGAATGAACCAATGAGACCACCCGCATTTCCAATACTTAGCATGAAAGCAATCCCCATGCCTTGCTTTCGTGGACCTGCAAGATTATTGGATGTCCACGCGTTGGTTCCGGGGATGATTGGGTATAGACCAATGCAGGCGAGAACAACTGCAAAATAGCACACTGCGATGGTATTTTTGATGTTTTCGGCTAGCGAGAAGAGGACCGAAAATGCAATGATCACCAGGAGCTGACCGGTGACAATGACTGGCATACGCCATCTCAGCCTGTCCGCAAGAAGTGCAAACAGACAGGCAGATATCGCACCGGCGATGTATGGCGGTATCGAGAGCAGCTGAGCATTCGCAGCAGTATATCCCATATTTCTCATAATTTGGGGAAGTGTAAACTTCAAGCCGTAATTGGGAACAGTGTTTGACCAAATATTAAGGACTTGCAGGTATAGGTGAGAGTCCTTGAAAACACTCAACAAGGCGTTCCAATCGAATTTGTTCGGATTTTCGTCGACAACCACATGTCCTCTCTCGGCTTGTTTGCGCAACAGCAGATACCGAATCTCAGTTCAAGATGTCCAACGTGCTATCTCAGCGGCGACGCGTTTCCTTCAATCGATACTTACGAAACCGATGGTTCTGTATCATTCCAGTCAATACGGGATCAGGTTCCAAGTTATCAATGCCTAGCAGAAGTAGTTGCAGAGTTTCAGGTGGCAGTCCCGCTCCTTCATCATTTTCTAACGCCGCTTTCACAACGTCTATTGTAATGTGAGGGTCCTGACTGCGGTTGAGAAGACATTCCAAAACTTCGGGCCTTTGATAAGGAGAACAAACAGAAGAGTGAAACTTTCCTGCTATTATAAGATCTGTTGATCTGACCTGCAACTTGCTTTGGTATTGGAAAAGTACCTCGATCCAATTGAGCAGGTCCTGCGCCTCAGAATGATGCAAGTTCTTCTTCCCCCTGTGACGGAACAAGATTGCCTCTATGAGGCTTTCTTGCTCACAGCTATCGGAGTTTGGACCTGCACCACGTTCGAGGAGAATTTGCACTGTATTCAAGTCCTTAAACTTGCAAGCGTAATGCAAAGCTGAACCAAATCTCTCTGACGGGATGTTGACATTGATACCGCAATCCAGGAGCCTATCAGAGACTAAATCCTGACCACTGAACATTGAAGCAATCAAGGCTGATCCAAAATAGCCCCCATCAGCGTTGATGTCAGCCCCATGATCCAGAAGAATATTGACGATTGCTAAATCTCCCAAACAGGAGGCGACTTGCAGCGGTGTACCAAGCTTTGTGGGAGAAGGATTCACCTCAGCACCCGCACGCAAGAGAATGCCGATAATATTTCCACAGGCGGTTGCTCCTCCGTCTATGTGCTGTCCACTGATGATATCGATTCGACTCGGAAGAAAGCTGGGTTCGAGCCATTGCTTTGTTAGTCCTTTTGCCATCAGCCGGAAAGCTACAAGGCCTTCGACAGCAGCAGAGATTTGAGAGCCGTAAAATGGGCTCGTTGACCGTACGTTGACACCATTCTGGATAAATTGGGAGACCAGTGGCTCTCGCTGATGATATATGAGCGTATAAAATTCGTGCTGGCCAATTTCCACACTCATACCAGCGATTTCGGACAATATCTCCTCAATAGTTTCATCGCTTCCCAGAGCACAGGCTGCATTTAGATACTGAGCCGTCTTTGGTATCTGCTCCCACAAGAACGAAGATAATTCCTTGTCACCTGCTCGATAGGCATCGGGCAGCGCATACATGCATGCAGAGGGTAATACATATTCGCTTGCCAAATACTGTATTAGAAAGCGCAAAGTTTGTAGAGGCTGCTGTCCTCGAATTGAACCTGTAAGCGCTCTCGAAATGGCTCGCGCATCATCGCCTCTGGCCCCGAATTCAAAAAGTAGCTTCAAAATATCCAGATTGCCTATGGAAGCAGCTGATTCAAGTGGATAGTTGTGACCCTCAATGCCTCCATTTGGATCGGCCCCTCTAGTTAACAAAATACGAGCAATCTCATAGTAGCCTTCGTTGCAAGCTATTCCGAGAGGACTGAAGGTGCCCAAGCTTTTGGCGTTATTGACATTTGGATCTGCTCCTTCCGTCAACAGGAGATCCACGGTTCTCACGTCTCCGTTCAGGCACGCCGTTATCAGAGGGGGCATGTGGTGTGAACATATACCATTAACATCATCTCCGGCAGATATAATGAGCTTCGTGGCATTGTATCGATTTCCCTTGACGGCGAGATGCAAGTACTCCCCTTCATTGTCGATGCTGGCTCCAGCAATGAGAAGCTTTTCTGGTATTATTTGGCTGCTAGACTTGAGAGCGAGCAAGAGTGGAGGAGACCCTCCAGGTAGATCTTCGTTATCTACGTGTAGATTGACATCTGCACCGCGAGTAATCAACGCCGTGACAACTTCGCTGTGCTCTCCGTAGACGGCCGCATGAAGCGAGGTCGCGTAGGAACCCCCAATCAGATTCACCTTCGCACCCTCACTCAGAAGTAATTTCACGCACTCTAGATGCCCAAAGCGGGCAGCTGCCTGGAGCGCGCAACCGTAGTAATACCCGCGACTATTGACATCAGCCCCCCTGTCAATCAGAAGTTTCAAAAATGCAAAGTCGCCCTCCACAGCAGTCATCTGCAGTAGTAGACCAAATGGTAAGTCTGGGATGAGAAGATCTGGTTGGGACAAAAGCAAAAGCTGTACCACAGCCCCGGGGCCGGTCGATAGTATTTCCCGTATTGACCCCGAAGCAGGGAAAAGGCCATCTTCTGATGGTAAATTGTCGAACTGCGAATCCATCGTTTGGGACTCTGTCTCCTCCCAGTCAGACTGAGGCTGAACTTGAAAGTGGCTTAATAATATCTCCAACGCAGTTCCTAGATCATTCTGGCACTCAGAGATAGCCCCATTATCAAGAAGCATAGATACTATTGGCAAAGAGTGACACTCCCTCTTCAGGGCGCAATGTAGAAGAGTTTCCCAGGTATTATGTATGTTGACGTTAGCACCTTTAGAGATTAGCAACCGAACAACATCTTCGGAACAATGTCGCACGGCTATATGCAAAGGGCTATCCATGCCATCAGCTATTTGATTGGGATTAGCCCCATTCTCAAGAAGAAGGCAGAGCACGCCTTCCAGTTTTGCTTGAGACATAGCTCGTGTGGTTGATCTAACTTCCCATAGTCTCTGGATAGACAGAAAGCATGATATCAATGGGGTGCTGGGCAGTCTTTCTTGAGAGTGAACATTTTTTAAACAACAAAGATGGGTATCCGCTTTTGTCATTTGGTGAGGGCCGAGCACAGGAGCCCTGTGGTCCACTGCGTCAACCTGAACACCGGCATGGAGCAGCCACTGGGTGGCGCCCAATGCACCTGACGCACTTGTGCAACACAATGCACGAATGAGGAACTGCTCATAGAAGGTATCTTCTATCAATGTCTCGGCGATCACTGCCATAATTGGTGTCAAATCTCGGTGGGCAGCATGGACAAAGGCATTTTTAAGCAGCTCTAAATTGCACGTGCTAGGATGCTTAGCAATAATATAGCGGACCACCTCGCCATGGCTGTTCAATATCGCCTTGTGGAAACAATCCTCGACAATGTCTCTTGGGATCTCACCAACGACGGCGCCAAACATAAGAGACAGTGTTGACTGCGAGCCTTGTTCAGCAGCTATGCGCATGACTTGGAATAAAGATTCTGCGGGAAATCCGAAGCCGCTTTCAAGTAAGACTCCGACCAAACTGGTCCTCTTCGAACGAACTGCTTCTGCTAGTGCAAGGTTGTGTAGAAGGTTTCTGTCTGACCGTGCTGCCAGCTCAAACCCACGCCATACCACGGATTTCTGGCCTCCTTGAGAGCCAGCACGCACCAGAATTGTGGGAAGCGAGGTATCCTGGACGTGGGGAATCAGTATCCCAATGGTGCTGATGTGTCCTTGCTTGGCGGCGCACTCTAGTGCATGTTCAATGAATGTACCAAGACCTGAATCCACGGAAAGGATCCGTTCTACAATGTTGTCGTGGCCGTGTTGGCATGCTGCCCAGAGTGCTGCGCCTAGGTGGGTTGCTCGGAGTCCGAGGCTTTTTCGTACAGCAACGATTCTCTCGACTATAGCCTCGTGTCCTTTAAATGCTGCCACTTCCAACGCAGAATTCTGGAGTTTCATCTTCCCGGGTACTCTGTGGGGCTGATAGATAGGCTCTGGAAAATTGCAGGAGGGGTGTGGATCACCCGTTCAGCCAAGGATCGCCTCAAAATTTGAAACACTTGCCTCGAGGCATACAGTGCTTTCCAATTCTTCTGGTTTTCGCTTTGACAAGCGTCGAGAGTTCAAACAGATGATGTTTCTAGACCCAATTTTCTTCCTGGCGGCCTTCCCAGCAAGACGTATGCGTGAGAAAGCTGGTGTATCCATGGCAGGAAGGAGATATCCTTTCGCCAGGAACAGACTGATCAACTGTTCGTGGCCACCTTCGGATGCAGCGTGAAATGCATCTTTGTATCGACCCCCATGCTCGATACGAGCTCCCGCAATTAATAATGCTTTGGCCACATCACGGTGGCCTCGATAGGCTGCAGCTTGAAGCGCAGTGCCAAAGAAGCCACCTTGGTTGTCAACCTTTGCATTTAGTTGAATCAGCATGTTCGTGATGTACAAATGGCCTTTCATTGCTGCTGCTTGAAGGGCATCACCGAATGCAGTCAGCTTGTTGGGGTTTGCGCCACGAGACACAAGAGTGCGCACGGTATTCTCATGGCCCAACAAGCTTGCACATCGAAGAGGTGTACCAAATTGGCCCTCTTCCTCAATGTCATAGTCTTTGTCCAGAAGCATTTCGATGATTGAGGTCTGTCCGAATAGCGCCGCGGTAGCTATGACATCGGCTGGCAGTGGCCCTTTGTCGATCAACTTTTTGAGGAGAGAGGTGTGGCCTCTTCGTATTGCGGTATGTGCCAGTTTAGATATTTTTGCCTTCGACAAAGCATCAGTTGATTGATCTTTTTCTAGTTTCTCTATTGCATCAATGAACCCAGTTTGAGCGGCAGCGTCTAACAGCCATTTCTCATTGCTTTGGCCGACCCCTTGACCATCAAAAGGTCTTGAAACATAAGCTTCTAGCAAGAGGCTCACAATATCCTCCTGGTCAGAGGAGAAGGCTATGCTCAAAGCAGGCTGGATATTTCCTCGGGAGGAATAAGCCTCATGGTGAAGCAGAACTTGCGCTACAGAGAGATGACTGCCTGCACATGCAGCTGACAATGGATCCGCGTATCTGCCGCGTGATATATTGGGGTCCGCGCCCAGACCAAGTAGGGCTTCCACAATTTCCTGGCGTCCAAATGCCGCAGCCAGATACAAGCCTGTGTGGCCCATCAAGTTTGTCCCATTAACGTCGAGGCCTTGGATAGCGATGTCGAAGACCGCCCGTAGCCCATATATGCACGCGGCAAAAAGAGGTGTCTGCGTGCCACTCATGACAGCAGTCAATTCTCTGATCAAAGTCCGGTTTTTCGGGAGGGCTTCAGCAACCTCATTCACGGCCTCGAGCCAAAGGTGGAATGTCAAACTGTTGTCATCGAAGACAAATTTGTTTAATTCCTTCGCAGAATCTTCACTTGCAGCAGCTGCGGAGTAGTGCTGGCCCCAGTATAGCGCTGCATACAATTGGTAGTTGCTTTCGGGGTGTAGTTCAAGAGGAATATCTACCAGCGGGCATTGGATGCAGGTATCGAGGCAGCTTTTTGTAGCGATGCAGTGAGCATTTGCCCTATCAAACTCGGGCTTGGCTTCTAAGAATTCTTTGAACGAAACGTGCGCAAAGCGCAGAATATTAGAATGGTTGTCAACGACAATCAAATTTGAGCAGATTGACAGAAGCTCAGATAGAGTAGGCTTTTGACCATTTGATGTGCCATTCGATACCGCATCGAGGAACGCCGCAGGCGATAGGGGCTCGTGCATGCACAGCAACCAAGAAAATGCGCGAGTCGCAGTGGTATATGCCACTGGATCCTTCTCTGCCACGTCTTTGAGAATCTCAAAGTATAGGTGATCCACTGCAACAGAGTCTGGATTCTGCAGTGCGTCCATCAGACTAGCTGTGGATCTCATCTGGCGAAGGCGTTCCACCTGAAGCCGTACCCACAGAAACCTATATATGTGAGAAACGATCGGGCATCAATCTATGGGGAAGCTCACATTTCGCCGGCTCTTTTCAACAAAAACTGCTTCAGTTTGATTTGGAGGTCATCCGAAACGTTCCCATGAAGTAGACTTCGAGTCGAAATGGCATTTCTCACACAATGGTCTACATAAAGCTCCACGTCATGCCGAGTATCAGTCTCTTGAATACGCAGCACTAAGGCATCCTTCGGCAGGCCTGCCATAACATTCACATTGTCTCTGCTAGAGATAAAGATCTTCACCACACTAGCTGATTCGTCACGGACTCGTATAAGTTGATCCAATAGCTCATGTCTTCGATGCTCCTCGATCTCGTCGACCCCATCCACAACAATCGTGGCTGGATTTGATGAGAGGATGCTCAGAATAAGCTCGGCGGCTTGGGTACCTCGAATCCTAGGGGGGTCAGACAATCCTTCCAATTTAGCCTCGGCTTCTCTGCGGGCATACTCGAGCGCTACCTGCTCGCGTATTCTGAGCATTTGTCGGTCAATGATAGCAAATTGGCGAACGAGCGAGAGCATGATCTCATCTGGGTCTGCCCAAGATGGACCAAGCCGACTATCTCCACAGTAGAAATACGCCACTGGGGCACTCAAGGGATTCAAGCTGCTCTCGTTTAGAAACGACTCAATGACAGCGGAGGTAAGATGCGTCTGTGTCAGATCTATATTAGTGATAGTTTACTCTACCTTTGGGGCAGAGTCTGAAAGCGCACCTTTCCAGAACCGGGAATCCCATGAAGGAGAAAAAGAGAAGACGAGCTGGATCCCTTCCATTCCTTGAATCGCGGGTGATCCAGTAACCACTGAGCCGACCCCGACAGGCGTGTTTCCGAATGAAGTTGATGATGCTGATAATAAGGTGTAGTTGATAGCCACTTGAGAACCGCATAAAATTTATCATTCTCCAATGTTTTAGTGTACATTGTTGATGAGTCAATGAGACGGCATACTGGGCGGCGTAATGTTTCCGCAATCCTTTGAATCGTCTCTGTTTGAATTGAAATCTGTCGTTGCTCTTGGGAATCAACAATTTGAGCTAGCTTGATCAGTTCTCCATCTAACTTTGATATCTCTTCGAGCTCCTCATTCTGAGAGGTCTGGAACACGCTTTTCACAAAGCGACTTGCACTGGACTGATTGAAATACCGGATTCCATCAGCTAGAAAGACCAGAATCTTACCATATAAACTGGTCAAGGCGGAGTGCAAGTTCACTTGGATATGTGACCCTTTCTGAGCGTAGAGTGATTCAAAGGCCGCATAACGTGCGATCAGCAGTGACACGGACTCTAAACCATGAATAGTGGACTCAAAACAATGTTGTTCGCTTATGGCTACGTTGAGAAGAAAACGAATACCCGCCCATGGAAGTGAAGCCCCAGTGGTGTCGAACTGCACTGCGACATCAACAACAGCTTTAAACTGATTCACCCAGGCGATGATCTTGTCGAAAATATCCCGAAGAACTATTGTCTTTCCATGAAGGTGTACCTTCCATCGCTTCTGTAAGCATATTTGTTTCTTTCGCTCGGCTTCCTCGAGGATGGACGCAACAATATTGCCGTTGTGGATTCTAAGGACGCCGGCCAAACTTGCTTTGTGCTTTGGATCTAGTGTGCCCAGGGCAGTTGACCAAAGATTTCTCGAGGCTCGAGCACTGGAGGAAGTCATGTTGAAGGCATTCACTAAGATTTCTGGGTCCAGGGTAGATAGTGGGCGTTGTGAACAATCTATGGTCTACGAAGTGAGGGGATGGAGAGGACCTCGGGATGTCCCACCTGGGCCGTCCCGTTGCTGAACAACATTTCCTAGTTCACGGATCTTCCTTATAAACCCTCACTTTTTTGCACTTTCTCACTTGCTATATCATCATGGATTATCGCTCCTTCAAATACATTCAAATTTCCAAAGTGCTCGCTGCTTTACCTCCAACTTTTATCAAGTTTTGGTCGAGTGTATGCCCCTGGGCGCAGCCACATTTCAGCCCAAGCCCCACTAGTGGCGTCGCGCTGGAGCCCCATATGTTTAGTCAGCTCAGGCCCGGCTGTGATTCGCCAACCCGTTCAGCACAGGAATCCATGGGCAATAATAGATGTTGATTCCATTCTCCTACCTTCTTCCTGATCAATTGATAAACATTGTACTTCCGCTCTTCTGACACATTCTCGGATAATGCTATACACACATAGCGAAGATCCCATGATGGACAGGTACTCCTATACCTTCCGCGCAACAGCTACAACCCGCGGCATGGACAAAGCAACACCATGAACTGCTTCGACAGAAAGATCCTTGAGCAACAGGCGTATGTTCTGCGCGTCATCAGCGCTTTCCTTCTGCAGCGACTGTGCAAACTCCTCCATAGTGACCAAATGCTGTTCTCCATTTGCGGTAGCAAGCTCCACACGATCCCGAAAATGGTCCAACCGCGGGCTCTCAAACCCATTCTGCTCCAGCAATGTCGGCAAATTCAGCACCCAGTCATGGCGGCCGTTCGAGTAGACGAATTTGAGCAAGCGATCAAAGGCTGGCGTTGCCAGTTCAGGGTCTACCTTCACCACATGGGTGTCTGGGTAATTCAGATCGTCCCATTGGATATATCCGCCCGGTTTGAGCAAACGCGCTACATTCCGAATGACTGGAACGGGATCACTGTTCTGTACGACAAGTATGAGGAGGCGGAGGTGGACGATATCGTATGTGCCCACCAAGTGCTCTGGGACGGGGTCGAAGAGGCTCCATTTGTGCAGGGTAAGTTGTTTAGGGAGCCATTGGGGTGCAGGGGTGTTGGATAGGTCGATGTCGAAGCCATCCAGGGTGGCTGTAGGCAGTGAGTGAGCTACATCGAGCAGCCAGATTGCAGTTCCTGTACCGATGTCTGCGATGACTGGGTTCGAGGGAACAGGAATGGAAGGGTGAATGTTGAATTGAAGCGATTCTTTCCAAAGATAGAATTGGAGGTTGAGACGACAAGCAGCGGCGTGACCACGCCCAAGCATGTAGCCCTTGCTATCTGCAAGATGGAAACCGGATTCAATGGTTGACGACATGGTGCAGAGGAGCCCGATTGAGGAATTGGTGAGAAAACAGTTGAACAAACGGTCTGGCATAGGAGGGGAATCCCCCCCCCTCTTTACGACTCCAAATTGAGCAGAGACAATTTGCTCACTATTGCATCAGCTATCAAGCCTCTGGCCCCCACGCCGATCAGTTGGTGGAGTTCCTGGCGCCATCTCGCACGGTGTTCCAAGAGATAGCGCCTGCTTTAGCGTGATAGCACTATGGGACCTACATGTAGAACTTTCGCAGCCCAGCTATTTGCTTTACTCTTTTGTCATTCCCAATTTACTCACTCACCATGCGTTCTATCCTAGTTGCTCTGGCCGTTGGCAATGGCACCGGTCCCGAGTTGCTGGCAATATTCGAAAAAGTTATCCTTGCACTGGCAGCCCCATACAATTTGGATATTCGATTTGTTACATCTCCGCGAGCTTACCATTCCTACTCAACGCTCCTAGCCATCAATGATACCGACGTTGTGAGTAGTGAGACCCTCACGGATGCAGACCACTATGAAGCCTTCTGTCGTCAAGTAGTCGACCTTGGAGCATGTGCTATATTTCGAACCTCCATCAGTGCACAAGCGCTGTATATGGTTCGAGACCGGCTACAAGCTGTGAAGGTGGAGCATTTCAAAATGAGCCCTTCTGCATCCATCTTGCTAGTGCGGGATCAGGCACAGGGATTTTACTCTGGTCTGAACAATATGGACTCAAACCAAGAGACAGTTTCACGCTCATCATATTTCAGCAAAAAGGTGTTTGAGACTATCCTCACCTTCTCACTTGCCCGCTCCCGCGAGGTCTGGGGGTCTGACTCACCCATCACTACCGTCACGCTAGTGTACAAGTTCCACCTCTTCGATGGGTTGTTCTACTCGTGGGCAAAGGAGTGGAAGGAATCCTACGGTGTGGATATCCAATTCATCCAAGGCGACACGATGAACCGCAATCTCTTGGCATTCGGCGTCCAGGGCAACCAGCTGATGATATGCTCAAACGAGTATGCAGACATCATGCAGACGATGCTGCTAGACCGTTTCGGTTATGGCGCCCAGGAGTCTGCATGTGCTGAGAATGTTTACCTCTCAGCGGGGGTGTCTCAGGGCTTAAGCGAGTACCAGACGGCGCATGGCTCCGCCGACGACATTACCGGAAAGGGTGTGGTGAATCCGACGGCAACCGTTCGCGCGGCCGCAGCTCTGTTGGAGCGCTTCGGTGGCTGCCAGGGCATCCAACACCAAATGGATGTTACCCTAGACGAGATGCGTGCGAAGGACATCCGGACACTGGACCAAGGTGGCACGACTAAGACAGAGGCTTTTGTGGCTGCCCTACTACAAACGATCGTCCCCAATCTCCCCGTAAGCGTTAGTGCACTCAATCCTTCCGGGAACGGAAGTCTGTTGCCAGCCCCCCGCCGGGCCAAATCGTGTCTAATGGTGATGGATTTTCAAAATGATTTCATGGCACAGTACAAAGCACCCCGCGTTATGCTACGGATCAAAGAATACATGCCACGACTCTTGGACTGGGCGCGTCGCGAGGGAATGGAAGTTGCCTGGGTGCGATTCCTCGGCGACGAAAAATATCAACCGCCGACATGGCGTCAGCGTAATCAGATCCAGGGCCGGCGGGCCTGGTGCAAAGAAGGCACTTGGGGGGCGGAGATTGCCGGCTGTGTGCAGGTGCAAACGCACGACCGGGTCTTCGATAAAAAGGCGCACTTCGACCCATTCCTACAGGAGGATTTTGCAACCTACGCGAAAGGATTCGAGCATCTTGTGGTTGTGGGTCTATTTGCGGATATTTGTGTGGACGCGGCGGTCCGAGGCGCCTTCCAGCGGGGATTGTGGACAACGATCGTCCGTGAATGTACGGCGGGGCTGCATATTCCTGAGGAGCAGACCTTTGCATACATGCAAGCTGTCTATGGCTCGGAGGTGGTGGGGATTGATCACTTGCTGTCGACCGGGCCGGTGGCTAACCTGTAGGGTGTTGGCGGGATGTAACCGGTCGGCCAAATCGCTGCATGTTGCATCACTTCAGATTAGAGCCCACAATTAGTATAACTAGCGCCAAGACGATTCACATTGAATTTTTATGCACTGATAACGATGGGGGTGACTGGGAATTGCAGATATTCTACGGACTATTAAAATATATGTTCCATACGTATCACCACGAAGAGTATTATGATAGTCAGAGCACCGTCCTCGTTATTTGTCCTTTCTCTGAACATACATTGGTCTCTTACACTGTGTGACCAACATTGGATGAACTTGATCCTAGGAACCTTGATTACTAGATTCTTTTCCACTAGCGCTAATGCAGCCGCCTTGATGTCGTCGAAGGGGCCATTTCCAAGCACGAATTGCCTTTTTAGGGATAGTGAGAATATCATATCATGCAAAGAAAAGCAATCCAGCCATGCGCTAAGGAAAGGCAATAATCACCGGCGGGGCCACCAGTGGAAATTGGTCGACAAGCATGGAAATACGGAGTCGATGAATGCGCCATGTACCATTAATCAATCTACCGAATGACAAGATAGTCAATCCTACCCAGACATATACCGCGTCAACAACTAGAAACAGCGCCTCCTTCCTCCATTCATTTTCACGATGTCCGCGATAGATACCTCGGCTTGGTTCCAGCCAGAGATTGGTCCCCGCTTGCAACCAAGCATCCAGTTCGTCTTTCGTCAATGGAGCGGGCTAGCCGACGAGAAATTGACATCACATCTACATCAAATTGTAAGCCCCTAGAAGCCTGATCCCGATTGCACCATACACTAAATGATAACTTATGTAGCGCGATCAGGCATGGCCACTGGGGAAATACCCATGTATCGGCCTCTGGATGTTCCTGCTACCAGGAATCGCAGCCTTTCCCCAATTCCCCACTATCCTTGAGACCGCTCAACGGCCCCAGGCTGCAATTCTCGATCTGGGATGTGGTCTCGGTCAGGATTTACGGTTGCTTGCCGCTCACGGCGTTCCCACGGAGCGCATGTGGGCGCTGGACATCGAGCCCCACCTGTGGGGGCTGGGTTATCAGCTCTTTCGTGACGAAGGACGCATGAAGGCCACGTTTATTAACGCCGACTTTCAGAAAACAGATATTGCGGAAGATGACCGGTTTTCCGCGTTGAGGGGAAAGGTGGACCTAGTGCTGGCATCACAGTTCCTGCATTTGTTCGACTGGGAAGGCCAGATAGTGGCGAGTAAGAAGATCGTCGGTCTATCTAAGCCAGGTACCATAATAGCGGGGTTCCAGCAGGGGCGGAAACAAGCACGGGCGTATATTCGGCCCTGGGGAATGATGTTTTACCACAATCGGGAATCATTTCTGCAAATGTGGAATATGGTCCAGCAGCAGACAGAGACGCAGTGGACGATCGACGTCAGTGAGGTGAGATTACAGGATTGGGGAATGCAGGATGAGGACTTGGAATGGATGCCCGAGGATCGTATGGGGATCAATTTTGTGATTACGCGAGACTCATGATGCGTTTTAAAGAATTTGCTTATTGGTTTACATAGACAGAATCACTTAACAAACTTGGCACTTGTTGGGGTTGGTTGTTGAAGCCCGGCAATGCCGGTGATCCCGGTGATCTGCGCAAAAGTCCACTAGCAATTGTAACCTATCCTCCTCTTTGCAAAGTAAAACTTCGAATTCCCCTTTATAGAAATTGGTCAATGATCTCCCGAATCAGTTCGACTGTCTCCCCGATCCGATTGAGGAACGGCGCGCAGTGGCTGGACGCCACTTCCTTGACAATCCAGGCCTTCTCAGTGGCGGCCATCATTCCGGATTGTGCCGCCTTTGGCACCGCAGCATCCTCCGTGGTGACAATAAAGCCCAAACGCCCATTGAACGCCTCATCTGCCCAGGCCGGGTGGGGCTGGGGTGAGGTGAAAGCCAAGTTCGAGTGCGGTTTGAGTGACCTGGTTAAGGAATTGGCCAAGACCGGATCGACATCGGCCGCAAAGTTTTTGATAGGGTCATCAACAACGTTGACATTTGGAGAGGGCTGCAGCAGGTTAGCAAGTTGGTTACCTTTCGTATAGTGGGGGCGAAATTGTCATCTTACCTGATCGAGCAAGATCCAGGGGGCAGTTCTCCGCCTTGAAGGCCAGCGCAACTGAGGCCTTCTGCCACGATAAAGGCGCCCAGGTAGAGTAGTCCAATGACGCCACCAGACTTGCCCTCTTTCACCCGCTGCGATTTGGCTAGCCCGCTAGCGGCCGCAGAGCCGGGCATACCGCCATAGGAGTGCATAAACACCACAACATCTTTGCCCTCATCCACCAGGGACTGGAGGATATCAGTGATGGCCTCAGTGTCAGCCTGACAGTCGGCGACAAGCGGGTCCTTGGGGTTTAACGAGGGGTAACCCCCGTAGTGGACATCGTAGCTAGCGACCGTGAGAGCGTGGATAAATGGCTGGTAAAAAGCCGGAGTGATCCAGGCGCCAGGAACAAAGAGGATACTGGTCATTGTGTGCTATGTCAGAGCTATCAGGGAATGAAAGGAGTAAATGGCGGATAACGTCCTAATATACTACCTACACTAACTAGACCCGGCGGGTGGACAACTGCCCACGCTACGGACCATGTTAAGCATGTCTCATTCTCACGGACAGGGGCTCTCCCAACATCAATGCAATTTCCGGTTTAGTAGATTAAGATTCTCATTACATTGCCAATTAGCCACAAGAACGCGTATCCTTTGGGGTCTGAAAGTCAATACTACCTACTCATGGGCACGGTCGCTAGTCCCACGAAGGACGGATAAGCATACAGGGTATATTAACAATACGCTCTTTCCAACCGTGATTTATCTGCTCTACCAATGTCAATTGCCCCTCAGTCCTCAGACTATTCTTCTGTCTGTCACTGCCATCATGGATCTCACCCCTCCGCCCGGCTTAGATCTCACTGAGTCACATCAGTCTGAGTTGTATGCAAAATATTCAGCTACTTATAGTCTAGCGGTGATTGCAGTGACACTACGCTTGGTCTGTCGACTCAGGATTTCTAAAGCAAGGTTATGGTGGGATGACTATATCATGTGTGTTGCATTGGTACTGACTCCTACATCTCCACACTACACTTTTGTATTCCCATAGCGTTTGCGAATCTCTTTCTTTACTCTTCGAGTCACTAACTCGACTATTCGATCAGGTATTTGCCACAGGCAACTTTATCGATATGATAATCTGGGTTCGACGAGGTGTCGGCACCCACATCTATTCCTTGGGGCAGACGGGGGTCTCGCACTTTTATATGAATCTATTCGTCTGCGAGATCCTCTATACTTTATCTTTGTGCTTCACCAAATACTCAATCTTGCTCTTTTTCTGGCGCATTTTTAGTCGCACCACCATTCGCATTCCGATATACATAATTGCATCTGTGGTCACAGGCTGGGGACTTGGTGTAGTACGCATCCCATGATCTACTTATTCCATGGCTTGCTATAAGCTCATGAGCATTCTAGCTAACTAATATTTCACAGATCCTAACGACGGTATTGCAATGTGTACCTATCCAAGGACTATGGGATTACTCCGTCAAGGCCCATTGTGGGGTGAACATCACCGACTTTTTCATCGGCAACGCCGTCCCGAATATCATCACCGACTGGGCTCTGTTGATTCTACCCCTACCATACGTGTGGAAGATTCAGCGAAATGCACCTCAAAAAGTCGCGTTGTGTGGAGCTTTTGCAGTGGGAGGATTGTATGTATTATTCTTTCCGTGAGAACTACTCCCAGTATCCTAATCAGTGCAGCATTTGCATCATCTCAATCATTCGGCTGGTGATCATGTTAGACTCATACAAAACGCCTTCCGTCGACGTGACGTGGGTTTTTATTGGTCCCTCCACCTGGACGGCTGTGGAGACCAATATTGGCATTGTATCTGGTCAGGCCCCTTTCTATTCCTCGATAAACCCTATGATACTAACTCAATTCCAAGCTTGCCTCCCGTCCCTCGGACCCCTGGTGAGATTAATCACACGGATGGCCGGTCGTAAGGAGACCACCGACGATGACACGCATAAGCTATCCAGTTGGTATGGACGCTCGTCGGCATCGGCGAAGAGCGGTGAACATTCCTACTATGACGTCCACCCAGCTGGTATAGATGTGACGACAAGGGTGGATGTGGAGAGTTACCAACGGCACAAAGACAACATGTTTTAATTGTGATGCAAGTAAAAAAAATGTGATACCCGAGGATGTGGTCCGCCTCGTGCATAGAGGCTATTCAATCATTCTAAGCAGAAGACATTCCAAGTTGATGGTAAGCCATTAGCTAGAGCCATCAATACATTGAGAACACTGGATTTTACTACCGTGTCTGGGGAATTGGAAAGTGGAAAATCTGCGCTAGAAGCTATCGGAGGTAAGTGTTCCACCCCACCCGAGCATCCTCCAGAGGATACCTCACCAACGAGCTATTCAATGATTTCCTCCGACATATAGACTGATATATACAACAATAGGATGTGGGAAACATGTCTTCGCGCCCGCTTAGCTGTACGGAAGCCAACTCTTCTGCAAAATCAAACTTGTCCATTTTGGAATCGACAGCTTGCTTTTCTGAGACAATGTGGATCCTCTCCCTTAAAGATGTGAGATCCATTGAAATTTTCAATGATCACAGCCTTTCATACTTGGCTTGACGATTAAGGGGATGAGGAAAGTTCCGCCGCGCAATGCCAAGTGAATTTCGTGATCGCCCCTCATGATGATGCAGCCGCGAAGAGATTGTTAGAAAAATGCCTTCGATTACTTAACAAGGAGCACACACAACTTTCCAGTTCCAGGAAATCGAATATGGAAGACTTGTCTAAAGCTGTATCCAACCCGGAATTCGATGATAATCAACCGCCTTCTCAGAAAGGGTTGTTCAAGGTATTGGCGCGCTATGTGCCCTACTTCCGCAAACCTCAACATGTCTTGGTTTTCAAATTAGACTGCTTGCTGTTGACATGGACCTTTATTGCTGGAATTCTGAAAGAAATGGACCAAAGTGCGACTGCTCAAGCTTACGTTTCTGGGATGAAGGAATCTTTGAATTTATATGGAAATGAATTGATCAACTTCAATACATTCTTCTCTGTCGGCTATGCTATCGGTTTGATTCCAGGTCAACTTATCCAGACTAAGGTGAGTTGACTCGGAATTTGTGAAAATTACCTACAAGCTAACAGTTGCAAGGTTCGCCCCTCTGTTTTTCTTCCATTCTGTGAGATATCATGGGGAATCCTGGTCACCTGGTAAGTAGGGGAAGTTACAATCCTATCTAGCACATACTGAAGACTTTGTCTAGTATTGCCCAGGCACCAAACGCCAAAACCATCTATGCATTGCGAGTCCTGCTGGGATTATTTTCTGCGGTTTTCTGGCCTACTGCTGTCTCTATGATCTTCAACTGGTACACGCCAGCGGAGCTAGCCAAAAGGGTCGCATTCTTCAACGTATCAGATGCAGCAGGTGGTATGTTCCTAAGCGCAGTCCAAGCCGCCCTTTACACCAACATGAATGGCGTGCATGGTATCGCCGGATGGCAATGGCTATTCATTGTCTCGGGTACAGTGACTATTGGGCAAGGACTGCTTGGCCTCGTTATCATTCCAGACTCACCAGTTCTCACTCGCGCTATCTGGCTGACGGACACGGAGAAACGTCTTGCAAGAAAGCGTATGGCCGAATTTGGCGCCAATACCTCAAACATGATCCCTACCAAGGTTCTGGTACAGAAGTTGCGTAAACTGATCTTACACCCCGTGACATACTTCTTCTTGGCCGCCTTCGCCTTGCAAGCCTGGGCAAATCGAGCAAATTCATATTTCACTCTTTATCTCAAAGCGCTCGAAGACTCTTCAGGAAACCTTCGTTTCACTACATACCAAGTCAACGTTATTCCTATGGGTGGCTATGCTCTCCAGATTCTTATCAATTTGGGTCTGAATGCGCTATCCGATTGGAAGCAGTGGCGCTGGCAGATCAGTGTTGCGCCAGCCTTTTTGCTCGGCATTGTACTCAGTGTGTTGAGTGCCTGGCCCTCAGATTGGAGGGTGATTGTGACATTTTATTTTCTTACATATGCGACAAACGCAGGGAGCCCATCACTTCTGGCTTGGATGGCCGAACTTCTCAGAAAGGAACCGGAAGCGCGTTCCATCATTGTTGCACTAACGGTGACAATTGTATACATTGGCCATGCGACAATTCCCATCCGCGTTTGGAGGACAAGTGACTCACCTCGTTATCCGATCGGGTTTCCTCTTGCAACTGCCTTTATTTTCTCGTCTATCTTGGTTCAGCTTGGGATGCTTTGGTGGGGACGACGGAACACACAATTGGCTAGATGCGGATACGATGCGCCGTCCAATGTTTTAGCTGGACTGGACGAAGAGAACTCTAATACGACAGAGAGTCAATTGGCGGTACAGCAAATGGATTTGAAAAATCCGAAGTCTATTGATGTGGGAGTATCAAGGGTTGAAGACAGGTAGCCTAGACGGTTTCACAAATTGTCTGCTAGGACGAGGTTTCACTCACCGTTGTTTATATTATGATGTATCAACACCCTGACGGAGGGTAATCTCTGCACATATTTTCAATGTCACTTCTGGTTAAATTATGATTTGACAACAGGGACGCGTGAGTGGAGTTCCAGAATCAGTGTCATCGATGCATTTAAAGTAGAGCTCCGCAAAGCCTACAGAGCCCAAAGCCCAACCCGCTCCCGATGGGATATGATCTTGGGGTGAAAGCCTACTTGGCCCAATAGGACTTAATCAGCACTAAACAATCAAGTGCAACATGGATCACATTCCGGAAAACGTGACTTTTTTGGTTACTTCATGTTTAGGTCACGTTTTTCGCCTTTATCTAAGCGTAATTCCAAGAATTTTAGGTAACTAATATATAGTATGTCGATAGTTATATAACTAAATTGCATTGGAAAACGCAAAACACATTATTTGGATACATCGTGGATTATAGAGGTTCATTTACGAAGTGGTGGTTCTCCCACCAAATCCTGAATATATATTCTGGGGGGTAGCAGACCCAGTACCAAAGCATCTCGAAAATCACGCGATGATCACAGCACTAGTACTTGTCAGTCATATAACAGATCAGTCGGCGTTCGCGACTCACTGTTTCCTTATGGATATCTCACCACTCCTAAAAATAGTATCAACTATTCGTTCTCCTAGAACTACAGCCTGTCCTTATATCTGTCTGAGCGGACATACCCGCACCTTTCAGATCCGTGATGGTCATCCCTCATCAAGCCCCCGCAATACGGACCCCAAGAGGACATTATAGCGATGGTGAATCGCTGCATAGCTATACAAGCATGATATCTCCGATTCGGTCATTGTATCCTGTGTTCAGCGCCCGCTTCGGCCCGGACGGTTCGGGGCGCGGCGTTCCACGGGTCCACGGATTAGGGGCTGAGCTCATCGCTACGCCCTGCGACGGACATGATTGACTGCTGCACAGTCAATCTTGGGGCCAAACCCACTCTCAGCACATCACCTTCCATAGATAGTTCGCTGCATGAATAAATGCGATAGGGAGGACATGGATCCCAACAGAGCCAATATTATCACTGATGCTAGGACAGACACGTACTAGCCATGTATGCCGAATCCCAACATATTCGTCCAGATTGGCCTCATCCGACTGATCGTGCTCAGCCGACATTTTAATTCTTCCTCTCATCACCCCCACTGCCTAGCACAATGATGGAGAATCTAGATAAGGACAAAATAACGACGGCAACCCATCTCCCTCCTCTCCCAAAAGAGCGATTATCCTTCCCCCACCGCCTAAACTGTTTCCTTCAACTTTGGCTGTTCAAACTCCTCGCCTCCCTCTACTTCCTCTACCTCCGCCTTGTCAACCCCCCTCAAACAACCACCCAACCAACACTGACTAAGCGCTACGCCTGCCGCCCGACCCTAGAAACCCGCATCTTCTACCCGCGCTCATATGACTCCGCCAAACACCAACTCCTCCCCCTCTACCTAAATATCCATGGCGGCGGCTTCGCAGTATGCGATGCGACCGTCGATGATACCTTCTGCAGCTCCTGGGCAAACCGCACTGGAATGCTAGTCGTCAGTCTCAACTACCGCAAGGCGCCGCACCACCCTTTCCCAACAGCCACATTTGACGTTGCCGATGTAGCTAGGTGCGTTCTAGCAGATAAATCTCTCCCAGTCGACCACTCGCGCATTGCAATTGGCGGTTTCAGCGCAGGGGGTAACCTCGCACTATCTGTCTCGCAATTTCCCGGCCTGAAAAGGCTGATAAAAGCAGCGGTGGTATACTACCCCATCGTGGATTTTTGTCACCCACCCAATGTAAAGTTAGATTCAAGGCCGTACAAGAATGGTCCGAGGGATAGGCTGGAAAAGGCCTCCTGGTGGCTGGACTGGGGGTATGTGGATGCAGGACAGAATCGGAGAGATCCATTGCTTAGTCCGGTGTATGCGGGGAAGGATGAACTCCCGCCGTGGATCTATATGATTGGGGCGCAGTGGGATATGCTCCGACTAGAAGCACAGCAGATGATTCATGGGTTGGCCGGGCTAGAGGATCGAGTCGGAGTTCAGCAAGAGGAAGACTTTGAGGTGGGTAGGTATAAATGGACGTTGGCGATGGGGTGCCTGCATGGCTTTACCCATATGTCCCCGCGAAAGAAGTGGAGTAACAGCAGGAGGACTAGGGAGGAAGCTACGCAGAGGATTTATGACGAGGCCCATCAGTGGTTGAAAAAGTCTCAGGTTCTTTCTTAGGAACTATATCTACCAGGGGGGTTCTAAAAATAAAATTGCTCTTTCGGACTTGGGGAGTTGAATTGGCTGGGAGGGAGTGTTTCTGAAGAGAGAAGTAGGTAAAGCGTAGCAATAGGCAGTCCCTCACTGGTTCACTCAATGTTCCGGTATTCTATCAAGCGAGATATCACGTACAAGGCATGAGCCAGGAGATCTATATGAGACAACTATTACAATATGTTAAGTTATTGCTTTGGCTGTGTTTTTGGGACTGCAAAGACTTACATGCGTCTACCAAATACGTTAAGTAGCGAAAAAAGGACCATTTAATATTCACGGATTCCCCAATATGGGGCAATAAAGTCGTCAAGGCATCAATTTATACGTAAGTCAGGCATTTGGACGGAGGCACCTTCGCAACTCGGTTGCCATTTTAAGCACAGATGTGGCAGGTGGATGCAGATAAGTAAGTTCAAAATAGTTCATAACTGAACGAGGCAATAATACGTCATTCTATATATTCATGTCACATAGCTCATGCCATCTCAATCTGCTCATCTTCAGCATCCTTGTTCTTGATGTATGTCACTTCATCGGTGGGGATAACATAAGTCGCCCACTGGCGAACAGGAACCTTGTCCTGGAAGAGTCTCTCAATGTCCGCATTGCTGCGACCCGCGGTCTCACCAACACAGAACCAAGAAAATGCCAGCAAAAGCAGAGTGGTTCCTCCATAGACGAAGCCAATCTTGGGTCCAAGGTTGCCGTCATAGTACATGTAGGGGCTGGTGAAGACCATGAGCCAAACAGTGAGGAAGAAGACGGCCATGGCGCACGATGTGATCTTATTTCTGTTGCGACCGACGGACATTTCTGAGGCAATGGAGTAAGAGAGGGTACCGATCGAGAAGTTGTAGAAGATGATGTTGAGGTAGGCGAGCACGACGATACCGATGCCGATGCCACGGCTGAAAGAGCCATCTGCGGCTCGGGTGGTGCCCAGACCTCCGACGGCGATGAGGGAGATGAAGATACCCATCGAGCAGGTAAGGAGGTTAGTGCGACGCTTGATTTTGTTTCCGAAGACGACAGACACGCCGACAGTGACAATTTGCAGGACGTAGATAATAGTGTTGATGGTGAAGGGGTCCGCAACGCCAATGGACTGAGCAAAGACAACACCGTAGGTGTACCAGAACTGAATACCGTTGATCTGTTGGACGAACATGACACCACAGGCATAGAAGAGCTTACGGCGCTCAACGGGGTCCATGAAGAGGGAGGCCCAAGAAGCGTCCTTGGACATCTCACGCTCGATCTGAACGGCATCGTCGATAGCCTGAATGTCCATCGAGGGGTCATAGTCGCGAGCACTGCGATTGATTTTGCGAAGAGCCTTGATTGCCTTGTCGCGCTTGTCCTTGTACATGTACCACACTGGGCTCTCAGGCGTGAAAGGAAGACACAAAAGCATGATACCTGGAAGGACAACCAGCAGGCACATGGGGATGCGGTAGGAGTTGGCACTGTTGATCTTTTCTGTACCTTGGTTGACACAGGCTCCCACCAGTTGCGAGATGGACTGCATGAACTGGAAGGACATAAGAGCTGGACCTCTGATAGCAGAAGGTGCCACCTCTCCAATGTACATCAGACAGGTAGCGGTGAACTGTCCGATGCCTAAGCCAATCAGGACACGACTGACATAGAAGACAGGGTCAGAGCCAAAGGAGCACGCTTGCACGATGGCACCAATAATGATAAATAGAGAAGCCGAGAGGAAGACAATGCGTCGGCCGAAGAAGTCATTGATGGGAGCAGCTGCAATAGCGCCAACCAATTCTCCCACATAGATGATACTAGCAGACAGCGAGAGGAATGTTGTTCCAAGTTCCCAAGAGCCATCTGCAGTTTGCTCGCCATAGTCCATGGCAAACCATTTCATACCCTGAATACCAGTATAGTAGATCGTATCGTAACCGTAGCAAAGGGCGCCGATGGCAGCCACCAAACAGTAGGCAATAGCCCATCCATTCGACCTCCAGTCGACATTGAGCTCGAGGCCTGCCATGACGAGTCAAACCAAATGTAGTGTGAGTGGATTGGGTAATGGCAACCAAATATCCAAGAAATTAGCAACGAGTTCGAGGAAATCAACCGGCCAGGGGAATGTGGTTTATATGTACCGAGAAAACTCAACCATGGCCAAAACCCGGGATACCCACAAGTCGGGGTAAATTCTCCACGGGGTAAAGCTGCCATGGTCAGCTCCAAGGTTTTCATTCCATGACCCATAGCCCCATTCTTCGCGTCTCATCCAGTCACGGCGTATGCCAAGACATGCTTTGCCCGAGATATGGGTCCATGCTATTTTCTCGCAGGGGCATCTGCAAGCGAAGTTTTCCCGAAAAGTCGCTCAAGACATGTGAAATGGTTCGGTTCAAACAGACTTGTAAATTGATATCATTCCGATGAGATACCGACATTCAAAAGAGGAACATTCGAAAGCTTCAGTAGGAGGAAAGGGCAAATCTTAGTTTTCAAGCCGACCAAGGGCGAAACGTCGGCCGAAATGTGTGATCGGGCCGTCGCCAAGCACGGCCCCAAAACAGAAATCTATAGGAATATCGCCGATGTTTTGTCGGAATTTCTCCGCTCAGTTACTTCTCTGCCGGAAAAACTGGGGTAATTGGGGGTTTTCGTGTCTTCCCCATACTTCACTTCTTTTTCTGTTCTATTTTCTCTTGTTCTATAATACAACATAGACAATTATCTTTGTCAAAATAAACTATGCCATAGCAGAATTGTGGCTTTAAGTTCTCTACTGAAGTCAGCTTGATCTGCATAAATTTCACCGTTGCGTGGACCCTCTGATCTACCTTCTTGATACCCTCTAAAACTACGCCATTTCATGGCCAATTCTTTTACGTGGGGTATAGATATAGCCTGTTCATGGAGACAGAAAATATATCGGGATAGGCAGGATCATCCTTTCAATTCCGACACGGACAACCGTCACTGAAAACTCGGACCAGGGTATTTGCCGGGCCTTAACCGAGCCGTGAGGTGATCCCGATTCCCCTTCCTACCGGGCCCGATACTAGGTTCTTTTTGCTAGCCCCGATTCATCCTTCGGTCAAGTTCCGGCCATTGTATGGAGGCCTCCTAATTCTGTGGCTTGGTGACGTATGTACTTCCTGGCCCACTTTCAACCCCACAATCGGGTCGCTCGAGATCAGGGCTCCCAAGAATGGGGTGGGGGGAAATTTCGAGGATTTCATGAGAGATTGGTAAGTTCTCTTGCTTGCTCTACAACATGTTTCCCACCTCATATTCTTTATGGCCAGATTTCAGCTTAGGTACGGCTGATCGGACGGAAAGCCTATTTTTCCACACCCTTTGGTCGTATGTGTTTTCTATAATAGTTGACTGAATTATATGGTGCTTATCACTCACATGGCCGTTCAATTTTCGAGCAATATGGATTGAACATATACGTAAGCTTCAGATGTAGGATCAGCTTGGGCTTGGCGCTCTCTAATGACATCGACGAGTCTCAGGCTACAATTCATATTTTCCTCGCGCGATGTCCCCCATAACGATAAACGAAGTTGTATTGTCGGAGTTGAAGCTCCTCGCAGCGTGAGATTCCGTGACCAAGACATTTGAACAGCAACAAGAGAAGCTCTTCCGATGCGTGGATGAAGGCCATCATGCCCAGGTCGCCCTTTCATTGAGAGAACTGGGATTCGATGATTCATGGTGATTTGGCCGGTCTCAGGTTCAACAGTATGAATAGGGTCTCAAGAGAGACGCAGATACTCAACATGACGTACTAAGACGCGATATCTTTCTTTATTCATTACTGATTACTGAATTGCGTAAGATCTTGTGCCTATCCTTTGTCCCAAGCTGTATGTCTCGCACCCACACTGGTGGAAAAGCTGTATGCTAATATAGTGGAATAAGCTTTTGTGCCCATGTGTTGGAAGCAATAGTACATCTACCGCAACTGTGGAAATAGGAGAGTCTTTGCGGCTCTGATCTGTGTCAAGCTTGACTGCAACAAAACAGAGGATAAAAAACAAGTCCTTGGGCATGATTGGTCCGCTGCATCTTTTGCGGGATCACCATAGTGTCCCGGCATCCTTGCAGGCGGAGGATTTCCTTCTATTCATCCCTGCAGAGGCCGGTTAAGGTAAAAGCTGGTCAGTGTATCAACTTGCAGCTTCCTCCAGTGAGCTTTTGGCCATCTACTCAAACTGGCCCCTTCACGATTATTTCATAGTAACAGGGAAAGCAAGCCGTGCTAGAGCTCTTGATTCAGCCTTGCAAAGGCCTTGCTGGCATAATTGGCCGTCAAGTATGAGCAATTGGCTCGGATGGTTACTCCTCCATAACCCTCTACAGTGGGCCTCATGGCCTCAGCGAGTCTGTTGACAACTATGAAACCCCCTATAGTGACCCGCTCGATCGTTGAACTTTAGTCTTAGCGAACGGCTTTTCTTCATGGACCAGGCGCCCGTCATTATCAGGCAATGGCGACATGCACATTATTTCAGCTACTGGAGCCTTGGGACAATGCATATCCGTCGGCCAGTCTTCCGGTCTATTTGGGCGCAGACAGCCTAATGCTTCTCAACTGCAGGTTGGGGGGAGGGCTTGTCTTTTCTGCCTCTCGCATGCGGGCAAGGCCCACTTCACCATATACTCAGGCCTCAGGAGTTGGTCCGCTGTGGGTCGTTCCGCAGGTTCAAACGCCATCATAACTCCGAGCAAGTCCTCCAACGCACATGGTTCACCACCTGCAACGTCCTATTCACACGTCTGCTCCGTCTCGCCACGGCCCACATCCCAGAGGCGCTGACGCAGACGCCGGAAGACGGGAGTGCTGATACGGCGGAACTCAGGAACCCACGATCCATTCCTCGAAGAAATGGCAGCGTTTAGCCCAAGAGTTCCACCATCTCACAGGCGGCTGGCCCGGCGTGTTGATCATCTCGGCAACAATGTCATCTCGATCCCAGGCAAATGTTTCGAAGAGTGGACGCTCACCCAAGACCTCGTACAAGTTGACACCTAAAGTCCATATATCAGCTGCGGTGGGATGAGTGATGGGTTCATCGAAGAAGTCTTCTGGTGGAGAGTAGAGGGCTGGGGTGTATAGAGTCGGTGAGGGCGTCTGTGACACAATAAAGGACCTCCCGTAGTCCGAGATGATGATTTTTGGGTCACCCACTTCGTTGGCAGCCATATTCAAAGCCATAGGATAGATGGCATGCGGTGGTGCGTCGGGTTCACCAGGCTTTCCATCCACTCGTCGGATAGGAATCTCGTAGGGTTTGTCAAAGCGCTTGTACAGCTCAGCTGTGCTTAGGCCGTGCAAGTCTGGTATACGTACGAGGAAGTTGCGTAAATGGAGACCTTCCTACTATCAGTGTGCGCGATTAGAACCCGAGATACATAGCCTATTTGTCCTCACCGCCGTGGCAGATGCCGTTTGCATGCATGCAAATAGGACAACCCCACGATGAGCTTGGCGGCAGTAGATCTGGCAGCGTCCGGTGGAAACATGAAATTTGTGCTGTCGTCCTTAGACTTAGCAATACTACAGCCAGCAGGCTCTCTGACCGAGCACTGATGGTGTCCGTTTGGACCATGAAACCAGAATTGGTCAAGTAGCGGCGGGATTAATCGCTTTCCAGCATGAGTAAGGTTGCTCTTCATCAATGGATGAAGGACATCCGCCTCGTGGCTATCTGGCGAGGCTCTTGCAGTCAGTACCTTCAGCGATAAGTAGCACCGGCGTTGGTAATCCCAGGCGAGCCACATTATTGAATATCCTCTAAGCCCAAGCTTGTGAACGACAGTGTAGCGGCCACTGCAAAACATGTCTCCGATGAGAGTTGGGTGGTATCCGCCGGACACATAGTCCTCGAGATATTCAACATCTACCTCAGGGTGGTATATATCTTCCACTGGTAGATGTGACGAGTCTGCCATGGTATGAAGGCATCGAAACGGGTGTGGTGTCGGAGAGACTCTGCGGTGACGGCTGGTCTTTGGTGTAAATAGAAATTGGCGCGGGAATTTGTTTTTATTGCGTCGACAAAGTATTGTGAGTTGGGAGAACGGGCGAGGGAGTCTCTAGACAGGGTTCATATTCATGTTCTTGTCCTTGCAGAGGTCATCGAGTGGCACGCTATTTGGGCAGTGCTGAAGGGCGGTGTGGGACGGGCCGTGGGTTCCAGTTGAGGATGGCTATGGGTAGCGCTCCGCAAAAACCATAAATGGGAGCCCATGGCCCAACCCGCAGTGGGCTATGGGCTATTACATATGGGCTATCTATGGGGGCCCATAATAGCCCATCATAGCCTGTTAAGGGGGTCTTCGCGCCTCCAAACCGTCGACTTGTGATCGCTATATCCTAGCCTCCTACTACATCTTTAGGGTCTAGTAAGATCAAAGTACCTATTCTAATCTATCAGCCAATTTTAAGAAAAGTTTGACAAGTAGAGGTCGAGATATCTCGAAAATGCTTCGTGTCGATATGTTGATATCAGATATATATTATGGATCAAAGGAGGGAGTACAATCACTTCTTGATAACCTTTGTAATTTAAATCATTCCTAACAGTACACATAAATCTAAATCGATATTCATCAACTGTATATTTAGATAATAAAACATTACTATAGTATAAGTGCTAATCACGGGGCTTGAACATATGTAATTTATTTTTTCAAAATATTTGCATTGTTTGTTACTAATTGGGCTTGATGGGCCCGAACTCGGGCCCAAAGCCCAGCCCATTTGTGGGATGGGTTAGGCTGGGCCATAGGCTTTGTGGGCTTTGCAAAGCGCTAACTACGGGACAAGAGCACTGGGGTACGCCGACGTACCCTCATAGGAAACCATCAAGATGTTCATTCGGTCTAATATTCTCCAAAAAATGAATTCCCTGTCTCAGTCTCCGCAGACGATACGGTGAGAGTGTGAGATGCTGGAAATGGCGAATGCAAACAACTTCTATATGATCACGGTAGATTCCCATCAGCTTGTTTCTCCTTTGAGTCTGGATCACTTATCTTGGACGCGAATGCCGAAAAATCCAAGATAATAATTATTTCCAGCGCCAGATGCCTGGAGAATTCATATCTTGATGGGGTGAAGATAGGCAAGGTTTCCCCTGATCTCATATTCTTAGTCCCAGCAAATATAGACATTTGCTTGTGGACATCTGTACCGGCCATTGTCGAGAATTGGACATGCCAAAGGTACGCAGCCACCGTTTTAGCAGCGTTATCTTCTCCGATGATCCTATGCTTCTCGCTATCACTGTGAGGGGCATTGTCACGGTATGAGACGTCAGTAGCGCACAAAGCCTGGAGACATTTGAATTTCAAGTCAAATATTTGGACTTGTTTGCTCTGAATCACTCTTTTCTCCACACCTCCATTGTCACGATCCGTTTATCGTTCTCCTCGAAGCCGGGATCATATGATCCTCACGATCTACAGCGACCATGCTTTGAGGTTCATCACATAGATGCGGACCGCGAATGGATTTGTTGGAATGACAAAAAGGTCCTTTGGATACCTCCAGAGTATCGGTCAGAAGATTCCATTGTGTCAGGGTCCACGCTGTGCCCAGTTCCCTCTTCAAAGTAGGTGCTATGGCCGGATTTCGACCCCAAGAGGCCACCTATTGTTTGAATTCAGGCCATAAGCGCTATGATATTGGATCTCATTATTAGCCATCTCAAGTTGCACAAGATAGTTTGGAAAAGGCCGAGCGGATAGGTATTGCAGAAGCTGCTTAGGCCTGGAGCCAAGATAGCCTGTGCATGAAGGACCGGTTGGTGTATTTGGATGGTGGGGAAGGTCACTCCCAGCCTTTTTGTTCAGAATGGGACAATGTCCCTTTTACTATACCTAATCAAAATTCTCGCAAGCTATAGTCATGAGGCTTAATATAAAGTAGGTCAAACTAAATGACAGGTTGCCCAAGCCCAACCTATAGGCTAGGTGATTCAATAAAACATCACGATAGGTTCGAATCAACTAGCTGATTATTAGGAGAAAGCGACTAGCGGGTTAGTGACAGAAGATACTCCACGATACCTTAGCACTAGTCAGTACTGGTTGCTAATAGGCCAGCCTCCTTAGGCTTGGAGAGTAGATAGTTCGGTACATGCTTGTTACGAACTTCTATCAAGCAACATGCGTGTGAACAAATCAAATGTGGATACTTAGCTCAACTTTTTATTACGCAACAATACCGTCGCCGCTCGGGCCTGACACAGGGTTGGTCTTTGATGGATCGATAGGGGAGTAGGAAGTGACAATGGGGCATCACTTGGCGTCGATGGCTGAATCCTACGCGGAACAATAGGACAAGGTAAAAGGCGAAGAACAGTTCGGACCCATATATTTACTCCGTATTCAAAATTATGTTGGCTTCAGAACTGGAAGACTGGGAATAATTACAGAATTAGGGCAATTATCCCTGGACGTGAAAGATCGGCTGGTTTTTCACATGCATTTTCTCGACCAGAAATCAAGTCCCATCTTTGGCCCCTTTTCTCACTCTCCCGTAAGTTCTCAATTGGATATCGAGAGAGAAATATAAACAAAGAATGCCACATCCCACGATAGCAAGTTAACACTACGAAAAATAAAGCATAATGATCTAAGTGGAAATTCACTACGTACAAGCAATCTAGATTAGCCTAACGGTGGCTGAGAGGATCGATTAGCATCAGAAGGAATGGAAAACGGTCGAACACAAAGAAAATCGTTTAGGCTGAACATGACAGGGGGATCGTCAATGAACTGTCCAAGTTTTATTTGAAAAGGGGAAAACCCCCGAGACATGTGGATCTCCGCTGATGATCAGCAGGGATATACTCCACACAAATTAAACTACCGGTGATCGTTCGGGAATTATCCCTGGAAATGTATCTACGCTTAGCTGTCTACAGGTAGATCGCCATGCGCTAGTGGTAGCCGCGGCATGTCAAGTCTTCAACGGCTTTTGATAAAAATGGAGAACAATAGGAACCCCATTGTTCAGGGGGAAGAACCATGCATAAAAGCTGGGTATCTTTCTCTTTTGGATGGTCAACTCACTCATAGTCATTCTTTTGAAATATGATTCTTTCTTATATATTTGGCCTGCTGGTAGCCACATCCGGCCTGGCCAAGGCCGTCAATATCACCGGCTATGAATATGTCGTCGTCGGTTCCGGTGCTGGTGGTGGTCCTCTGGCTGCTCGCCTTGCTTTGGCTGGCCACAAGACACTGCTCCTTGAGGCTGGTGATGACCAGGGTGAAAACTACAACTACACCATCCCCGCCTACTCCGCCAGAGCCTCCGAGGACGAGAAGCTTGCGTGGAACTTCTTCGTTCATCACTACGAGGACGAGGAGCGCCAGGCGCGCGACTGGAAGGTCAGCTATGACACGCCTGATGGTCAGATCTACACTGGCCTAAACCCTCCCGAGGGCTCAACCATGAAGGGTACCCTCTATCCTCGTACGGGTACTCTCGGTGGTTGCACTGCCCACAATGCTTTGATTGCAGTCTACCCCCACCAGTCTGACTTCGAGTACATTGAGACTATCACCAGTGATAACTCTTGGACACCTGACAACATGCGCAAGTACTTCACTAAGCTTGAGAACAACGGTTACGCCCTTCCCGCATCCAAAGCTAAGGACCATGGCACCGATGGCTGGCTGTCGACCGAAACTGCGCCTCTTAGCATTGTCTTGAAGGATCAGCAGCTCCTTAGTATGCTCACCGGTGGTGCCTTTGCACTCGGCAACTTCACCGATCACCTCATGAATCTTGGCACTCTGCTGCTTGGCGATGCCAATGCCGATAGCAAGTCTCGTGATACCGACCCCGGATACTACCAGATCCCCATTGCCACTGATGACGCCCACCGGAATGGTCCTCGCGAGTTCATCATCGCTGTCCGCGATGCCAAGAACGACGATGGCTCGAAGAAGTACCCTCTTGATGTCCGCATGAACACCCACGTCACCAAGGTGACCTTCGACGAGAGTGACACCAACGCCCTGCCCCGCGCCACCGGTGTCGAGTTCCTTGAGGGTGAACACCTCTACAAGGCCAGCCCTATGTCACGGTCCGCTCTCCCCGGTACCCCCGGTTCCGCCACCGCGTCCCGCGAAGTCATCGTTGCCGGTGGAGTGTACAACTCTCCCCAGATCCTCAAGCTGAGTGGTATCGGACCCGCCGAGGAACTGAAGAAGTTCGGTATCAAGGTCATCAAGGATCTCCCCGGCGTCGGTACCAACCTACAGGACCACTATGAGATCTCCGTTCAGGCTAGGCTCGAGAAGGACTTCTCCTGCTTGGACAAGTGCACCTTCAGCATTCGCGGCGAGGATGACCCGTGTATCAACGACTGGGAGTCTCCTGTCCTTGGTGACCGCGGTATCTACTCCTCCCCCGGTCTCGCCGCCACCATGCTATACAAGAGCTCCACTGCCGGCGATGACTTCGACATTTTCGAATTCGGTGGCCCAGTCAACTTCCGTGGTTACTTCCCTAACTATAGCATCAACGCTACTGATGAGCACAACTGGTTCTCCTGGGCTATCCTCAAGGCTCACCCCCGTAACTCTGCCGGTACTGTCGCTCTGCAGTCTGCTGATCCTCTCGACATGCCAAAGATCACCTTCAACTACTTCGACACCGGTGTTGGTGACTACGATGCCGATCTCACTGCTCTCTACGAGGCCATCGAGCTTGCACGTGATGCGTTCAAGCGCCAGCTCGTCAACGTCACTGAGGTCATGCCCGGTCCCGATGTCCAGACTGAGGAGGAAATCAAGAACTATGTCAAGGATGGCGCTTGGGGCCACCACGCCTCTTGCACTTGCCCTATTGGCGCTGACGATGACCCAAGGGCTGTCTTGGACTCCAAGTTCCGTGTCCGTGGTGTCTCTGGTCTTCGTGTCGTTGATGCTTCCGTTTACCCCAAGATCCCCGGTACTTTCACCGCTGTGTCTACTTACATGGTTGCCGAGAAGGCTGCTGAGGACATTCTCAACGGACTTGAGGCAAGCTCTTAATTTCTTTCAATGTGTATATATATGTGAAGTTTGGAGCTTTGTGATTTTCGTGTTGTGTTCGGTCTTGTGATGATGCCATCCATTCATTATTGTGTATTTTTAATAGATCAAAATTCAGACATAATTTCCTCTTGCATATGCTCTCCCAATTAAAAGTTTGAAACTTTCTTAAGCGCTGGGTCGGCTTAGAGTCTAAAGGTTAAAACAGAATGGACCAGTTCAATCCTTAGACAATAACTATCTAGCCGACCAATTCATTCGATTCTTTTTCTTCCACAAATTTCCCGACAAATTTTTATTCCAACTTCAGCGTCATGCCAAAAACAGTGAGAGAGCCACATGTGATCAACACAGGCCCCCAAATTGATGGCACGTAACGTCCTTGCAACAGATTCCTTCGAACGGAGATGTACCGCGCAAGTGAATATCCAAATGACCAGATACTGATGCCCTGGCAAACACGACTAGCCACACGATCATTGACATATTTAAGAAGAACAGGCGATTCTTTGGTTTCTTGAAGATGTGCGTGATCTGGAGATTTACTTTCAATTGCGGTCAGTGACATGGGTTGAGTGGGCGCAATTGCCCCGCCCCTACTTCCGCGATTAAATATGTTGTCAATGATATCCAGTCGAGCGAGAGCAAGTGACATCGCCGCGAAAGCTAGTCCCATACGACTCCAAGAAAGGAACGTTCGCTCGTTGGCCTGATGATCGCGCAGTTGTGACCCATTGTTGACGACCGGCTTAGGCAATAAGCGACGGAATAGAGGAATACTCATGTTGGGTACTGTGTAATTCCGATGTACCCTCGCGTAAACAAGGAGAAGGAGTGGAAAGTCTGGTGTGAAAATTTGGGAAGAATGTCGACATAAAAATCCGTGAAGCTAGCCCAATTGAAAAGGCAACGCGTAATGTGATCGGCGTAGACTATATAAAGTCCACCGGAGCTATCCTAGTCTGTTGCAAGCTAGGTCGAGAGTCCTGTGGTAGGGTACAAAATATCCCCATGAGCAATCGGGAAAATGATAACTATGGCCGGGTGATGACATCATCCGATATTGTTAGTTAGAGAGGGCGGTGATGCAAGGCGGTCAGGCGCCAAGATAGTTATTGGATCATGCGGCATCTTTGGCAAAACAATGTAGGGGGCAGTATGTCGGGCTGGAAGCAAATGTGCAGTAGTCGGTGGGGGCTAGAGCAAAAGAAATCGGGCGGCCATGAGTGCAAGACAGAGAGGCAGAATAATGGAGAATTGAGAGAAAAGGAGGAAGAGCAGCGAAGACCGGTCTTTTACAGTCATGTTGCTTGAGAATTGTCGGAGCATACAGACCGGCATACCGGGGGTTTAATTAATCCAGGTTGTTCAGTAATTTTAGTTTAGTAGTCCGCGGCCCATACAAATTGCTAGGAAAGCGGATACTAAAATACAGAGATTTTAACACGATTGATTGGACCTATATATTTCTTGATACCATTGTATTCAACAGTTATAAGCCTGGCTCGCACCCAGTATTATCATTGAATGATAGTGCCTAGTAAACCCCTGAAGCTATCCCCGATAGCGCCTAAAGCGGTATAGCAGCCCGTAAGGTCATCTCTTTAGTACCTGTAGCTATATTTAATACAGAAGAATATTTAGAACTACCATAATCCTAATACCCCCTCCCCCTTCCAAACACTTCCTCTCTCTCCTATCCAGCTCTAGCCCAGTTTCTCGCCAAGCGAAAGCCTAACTGTTTTTTCTTTCAACAGTACATATTATCTTCTTTCCTTCCTTTTTTATACCCTCAGAATGGAAAAGATCAGGGACGTAAGTCACTAAGACCCCTACCAGCGGGAGCAGCTTAACTACCCCCAAAAATCACAGCCCCTCGGCATATACATGTGTACATATGCCGTAGCATTCCATCACTTCCCCACTAGAAATTTTCTAACGTGGTTGGCTTTTTTCTTTTTTTAGCGCATGGCCGCCCTCCGTGCCGAATATGATAACGCTAACGAGCTGGTCGATGAGCTCAAGGCTACGGTCAAGAAATTAGAGCAGGAGAATTTGTCCAAAGAGCAAGAGATTACATCACTTAACCGCCGCAACCAGCTTCTAGAGGAAGAGGTTGAGAAGATAGAGGTCGCTCTCAAGGGGGCTAAGGATACTGCGAGCCAGAGCCTTCAGCACGACACCCAGAACGAGGCTCTTCAGCGACGGCTCCAGCTCCTTGAAGAGGAGGCTAAGGGGAATGACAAGACTCTCCGGGAGACAAACGAGAAGTACGACCAGCTACCAGTTCGTTAGCAGTTCAGTACTGAGACTTTGGGCACTTAGGCTCCGCCAAACTGATATCAAGGCTGGCCACTACGAGCAGAAGGTGCAGGCACTTGAGGACCAGCACGCCAAGCTCGAGCAAAGATACGATGATACGATCAAGGAACACAGCACTATGAAGAAGGAGCTTGACGACCTTGCATCCCAGATGGCCGACATCTAAGGCTGTACGCTTCCGGGTGACAGGCACGCAAGCTGGATATGCCTGGGCATACTCAGCCGCCCGCAGCGAGCCCGAAAAGGGGGCTTATTAGGCGCATTTTATCTGGTCCCACTGCCTTGACCTGCGCGATCACTGCTCACCGGCGGAAACGATGTACATGTAATCTTCCAAGAACGAGGGATTCTCCTGCTCAAGATGATTATCATTGATCGGGAATCTTGGACCCATAAATTGAAATGCCCATCGCTGGAGTTTCAAATCTTCACTCGTAAAACATCGGGAGGTTGTAAGACCACCAAGTATGTGAAGGAATAGAGGCCATATATCCACCAGTCCGGCCCGGCCCGGCTCCAGATTATGTCGGAGCATACAGACCGGCATACCGGAGATTTACTTTATCAAGTTGTTCAGTAATTTTGAATTAGTAATCCGCGGCTCATAGTTATAAATTGCTAGAAAAGCGGATACTGCAATACAGAGATTTTAATACGATTGATTGGACCCATACATTTCAGGATACCAGTGTATTTGACAGTCATCGCCTCGAAACTCAGGCATCATCCGAGGAAATTCCAGAGTCTCACAACCTGGGGCGACGCAGACTATTAGGAAATGCACGTGATGAAAGGCAGGGGGCAACCTTTAGTCATCTAGGCAGTTGCACTACACTGTGGTCTTTTTCCAGGTTTGGTGACCGCAGTGTTTGAAGAACTCACTTTTGGAGGTTTGGATTGATATACCTCCGTTCACTTCTCTCTTGTCACTGATCAATTGCTGTGTTGATTTTGATGCTCGTATCAGCAAACAGCAGCCTGGAAGATTCGAAAGAACTCTACGTTGGCATACTTTTGATGATGGTGCTGAACTCATTTTCCCGATGTAGCTTGCATTATACATGTTGTACATCCTGCTATGTGGGAGTGCTGTTTGGCCCGCCGAAAGCTAGACAGAAGGTAATCGCATTCAAGGTAAAATGAAAATGGTTATGTGAGCTATCTCATCATATCCTGTTCATTTGAAAATATCTACGGAGTAGTTTGTGATCCGTTACGTATCACCTACTGGATGGCTGCACGATCGACTGGGACTTTGTCTTGGCTGCCGGCTGATCGACAACCAACAAAGAAAAAGATACAACTTACCCAGCACACACGGAGTATCCGAGTCCAGCCATTCAGACATTGGTTGAGCTGTCAGCCTGTTAGAACCTACGTTGCTGCCTAATAGGGGGTCCCTGGAGAGAAACCTGTCCGTCCCCGCGTTCATGTTCACCCCTGCAATGATTTAAGTCCCTGTGGAGCTCCACCATACCCACGCTTTCCCTTCGCATTCTCTTCCTTTTATTACCTGAACTGTAGCTGAACCATCAATCGACAACCTCAGCGCTCTAAAATGCACCACCTCCGCGATTCTTTGTTGGGCTCCCTGCCAAGGGATGCTTCTTCTATAGGCGACCATGATCGCAGAGACCAGGAAAGCACACGCCAGTCTATCGCACGGGGTGAATTCAAAGAAGTTCGAGGTGTTGCTTTCAGTAACCGTACCTGGATCGTTACTAGCCGATACTGCGATATTGGAGATGGTGTGGATTCGCTTGAAGGCTCCATTCATTCCCTGTGGTATATGTACTATGAGCTTGGCCGAAATATCTCTTCCGAATCACCTGAACATGAGGGTATAGTCCTCGATATCCTCCGCATCCAAGGAATGGGGCCATTGACTAGACCTTCACGGGGGTCTACGGGATTGACATCGCAAGAACCGTCGACGGTACACTTTGGACTGATCTCCCCTTCTTAGCTGGAGATATGACCGAATTCTGGCTCAATCATGGTGCTTCTATGTCTGGAACACACCGTCTCAACTTTGCAACATTCCTGGCTAAGCTTGCATCCACTCGTGTCGCCAAGGATAGGCTGTGCCAAATTGCTCTTCTGATCTTCCGTAACCTCTTTGAAAGCCCCCAAGCACTTCGAAGTGGGGAGGAGTCCGACGAGGAAAACCAGAACCGAGGCATCAAGCAACTTGAGATTTTCCATCTGTTACCAGCTGCTATTGCCTGGCTGAACATAGCGGGCGACAACCTGATTTTACTATCAGATGTATACTGGAACGACTGCCCTAGTAACATCGGCCGGGGTGGCGAGGGATTCCTTGAATCAGACCTCGGACAGCGATCACCTACTGGATTCTCGCCCTGGAGATACATGTTCTGGCTGAAGCGACTTCATGAGATTCAGGAAGAAGCTAAGCAGGCAAATGAGAACGCGCTGGAGGAACTTGCCACGGATGGCATCGAATATATGGTCGACAAAGTCAAAGACAGAAATGCTGAGGTTCTCAGGGCTTACAAGAATGGTGGTGATGCCCTGCACCAGGATAAATATCTTGTATGTCTAAAGCCCCTTGCACTCGGTGAGGAGTCGGAGTCGTAGGGACTAGTACAAACCTCGGATGAAGATGCGAAAATGCGATGCAGACATCCCCGTTTTCTCTCTTTATTACTAAGTCTTTGAGATCCCAAATTGAATGCCACTGTCTGCACCTCTTTTGTCACATCTTGATCAAAGCGATATCTGCCCTGCCTTTCTGAAATGATAAGCAATGTCAAAATTTGGATACCCAGCATATATGAATACTACAGCCACGATAGATCTGGCCACATATTATATCCCCACTCGGATGAGCTTGGGCGTCTTCTGGAGCCCCAGGTCATAATGCAAATTCTCAAGTACCAATATACTCGCCATAATACTGACGGTGAGCACTCGACCTTCCCAAAGGTAAACTCTATGACTTGGATTGTACACATAGCTAAGTACTCCGTACCACTTGCTAACAACCTTGAAAACTGTCAGGAATTCTACTGCTACTTATAGTATAACAGTAGAGTGCATAAGTGACATATTGATAAGCGTATACCTAGCTAGATACTTAACGAGAGTGGCAGTAATGAGAACTGTAAGAACGAAAAATTCTAGGGACGTCCATATATATCGCCCCAATACAGACAACATCCAATGCCCATTCCAAGCCCTTCTTAGCGTGAGATCGTTGGCCCTGGGGGAAAGAAACAGCCTCAAGCCTATAACAACACAAACATCTAAGGATCCTGTTCCGGGCGGAACCGAATGGCTGATTTAAACCGGCGTCTGGCAATCGACCTTCTTGTGGTGGTCATCATATTCACAGTGGTGACGATCAGTCTTGCACTGTATATGAAAATGAGATGGTTAGAACAGAGCAATTGGGGAGAAATAGAATTGGTATTTACCTTCAAGTTATCAGCCGAAGGGCACTTGACTTTGTGCTCCTTTCCATCCTTTCGGTATGTGCACGTGTTATGTTCCTTGCTGCATTCCTGCAGCGTGGGTCGAAAAGATTAGGGTTATTCTTATACAAAGATCTCATAAGAAGAGCTTACCCCTCCATATTTACTCAATGCCTGGGCATCGAGTCCGTTCGAATTGGCCTCAATGGGGCTGGCAACCACGCCCATTGCGGCGAAGAGGAAGAACGCAATTCTGGTGATCTGCATGGTGATGGATTCGTATTATAGAAGATTGTGGTAGAGTAGTCGACAGCAAAGTTGTTTGGATGAGATTGATACTTTGGAGGTTGTAGCGCCGTGAAGCTGTCTTATATAGACATTGCCGGCAACTTGATGCGATGCTTGACCGACAGCATGTTTCAAATTGATGCAGTCGTATTGGGGCCGCGATCGAAAGATCGTCCAATCTGTCCAATAGAGATTGGCGCCTCATATATCCATAGTCAGTCTATTAGTTGGTATGATTCTGTAGGTGACGTATTTTAGTAGCTGATAATTGTATCACGTTAGAGTATGATATTACGTGCGGAAGGATTAAGGCAACTGATCAGTATGTTGGAATAGGAAAGTATTGATGTCCTGAATTTTGCATATATAAAGGCGAACGGGGCTCTTACGTTTTTTAATCATGTTTGAAGGGCAATGATCTCCAGATCTTCGAATATTCGAGCATATTTGTCATGCGGGATATGAAACAGGAATGGTTATCATTGGCCCAAAGCCAACGGTACCACCCTACCACGAGCTGGTGGGCAAGAAGATTCCCTCATGCATGCACATGGTACTGATCTGCCCCCAGGGCTGAGCCGTGAACCCTGCATATATGGCCTAGTGCCATGCTGCAAGACGGGGGCAAAAGTCTGAAACAAGTGGATTGGACAATGTAACACAGAAAGGCTCAGGGTACACGCGTGAGTTGAGAGTGTGTAAGATATGGATAGACATACTATGCAGAAAAAGGTAATATAGGGGATACGCCTTCATCTTGGCAAGCGTTTGCAAAGTAAGAGCCTCATGAGTAGGATATGCACAGTCTGGTGCCTGGCTACTGAAGATCGGACTGGAAATCGCTAATAGCATGTGAAAGCCACGTGAATGTTTGCCTGTTTACGCGGATCTTGAGATTCCAACCAGAGCAAACGAAGAATTTCTCAAGGAACACTTTACAGAACTGGCTAGGAATGCCTGGCCATCCAAGATTGGTCACAGATATGCTCGTGGTTTTATCAACTGCTTGACTTGTATGGACAATACCAATGGAGACGTTGGGGGGTCCAGCCACTTCGAGGCGAAGCATTGAAATTTGATCTGTGTTATAATTATCGAGAAGGTATGATATAATTCAGAGAAAGTAACTAAAGCGCCAAACTGATCATGTCGCAGATCCTTTTACAGCTCAATGATATCCCAATCTGACAGTGTGAAATTCAAGCCCGTACTCGAAAGATTCTTGTTACAAGATATTATCTTCTCAACATTGTCGAATCTTCGATCTTTGACTAAATGGAATTGACGAGGTATATACCAGCTGTAGGAAGATGAAACAGACGACGGAAAATCCAATCAGTCCCTTTTTGTCAAGATTCTATTTATCATCAGATGTTCTTCCAGTAGGGAAATTCTCCCTAGCTCGGCATACACTGAAAAATAGCTAGGCCCAAGCAAAGGTGACTCGTTATACTCTCCGCATAGATACCGCTCTAGACGCACCACAGCCACATGCGTCTCGGCACGCCACGTCTAATGCTTCGCTAATACATGGCCATTCCGATCAAACACTACTAATGGCAGCGAGCGTCCGTCTAGAGTCGCTTCTGTCACCTTACCATCGTTATCCCACTTGAAAGCCACACTTCCACCTCCACGAAGTTTCAGCCCCTTGACCGAACCCAGTCCCCACGCACGCGGGATGGCGGGACCTAAGATAATTTGGTGGGTGCTGGTATCACCAAATGCCTGCGGTAAATCAGTCACCAGCATTGCGAGTGCGGCGCCGGCAATGCCGAAGTTGGCATCTATCTGGAAAGGCGTGGAGAGATCGAAGGGCGGTGCGGCTGACGTGGAGCCAGAGAGGCCGTTCGGCGCGAAGTTCATGTCAATACTGTACTTAAGTTCCTTGTATCTGTTTTCCATTGATTGTGTCAGTCAACTTTGTTCTCATGTGTGCGCAGGGGCGGAGCGCCCTCAGAATACGAGCAGTGGGACTAACGCCTGATCTGTGTTGTTCAGCGCTGCCCAACAGGCAGAGCGCCATACTTTCTCCCATCCCGTATTAGCATCTGCCGTTCCATCGCCACGGGAATAGAGGGTAGTAGTGACAGCATCTATGATGGTTTGATTGTTTGCGTGCACCCCGGAAATGGCATATCCTGGGTACCACCCATAAAGCTCGGAGAGATGACGGTGAGTGTCGTTTTTCTGATCTTTCTCCAGTTTCCACTCTATATCTCATATTAGTATGTATCTTTAGCACATACGACCGAAAGCTCCAGCGTTGAACATGATTTGTGTACCTTTAATCTGACCCCATGAGCCAACGTGAACACCACTGTCGATACTGTGATATGCCTCCTTCACGTTCTGGAGGAAGCCGTCATCCTTGTCACCAGAAGCCTCCCAGTCCCTGATGATATGATCGAAGAGCTCCCAAATGAGCTGTTGCCAATGTGCACAGCCAAAAGTCTGAGATGAATTAGCGACCGTTATCGTACGGGCCTTGAAATTTTCTTACTGTGGGACCATGCTCTGGTGAGTTGCAAGGAACGGCGACCAAAGATCCATCTTTGAAATATTCATCCGAGGTCAGCATTGAGAGCCAGTATTGTGCCACCCCCTTGATCATCGGGTACCCGGAAGACCGATACCACTCAAGGTCTTGGGAATAGTCATATCGATCCCACACATGCTTCACTATGTTGGGCCATTGAGTTAATATAGGGATATAGATCACAGTGGGTAATGTTAGGGGTTGTTACTTACTCATCCAAGCAGTGGATACAGGGTAGTTTGACCAAGAAGCATCATTCTCCTGCCTGAGTGTGTGTTAGAAGAGTAATCCGCGAGGTCCCATGCTCTCACTTACGCTGTATGTCCAAATATGTTCAAGTTGGTGTGTGTAACCCAGCCATCTGCGCCATAGAAGAGCTTTGCGCTCTCAGTACCTCTTGGTACCCAAGTATTCTTCATGTGATCCCACAAGGGGCTCATTAGGTCTCCTAACCCCATCATTTCGGTGTGCCAATGGTTCCTAGGAAAGCTGTCAGCTAAATCGTGCTCCATGCTTAAATTTGAAAAACATCTGACGCTGGGCTGGTCTCATACATTTGTAGATTCACATTTATGTGGTAATCGGCGCTCCATGGAGGAGCCATGTTGGGTGCCCAATTTCCTTGCAAATTAGGAGGAAGGGAACCTGGTCTAGAAGATGCGATAAATAGATACTTGGCGTAATCTATGATCAAAGATTCGACAAATGGATCTCCATCCTCAGTGGAATAATTCTTCATCAACGTAGTTGTATCGACATCGGCAGACTTCTTTGGATCTGGAAGATCCAAGGTAAATTGATGCATGGAAGACTGGTGATCGGTGATGTGGCTTTTGCGAAGGGACTCATAGGATTCTTCGGACGCTGCCTGTACAGTTGAAAGAACGTTTTGATACGGATCCGGACCTTTGAACGAGTACTTGTTGTCGCTGTTTCCCTTTGTCTGGTCATAGTTGGTGCCTGTGCCGACGACAAGCAGTAGTGACTTTGCAGTGTTTCCGCTGACAACAATATCATTTGATGGGTTGCAGTCCATTGACGAGGAAGTAACAACTTGAACATGCGCATCAAATAACATACCAATTTCTCCCTCATTAGGATCAGCCTGTGTCTGGCCATGAAGTCGGATACCGTCCGAGGAGCATGAAGCCTTGGAGCGCGGCGTTGTACGAGCTAGATCTTGAAGCCCGACCGTCACATCCGGCAATGCATTAGAAGATTCGATATAATAGACGCAGGCCTTTGCCGGATACGAGCAGAATTGGATCCTGTCGCACCTGTTAGATATGCCTGATTCACCAGGTCTGGGACAGTTCGTGATAAGGGATTACGTTGTGAAATCAGCCCCGTTCGACTTGTACTGAACCTCGTGAATCGCGGTATCAAGATCCAGGGAGCGCCTATAGGACGTGATCTTCTCTGTGCCAGCAATATTGACAGTCAGGTTTCCCAAGATCTGGTATGATCCATAGCCATCGGTACTACCATACAAGGGAGATGCATCTGTAGAGGAATAAGTAAAAGGTGACGTTTATACAGATTTGATTTACTTGCCTCCAGTCCCATCCTTGAAGATGGAATCTCGAATCCCTTGGAGATGCTCAGCAAGCGAAGACTTGGGATTTCCCCCGACATAGTTCTACCCGATTCACAATCAGAACTTGCGCCGCTGCGAGAATAGTACATGCGGCACCAACCTTGTTTGCAAATGGGCCACCTGACCATAGACTGTCATGATTGAGGTATACGATATCATTTCCTGCAACGCCCAATGGCATGGCTATGGGAATCAGTATAGCATCGGTGCAAAAGAATGGGAACAACAGAAAAGCCCACCTCCTTGTTTCCCGTTGCCCAAGGGATATGCTGTCATCTCAACGTGTGCCGAGTCGGCAGGCTCGGTTGACCATAGCTGCTTTGCCGCAGTGCTAGTTGCACTCGTACAAAGGAGCGCGATGATGTTGATTAACATGATGTAATGAGAATCAGGTGCTCGATCGCTCGTGGATTACTATTGTCGACAGTAGGAACGAGGCAATGAAGGAGAGGCAACATTGAATTAGTCAATGGAATAAATCTGAGTTCAATTCAAACTATGAACTCATTTATAGCTTTGGTATCATTGTGGTGCTAATCAGTTTATAAAAGACGCTCATGAATTTGGCCTCGTTCAATGCCAGACGGTAGCTACGTTGGTGTTGGATTGGCATCAGTGATAGCCGATCGCAATATCGATAATGTAACACCCAACTACCCTTATGGCGGAGAAGGTTACATGAACAATGTGGACCCTGCGGCTGGTTCTTCAACGCCTTATCGATCTCGAAGTCCAGAGATCATTCCTGGAGACCCCGCGTCACTCGCAGCTCGGAGTTTTTATAAGATATGTGTTTTGATATTATTTATATTACGGTGTATCCCGTCCCTTGGCCCCTCTCTTCATATGAGGGGATCCGAGTGCATATGATACAGCGTGACCTTGGCAAATATAGGATGTGACACAACCACGTTAATTAAGCCAATGCTACTGTGTAAATAAATTGGCCCTGCATTATTGTTTGGCCAAAGAACGTGATTGGAGGTTTTCGGTCTCCTTGGTTTCCTCGACGGAAAATTAACGTGCCGACCGGGGCAATAATGGTTTCTGACTTTTTTATTCCCCAACAATAAGGTTGACATACTGCTCGGTCACATTCACCGGAAAGTAGTGACAAACACATTCTCACGCCAAAATAGCCGAGGGCGGGACTTGACCAGAGTATTAGAGACTTGGAAGCCGGCAGTACTCAAAAAAAAGCCGGAAGGCGGAAGGACAATCTTATTGGAATGGAACAACTTGTGCTTGTGAAGGAGTTTTGTCTAGGGGAAGTTTTTGATGTGTCCTCGATGCAAACACAGGATCTTGTTTGGCGGCCTCTGGCCATTTGATTCTCTCACCCGGCAGCTGGTCCTATCTTCTCGTCTAGCAGTCTTTCTGACAGATTCAATTTCCGATTGATTATTGTCAGTTTGGTCAACTTCTTCGCTCATACTCCTCCACACCCTCACAGCTAGTACGAATTCTAACCGCACCATCCACAGCAGACTTCAGAATGGAACTCCGTATGCGACTGCACTCACCATCGAGAACTTGATTCGTATTCGCGACACCACTGATCTCTTCTCTGTGGTCATGTCGAGTACAAACCCAGCTTACGAGGCAAGCACTGGTCACCGAAACACATGATCCAGCCTGTCCGCCGCCGATGAAAGGGTGGTTCCCACATGTTCGCCGATCGAGTAACTCCCCGGTCGCAATTCTTATCGATATAACTCAAATCGGGTCGGACCACTGAAAAATGATCTTCTACCATGTATAAGACGATATGCTCCAACATTGCGCGGTCGGATAACTTTGCCGTTGGGTCTAAGGCGGAGATTGTCATCACCGACACGATTTCACGGTCGCATCCTCTTCTGTTGCACCCAAAACCTCCTATGGATCATCCTGCATTTGGAGATTTGCTGATCACATCATAAGAAACTTTGTTGGTCGTCCACGTGTGTTTCGACTGTTGCAACCTTCATGATTAAGGTTGGGTTCGTCCCGAGCCGCTTTCCGTTCCAAGGTTCGTGGGTTCCTCGGCCTGGGCCGAACCTACCTCAGACCTTCCTGATACCTAGATACGTAATGGCCATCCTGAGGGAAGGCAATCCGCCACAGCTTGAACCTCCACCCCAGACAGCCATCTTGATTGTGGTTTGATATCATCATGTAACGTTCATTGATCTTCTTGCCCGGGTAGCAAACGTCTATGAATCCTATTTTGAGGCCCAGGTCTCCGGGGCAGATCTTTCTCATGAGACACTGACATCACTAATTGGAAGTATCACTCTGCGCTGATCTACAAAGCTCAGTTCCGCTACCGTAGTGTGAAGAGCCCAAGTAGGATTTGGGTAGGTGAAGGCGAACTGTGAGACCCGGGGTGGGAAGAAGAATGGAACTCCAATAAACTTTTGGTCAAATTATAGAGCAACTTAATAAAAGGATAAAAACCGCAGTCAGAGGGGGGAAAAAAGAAGAAAAGAATGACAAAGTAATAATCAATCGCTCGCTTCTGGTTTCACGTAGTCTGCCTTCGCATGGATGATGCGTTCTTGGCTATCATTTACACTATCCTGCAAGATCGAACCTCCCATACCAATACTCATCCTGTTTTTTTTCCAAGGACTCCTGGGCTCACTTGCATGCACATGCCCAAGTTCATGTGATTCAGCGCTCCTTGATCCTTTGTCTTGGGAGTGTGTGCTCGAACCGAATCTTCGGAAAAGGGGCAAGGGTCGTAGCGAGGAAAGAGAGCCCGCCACAAGACCTAGGTTAAACTCAATAGCCATCCAGTACAGAGATGATGACGAGTCGTCTGTGGTTGAAAATCAGTATAGTCCAGGTGCCAAATAAAAGGGTGAGGTGGTGTACACTCACAGGTAAGGTCTGTGGTTCCATTGCGCAGATAGTCCAACGTGCTAAAGCGGACAACCGGCGAAATGCAAGCGATTACACCTGTGGTTGTTATGAGTTTTTCTGAAAATTTGCCGCGAAACGGTGGTGTGCACATACCAGATCCAAAGATTGCAACCAATGCAATGACCTTTCTAGTGGGCATCTGGAGTTTACAAAGGATAAACATTGGTGCAAGCAGGATTATGACATCACAGACGAAGATGAAAACCGCCTGATATAGTGTGATCTGGAACAGCTTATACTGCGAGTAACATGTCGGGTTTTTGACAGTCAAGTCGAATACAGCTCTGTCATGTTGCAGTCAGTATATCACAGTAAACACTGCTGTAGCCATGGGTTGTATGTGTACCTTGGGGGGTCGCATTGGAGGGCTAGGACAAAAGAGCCGGAGACCGAGAATAAGACTTGAAAGACGATCATGCACATAGTGAGACGGTTCATCCAAGCTATATTTGGGGCAAATCGTAGTCAGCGCCGGGTCACTCGAGATGTTGAGGGTCTGTGAAGTTGGCGGAGTACTTACGTTTGATGAAGATTCGTCGTATGAATACTAGCAAGCTGATCTTCACCGATAACGATGCGTAGAGGTATAGACACATTGCGACGTAATACAGCTAGGTTGAATAAGCAATTTGGTCGTCAATAGGGGAAATGTCAGATCATACCTTTAGCCACATTGCTTGATCTTCATGAGATAAACTGGTAAAATGTTTCCCCTCTCCGTAATAGACGATTGCAACTCCCAAACCGTTGAAGGTCTGCGTGAAAACCTATCAATGATCTTTGTGAATATTCAATAGTCCCCATAAATTGGATACGAGGTGGAACCCGGGCTTACCAATGCGATGCATACAGCGATGTCATCCACCCCGAACACATTGATAATGAATGCTCTTGTGTAAAGCTGTAGGCAGAATAAGTTAGCTGTCGTGCTACACCAAGTTTCTCATACTGAAAGAGTCCTGCTTGGGGGCCTTACTCTCAAACTGCAGATTATCATGGACAGAATACCTGTGCTTATAATCAAGCCATAGATGAGTGATTGTTGATACCGCTCATCTGCTGTCACGGACAGCTGTGTGTTTACAGTAGGCATTGTAGGCATGGGGAAACTCGAAGGTCTCTTATCCAGTGGCTGCAACGAACATTCCAAGTTAAAAGGAAATATAAAATTTGAGGTCGGGACCTGGGCGATGTGCGCTTTATGACTTTATGACCTGGAACAAAAAAGGAAAACACATATTGTGACTCGTACTATCCTGCAAAATCATTGGTACTTTTGTTTATTACCTCTCAGACCGCATATGTAGATCCATGAATTCCATTGTCGACTCGTTCTATTGTTAATTTGCTTAAGACAATCGACAAGACCCGACCGTTATTTTCTTTTTATTTCGAATAATATCCGACTACGAGGCGAGCCTCACACCCTAAGATGGGTACAGCCGTTAGGCTCGCGGGGCGAGAAGTGGGGGACGCGTCCAATCAACAAAAAGGTTTTCGTCCAAACTGGCTCGTGTGTACGGAGTACTGGATGGGTCTGAAAAGGAGGAATAAACTAGCTCAGGGGTTGCATACTATACTGGTTCCAATGTGAGGTATGGAATGATGAGTCGGGCGACGGTACCAAAAAGCCACGAGTGACAAATTGGCGGAGTACATATCGACTCATCTAGTGACAACCAACCAATGCCCCTTTTCTCACTCACAGAAGCGAGAGTCCAATGCATATCGCATGTTCGATTTTAATTGGACTTTGAGAAGAAAGGTAGACACAACCGAGCACACACAACATACTATACTACATTGAGCTCGGGTTTTTGACGCAACCGCTTTGACAATTCGATCCATCCATCGCGCCACATTAGATGTGGCGCTGTGCACGTCTCCTGTATGTCTTTGAGCACAGGGCTCACTGATAGATTAGGAGAAAGGAGGAAGTCATGATGCCTTGTGGCTTTGCAAAACAAGTACTCCTTGCCTGCAACTAAGCTTGGGGTATTAGTTCGGCCCCCGCTTAGAGTTGTTGCCTTTCTCTGGACTTAGAAATGAAATAGTATTTAAGTGTGTGGCTTTCCCCTTCCTCTGCAACGTTCCTAGCCACTCAGTCCTTGGAATCATAACCTTTCATCAGCTTGCACTTTTACTTTGTCACCTCAATTTCGGTGAGTCACACCCACACATCTTACGCTTGAGCCCTGTTCATGCAAGACACTTCTCATCTCAACCTTTGCTTGGGAATCTAAAACTTAATGTATCTGACTCGACAATTTCAAATCAGAGCGCATTTCTAGTGCCGACTTCATTACCCTCATTATACGATGACAAAGGACGGGCAAATTATGATCAGTGATGCTTTGAATTTGCCAAGGACCGTGATACGCACAGCTCCATCTCCCTTGTGACGTTGTTGGGCCATTCATTCTCAACCTAACATCCCTTCCAGAGGGGAAGCATGACGATTTTGTCCCACACCTCTACCTCTAACCCCCTGCAGTTTTAACAAAATATTCGACGAAAGAGCACGTGGAATCTGAGACATAATACTTGAATACCATGTCGGATGTTTGTTATCTGTGATGGGACCAACAAATCAAGGGATCAGAAATTGTGATAGTCTCGATACCACACCAAATCTGAGGGTTATACAGGAGGCATCCATCATACAGAGACATGCAATGCAAAATTCTTCGCTCAGCATTGGGGGCAGAATTGTTCTCAATAAGCTTTCTTCTACAACCAGCTTAATGCCCAGCAGCAGCAAAGGTCAAGAGTACAAGCTGAATTGAGGCGGCTATGTTGCGGTCAAAATTGATTGATCTACTCGGTAGGTCAGTTTCAGATAACTTGCGGCTTAACGCTCTAAATTCATCGTGCCATTGTTCCATTGCATCGAACTGGGGCAGAATAGTGTCGTCAGAATTGACTATGCCCCCAACAAGACTCCCGGACTAATTGTAGCTTCGTAGTGAAATAAGAGCTCCCATGCTTGAGAATCCAAGTATACATCTGAGTCATGCAGCTTATGTTCCATCTGATCAACAAGCTACTATATTCGACATGGATCTTAGCCAGCTCGAAATTGATAACTAATGCAACCAGTTATTTAGAAACCTCTATATATCAGCCGGCTTCCCACTCTCCAGAAACTCCAACGACATTGAATTTCGTAACTCTAGCTCTGAGCTGTGTTGATCGGAGATATCCATAATTTGTAAAATCCATTACTCCAGGGGTATACTATGTTTCATGTTTACTCAACGCCATTCAATTTAGGGTAGTGGTCATGAGCAACCGTTAATTTCCTGCCGTTGCATTGTTCTGGAACATTCCATCTCGGTCAAAAATGCTAAGGGATTTTCCGGGGTGAGACTTTCCATCCCTGCCTCTCTGTATTGGAATTGTTGTCTCAGATAAAGCAGCACACAAGGACACGATAATCAGGGATCTTCCTTGCTAACGAGGATGGGAGATTATTGAATAGGACTCTCCTTGATTGCCCCCTCGATATAGTTTTACAATGTAGGAGATTATTATCGTGGATTGATTGGATTCGATGCACGGGCTGTAGATATATATTTTGAGTGCGAATCTGAAAAAACGGCTGTCCCACAGCTAAAACAGAACATAAACGGGTTTATATATTATCAATCGGAATTGCTGATATCTATTACTGTTATTGGATCATCTTTAAAAAAGTAACAGTACATTTGGAATAGGCACCATGCCCTTGAACTCAACATTGGTCAAAACAAAGACCACGTGAAAAATTCACATGGGGTCTACCCGCCCCCGATTCCTGGCAGATGATATATCCTCAGATAGGTACGAGGAAGCAGAGCATATGCAAGTATCAAGACCCTTTGCATCGATCTAATCCCCACCATGCAACGCTCGATCCCGTTTTTCAGTCAGATGTAAGGGGCCGCGTGCATGCGGCAGATTACGGAGTACGTACATACAGTACTGCATCGTACGCAAGTGATCGCAGCCAGCCTTTGCATGTCAGATCCTGACCTCGAATTTTTGGCATTCAGCTGGAATTGCACCGGGTGATAGATTGGAAGAGTTACGATCTAATAAGATAGTAGACTGGATGTTAATATCAAGATCTGATTAGGGATGGAGATTGACCGGGCTGTCCATGGATCCTTGACAAGGGCTCGTGTAACGTGGTAATCTTGTTTCTCAGCCCCCCTCGCGTTCCCGTCCCGGCCCCGGCGTTTGTTTCAGGATTTGTACTGCAATTTCCACCTTACAAAACATACATTGAAGTATACTTTGTATGGCATGATCATACAAAGGGTACACTTTCGATACAATTATGCACAAATGCTCAACATTGCATTGTCAGTTTTGCTTTTTTTTATTTTTCATTCTAAACACGGGGAAAAATGAAAGCATATATAAACTGCACTCCGCGGATGAAACTCGTTTCTCTTCACCCTCAAAAGTCATCTCGGAGAAATAGAAAAGATGCATTGCAATCAAAGCCGCAGACCATTGGTGCGCCGACAGGACGCAGGGCCCACTTTGAAGGTGAGGAAGACCGTTGTGTCTTCCCCGCTTTCAACGGTCTCTGGAATGCGTAACATAAGCAGGATTGTTTACTACTTCTCCGACTCCAAGCAAGAGACTTCTTCGGGTCAACTCCCTCCGACTATTCCACAAATGTCACCCAATCAAGATACAAAGCAGTTCAAGGTTCTCATAGCTGGTGGCAGTCTTGTCGGTCTTGGTCTAGCGCTAGCCTTTGAACGTGCAGGGATTGATTACGAGCTTTTCGAGAAGGGAGATTTTGCAACACAACTAGGGGCCTCAATCGGAATCCACCCTCACACTATACGGATTCTAGAGCAGCTTGGAGTATGGAAAGATATTGAGAAACAGGTTGTACCTCTGAAGGTTCGAAACCACTACGACGGGGAGGGTCATTGCTTTGAAGCGTCACATGTCCTGGGCGACATCAGTGAAATGTGAGTTTTCAAAACCTGGCAATCGAAGGGATATGCTAATCATAACATTTTTGGGATATTACAGACTCCAACGCCCTATTGTCTTCATAGAGCGATGCAAAGCTTTAGAAGTGTTACATAGCCATGTAAAGGACAAATCGAAGCTGCATGCTCGAACAGCCGTCGTCGGATACGAAGAGACCGCACATGGTGTCACCGTCACTGCCGAAAACGGCGAGCAGTACCACGGCCATATGCTTATCGGAGCGGACGGAATCCACAGCAATGTGAGGAAGCTGATGGCTGATAAGATCAGCCTGACCGATCAGCCTCTTGCTAAAGAAATCAATGAGGGTTCGTCTAATATTCCTGTCGTGATAGCCGCACAGCCCAACTAACTGATATCCTGCGGGGCACAGCATTCACAAGCGAGTACAACTGCATCTTTGCTGTTTCTAGGAACAAGCATTTTCTCCCTGATGCGACAGTTCATAACGTATACTACGATGACTACTCATCAGTTGCAGCTAGTGGTGTGCATGGCCTTGTTTTCTGGTTTCTTTTCGTCAAGGCTTCCAAACTCACGAGAACCCCCAACTGCCCACGGTTCAACGATCAAGACGCAGAGGATACTATCCAGAAATATGGCAGCTCTCAAGTCGGCCCTGGGTATACCGTGAGGGATCTCTGGGATTCTCGTGTCAAAGGCACAATGGTGCCCTTAGAAGAAGGTGTTGTCAAAAAGTGGAGTCACAACCGGGTGGTTTTGATGGGTGATTCAGTTCATAAGGTTCGGATGTCCTGCTGAACCCCCAAAAATCATTCAAACAAGACAATTTAACTAACTTTTTTACTCTGGCAGTCTACAGTCAATCCCGGATTAGGTGGCAACCTAGCCTATGAAGGTGTCGCCCGTCTGACCAACGGTCTCATTCCATTATTGAAAAAGAACCCTATGCCATCCGTTGAGCAGTTGACCGAGGTTTTTGACCAGTATGTTGCTGGTCAGAAGCCTCGAGCAGAAACGGTCGTTGGCGTTTCCGGTCAAATTACACGCTACGAAGCCCAAGATAGCTGGCTTCTCAAATTCGCAGCCCGTCACATTGTTCCATGGGTTAGCGACGGACTCAAAGCCAAGCTTTACGCCAGTTTCTCGAGAGGTGGTCCTTGTTTGGAATATCTACCACTACCTGCGATGGATGTGCGTCCCAAAAAGCCTGCGAAGGCGCCCAGCAGTTCCATATCCCCAAAGCTGCTCACTTTCGTGGGAATGAGTGGGACTGCGGCTATCCTATGGCACATGAGTAGCAAGAATGCTCTGCTTCCCACATTCTCTACATTCATGAGATAGTGGTGGTCAGATTCAGGTGTGGTTATGTTTGTTGAGCCAATGAGACTGGCTTGTGTGTGCGCCAGACAGTAACATCATGCGGGCCATTTTGTATCTGTCGATACTGGGCTAGTGGTATGAAGCTCATGGATTAAGTCAGTATTGACTTGGCCCGTGTTGAGCCCTTCAACATTTCTGTTGGGTGGGTACTGTGAGTGGATTCTCCTCTCAGATCCTCAAGCCCTCGGCTTTATTGAGTATTACTCTGGCTTGTATTTGATTATGAACGTTTATGTTTGTTTTTTATGATAAGAAACGCTATCAAGAGCTTGGAAAGCGAAGTTATGTGAGATTGTTTATTTCATTGCAATTGTGTTATTATTTTGTGACTTCAACCTCGATCAAGTACTCTACACGTAGTCCTTCCCGGTGTCCTCCCTCTCCCATCAGTAACAGTGTTCAGATCAATACGGATTTGTGACATATCCAATCCGTTCCCGTAAGCATTGCGTCATTTACCGCGCGCAAAGAGCGATACTTTTCAATACTCCGAAATGATTTCCCGAAGCGGACACTGCGATGTTTGACCGAGCTCAAAACTCTAACCAGCGACGGTCCAAAATTACCACCCATCATTTGGATAGCCGGTAACTACTCAACAGGCAGACACAGGAGCCACTAATGCATTCCCCGCATATTGGACCGACACTCTTTCCACTTTGGGTCTGTCGTCGTTATTCACACGTCTGAATACGAAGGATCGACCCATACGAACTTTCCCTTGTCAGCACAGCTGAGGTTCCCAATATGCAAGTGGTGGAGCGTTGGATGATCGTATTCAAGTCTGTCACCAAGGACTATCGGTAATTGTTGATGTAATGCAAATACACGCGCCATGGCATTACTTTTCAATCGAGGCAATCAGCATCTCCTACGTCGCAGCCAGCCCCCGGGCCAGGTCTAGCTTGAATATATCTATTTCTATGGCAGCATTCATCAGAGAATGAAAGAGTTGTGTTCAACCAGTGTCGATCCTTATCTCAAGATACCGGCTCTCAATTCGGCCAGCGTGCGCCATCTGTGCCACGAGATTCTTTCCTAATTGGGCTAGTGTCATCAGATATATTGGATCAGGCCTCGGGATGGAAAATGTAGATCTTTGAGGATGAGAAGGTGAACTCTTAGAAGTGCGAATGGGGATTTCACCACGCTCGTTTTATGCGGCAAAACCCGATGTGCCCTGCCCAGTATGACTGTGTTTGTCAACCCAACTCAGGAAGGTGATCTTGGCAGAATTCCCCGGGGCCCTGACCAAAAGGACATGAGTATTATATATATGCAAAGCTTGGAAAATCATGCACTCAAGGTTTTCAAGGAATACAGAGGTACTAGCCTTCTTGATTATCATGTCTATTTCTATTAAGTAGAACATTTTCACGATGAGCTGCTTATCAATTGAGATCAACACACCTATATTATAAAGCTCAACTGCTATCCATCTTTGGAGTTTAGAAATATTTTGCCCACTCAATATGGCAGTCCCGTGCTAAAACGCCTCAATACCCCGGCTCGATCCTGCATCTCTTACCCGAGTGGCTTCGCCAGGTCAAGCTTACGAGAGTGATATTGCGTTCTCAAAAATGAGTCTAGACCCTAGATTGGTCCCGAACAATTGGGTCAGAATCCAAACACCAAAACCCCTCGATCTGGTACTTGGTAAAGGATCTGCAGTGGCAAACAAGACATGAGATGGATGGTCTGCTTGAAAAATAGGTACAGAGTAATCGGCAAGAGACAATGGGTCTGAGCACATGGATCGAGACGAGATAATGCATCTGTCCACATGGGGTAATTCTCCTCAATCTGACACCACATAAGCAATACTCTGCCTCGAACTTCCATGCATGCAGAGTTGTTACAATTGCTTGTTGATTTGCGGGAAAGCTTCCAATTACGGGTCCATGGTGATTTTGAGGTTCATCGTACCATATTATACTCCGTACACTATATCATGATAAATGCCTCACTGCAATACCTACGTAGGTATGTTGTACAGCTTATCTGTTCTCTGCACGTTGACCGGCACATGCAGGTTACAGGTCGAACGCCATGCCGCTCAGACCTCATGGCGTCTGTCGCCTGTATCAGGCATTACACCTTGAAATTACCTGTTTTTCCTATCAGATCTGTCATACCCCGTATTATTTCATCTTATGTCATCTTTCCGACAAATTGGAGGTCTACCATTGTCCTTTCTGGTATCCCTCGCTCCTCGCGATCATTCGTCAAATGAAATTTTATGTCATTCATGTCGGGAAATTCCTAGTTAATGGATGAGCCGGTGACTCTGCAGTTGACTGCTGGACGTCAGCTTCTCCCGTTTTAGCAGCGTCTGCTCGAGTTGATTGGATGTTCTTCTTCGGTAGATGCATTTGGTGGAATGAGAGATATCAAAGTAATTAATAATAGAGTAATAAAATGGCAGCCACAACTTCACTGTCCTAGACAGCGTCAGTATCCCTTTTCCCTTGGATGATTACAGAGAAGGTCTATCTCAAGCCAAGCATTCTTCCGGGGATTGATCAGCATCCGTTATTAATGAAACAAAACAAGTGGTACCGCGCTTCAATTTTCCCTATGTCAGACCATAAGACTTAAACTTCTCTCTTGGGTAAAACTTCTTCCTCTTCAACCCGAGAAGGGTCAACGGTATCGGCGAAGTAGTTCTCAGAGTTCATGTGCTTGAATCTGAACCAGAAGATGACAGTCTGAATCGCCAGGGCGACGGCAGGACCACCCCAAATGTAGATCAACCATGGATCTTTAATCGCCGGGATGAGAATTTCACCAAGAGCGCTAGACAGAGCAGTCATGAAAAGGAAAATAGCAATGACTATGCCCTTCATACTCTTTGGGGCACGAGCATATGCCACTTCGTACGCCGTGACGTTGGCGAAACACTCACTGATAGCGCTGAGAGATGTGTTGGGAATCTGCCACCAGATACTAATATCAGCGACCTCGTCACAAGTCGACGCGTGACTTCCACATGGTGACAGCTGGTACACTTTCCACTGAACGAGTGCGCCAACTACACCGGCTAGAGTGGCAATAGCGAAGCCAATTGTCATTCGGGTGATGGGACCGGGTTTCAACTTGCGCCGGTCTAGGAACGGGTAGATCACGTAAGTGAGGATTGGGATGGCGACAATGAGTGTTAACGGGTTGAAATTGTTGAGTACATCGTTGGGTGCTCCGTTTGTGATCATTGATGCACCTTGGTTCGTGGAGACTGCGCCGATGCCACCGTCATTTAGATTGTAGATTGGGAAAAACCAGAAGATGTCGCACGCCTCTGTTGATGAACAAGACCGTTAGATGTGTTAATTGATACACTGATTCATGTGCCTTAAAGTCAAATAGAAGGATTTTGGGTAGTTGGGGGGATAATACCAATTGTTTTCGCAACTTTCAACACTGAGATTTCCGTCCAGGGAACTTCGATCCCCTTGCTGCGAAGGTTTGCGGGTTTTGCCGCTTCCCAGAAGTCCTTCCGCCAGAATTGGAACTTGTTCTGCACAAGGGCGGTCCATCCAATGTTGAAAGCTTCGGCAAGCTCCCTATTTCCACTGGGGGGTTGCCTCTTGGTTCTTTTATAGACAGCAAGGAGGAGGAGCGGGAGCAAGAAGTAAATGATACCCGGTAGCAGATAGGCAAGCCAAAACCCAACATACTTTTCAGCGTAGGTTGTCGCTAACATGAAGAAAGCACCAATGTTCACAAACATGTAGAACAGAAGCATAGTCCGAGTATGTGTGGTCTCAGGGTCGACGATAACGGCCTCCCCGGACTTAAGAGTCTTGACATATGGCGTTTGGGATTTATGCTGATCCAGAACAGTTGGAGAGATGTTGGGCTTGAAGAGGCCGGCACCGAAAGCAAGAAGTAAGAGACCAATCACAAATGGCGGCGCCGCGTGATCTTTGCCTTTTTGGAGAACAGAGGGGATCGCGCCGACGATCTGGATAATGTGGGCAACACCGCAAATAGCAACACCAATCACAATGGCCTTATACCGCCCGACATGAGTATCTGCCCAGTAGCCACCGAAGATAGGGACGATGTAGGCCAGAAACTTGAATAGTAGCGCCAACCCGGTACTGGCCTGCAATCCCCATCCCAGCGCTCCGGCGGTCTTTTGGGTTCCGCGTGGGGAGCACCGGCGCCATTACCACCTGTTCGTATTATACTTCTTTAGATATCATCCGAAATTCGATCATGGAAAATCCTGCTCACCTTCGGGTAATGGGAATTGGACAAAGTTGGAGAAGAGCGTCTGCGCCCCATAGTAGGACGCGCGCTCAGCAAATTCGACGAGACAGAGGGCAAAACCAACCAACGGTAGATTGTCGGGTACTTTGCGAAGTGTTTGATTTTCTTCTTCGGTTGGAGGGGTCAACTCATCGTTGTAGGTTTCCTGAGATTCCTGCGACGTCTGAGAGACCTCCGTTCCTATCCCTTCGCCCAAATGGAGGGACTTCACCTCGCTCACCTCGCGGGGTGCGACCACCGAAGTGTTCGTAATGACGGGCTCTGGATTGCCTGATAATTTCCATCTGGTCAGCTTTGAATGATATTCAGGAAATCAGTATGGTATACATACTCATTGGAAAACAACAGCTGGTGGACCGATGGTTAGTTGCCTTGGTTGCCGAAGACCAACTATAAGTACAGAACACCTTAAAAAATTTGGCCAAGGGCAAATTTTCTGCGTTGATCGCGTGATCGCTACCCTTGGATGAAAATCTCTTGAGCTTTAAACTTGTTCCCCTTTCCAGTTAAAACAAAAGAAATACTCGAAGGAGAGTGGTCTGCGGCAGCACAGCATGGTGGGGAGAAATGACGAATTGGTAGATGTAACACTGGCCATCCCTTGGACCCAATAACATCCATAGTGATCCGAAATACTTCCCATGTATCGGCCACTCCGTTGAAACAATTATGGCTCCAGATTCGCAATTTCCAGACCAGGAGAGCCATCCCCAATACCAGCCCTAGTGGCGCTAGGGCGCTAGGGGCGAGTGAGATATATAGTACAGATGCCCTGTATGCATAACCGTCGCACCATTGAGAACAGTCGTATTGAAATGAGGCTTTATAGTCAAGCTTCTACTGGCAAGATGCCAAGATGCCAAGATTGAGGCTTGTTAGCCCTGTTCTTTATTCCGGGTCGGACCCGGTGTCCGATGTCAACAATTAGCGAACAGAGAGTTATGCTTTCGTCGCGAAAGATAAATGGAGAATGATGAAATTAACTGCTTAGTGCGAGTGATCTTGTTCGAAATTGAACACTGGGCGCGGCACTATAGCTACACGTGCACACATGTATATACCATGCTCTAATGTTGTTGCTTCACAGAAGCGGTATTGATTATTTTCAATATTATCGAACTATGAAAGTGAATTCTACTCTCGATCCCACCATTTATTCTCTCGGGTGTTTTTCTAAAGGTCTTATTGAGGCCAGATTAAATATGAGCTCCAAAATCACAAGGCATACGTGAGTGCTACAGGTACATAGTCGTATCTTTGCAGGCTAGTCTACAGGCGCTAGGCGAATGTGGCGCATGGTGCTATATTTATGCGGATCCGCGCTATGCGGCGTGTGCGATATGCCCCTCAAGTGGTATCTGGATGGCTCTTTCGGTGGCAATAGTGCGAGGAAGAAAGCAAATCAAACTTAATTATGACAGGAAAACAGAATGACCCCGGGGTGTGGATTCATATATTCTCCTTAGGACGGATACAGCCTCTGAATAAGTTATCCTCTAACAACTCGGCGTCTAGACCTTCCATCAATTTCCAAGAGTCCCGGGTCGGTGCCGACGGCATATTGAGAAATGCGGTGCAGAACAATTGTCAAAAAAAACCAAGGAAATCAAACATACAACGTCATTTGTATGGCCGTGGTCATTCAAGGCCCACGGTTTACTTGCCACTCTGTTCCGCCCTCTGATAGACATCCGGCGCGGATGTTCAGCCAGAGAAGCAAGCAGTGCTATGGATAGACTTCCGCACCGGCCCACAAAGCCCAAAGCCCGACCCGACCCAACCCGTAAATGGGCCGGGTTTTGGGCCCGGTCCTTAGGCCCATCGATGGGCTATGGGCCCGGGGTGAAAGCCCACTGGGCTTTAATAGGGGCCCAATAGGAATAGGGGGGTCGTCAGGTTGTCAGGTTGTCAGGTTGTCAGGTGGGTTTTTCATACTAGTAGCTCCCAGTAGGCCGGTTGCTACTGGTAGGAGGTCGGAGCTACTAGTCGCGACTAATATAGGTTTAATGAAATAAATTACAGCCCCAAAAGCTATTAGGTTGTTAGGTTAAGTCTACTAGAAAGAGTGAAGTATTTACTAGTAGACTAGGAGCTACTAGTAAAAAGTGCCTAACAATAACTTTTATGTATTTTATCACTTACCTGATAGTCTTAATATATTAATACGTATTATGAAGGGGGTTTTCTAATAGCTACTAGATATAACTAGTAGTAACTAAAAATTTTAGGGTAAATTTAATACACAATCGGTATTTAATTTTTAGTAATTACTAGTAATATCTCGATAGAAGTTATTGTCCGGTGGGTTCTATATAATATAGGAATAATATATAGGAGGTTAATATAGATAATTTATTATTACTGATAATTACTAGTTAGGACACTATATTTAAAATATAGTGTAACTTAAATATTACTAAGAGCTCCTAGAAAGTTCCTACTAATAAATTAAGGGAAGGGGTTATATTTATTAGTAGTAATTACTAGTAGTAACTAGTGGTCTATAGTCTAGTATAATTTACTAGTAAAAAATAAGTATTATATATTATATAATTAAAAAAGTCAATCAATTACTATAAGCTTTATAAAAAATATAAAGAGTGATACCTAGTTATTACTAGTTATTCCTATCTATAACTACTAACTTATACGTTATTATCGTCACTACTATCGTTACTATTATCGTCACTATTATCGTCACTATTATCGTCACCACTAGTAGTAGGGGCTTTACCCTTCCCCTTATCGCCCTTATTAGTAGGGCCTTTCCTAGCGGTAGTAGCTTTAGCTACTTTAGCCTTAGTAGCCTTAGTCCTAGTAGCTCTAGCCTTAGCAAACTTAGCCTTAGTAGTAGCTATAGTAGTAGGGCTAGGACTAGCACCGCTATCACTACCGCTATCGCCACCGCTATCGCTATCGCTATTATCGCTAGTAGATCTAGTATCACTATCCTCGTTATTAGTGGTATAGGCTAATCTATTAGACCTAATTAGTAGTAATATTAGTTATAACTAGTAGTAAATAGGAATATTAAGGAATAAAACGCACTCTTGACCACTACTAGAGACTCCTATAGCTACCTTAAGGTTCTTATACCGCGCTATATTTTTCGTCTATAAAAATAGTTAGTAATAGCTAGTAATAGCTAGTAATATATAGTCGTAACTTATAGTATACTTATATCTAATATACTTACGAATACTAGTAGCTTTACCTTTCCCCTTAGGGATATAGCCGCAGTATAGGTATAATAAATAATAGGCCGGAATAGTCTTAATAAGTAGTTAGTGATAATTAGTTATAATATAGGGAGTGGTAACTTATAATAATAGTATATCGAATTAGCTATCGGCTCTTCCTATATCTTATATAATCGTAGATTCGAACCTTTTTACTAAATATTATTAGTTATAAGTAGATACCACTAGTAAAGTCTAAACTTATATCTATTTATCTAGGTGTCTACCCACACGATTACTCCGCTACTAGTGTCCTTTTGGGTACCGAGCTATAAAGGTAGTAATCGGTGACTACTAGGAGTGATAGGATAGAAGGTGGTAAGATTAAAAAATATCTTCCAGTAATAGGTACGGTATAAGTACTAAAATTATTGTTATAGCCTTATACTAAGCGATATATACTATAGTAATCGAGGCTCTAGATTTTAATAATATCCCTTTAATAATATCTCTAAATTTATCTCTTTCACTTAGGGTTCTAGGAGCTAGTGGTAGTTATTAGTGGCTGATAAATACTATAAGAAACACTCTATTTTAGCGTATATCTCTTTGATAATATCCCTAAATTTATCTCTTTCACTTAGGGTCCTTAGAACTAATAGTAGCTAATAAATACTACAAGGAACACTCTATTTTAGTATATATCTCTTTAATAATATCCCTAAATTTCTCTTTCACTTAGGGTTCTAGGAGCTAGTGGTAGTTATTAGTGGCTAACGAATACTACAAGAAACACTCTATTTTAGCGTATATCTCTTTGATAATATCCCTAAATTTATCTCTTTCACTTAGGGTCCTTAGAACTAATAGTGGCTGATAAATACTATAAGGAACACTCTATTTTAGTGTATATCTCTTTAATAATATAATTTACCTTAAATTACTAGTAATATAAGGGAGCGATAGGAAACTATAGTAAATCACTTAAAATTCCTAGATACACTATTATTTTTATTTCCTATCCCCTCTTTTCTAATCTCTCTTCCACACTCTTTATCTAGGTTATTATCCTAGCTTAGAAATCTAGGGTTTACTATATAAACCGATCACTTAAGGAAACTCTATCCTATATCTACTTATTATCGGTCACTACTAGTAGGTCGTTACTAGTACCTAGTTCTACCTCAGTAGCTAGTTAAGGTTTATAAACTATACTAGTAGAGCCTAGGGATAGTTAGTAGCTAGAAGGAATAAGTAGTAATAATTATAAACCTCTAGTAGTATTAGTACTAGCTTATCCCTTTCCCTTTACCGATTTCCTAACTAGAGTAGGAGTTAATAGATCTTGTAGGGCTAGAGGTAGTGACTAGTTATTAGAGCGAGCTAGTAATAGTTAGTAAGGATTACTAGTGACTAGTATTAACTAGTGGTAGGGATTTTGTTATACTTACTCTTTCTCTTCTTTATATTTCGAGCTATAAGTATAGGAGAGTCTATAGTAGGCTTATCACTATTAATCTCTACTAGTAATAGTTAGTAACTTATAATAACTAATCTTTATAAGTAGTTATATATACCTATAGCCTAAGATCGGCGTTTCGAATAGGATCCTAGTATAGACAATATAGATATAGGCTATATACCGGTTTTTATAAAGTGCTAAATATCTTTTAAAGACTACTTATTGTGTGGTTATATACTACTATTATTAGTAATCACTAGTAATTACTAGTGGTAGAACTTATAATTTAATCGCTTCGATAATAGTAAGCCGGATTCTAGTTTCTCTATTAATATAGGTATATAGCGACTCTAAGAGATTAGTATTCGGAGGGTATTTCCGGTAGCGATTAGCTAGTATCTTAGATATAAAGGTATTTAAACTAGTAAGTATCTATAGTGTGGCTTTATAAGTAGCCTATATAGCGACTCTAGGAATTCGCGAGCTACGTAGTATATTAAGAGTACTATTTACCTAACTAGTAGTTACTATAAGTAACTTAACTATTATAGTATACACTAGTTACCTACGAAACTTAGTAATTAGTCGAAAGAAATAGATATAGTAGAAGATAAGAATTTGCTAGATTTACTCCTACTAGTCCCTAAACTAGGCTATATTTAGCTATTCTACGAGGAAATAGCTAAATCCTTAG